TCCTCATTGTCACTTTTCTTGCACCACAAGTCGAACCTAGGGCTTTCTTTGTCTTTGGTGACTCTCTCGTCGACAATGGAAACAACGATTACCTTATCACCACTGCTCGCGCCGACAATTACCCATATGGTATCGATTACCCGACCCGTCGACCCACCGGACGTTTCTCTAACGGCCTTAACATTCCCGACATTATCAGTAAGCATTTAAATCGAAGAATATTCATGATTATACCATAATTAATGGTTCTTAATTTAAAGAGTCTTTAATAATATGTATTTCCCTACTAGGTGAGGCCATAGGCATGCCGGCGACTTTGCCGTACCTAAGCCCGCATCTCACCGGCGAAAATCTTCTCGTCGGCGCTAATTTCGCCTCCGCCGGAATTGGAATTCTTAATGACACTGGCATTCAATTCGTAAGCAACTTCGAGATTTTTTACGTTAATGCATTAAATTACGCATACAGAAATTAATGCAAGAAAAGACGTTATTACCCTCTTCTAAGATATTTGTGTCGAGTGCACAATTTCTGAGAGTACGAATGTGACAAACACAATATAATTATCGTCAGTTAAAGAAATTCCAGTTAAACAGTGAGGCACACATGTCTTTAAGGTTACATCTAAAAACCTTAAAAAAACATGCGATTAACGAGATTGTTAAAAGTTAAAACACTTGAGTTAAAGATAAGGCCATTTTTGTCTTTTACTGATCATGTTGAGCCAACAACCAAATAGTAATTGATAATTAATTATGTTTCTGTTTGGCAGGTGAACATAATTAGAATCACTAAACAGTTCGAATACTTCGAACAGTACCAGCTACGGATGAACGCATTGATCGGACCAGAGGCTACGCAACAGCTAGTTAACCAAGCTCTTGTCCTAATCACACTCGGTGGCAACGACTTCGTCAACAACTATTATCTCATTCCTTTCTCTGCTCGTTCTCGCCAATTCGCATTACCGGATTACGTTGTTTATGTCATTTCCGAATACGGAAAGGTCCTTAGGGTAAGGACAGAGAAACAAAATATAATACGCTCTTCTACTTTAAATTCAACGTTACATACTGAATTTATTGCACGAATATAAACCAATGCATTAAATAACGTATACTTGCATGAAATTAACTGGATCTTGATTCTTACATTATCATTTAGCTTATTAAATAGTTGCCTCACTATAGGAAATTGCATTTAATAGGAGACCCTCCAATAATTCATTACGCTGTCTGTATGTCACCATGTAGTTAATGTCATTATACTCTTGGAAAGAGGGAACATAACTTCAAAAAATAAAAGATGGGACATATTCAATATCCTTTCTTCGTTTTTTATTTTATTTCAAATGTAATACTTATAACTTACTGCTACATTTACTTTTCCTTTCATAGTGCATGGTTATAATTTTTGTTCTTCTTTCATTTCATTTCATGAAGAAACTCTACGAGTTGGGTGCAAGACGGGTTCTAGTAACCGGAACTGGTGCGATGGGATGTGCACCCGCGGAGCTGGCTCAGCATAGCCGCAATGGCGAGTGCTATGGTGCTCTCCAAACAGCAGCCGCTTTGTTCAATCCGCAATTAATTGATTTGATCAAATCAATCAATGCTGAGATCGGTCAGGACATTTTTGTAGCAGCCAATTCCTATCAAATGAACATGGATTATCTATCCAATCCAGAACAATTCGGTAATTACAACCAGTCATCTTTCTGTTTTTTTTTCTTTCTTAATTAGTAATTAATTAGAAATCCAAATGTTTAGTAAAAATTGGAGAATTCCCGAAACGTGGTTTAGTTATTAGTTACTGATTTCGAATTATAAGGAAAAGGTAACCAAAGAGTGGACCAATGAGGTAGGAGTAGGACCAATAAGATTTATAAGCACAAAAGGACAATTTTTGTAGTACTGATATAGTTATTTTATTAATGCATGGGTACGAAACTTATAAATGAGCATGACCACCGTAGGACCATCTTTTTCGTACATGTTATTACATTTATACGCTTGTGTCGGTTTCTATACACAAGCAGTATCATATTAGTAAAGACGTTTTTAACAGAAGCACCTGTCTGATCTTTAAATAGTTCCATTTGAATGGTTTTTTTTCTCTTGTGTAGAATGTCACTCGGAAAAAAAAATGTGTGCATAAGAAAATACAAATTGTAGCTGTAATCATTTATTGATGCTTTGATTCTAGACAAACAACAAGTATTGATGCTTTGATTCTAGACAAACAATTTAAATATGATAATCTTTCTGTGTGTATATCAATATCTAAATACCGTTTAAATAATTACAATTTACATGTATATATGTGTAGGGTTTGTGACATCCAAGGTGGCATGTTGTGGACAAGGGCCGTACAATGGCATAGGACTATGCACACCAATCTCGAACTTGTGTCCGAACAGAGACTTATATGCGTTTTGGGATGCGTTTCACCCAACAGAAAAAGCCAATAGGATCATTGTTAATCAGATCCTCACTGGTTCATCCAAGTATATGCACCCTATGAACCTTAGTACCGTCATGCTCGTGGATTCTTCTAGAATTTAGTTGAAGTGATAAATTTAAATTTTATGCCAAGGTATTGCCTTTTGTAGTTTGTAATGTTGATTAATAAGTCCGATCAGCACGATTAGTTTAATTAAGAGAGTTTTCTTGTTGGTGATGTTGTTTGATGTGTTTGCTTGTTGTATCGTTGTTACTTGCGCCAATTATCATGTAATATTGGGAGTGATTGTTATATGGTTCTCTACTTCTCTCTCCTACTCAATATAGCAAACCTTTATATTAAAAATAGAAAAACCTTATATACAAAATACGAGATGCCTCGTGGTTATAAATGATAAGTTGATAACAGAAGGAATAGTTATTAAAAAACAAAAAAATCTTCAAAATTATACGGAATGGCAAAATCACATGGTGAAAGTAAAGCTTTAATAGTGACAGAGCAGGTGATAAAATATAGAGCTTTTAGACAGCGCAGTAACTTCGTCTGTTGGTCATCGTCGATTATAAGGCAACCGACTTAAAAATAATTATCGTTAATTTTTATCACTTTTTAATTTCTGTTTCCAAATTAAAATCACTAGAAAGCAAAGCATATATATTTACTTAACTCAAAAGCTAGATTACTTAACTAAAGAGGTTATAGTTAATATATAGTAATTTATATAAATGTCTACATTGTGAATATATAAGAATTGCTCAGCATGGAGATTCACAACTTAAATCTTATATACACGAATTTTTTTATTTTTTTTTTTGAACAAAAATAAATATTTGTATATTGTGTATGTATACTGCTGCATACTCGCATGTTATGATAATGATCAGTTTTATGTACTTCTCCGAAATATTCTTGTCGCGATACATTACTGTGGTAATGAATCATCAATAAGTGAACGAGGGGAAGAGTACAGAAGGAGTTTGTTGAGGCATTTCGCAGACATTGAAATGTGGATAATAATAAAGGAATTGAGTTCTAGTTGGTGAAGTGGGTGAAATTTTATGTCCACTGTGTATTAAGTATGTACAGTAATGTATAGTACATAATAATATAAAGAGAATTTTATATTACTTCACTATTGAAATTTATTGGACCTAGCTTATCAATTATCTCAGCGTCAAACTATGTACATGCCAATAAGGTAGAACTGTTGAAAAACCAAACGCACCATATAATACGTAAGGTTTTTTTTTAAAGTACGATTTTTCTTTTTCTTTTTCGTTTTCCGTTATCGTACAAGCCAACTTTATAAGAAATTAATAGCTACAAAGGAAAAAAAAAATACTAAGAAGTCATTACCAATTCAAATTATAAACATTAATTGACATAAACTAGTATATGCAGTTGAAGAACTAATCATACGGGAGATTAACTTCTACGTGCGCTTAATTTGCAAATGCATGAACTTCTATGCTTTTTATAAACTTTTCCATGAGAATATCACGTTTTATATCTTAGCACATGGATGTGACAATGATCTTATTACCGTCCAACAAACAAAAGAAGGGAAATATCTAATCTTGATTACATTTCTTATGCCTATACTTTCAAATGAAATACTTATTATATTTCTTTTATAAATGATACTAGATCTTGATTCATGCTTGAGAAACATGATGTTATAATTTTGAAGATTTTTTTTTTAATTATATAATTATTCGGTGTTAATTTTAATTTGGAGTTAAATTAAGTGGTAAATATTTTGAGCCGCATTAATTCTTCTTGGATATGGTCCTAAGCCCTTTCTCGTGGTTTTCATCCATCAAAATAAGTGGGTTTTTGTCGTATCCAAACCGTTTGTTTACTTTCTATGTTTCTTTTATAAACGATATGAACAAAATTAATACAAAGAACATAGAATCTGAATATGATCTAGAAGGATTAATTAAAGAGATTTTTTTTTTTCACTTGTGTTTTCTTTATATCCATAAAATTTGTTCACCATTTTGATTTAATTGTTCTCATACTAGCTAGTTTTTTAAAACAGCTCAACTGGAACAACGTATGTATATTACATTTCCTTCCAAATTCATGTAAAAATATGCTTTTCTTTTGTGGTGTGTAAAAATATGCTTTTTTTCTTAATATAAATTTTGATCAATGTCTTCGTTCTTTGAACACAATTCACATTCTTCTGTAGAATCCAAAATCGTAAGCCACCTTCTAATCTTTTTCATTGTACACATGTAATATGTACGCATATATAGACAACTATATATACAAACAAAAACCATGCATATGCATGTGAACATGCATGTGAACAGTTGTATGTTAATTTCCATATTGTTTCATTTCAACTAACATGTAATATGATCACAACACAAAACATTAACATGCATGTGAACAGTTGTATGTTAATTTCCATATTGTTTCGTTTCAATTTATTTACCTTTTTAACATACTTCTCTTTGTTTTCTGAAGATTTTTCAAAAACAGAATCAAAGGTGGCAACAAACCTAAGGGGAGATACCGAGGAAACCATGTCAACAGAAATCAAGAAGAAACTAAATGTGTTGATCGTGGATGATGATCCATTAAATCTCAAAATCCACGAAAGGATTATCAAGACGATCGGAGGAATTTCTCAGACCGCTAAGAACGGTGAGGAGGCAGTAGTCCTCCACCGCGACAGCAGCACATCTTTCGATCTTATCCTAATGGATAAAGAAATGCCCGAGAGGGATGGAGTTTCGGTACACTTTATGATCTTAATTTTTTACGAAATAGACAATTTATTTAAACTGGTTCATCATTACTAATTAAGACAGTGTGTGTATGTGTTCTCTATTGGTTTAATTAGACAACTAAGAAACTAAGAGAAATGAAAGTCACGTCAATGATTGTTGGGGTGACGTCACTGGCTGACCAGGAAGATGAGCGTAGGGCTTTCATGGAAGCTGGACTTAACCATTGCTTGGCAAAACCCTTAACCATGGCCAAGATCCTCCCTCTCATTAACCACCTCATGGATGCTTGATGGGCGACTTGTCATTATAGATACAAATTGAAAACTATGAGAACTTACAAAAAATGTCTATATATATACGTGTATGTGTATGCATGTATGTGTTTGGAATTTAGGGGTTTTCATACCTATGTTTTAGTTTATAAATTTTATCGTCCGTGATGCATGTAATGTAAATCGTTTCTTTATTTTTGGCATATAAATATTAAATTTATGTTTTCTTTGGTTCATTGAGTTTATATATATCGTTCATAATCTCCATATCATCAACTAAAAATAATAACCCCGTCTCTCAAATATAGCAAACAGAAAGTATAATCCCTACGCAATATTTGAAATATAGACCCCTAACTATATGCATAAATTAAATATTTGTACTCTTATATATATACACTAATTTTCTATTAGTTTAGTAAATTTCAGATTTGGTGTAAATACTCTTCTGGCACACACTTATGATTAAATGATTTATGTGTATTTGATCTATACATAATTCAGAAAGCGTATATCACGAATCTGACTATATTTATGTTCTGGTAAATATGTTTACTAAATGTAATTCTTTTCATTTTCTCTCTGTATTTTATTTTAATAATTTTCAGCCGAATTATTTATGTTTCATATTATTTTTACGATAGGATATAGAAACATTATCAAGATATGTTTCTTTTCATTATCCGCATGATGGCATTAGTTCCTATTAGTTTGTCCAACACTATATGTCGTAAAGAAGATACAGCATATCTTACTTTTGGCTTTGATAAGTTTATGCAAATAAGAGTAAATTCTAATTTCAGTGGCTTATATCATCTTAGCTAGATTTGATTAAGCATTGGGTGGTATACATAAACAAGTACATATACTGATGTTGCACTATATATGATTGTAGAATTTTCTTCGCTGTACCGTTTATTTTTATAATCAAGTTTCTAAAAAGACTAAAACCAGATGTCGAGATAGCTGTCATGGTTGAGAAGATCATCCAAATACCATCGTCGTTTATATATATGCGTCGTTCAATCAAGTATAGACATTCAATTAAATATGATAATTTTGTTTATTTGACTACGTTTTTGATAGCAATTAGATAACTAAAAATCGAAACAAAAAATTTCTATTTCTTGTATTTTACTTTCTTAATCAGTAGAATGATACACGATCCTTTTCTTTTCTCTTTGTTCTCTTAAGAGTCCTCATATCCTTTTCCAGCCTTAACTCGTGACTCTAAAATCTCAAAAGCTAAATTGGTTGTGTCAATGTTTAAATTAAAGTGGAATTAATTGTATGTATTCCACCTTTAATATTTGAGTTATTTTGTTTTAAATTCATATCTGTATTTCACTTTGCAAAGCATCTAATCTACGTCTGGAAAGTTCAAAATTGATATATTTAGGCAGACCAACCTTTTATTTGGCTTTTGAGGTGCAATGGTTTGATTTGGCAATGCTTGGGGAGCTTGAAGCGAACAACAAAGTATCTAAGTGTTGATTTCGAATATTTCCTATACCATAGCTTTTTGAGATTGAGATTCGAATTTAGAGAAACAAGAGCTTAGCTTGACGATTAAGTACTGGAATAATTTTTTTAACTTTGCCTATAAATAGCACCACTAAACCAAAATGACTTTGATTGTACTACTTTGTCAGAAAATAAAATTCATGAAAAATGAGATAATGAGATCTTCGATTTTATTTTTATTACTTTTGGTTTAAAGATCAAATGTCACGTTTCATAACCTCGTGGCTTTCTAACGTAGATGTAACATTATTTGACTAATAAAATACAACTATACAATGCAAAAGACAACCAGTATCTGTAAATTAGAATTGGCTGTCATGTAGTAGAACTTGTTTTGAAAAGAAAAGCTTAATTATATTATGAAGTTACTATTTCTACGATATGTAAAATAGGTTGAAAAATAAGCAACGTTACCTTTGCTACCACAACGACACGTCTCAGATTCGATCGGATGAATGATCCGAAATTAGGGTTTCGCTTTCTCTTCTTCGTCTCTCTGATTTCATTCAAAATTGAGCGGGCAAAATATGTAGTTAAACCAGTGGGCCTTAGCCCAATTATCTTCGGGTGACCTTGATCACAATTCACAACCAAACGTCACAATTGGACCAATGATGTGAATCTGGTTCAAACCAATTTCGGTTCAATTAATTATCCTCACGTGATCTCCACATGATCATCGATTAATAATTATGAAATTAAAGTTTTAAATCCACTTTATCCATTCCCCGAGTCAAAAGAAATTTCGGGGAGCCAAAAAAAAATGTCTCTCTTCTTCCTCAGTCCTCCATTTCCCTCCAACTCAATCCACCCGATTCCTCGTCGCGCCGCTGGATTATCCTCCGTTCGGTGTTCAATTTCTGCACCGGAGAAGAAGCCTAGGAGGAGGAAGAAGCAGCAGCAGAAGCGCGGCGACGGAGCGGAGAATGACGACTCCTCATCCTTCGGCAGCCGCGAAGCTGTCTCGGCCCTTGAGAGGAGTCTCCGCCTCACATTTATGGATGAGCTCATGGAACGAGCTAGGAATCGTGACACCTCAGGTGTATCCGAGGTTATCTACGACATGATCGCCGCTGGGCTTACCCCTGGACCTCGCTCTTTCCATGGCTTGGTCGTCGCCCACGCTCTTAACGGCGACGAACAAGGCGCGGTAAATGCTCGTATATAGCTTAATTTTAGACTTATACTCAGAAATCATTCAATGCTGGTGTTAAAACTCAAATCGATTTTGCATCGCTGTGCTTTGTAGAAATTGAGCTATGGTTTAAGAGTAAGAACAACTCTTTTTTTTTTTAACAAAATTTCCAAATTCGGACTTTCCTCTCTCTCTCTCTCTCTCTCGTATTTTTATCGGGTGTGTGGTGATTGATGTGAGAATTTCCAAATTGCAGATGCACTCGCTGAGAAAGGAGCTAGGTGCAGGCCAACGGCCGCTTCCAGAGACGATGATTGCTCTGGTTCGGCTCTCTGGTTCTAAAGGAAATGCTACGAGAGGCTTAGAACTTCTTGCCGCAATGGAGAAGCTTAACTATGACATTCGTCAAGCTTGGCTAATTCTTGTTGGTAATTTTCTCTTTGCCAAGACTGTGTGTTAAAATCAAATGCTTGGTGTTACTGACTAATTAGTTTTAATTGGATTGTGTTGTGGTCTTTTGTAGAGGAGCTCATGAGGACCAATCACTTGGAAGATGCGAATAAAGTTTTCTTGAAGGGTGCTAGAGGTGGGATAAGAGCAACCGATCAGCTTTATGATCTGATGATTGAAGAAGATTGCAAAGCTGGGGATCATTCTAATGCCTTAGACATCTCTTACGAAATGGAGGCAGCTGGTAGAGCGGCCACAACGTTTCATTTCAACTGTCTGCTTAGTGTGCAGGTTTGTTATGATCTCTTGGAACTTTATACACATGCTTGTCAAGTGAAGATGGTAAGTTTTTTTGTTGACATCAAATATATATTTTCTTTGCCTCCATTGTTTAGGCTACATGTGGGATTCCCGAGGTAGCTTTTGCAACATTCGAAAATATGGAGTACGGGGAAGGTTTGTGTTTTTTCTTAAGCTAATTGTTTGGTTTAGTTGTTGCATGATGGGTTCTTATATGGCTTAATGTAATCTTGATTTGATAGCTTTTATGAAGCCTGACACAGAGACATATAACTGGGTGATTCAAGCCTATACAAGAGCCGAGTCATATGATAGGTAATTTAATATGAGGTTTAGTTGCATACATTAAATCTCAAAAGTGGACGGGGTTTCAAGTGGTCTGTTGCGTGAATCACAGGGTTCAAGATGTTGCTGAATTACTTGGAATGATGGTTGAGGACCACAAACGAGTGCAGCCAAATGTGAAGACTCATGCGTAAGAGAATCTTCTTTTCATTCTGTCTTGAACTCATCTCTACCTGCTCTAGTGAAAAAAATCCTAATACGATTTGTTTAATGATTTATGTCAGGCTCTTAGTTGAGTGCTTCACGAAATATTGTGTTGTGAAGGAAGCAATTAGACATTTTCGTGCTCTGAAAAACTTTGAAGGAGGAACAGTAATTTTACACAATGCAGGGAACTTTGAGGATCCTCTCTCTTTATATCTCCGAGCATTGTGTCGAGAAGGTATGCATACACCCGAAACCTGTGTACTAAGGCATATGTTAAGTACCTTCGTGGAGATTACGAGATTCTATTAGCAAAACTATTGATAGTTATGGTTCCATTTCCCATGTTTCTGTCATTAGATCAAGTGCTAGTGACATGAGTTTTTTTTTCCTTCTTTTGTGAATCTACTGTCTTTAAAAGCTACCCTCTGGCTCTACTGTTTGAACCAGGAAGAATTGTTGAGCTTATTGATGCTTTAGATGCAATGCGCAAAGATAACCAACCTATACCTCCAAGAGCCATGATTATGAGCAGAAAATATCGAACACTAGTCAGCTCATGGATTGAACCATTGCAAGAAGAAGCTGAACTTGGCTATGAGATTGATTATTTAGCAAGGTAAAAAACGAGATCTCTGCGTGGTTTGTCTGGAATTTTGTTGATCATATTCTATCCTCCTATTTGCACGTGAAACGCTAATGCTCTGTTCTAGTTTTTCTCTGAAAGAAAGTATGGTGTGTTTGTTTTAGGTCATTTTGTCTTGATATATTAAGATTGGCAGTCTGTAAACATTTTCAGGTACATAGAGGAAGGGGGGCTCACTGGTGACCGCAAGCGTTGGGTACCTCGGAGAGGGAAAACACCTTTAGATCCTGATGCGTCTGGGTTTATATATTCAAACCCTATGGAAACATCCTTCAAACAGAGATGTCTCGAAGATTGGAAAATTCACCATAGGAAGCTCTTGAGAACCTTACAGAGTGAAGGTCTTCCTGTTCTAGGAGATGCATCAGAATCTGATTACATGAGAGTGATGGAGAGATTACGAAACATAATAAAAGGTCCTGCACAGAATCTTTTGAAGCCGAAAGCAGCAAGCAAGATGGTTGTATCAGAGTTAAAGGAAGAACTTGAAGCTCAGGGTTTGCCAATTGATGGAACGAGAAATGTTCTTTACCAGCGTGTCCAAAAGGCAAGGAGAATAAACAAATCTCGAGGTCGACCTCTCTGGGTTCCTCCAATTGAAGAAGAAGAAGAGGAGGTGAATCTATACTCCTTTCTTTCATTCCGGGAAACATATATCTTCAGTACTTGACACATAACAAAGTTTTTTCTTAATATAGGTTGATGAAGAAGTAGACGAATTAATATGTCGAATCAAGCTACATGAAGGAGACACGGAGTTCTGGAAACGCCGGTTTCTTGGAGAAGGCCTGATTGAAACAACAGCTGAATCCAAGGAAACGGCTGAATCAGTAGCTACAGGTGAGTCAGAGGACACGACTGAAGGTGTTGCAAAAGAATCTGATGAGGATGATGAGGAGGAGGAACAGGAAGGAGATGAGGATGATGATGAAACTGAAGAGGAAGAAGAAGTGGCGGTTGCAGAAACTGAGAATCGAGCAGAAGGAGAGGATTTGATGAAGAATAAAGCAGCTGATGCTAAGAAGCATCTTCAAATGATTGGAGTCCAGCTCCTGAAAGAATCCGATGAAGCAAACAGAACAAAGAAACGCGGGAAGAGAGCGTCTCGTATGACCCTCGAGGTGTGTATGTGTGTTAGTTTATGATTTAATCAGTCACATGTACATGAGTTTGATAGTTTAAGCATGTTTTGACAATGGTGATTCCGTCCATCAGGATGATGCAGATGAGGATTGGTTCCCTGAGGAACCGTTTGAAGCATTCAAAGAAATGAGGGAAAGAAAAGTGTTTGACGTGTCGGACATGTATACAATAGCAGACGTTTGGGGTTGGACATGGGAGAAGGATTTCAAGAACAAAACTCCAAGGAAATGGTCACAAGAATGGGAAGTCGATCTGGCAATTGTGCTCATGACCAAGGCAAGTGACCTCCAGAGCATTATTATCATACATGATCCAATCGTGTTAACATGATAATAATACGTTACAGTGAATTTGTGTAGGTGATTGAATTGGGTGGAACTCCAACGATTGGCGATTGTGCGGTGATACTACGAGCTGCTATAAGAGCTCCCATGCCTTCAGCCTTCTTGAAGATCTTGCAGACGACACACAGTCTTGGCTACTCTTTTGGCAGGTTACAACCATTCTAATTTGGGTTTAGTCAAAATGATTAAAACTCGACTATAGTATACACAAATCAAATATCATCTTGTATTGCAGCCCATTGTACGATGAGATTATCACATTGTGCTTGGACCTTGGAGAACTTGATGCAGCGATTGCCATAGTTGCAGATATGGAAACCACAGGGATCACAGTCCCTGACGAAACCCTAGACAAGGTCATATCTGCTAGACAGTCCAATGAGAATCCCCGGTCTGAGCCTGAAGAGCCAACATCATCATCATCATCAGTAGTAAGCTCTTAGTTATGAACGAAGCAGCTGCATCTGTCTTAGTTTAGTTATGAAAGTTTTGTTTATTCCCTGCAAAAACAGTCTATAGAAAGCTTAATTTAAGTGCCTTCCCTGTCTAAGACAGTCTTTACTCAATAACTTCGATTTTCTTGGACACAACTAAAAACTACTAAATCCATAGTAAACTAAAATAAACCTGTAGGAAGTTTTACTCTCAGGGTTTCCCGTTAGGTAGGAATCAGATACATTCAGCCAAATTCGAATGAAATTAAGCAAAACGTATTACTTAAAACACGAAGGGTTTAAACTCAAAACTTCAACGAGAAAGAAAAGAGTAAATGAAAGGAAAATAAATTAAACTAGACTTTGTAAAAAAAAGTGAGACTAGTTATCTCGTTTTCTCTTTTTGCCTTTTGCAAAATATTGCCATTTGCCTCCTTTAAAGCATTTGCCTTGTGTAGATTCCTCCACGACTGGTTTTTCAAGTGTGGCTAGTCTCAACATCTTTTCATCATATCGACGCTTCTCTAACTTGTCTTGTTGCTTGCTTTCGTCTCCTCCTCCTCCTCCTTCATGTTGCTTGATTTTCACTATACTTGGAACATAAGAGCACACATGTGGGCTTGGCCTAGTGTTTTCTTTTCTGTTGCCACTGAGAAACAATTGTTTCAAGTATCCAGCCTCTCCAACGATGCTAAGTATGTGGCGTTTCCAGTTACCGTCTTCATCAAAACCCATGACGACTTTCTTTTCCTCGTCAATGAAGAAACAAGAAGATGAAATCGGATAATGAGGTGTCGTATCCAATCTCAAGAACTTGCTCCACGAAACCTCTTCTGGACAAATCTTAGTCGTAATCCATACGCCAAGATCATATGGATTTGATTCGTTGTGTGTAAGCAAAACCGCAAGCTTCTCTTCTCCGACACAAGATATAGCCACGTAGTCATCATCATCAGTTTCAAACGGAAAACGCAGAAGCGGCCCAAATTTCTCACTTGTGTAATCGAAACAGACTAAGTAGGGGCTGCCGAGTAGGTTATCATCCGATAGTTTGTTAGCACAAAAGTAAGTGTTTCCCTTGAGAGAAACGCCACTCTGATTAAATCCTATGTAGCATTCACGAGAGACATCAAGCGTTTTCCATGAATTAGAGTCAAAATCATATATTTCATACCATATAAAACGTTTTTCGCCTTCACCAGGACGTCTGACATCATAATCGAAAAACCTCAAGATTTTGTAGCTACGAAGAGACTTCTTCTTCTTATTAACGTATCCGAGTGCGTACACGTACATGTTCAAAAACTTTCCGTTCTGTCCCCCGTAAGAATATCTGGTTTCGATCCTCCTTGTTTGCCCCAAAAACGGATTCCAAACCACAACTTTGGTATCGTCTCTCAAGATGCATAGCAATAAACCCTCGCAGTGAAAGACTTGAGATATCTCGACTTTATTAAGTTTGCCTCTATGCTTTCTGTATGGTTTTCTTCTGTTTACGAAGAAGCTCACCAAATGAAGATCGTTATCCATCAATACGACCATCGGAGATTCCCCTTGCCTTGCCGCGGAAGCTTCTCTACCTAATCGCATCTTCGAAAAGCTCCGACTTTTGGATAAAGTGTTCCACTTTTTGCAAGTCAATCGCACTTTTCTCATACATTTTGAAGGAACCCTAGAGACAACCTCCTCTAGTAAATCTCTTGGAAGATTGGAGATCGTCGTCGTCGTCATTGTTACAAGTTGCAAGTGCATCAAGGGTGGTTTTTTAACCTTTTCTTAATCCTCTTATTCCTCCTTAATTGCGGCTATTTTTGGGGCTTTCCGTGACGTCATTGAATTTCCAACTTAGACAAGAACAGAATAAGAGGAGGTCTTACACACGTCTTCACGGACAGTTTCTCTCCAGCTATTAATCTCAACGCGTTCTTCGCGCCATTCTCTTGCTCTTTCCTTCCAAACCCACACTTGAACTACTCCATCACACGAGTCATTCAGTTTTACACACCAACATCACATTCATCTGCTAGACAGTCCAATGAGAATCCCCGGTCTGAGCCTGAAGAGCCAACATCATCATCATCAGTAGTAATAAGCTCTTAGTTATGAAATAAGCTGCTGCATCTGTCTGAGTTTAGTTATGAAAGTTTTGTTTATTCTCTGCAATAACAGTCCATATAAAGCTTAATTTAAGTACCAAGTGTAGTAGTTTCCTGTCTAAAACAGTCGTTACTCAATAATTTCGATTTTCTTGGACACAACAAAAAAAAAACTAATATAAACTTGTAGTTAGTTTTACTCTTAGGGTTTTCCGGTTAGGTAGGAATCAGATAGATGCAGCCAAATTCGAATGAAATTAAATAAAACGTATTACTTAAAAGTTAAAAGTTAAAACACGAAGGGTTTAAACTCAAAACTTCAACGAGAAAGAAAGAGTAAATGAAAGAAAATAAATTAAACTAGCTAGACTTTGTAAAAACCCAAAAAAGTGAGACTAATTATCTCGTTTTCTCTTTTTGCCTCCTCCAAAATGTTTCCATACGCCTCCAAAATATTTCCCTCCTCCAGTAGGTTTTTCAAGTGTGGCAAGTCTCAACATCTTTTCATCATATCGACGCTTCTCTAACTTGCCTTGTTGCTTGCTTTCGCCTCCTCCTCCTGCATGTTGCTTGATTCTCACTATACTTGGAGCATAAGAGCACACATGTGTGCTTGGCCAATGTTTTTTTTCCTGTCCCCGCTGAGAAACAACTTTCTCAAGTATCCAGCCTCTCCAACGATGTTAAGTGTGTGGCGTTTCCATTCACGGTCTTCATCAAAACCCATGACGACTTTCTTTTCCTCGTCAACGAAGAAACAAGGAGATGAAATCGGATAATGAGGTGTCGTCGTCGTATCCAATCTCAAGAACTTGCTCCATGAAACCTCTTCTGGACCAATCTTAATAGTAATCCATACGCCAAAATCATATGGATATATTAAGTCGTGTGTAAGCAAAACCGCAAGCTTCTCTTCTCTGACACAAGATATAGCCACGTAGTAACCATCCTCCTATTCAAACGGAAAACTCAGAAGCGGCCCAAACCTCTCGCTCGTATAATCAAAACAGACTAAGCGATTGCCGAGTTCGCACGAGCCAGCACAAAGATAAGTGTTTCCCTTGAGAGAAACGCCACTCTGATTAAATCCTATGTACCATTCCGGAGAGACATCATCAAGCGTTCCTCCATGAATTAGAGTCAAAATCATATATTTCATACCATGTAAAACGTTTTTCGTCTTCACCGTAACCGACACGTCTGACATCATGATCGAAAAACCTCAAGATTTTGTAGCTTCGGAGAGATTTCTTCTTATTATTAACGTATCCCATTGCGTACACGTACATGTTTTTGAACATTCCCTTCTCTCCCCGGTAAGAATATCTGGTTTCGATCCTCCTTGTTTGCCCCAAAAACGGATTCCAAACCACAACTTTGGTATCGTTTCTCAAAATGCATAGCAATAAACCCTCGCAGTGAAATACTTGAGATATCTCGACTTTATTAAGTTTGCCTTTATTCTCTGTAGACGGATTTTCTCTGTCTACGAAGAAGCTCACCAAATGAAGATCGTTGTCCATCAATACGACCATCGGAGATTCCCCTTGCCTTGCTGAGGAAGCTTCTTTACCTAATCGCATCTTCGAAAAGCTCCGACTTTTGGATAAAGTGTTCCACTTTTTGCAAGTTAATCTCACTTTTCTCATACATTTTGAAGGAACCCTAGAGACAATCTCCACTAGTAAATCTCTTGGAAGATTGGAGATCGTCGTCGTCGTCGTCATTGTTTCAAGTTGCAACAAGGGATGTTTTTAATCCTCTTAGCAGCTATATATATATATATATATGGGCTTTAGAATCTAGTTGGGCTTCCCGTGAGCCTAGAACAAAATCAGAGAAGTCTTACAAAAGTCCCATTTGATTACGTCTTCTCCACGGTTCACCGTTATGTATCTCCTCTTTGAATTAATCGATGTGTTTTTATGTAATCTATGTAAGCGTATAATTACGTCTTAGTCTAGTTTTTTTATTTGGTTGCTAAAATGTCTTAGTTTAGTTATGCAGAAATTTTATTCTCACGTAAAAGAGATATTTGAATCATTCATATTCTAGCAAAATAGAAATATAACTTCAAACATCAATTGTGTTACTTTCATCGAATTCAACATCATATAATTGAATGCATTTGTAGTATAATAGCACTATAACAGATCATCGAAATCGGCATAATATATAAGCTTATAGCTTTGCCAAAAATGCTACATCTACGAAACGAACACATCAAAGACGATGAACGGCTCTTTTTCATATAGTCTTCATTAATTTGTAAAAACCATTGAATGGCTGTATTTGCACCATGTTACAGATTTTATATAAAGTCTTCATTAATTTGTAAAAACCATTGAATGGCTGTATTTGCACCATGTTACAGATTTCATATAAAGTCTTCATTAATTTGTAAAAACCCTTTAACGCTTACAAATTTCATTCATTAATTTGTAAAAACCATCAAACGGCTCTGTTTGAACCACGTTACAGATTTCATTCATTAATTTGTAAAAATCATCTAACGGCTCAGTATGCACCACGTTACAGATTTCATATAAAGTCTTCATTAATTTGTAAAAACCATTTCATGCGACTCGAACACCAGACCTCCTCCTGGAAATTTTCCGTGTGGTGTGGATTTGATTCCTTATTAGTTTTAAGAAAATAAGTGGACTAGATTATTTGCAAATCCCTAATACAAGTTAGTGTTACACATTAGCACCAAAGCTTTCCTCTCGCCGCCACAGCAAGAAGAAGTGAGAAAGTAGGTGAGATGGCCATGAAAAGGAAAAGAAATAGGAGCGAGGAGGAGGTAAACAATCGAAAGATTGAAACGAGGTCTATGTCTAGGAAAAACAATCTGGCCAACCAAAAAGTTGGTGACAAAAAAAACTCTGTTTTTCTTCCTCTAGATTTGATCATAGTGATTTTTGCCAACTTGCCGTTGAAATCCATAGCCAAGTTCCTCTGCCTTTCAAAACTCTGGCGTTCTATAATCGGCGGGAAGTATTTCATCGATTTGTTCATGACTCGGTCGTTGACTCGTCCCTCTTTTCTCTTCACACACCCACACCTCACAATGGACAACAAGTTTTTCCATTCATCATCTCACGAGTCACCGTCCTCTCTTCATCATAACGGTGCATGCACAACTCTGAGTCATGACTATGTAATGCCAACACCAGTCCGGGGTTTGATCTGCTGTCGCCATGGTCAAAAGATGAGGGTTTGCAATCCTAGCACGGGCCAAGTAGTACGTTTACTCAACTTCAAGACTGGCAGAATAGGCATAACAAGCTTCTTGGGATACGATCCTGTTGGAGATGTGTACAAAGTGTTGTGCATGACGAGGGATTTCAAAGTCAGGGCACCAGTTGTGTCGAGCCAGCATCGAGTTGTGTCGTTAGGTCCACCCGGAACCTCAAGAAAACAGAAATGGAGGGACATCGAGTGTGAGGAGCTTCCGCATGTTCCTGCGACGAACGGGCTGTGTGTAGATGGTGTTGTTTATTATGGAGCTTGGACCAACAGTCATCGCCAAGGATCTATGATTGTGTGTTTCGATGTGAGACAGGAAGTGTTTCGTCGTTTGAAATCACCTGAAGATGTCGAGATTAAACATCATAGATTTGAATTGCTGAGATATCACGGTAAGTTAGCCTTGGTGGACCAATCGTATGGAGGTAGAGTTGACATGTGGGTCCTTGTGGACGTGGAGAAACAAGAATGGTCGAAAGACTGTGTGGTGGTTCCTTGTTGGTTAGAATTAGTGGGACTTAGGTCTTTCCGTTTCTTGGGCACCATTGGAACAGGAGAATGTGTGTTTGTGCCACACTCTCTCCCTGACCCTTACCCGTTTTTTGTTGTCATTTACGATCGCAAGAAAGGCGAAGGAAGAAGAGTTGTGATTCCAAGAATTGGTGTTAATCTATCTCGTGAAGCTATGGATCCTGACAAGGTTATGACTGTGTTTTTGGATCATGTGGAGAGTCTTATGCTTCTTTAGATGTGATTTTATTTTGTTGATGACTCTTGACCTGGCGTTTGCTTGTGCTATTTTTCTTTCAGTCTCTTTTGTGAGATCTCAGATATTATTTGTCTTTTTAAGATAACTCTTTTTTTTTTTTTTTTAATATTTATACATTTTTCTAGGACTTGTTGATTTATGGTTTTGTTTGAGAACCTAGTAGCTACTTGCTAGCTTCAGTTTTCTTATGTGGTCATATTACGCTAACCCAAAATTCGAATTACTCTGTTTCATCTTTTAGTGCATGCAAAGTTGGCTAACCCAAAAGTCGAATTACTCTGTTTCATCTTCTAGTGCATGCAAAGTTGGAATTACTCTGTTTCATCTTTTAGTGCATGCAAAGTTGGCTAACCCAATTTTGTTTTTTGTTTTTTAAACTCTAAATAAACAAAGACTTGAAATTACATTATTGTTTACCATACACAAAGACTAACGACAACAGAAATGAAAAGGAACAAACCCAATAAGACTGACGACAAGAGAGATGAAAAGGAACAAACCCAACAAGACTACTACTACTACTTGAGAGACTGAATGACAAACAATCATCGCAGTAAAATATTATCTGAGAGACTTAACAAACCAACGAGTCTCTAGATAAATCAACGGACCAGCTCTTGCTTGTTCCTTACGGAAGCAAAAAACTATCAACATGATCCAAAAAGGTTTCAACATAGTAATGTTCCGTTCCAGCCACTCCTTCGATCTTAGACTCTCTGAGAATTTTTGTGACTGGATTGTAATACAAGAAAACATGTGATCCATTAACCAACCTCCATAGTTTGAAAACAAGCTCTCCTGTGCCAATTGCACCTTTGAATGAAAACTTCCTACCACCAGCAATCTCTCTAGGAATCTCAACGCGTTCTTCACGCCATTCTCTTTCACTTTCCTTCCAAATCCACACCTGAACGTCTCCATCAAAAGTCACATTGGAGTACAAAGCAATTTCCCCTTTGTAGTACACCATTTCAGAAAAAGGGTGAAAATTGATTTTCACTCCCTCAGGCAGATCAAGAAGTTCAAACTCTTCAGACCTAACGTTGAAGCTCACTACTACAGATTTATCGTCTGGAGAACGCCAACCTCCGTAGTACAAAACTCCTCCTTTGCATAGTGCATTTGTCATTCCATGATAACGACGCTCACATGCGACCGGCCTCCAAGAATCTTCACCCGACCCCACCGTGAAAACCACATGTTCCCGTGCTATAATAGATTTCGTGACTTGGTGACCTTTAAATTAACTTCTGAGTCTTATGAGTTATGAGAGCACATGCATGCATTGTACAGCCTGGGCTGATGTTCTTCAAAAATAAAAGAAAATAATTTTTGAAAAAAAGATTACGATTTTTTTTAAATTGTGTGGCGACACCTGACGAGCTTCTCTTCATAACCATTCCAAAACTTCCTCCCGAAGAGATGATTATGCAATAAATTTATGTCACATTATTTTTTTTCTTTTTTCTTTCCCTATGAGTCTGTGCCCAAGCTGTCCAATGCATGTGCTTTGAGTACTGTAATTTTAACCTGTTTATCTTTAATTTCATACTTTCTCCGTTTTTTAGTTGTCATTTAACGCTTTATTTTTTAATAATATGCATGAAAAAATCTACAACAACTAGCAACTAAAACAAACGGACAACTAAAACAAAATGGACAAAGTATTTTATTTTTGAAAAAAAACTTTAATTTAATAATTACATCTAAAGACCAAAAAATGATAAACTTCAGTTCACACACATTAGAACCTTGATAATACTGGCCAGTTAGCACATAGGTTTGATTTGAAGCATGAATGTACACGTTTTAGTTTGTCATGCACGTTTAGGAGTTTCTTTCAAGGGAATAAAACAGAAATATATTAGTTCTTTTTGTTTTTCATGTTTTTTCGCTGTTAACATTGAAGAAAATGTGTCACGCGTTAAAACTTTATTAGTTGTTTTGCAGTAATTACCTGGTGCAAACTGCAAAGCGTGACTTAACATGTTTCCTCTCATCATACGCGTCTAGTCATATTGCAACAGAATCACTTCAAACCTTTCTTTTAATTACTGTTTTTATTTTGGAAAACCTTTGCTTTAGATAATTCAACGAGAAGGTAAACCAACACTTTCTTCGTTACTGTTCTCTTGGATGATTGTGAAGCACAAATTTTACAACTAACTTATGTTACTCCATTAGGTATCTCCACCTCAAAAATTTATAATAGCCTGACATATAAATTCCGTGAAAATGTCACATTATTCTTTCAGACTCTAATAGATGCGGAATCCAAACTTTAAAGGGATAGTTAGTTTTCAGACCAAATTTGCCTTTTGGATCTTGTAATGGTTTGTGTTCGTTTTGGTTGTATACAAGTTAGTTAACATTAAAACAGTTAGTTAACATTAAAATCTTAACATTAAAACCAAAAAAGTTAGTTAACAGTAGCCAACAGTAGTTAATATACATTGGTCAGCCCAATAAGGTTGGACGCAAACGCTATTTCTATCAATTAATAGCGTTCAATGGGTCATGGGTGTTATTCAGGTGATCATTCGGTTAATCAATCGAAAGATCAAATCTCTTAAAGTATATATGTCCAATCAAAAAGTTAATATATCGTACGCAATCAAAAAGTTAATATATCAAGAAAATATTACTATTTGTATAATAAATTTCATTCAAGAACAAGATACAGTTTCCGGATTCGAATACTTTTTCATCATATATGTATAGGTAAATCTGAATTACGTTTTCTTTTTGGCACAATTAAATTTGGAAAATATGCAGATTTTGTTGGGTGGAAAGTAGATAACAATTAACAACCTTTGAGAAGTAAAACACTGTTCTGTCTTAGACACGTGTTTACTAAAGACAAAAGAATCTCGACTTCTCTGAGTTCGCCCAGATTTTGTTGACTCTTTGACCCAAACATAAATCAACGGCTTCAGACTTTTACACGTGTTAAGCATTCAAGTCTAATTATCTGTGTCGGATTTTGATTGGCCCGAAAAAGGAAACAGCAAAAAAAGGTAATAAAGAGAGAGAGCTAAAGAAGAAGGAGGAAGAAGCAAAAGAGCGCTCGAGGTGGGAATTCCGATTGCTGGGTTTTGTTGCCCTTTTCTTATCTCGTCCGCTATCACCGGTGTTGTTTTGATTCTCCGGCGAAGTCCCGGAGACTCCGCGATCTCAGGGAGATTGGTGTTTTTTTAATTTTCATCAAGACGCGATGATCTCGGCGAAAAACGGAGCTGCGATGATCTCTCGGCCTGTGTTCCTTTCGGATCGAGTTGATGAAGTTTTCTCCAGAAAGCTTGATTTGTCGGCTTCTTCTTCTTCGTCCTCTTCAACTCTCCAGCACTTCAATAAGTCTCATGAAGGTTCCTGATTTGTCCCCAACTCTTTCTCTCTCTCTCTCTCTCTCTCTCTCCTTTGTGAATTGCTTCTTCACAGTTCAATTTTCCTGATTGGTGTTTAAGTATAGTTTTATCCAATAATTTGATTATGGATTGCTTGTTCGATCTAGTTTTCCTTTTCTAGGTATAATTGGTATGACAAAATTCAAAGATCCCGAATTTGGTGAAATCAGAATTTGCTTTTCTCTTTCAACTTTTGGGGAATTCTATAATTGGGCGAGCAAAGCTACTTCCTTTGGTTATTTGGTGTGTTCGTTTTAAGATAAAAAAAAAATGCTAATTGCTTTTTGGAGAATGTCACTGCTACTCATTAGCCTAGCTATCTGCGTTTTTGTTGCTGAATTATTGTAAATTTTTGTGTGCAGCTGATGATGACGCACGCTTGTCTCTTGCTCATCAACTGTACAAAGCAGGCGAATTCAAGCAAGCCCTGGAGCACAGCAACATGGTTTACCAGAGAAACCCATTACGCACTGATAATCTTCTTCTTATTGGTGCTATTTATTACCAGGTGCTTACTTTTCTCCTTTTCTCTTCAGTCATTACTCTTTTTTTTTTTGAATGAACGTGTGGTTAAACTTTATACTAAATGCTGTGCAGCTCCAAGATTATGATATGTGCATTGCTAGAAATGAAGAAGCTCTTCGTATTCAACCTCAGTTTGCCGAGTGTTATGGAAACATGGCAAACGCATGGAAGGTGACTGGCTTGGCCTTTGCTTCACCAGTTGGTTATTATTGCCAATAATAATTAGTATATTCTTATATCTGTGATCTCTTCTTTCCAGGAAAAAGGAGACACTGATCGTGCAATCCGCTACTACTTGATTGCTATTGAGGTTGTGCTATATCAAACCCTATACGTTTTTGCTTCAGATTCCCCTTTCTAACGCTTTCTTTTCAATCTAATTCTCAGTTGAGGCCCAACTTTGCCGATGCTTGGTCGAATCTGGCTAGTGCATACATGCGAAAGGGAAGACTCAGTGAGGCAACACAATGCTGTCAGCAAGCCCTCTCATTGAATCCGCTTCTGGTATTTGACACTCTTTTCACTGTTTCTGTCTCACTTCTTCGCTGAAATTTTACTGTTTCTATCTTCTTTGGTTCGTCTTCTCACCTGGTAATGTGGTTTTTTCCTAGGTTGATGCACATAGTAATCTGGGGAATCTAATGAAGGCTCAAGGATTGATTCAGGAAGTAAGACTTCTGAACTAAACTCTTGTGGTCTCTTGTTATGGATGCGTGTTCTGTTCTTACGATTGATTGATCAAAGTTTCTTCATTGCACAAGAACTTGTAACTGAACCAAAAGAACAAAAAAGATAAAATGGAAGGTAATGTGATGCTAGTAATCTAGCGTCACATGTGTAGCCTGTTTACTGGTTTTTAACAACTGCAATTACTGATGGACGCATTCATTTTTTTCTGTGTTGTAATGTGTCGTAAATCCACAATCAATACAGACATCAAGTTGTTACTGAAAGGCAAGCAGGGATGATCGTCAGTCTTATTGTCAGTATCTTCTGCCAGAGTCCAAATTGTCAGAAATGTAATATTTTGTGCAGGCATACAGTTGTTACCTTGAAGCTGTTCGCATACAACCAACGTTTGCTATTGCGTGGTCTAATCTTGCTGGTCTTTTCATGGAGTCAGGTGATCTCAATAGAGCCCTTCAATACTACAAGGTATGCTTCATTCTGTCCTGGGAAAAACCGTGGACACAATGGTCTGTTTTGCATATTTTTGTGCCAGTACCCTCTGTTTTTCTATCCACTTGAGAAATTTTTGTCAGAACCCTAATGTAAAAAGGAAAACACTCTTAACATATAAATTATGAAAGCCTTAACTTATCAATCAAGTAAAACACCAAAACCCATTAACTAATAAAGCCCTATTCATATCCTAAACCCCTAACCATAGTCACGTATCACAAATCTATCTTGTTATATAATATGATGAAATTGAATGAAATGTGGAGAATTTTTAAATTATCTTCTACATTTATACAGATGGGAAATTCAAGTTTTTTTTTTCTCCTTTTCTGATAAGACTGTTGGTGTTTTAACTATGTTGACTGTTAATGCCCCAGGAAGCTGTGAAGTTGAAACCTGCATTCCCTGATGCATATTTAAATCTTGGAAATGTGTACAAGGTATGTTTACGTTCAGGATCAGTAGCTGAAACTTCACTGCAACAATGTATTGTGGACAGTATAAGAACCAAAATTTTCTGTCTTCTTTGTTTATAAGGCTCTGGGGAGACCTACAGAGGCAATCATGTGTTATCAGCATGCCTTACAGATGCGGCCAAATTGTGCGGTGGCATTCGGTGAGTGTAATTTAAGCAAGTAAATGCTTAGCTGTAATAAAACTCAATTGTTCAAGTAAATGTGCGATGTCTTTTTCATAATTGAAATTTAACTACTTAATGCAGGAAATATAGCCAGTATATACTATGAGCAAGGTCAGCTAGATTTAGCAATTCGACACTACAAGCAGGCTCTCTCCCGAGATCCACGTTTTTTAGAGGCTTACAACAATTTGGTTAGCATCAACAATACATATTATGTGGGTTTTGTGGTCTATGAATTATATTTCTCACATATGAACTTCTTGCATTTGCAACTTGAAGGGTAATGCGTTGAAGGACATCGGTCGAGTAGATGAAGCAATTCGGTGTTATAATGTAAGTGTGGTTCCTACTTTAGGCTTGCTAATGAATTGGCACATTACTAACAGACCTGTGGTTTTGCAGCAATGTCTTGCTTTACAACCAAATCATCCACAAGCAATGGCCAACCTTGGAAATATATATATGGAGTGGTATGGCTCTTTCTTGATTCTTACTAGATACACGATATTATAATTTAGCGGAACTTCATGTCACAACTTTGAACAGGAACATGATGGGTCCTGCTTCCTCATTATTCAAGGCTACTTTGGCTGTAACGACAGGGCTATCTGCTCCTTTCAATAACCTTGCAGTGATCTATAAACAACAGGTGGCTACATGCTTCTTTACCAATATTCAATCATTCATTTTTGGACTCTTGAAACATGTTTGACGGATTTTGGTTGTTTTCTCCTCCTTAACTACAGGGAAATTACACGGATGCTATATCCTGCTATAATGAGGTTCTTCGTATTGACCCGTTGGCTGCTGATGCTCTTGTTAATCGAGGCAATACTTACAAAGAGATCGGGAGGGTAACTGAAGCCATTCAGGATTACATGCATGCTATTAATTTCCGGCCTACAATGGCTGAAGCTCATGCAAACCTGGCCTCAGCTTACAAGGATAGGTATCCATCCTCAGTGTGTTGCATTTATAATGTATACCAGACACATGTTTAAATACCACCTACCCAAGAGCATTTAAGTCGTAGTAGACCAACAGTACAGCACTGGCCATCTTTTAAGTGCATGTGTTCTTTTTGTGTTGATGTATTTGTTGGACCGTCTTCATAAGCAGTGGGCATGTGGAAGCCGCCATAACGAGCTATAAGCAGGCTTTGCTATTACGACCAGACTTCCCAGAAGCAACTTGCAACCTTCTGCACACCTTGCAGGTAAGAATTTTCCGTCACACGTTTGATATGATGGCTTCTGTCTCCGTTTCCTGGTTCTTAGCAACACCAGTCGTTTCTTCCTAAGTTTATTTTTATTTCCTGCTGCTGTACCAGTGTGTCTGCTGTTGGGAGGACCGCAGCAAAATGTTCTCTGAAGTTGAAGGCATTATTAGGAGGCAAATAAATGTAAGTGTATATGCCACAAAAAATTTGGTACTTTTTATGCTATTACAAGAGTAAGAAAGTAACATGTCGTATTGTGTCTTCAGATGTCGGTCCTTCCAAGTGTCCAGCCCTTCCATGCAATAGCATATCCTATCGATCCTATTCTTGCCCTTGAAATCAGGTTTGAAGCTGAAATTCAAAACTAATACTTCTCATGAAAATACATGTTTATTTTCCTGTTCCTTATAAATCCCCCTATATTTTCCAGTCGTAAATATGCTGCACACTGCTCTATCATTGCTTCCCGTTTTGGACTACCTCCTTTTAACCATCCAGCTGGGCTCCCTGTAAAACGTGAGGGAGGATATAAGAGATTAAGGATTGGATATGTGAGCAGTGATTTTGGTAATCATCCATTGTCACACCTCATGGGATCAGTGTTTGGGATGCACAACAGAGAAAACGTTGAGGTTTGTATCTTGCATTTGGATGCTTGTTGATTCATCTCTTAAGGATCTCAGCAAAGCTAATCAATTGTTTACAGGTGTTCTGCTATGCATTGAGTCCAAATGACGGTACTGAGTGGAGACAGCGTACTCAGTCAGAAGCTGAGCATTTCCTGGATGTTTCTGCCATGTCGTCCGATGCTATCGCCAAGACTATAAATGAAGACAAAATCCAGATCCTCATCAATCTAAATGGTTACACCAAGGTATGCTCAGAAAATTTCCGAAATTTGTTTACTCTTGAGCTGTAACCAACTCCATGGGAGTCTTTTTGGTAACGGTGCTTGGTTTATTAACCTATGCAGGGAGCCAGGAATGAAATATTTGCTATGCAGCCTGCACCTATCCAGGTTTCGTATATGGGCTTCCCGGGTACTACTGGGGCAACCTACATCGACTATTTAGTTACTGATGAGGTTTGCAACTGAACTAATCTTGACAACAACAACAACAAAATTCAGAACAATGTTCTTCATCTACCTTTTTTCTTACCGTTTCTCTCTTTTCCTTTTCAGTTCGTGTCTCCTCTGCAATATGCACATATTTACTCAGAGAAGCTTGTCCATCTTCCCCACTGCTACTTTGTCAATGATTACAAGCAGGTATGTAACGTATGTTGTCTTCCATCAATTCCCTCAAGTCTTTATCATGGTATTGGACATTGATTCGTTTTGTGTTAGTTTTGACTCAATTGTATAAATGCTATCTGCAGAAAAATCAGGATGTGTTGGATCCAAGTTCTAAGCCCAAGCGATCTGACTATGGACTTCCTGAAGACAAATTCATATTTGCATGCTTCAACCAACTGTACAAAATGGATCCTGAGATCGTCAATACTTGGTAACGTTTTGAGTTTGTTTGGCAATTTATATGCTCGGTAGAGATGTAATTGCATTTCAGCGAAATGATTTGTGCTTTTTTTTTGCCATGAAGGTGCAACGTTCTTAAAAGAGTACCCAACAGTGCTCTTTGGCTTCTCCGTTTCCCTGCAGCTGGAGAGATGAGGTTTCGAGCATGTACGTGTGGTTACATTCCCATTGCTTAGCGTTTCCTTGTCCTTTCTGCTTTCATCACTTCTTGTAACACTTCTGTCTGACTGTGTATACAGATGCTGCTGCCCAAGGTGTGCAGCCTGATCAGATCATCTTCACTGATGTTGCCATGAAGAATGAACATATAAGACGAAGTGTCCTTGCAGATGTAATCCTCGACACGTGAGTTCTTTTCCCTCGCTAATAACTCATCTCTACTTCAATATAAACATATCTCAAAAGCAGACACAAAACTCATTCTGCCCCAATTTTGACTCCCCTCGTGCTGTCCTTAGGCCTCTGTGTAACGGACACACTACAGGAACAGATGTGCTGTGGGCTGGTGTGCCAATGATAACACTACCGCTAGAGAAAATGGCAACTCGAGTGGCTGGATCACTCTGCCTGGCAACTGGTCTGGGACATGAGATGATTGTTAACAGGTGAGAGAATGTTAACATTTGTGCTTTTGTTCTGTATGATGAGAGATAATTCATTATAACCGCGTTGTGAAATCAGCTTGGAGGAATACGAAGAGAAGGCAGTCTCTTTGGCGCTGAACAAGCCAAAACTTGAGGCACTGACCAAGGAATTGAAAGCTAGCCGCTTAACCTGTCCTCTATTCGACACCATGCGCTGGGTTAGCCTGAGAACAACACTTTCTGACTCCGTTCCTCTCTCTTCTTCCGGTTTACTTCTTTGTTTTGTTCTAACCAATTAGCTTCCTTTGGCTACATTACAGGTGAAGAATCTAGAGAGGTCATACTTCAAAATGTGGAACCTCCATTGCTCTGGGAAGCAGCCTCAACACTTCAAAGTTATTGAAAACGACCTCGAATTCCCACATGACAGATAAAAACAACAGAAAAGGGAAAACAGAAAACACTCGGCATTGTATATATAATCCGAAGAGAATTAGTACTAGCAAAGATTGATAAATTATCAGAGTTAGAAGATTGTTATTGTCATAAACTCATAATTATTGAGCTGTGTACTATAAATAGAAACTGGCTTGTTTTATCAACTTTCATATCCTAATATCATTCCTCAGTCGCAACTAAACTATCAATAAATCGAACTCTTGCATACACTACAACTTCAAGTCTTTCCATTTCTCAAATCAAACGTCGTTATAGAGTAAAAAAAGTAAAAAACTCTAAACACGCCAAATTTTCTATTATCTAACCTAGTCTCTGTAAATATAACGGCCCATTGTTACCAAGATTGTATGGGCCTTTAGTTTTCATTTTAGCCCATTTTCATATCTCTACCTATAAAAGCTTCTGCTTCTCTTTCGCCACCTTGAAATTAGGGTTTTCTCCTTATAACTCCGTTGTGGCTGCAGGTAATCACCGATCCATAAACCCTAGCAATGGCGTCCAAACCAGCGGCTGAGTCTGTGCAATGCTTCGGGAGGAAGAAGACGGCGGTTGCAGTCACCCACTGCAAACGCGGATCGGGTATGATCAAGCTCAACGGTTCGCCGATCGAGCTTTACCAGCCTGAGATCCTCCGTTACAAGATCTTCGAGCCAATCCTCCTCCTCGGGAAACACCGATTCGCCGGAGTCGACATGAGGATCCGTGTCAAGGGTGGTGGTAACACATCTCAGGTGTACGCAATCCGTCAGAGCATCGCCAAGGCCCTCGTTGCTTTCTACCAGAAGTACGTTGATGAGCAGTCGAAGAAGGAGATCAAGGACATTTTGGTCAGGTACGATAGGACTCTGCTCGTGGCGGATCCGAGGAGGTGCGAGCCGAAAAAGTTCGGTGGTCCCGGTGCTCGTGCTCGTTTCCAGAAGTCTTACCGTTAAAAATCTGGTTTGGGTTTTTCTCTCGACGTTTTGGGAAAAATGTGTTGAATTGTGAGACCTTTAGTTTCTCTTTTGCAATTTTTATTTTATGGTTATTGGATTCTGGTTACTCGCCAAAGAACTTATGTTTTTCCTACAATGGTTACTATTTTAAATTATCGAAATGTTCTCAGATTTTTGGTTCTATCTCCATTTTCATCTATTTGCTATGTTTGATGAAATTGATAAATTGTCTGCCTTAGTCATGCTTTTGTTACGTACCTGGCTTGTAGTTAGGAGTTATGATCAAGGTCTTCTGATGGAACTTTTGATTGTTGATATTCACTTTATTTCTCACTAGATAAACGATTGATGTGTGTGATTCTGCTTTAGAATTTGTATGTTGTCATGTGTTATGGAGCTTAGGCCTATGATAATGATTTAGTTTAGATGTATGAATTGAACTAAGTACAAAACTTGTTTGCCTTTGTTTTCGTTGATTAATTTTGATTCATTGGAACTCGTTCTTGAAATGAAAAACACTGTCAAATTTGTAGGAAGTAGAGAAGCCATTGGTCTTGAGTGATATGTTCCGATTTGTTGAACTTAAACCCGAGAATGATTTCATTTTTCTTGTGATGATGGATTGTTCTTCTTTTAACTTGGCTTATTTTCGCAATCATTGAAACCATTTTAGCCTTTTGTTTCGCGATTTTTAGCAAAATTTTGAGCTCCTTTAGATTACAAACAAACGAAACATTGTTGCCCTACTAATATTGTTGAAAATTTACGAGACACCCAAACAATAAACCTAGATACCATGTAGTCGATTACGAATAGATACATTTTGCCATTCCGGTTGATGTGAATTCTCTATTAGTAACAAATGACGATATTTCGACCGTAATTAAGGAAATAGAATATGGACTGTATAGAAAACTAATGGGCCTAACTAAATGGGCTTTGAATCCGAAACATGAAATGTACCGAAAGAAAAAGTTCACAACGTTTTCTTTCAAACTCTGCGCTTTCGCCTGTGAATTTCTCCGTCGCCGGATGGATCGAGCACCGTCGCTTCCGCACTATCAAAACCCTCACCCGAATTTCTTCCACCAGTGTCCTCCTCCTCCATACCCTAATCCTACTTTCTTCTCTCGACCTCCTCCTCCTCCTCTGTTACAAAATCCCAACACTTACCCCATCGCTCCTTCTCCGCCAACGATTCGCGACCTCTCCGGTACACTCTCCTCTCTACAGTCCCTATTATCGGAATGTCAACGCACCTTAGATTCTCTCTCTCAAAATCTATCTTTAGACCACTCTTCTCTTCTCCTCCAGAAGGAAAATAGCGGCGGTTTCGTTCGGTGCCCTTTTGATCCTAATCACCTTATGCCACCGGAAGCTCTCTTCCTCCATTCACTTCGTTGCCCAAATCCAATTGATCTCACTCACCTTCTCGGTTCCTTCAGTAGCTACCGGAACACGCTCGAGCTACCGTGTGAAGTACAGTCGAACAACGGCGACGGTGGTGACATTTGTTTCTCCTTGGACGAATTCACCGATTTCGAGACTAATTTCTTCTACAAGGATTGCCCAGGTGCTGTGAACTTCTCTGAGCTCGATAGAAGAAAACGAATCGTTACTCTTCCTAGTGTTCTCTCTCTAGAATGCAGCGATTTTGTAAGGTCTGATGAAAATGAGAGAAAGAGTATGTTGGACAAATGGTTAGTGGTTTTACCATCTGATCTCTGCGCAGTAAAGAGTGAGATTGATCAATGGAGGGATTATCCAATTTCGTATTCCTATAGTGTTCTCACTTCGATTCTGGATTCAAAATCGATTGGAAAGAGCGAGTTTAGCTCATGGATTCTCGTGAATTCGACGAGGTACGGTGTGATAATCGATACATACATGAGCGATCACATATTCTTGCTCTTTCGGCTCTCTCTGAAAGCTGTTGTGAAAGAAGCTTCTGGGTTTACGGTGGAGGATAATATGAGCTGCAGAAGTAGAAAATTCGAGTGTGCAGTATTGGTTCGAGTGTTGTCTTGGTTAGCTTCTCAGCTTTCTATCTTGTATGGAGAAGGAAATGGGAAGTTTTTCGCTCTGGACATGTTTAAACAGTGGATAGTAGAATCTGCCTCTAAGATAATGTTGTTTCGGCCAGAGAGAGTTACACCTGAATCCTCTGCAGTTCTCAAGGATTTGGATGATGCAAGCTTGAGTAATAAAGATGCTAAGAAGGTTGACAAAACTTTGGATAGTGCTGAGGTGATATCAGTGTCACGTGTTGCAGCAGCTGTGGCAGCTTTGTATGAAAGATCCGTGCTTGAAGGAAAAGCAAGGGCAATTCGATATCCTCAACCACAGACAAGATATCAGCGGTTGGTTAACTTGATTCTTTTGTCTATCTTTACAGTTTCTAATTAATATCCCCTGTAGTGTGTAAGCTACGTATCATGTTTGGATCTGAGTTTGATTTATCATGGTGTCTGCATCAATTTCTTAGGGTGGCTGAGCTTGGTGCTATGACAGCTAAAGCTGATGAGGAACGGAAAAGACGTCCTGGCTACAGAGCTATTATTGATCATGATGGTCTTCCGAGACAACCATCATCAAACGAGGTTAGTGCTAGATTATATCTTCTGTAACATTAAAGAAGTGAACATTACTGTATAACAGGTAGGGCACATTTATTGAAGGAACCGAGATTATAGAGTATATGTTGTATAACGTGTAGGAAATGAATAAATTGAAGACAAAAGAAGAACTATTAGCTGAAGAGAGGGACTACAAGCGCCGGAGAATGTCATACCGTGGTAAAAAGGTGAAACGAACGCCTCGAGAGGTTAGAAGCTGCTTCCTTCTCCCTGCTTATGAATGTTAAATCACAATCTCTAGTGTTGGAATGATTATTGTATATATGGATCTGGAGAGTCTCATTGAAACTTGTATGTAATTGTACAACGTTGTGGCTCTACTATGTCCTGTTGAGGCATTATGCAGACTTCTTTGAGTGAGTTTTCTCTGTTTTATTCTTGTAAGGTGTTGCGAGATATAATAGAGGAATATACAGAAGAAATTAAGCTAGCAGGTGGTATCGGATGTTTTGAGAAGCCGTCTTCTATAAGCAACAATCAGAAAGAAAGTGACTTTCGCTACAATACTGCATCATCGACATTATCAGACGCATCACCAAGATATTCTAAACAACGGAAAGGAGAGAACCGTGGAGATGTTGAATATCCGATGGAGATTAGAACCAATACTGATAAAAGGAAACGGTATGAAGAACATGATTCAGGTGGTTCGCGGAGACAGCAGAGCCACAGATCATCATCATATAAGCACAGTGATGAGAGAGATGATGAATACACAAGGAGCAAACGATATAGCGTTGAAAGGAAGAGTTCTTCTCATCATCAAACTACTCACAGATCATCTCACAGGAAGAGTTCTTCAGATTATAAGACCAAAAGAGATGATGATCGCCGCAGTCAAAGATCTAGGAATGAAAATGCGTTTGAAGATTGATTACGATCCAACAGAAAAAGAGTTAACCGAATAGAGTATACATTTTTTTTCCTGTAATTACATTGTGCAAATGTATTATGTATACGATTTATCCAAATAACAGAGAATGGAAAGAGTAGTTCCAAAGAGAAAAGTGTTCTTACATGTAAATGGGCTTTTACTTTATACAACAAACGAGAATTAGGTTACTTGTGACAAAAGCAAAGTGTGTATTTCAAGAAACCAAAGACATCACACGTTTGATACTCTGGTGACGAAGACGATGATCAGAGCCATTATTCATCTCAGAAGAACCATTAATGGCTAATCCTTTACCGCCGAAACACAAGTATCTGTTCATAAAAGATCCATGTTTCTTCATCGCAGATGTTCTTCTCTTCAACTCCGAAGAGACTGTCTGCAACGGTGATGAACAAGCCGACGATCGAGAGTAATCGGAGGCAACCGGAGGCGAAAACACAAACCTCGGCGATTCCTGAACCACCACGCCTTTCATTAACCCTTCTGTGAATTTCAATCTCACCGATAAACTCGGGAGATCGCCGCTCTCGGTTCTCATCGGAAACGCTCTTCCTCTGTTTCCGATTTCAGACGGCGATCTCGATCTCGAATACATTTCTCTGAGAGGAACACGACGATTGCTGTTATCTCTGGAGAAGCGCCGATTTTCCTCTGACTCCTCCCTCTTCGCCCACCGCAAAAGAAGCTTAAGACGCGCTCCTGTACTGCCGCCAAGGCGTTTGCGTTTCGAATGCGTCGAGATTTCGGTTGAGCACTCACTGATTCCGTCGAAACTCTCTCTCTCTGGACTTAACTCAGCGTTCGCTGCGGTCTGATCTGTTCTCGCCGCCGTGAACAAGAAAATCTCAGAATCAGATATCTCAAACGAAGTTCCAGGACTACCGCAGAATCCGTAACGCTCTTCCCTCAAACGCGAAACGTTTTCACCGCCGCTGGATCGCCCACCGGCGGATTTAAGCCGTTTGATCAGTAAATCAGAAACCGGCGTTCTCGGCGTTTGTCGTTCAAGCAAATCAACAGCAGTCATTCCATCCGAATCAACAACGTTAACATCAACGCCGTGGATTCTCAACAAACTCTCAACGACGTCAGATCTAACGGCGTTATAATTATCCATCACAGCTAAATGAATCACCGTTTTTCCGTAACCGTTTCTTAAATTGACTATCTCAGAAAAGTCAACGGAGCAGCTTCGTCCTCCTCCTGAGATTAACTTCTTCAAAAGCTCCATTTGCCGGTCTAACCGCTTAAAACCGGACGCAGCAAAACCAGACACGACCATGTGAAGAAACGTGTCACCGTCATTGTTGACGACGGAGATCAACGGTGGAGTTTCGTTTATAAGAGCCTCCACTACAGCTAAATGACCCTTGTAAGCAGCAACATGTAAAGCTGTGTTTCCAAGTCTGTCTTTAACCTCCATTATCGAATCATACTTCGATATAAGATAATTTACCACCTACATTGTATCAAAAAAGAGTCAATTCGTACATAAATGTGTGAATTAATGTGTAATAGTGAAGGATTATTTTGATTTATGTTCTTACTTTGATTTGACCTCTGCAAGAAGCAGAGTGTAACAGAGTAGAGCCAAAAGCATCTCTGAGTCCTGAAACGGCGTCGTATTTACCTGAGAGTAAAAATTCCTCGAGGATTGCCACGTGTCCGCCTCTGGCCGCACTGTGGACCCCTCTTTTAACCATCTCCTCCTTTACTATGAATTGTCTCTCCGTTAGTTTCTCGCCTTCGGTTTCTTCGACGCCGGCGATATCAGCCGGCAACAGAGCGAAATCCAGAAGAAGACGGAAAACGTCGTCGTTTCTACCTCGAGCCGCCGCGTAGAGAATATCCGTAACGCCGTATTCTCCTTCTCCGAACACGAGGAGCGGATCTCTCTCAAGAAGCTTCTTCACGAATTCCAAATCTCCTGCGGAAGCGGCGGTGTAGAGCAGCCAACCGCCGTAACCAGCTCTGATGAGGGAGTTATCTCCGTTTCCGATTTCGCACTCCTCCAGTAGCCTCTTCGCGACGCGGGAGCGGTTGAGCGCCACGTGGCAGTTTTCTCCGTCTCCGTCGTCCCAGACGGTTTCGAGGCGGCGGATACGACGGAGGGAGGTGAGTTTGACGAGGAGGTTTGTGTCTTGGTGAAGCAGCTCGATTACGACGTCGTATAGACCATTTGCCGCGGCGCAATCGATTGGTGATGCGTACCACCATTGGTCTCCGGTGCTTTCCCACCGGAGAGGAAATATCGGCGGTGGCATTTCCCTTTGTCCGGTTTAGATAAATAACCGGATCTTTTTTTTAGTTTATTTTTGTAAACCAAATTGAAAGAATTTCAGAAGAAAACAGAGCAATATGGGAATGGAATTGAAGAAAACAGAGGAAGTAGATTACAGAGATCAATTTGAATGGTTTGTAATAAACGGAGACTTTTTACTACGAAAGCAAAACGATGAAGCAGAAGACAACAAAAAGAAGAAGCTTTGGATTGTGCTGTTGTGGCAAAGACTGAAGCTTTTGTGTATTTTTACACAATAATATAAGATAAATTTTGTTTTTTGGTCGCATAGAAAATATGTAGATTCCATTCCCGTGAGTGGACCATATCCGATGGGATTTATTGTTTTTTTCTAAATGAAAAAAATCCTGAAAAGGTTTGCTGTTTATCCTAAATCTTCTGAAAAGGCTGTTCATTTTCCAGATAAAGAATCATGTGAAAGAATTTTAAACTGTTGCAAGAATTTTCGTTTTGCTTTCTCGAGAGTAGTAGACTAGTACTCCTGATAGGAGTAGTACATATCAGAAGAATCCTGCTTTGATAGTTTCTGTTAAGAAAAACAAAATTAAATTATTTTTGTATGTGGTAGCAGAAATGATTAACAAAGCTCTAATTCGGATAAGAAGAGGAAGCAATAATTGAATGATAATGTTTCATCTAATTAGGCACGTTGTTCGTTTGGTTGAAACCGGACGTTGAGATATAAACATTATAGTAGTAGGTTTGTACTTTCAGTACATTATTAAATCGACATGTAAACAGAGGAGATTCGTTTGCAAGTAATCGACATTAAATGGTTCTAATCTCTAAACAATCTCAATTTTGATAAAAAAAATTATCAGAACAAAGAAATAAATAAAATGCCCATTTGTGGTGACTAAAACTCGAGGGCCCATATAAACATAATAATATCCAATCAATAATTCAATAAATGTGCATAATGATTTGTACTTTTGTAGTTAAAGCTTAACAACCATCATTATGAGATTGAAGAAGACTATTCAATTTTATAGTTTTAAAAAATCCAAAAAATATATTTTTGTTTTGTTTTGGTGATATGGATCTACGTTTCTGTCGGTGTGGAGTGTGGACGCATCCAAACCCACATGTATATGTCCATAAACTCCCATAAATTATACTGAGATGAAGAATCCGGCAAAACTATGGATCTTGAGACGTTACTAAAAGACATTTCCAAATTATGCTGAGATGAAGAATCCGGCAAAACTATGGATCTTGAGACGTTACTAAGAGACATTTCCAAACATTTGATTGCCTAACCTCTTAATTCTTATCATTATGATTGTGTAAGGATCAATCAACTCCAAAGTTAAAAATAATTTTAACAACTCTATGACCATAATACTTCTTCAAACCTACACTACAATGTGATTGAATGAAGATGTTGTGGGCCTGTTTACAGTTAAGCTCGATAAGGCCCACATAGCATATCTCTGGCTCAGTTACCAACTTCAATTTTTGCTGCGCTGGAAGGAAAAAACATCAAAGACGAATCGAAAAAGACGAACCGAAAAGGAAAAAAACTTATCACCAAAATCTCTCACAAACCCTAGACCAAGAAAGATGCCGCCGATTCCAAATCCACACATGAGATCTTGTATTCGCCGTTGTTGTGAAGATATAGAGTATGATGATACTAGTTGAATGAACAATCTATACACAGTCTAGTGGTCTTATCCTCTTTATGAAGAACTGAAGAGACCACTTCTCATCACAATTAGCACTCTCATTTGTGACGATTCAATCATTGTAATAATTAATATTACATCCGTAAAATTTATTATTGGATGTTTTGTAGTTTTCACATAAATTAAGAAACAGTTAATGTTTAATCATTAGTGTATTATTTTTCATTTTAAATAACTATTCCCTATATTCCTTAATATTTGATGTTTAAATTTTTTTTCTATGTTCTACATTGTTTGATGTTTTAGCTTTCTAAAATTATTTTTTGCTAATTAATGATAAAACATTATAAACTTTAAAAAAAAAAAAAAAACTAAAAGTATTTGAAAACTTGAATATTATTGGGTAGTGTTGATTAAAAAGTTTTAAGAAACCAATTCATTAACATCTTAACATTAAATGTTTCTTAATTTTTGTGAAAACTTACAACATCAAATATTATGAAACACATGGAGTATTAGCCAATAAAAATTATAGAGTTATCTTTTACATTTTTGTTGTATCAATTAACCAAAAATACATTTAATAATCTAAAACATCAAACAAGTAACTAATAACTTTCACTTTACAGGGGAGGTAAGTTTAACAGTCTTCATGATGTGCTCGATTCTCTCTGCAGACTCACGCATATTCCTCTTCTTGACCTCTTCCAAGAGCAACAAACAAGTCCTGTGCCTCGGCTTGATATCTTGACTAATCATCTCTTCGAAAAGGCTATACGCCCACTCACACATATCAGCTCTGCAAAACCTCTGTATCAGAAACGTATAAGTCGACTCGTCGAGGCTTAGCTCATGTTTCGTCACCATCTCTTTCAACAACCTCCCAACCTCAACCACATCTCCTCTCTTGAAACAAGACCTCAGCAACGGGTGGTAACTATGAACATCAGGATCACAAAGCTTCAAACTTTCCATCTCCCTGAGAACCTCAACCGCCTTCTCTTCCTCGTCTAAATGACAATACATAGCAATCATGGAGTTATAAGTAGACGTATTCATGACAACACCAAGCTCAGGCATCTCCACTCTGAAAACCCGCTCAGCTTCATCTAACCGACCAGCTCGAGCAAGCGTGTGAATCAAACAGTTGTAGAAGAGAGTATCCGGCTCACAACCGGATCTTCTCATCCTCGTAGCAACCCTTAAAGACTCCTCAAACTCCTTCTGTGCATTGAGAGAAGACATTATCGTAGTGTAAGTAACAGAATTCGGAGGAGAGCCATTAGCTTCCATCTCACTAAGAACCTCATAGACCTTGATGAAGTTAGACTGCTGGCAATAACACCTAATAACCGTCGTGTAGCTGATCACACAAGGACGAAAGCCGTGGCCTTTCATCTCCTGGATCGTCCAAAGAGCTTCCTCTACTCTATTGGCTTTACACCAACCGTGAACGAAGATGTTAAACGTGTGAGCGTTCGGGGTAATGTGCGACTTGAGCTCCAGCAAAATCGCTCGAGCCTGCTCGACTCTCTTCTCCTTGCAGAGCGTATCGAGAAGCAGATTCATCGATTCAGTGTTCTTCTCCAAACCGAATTCCCGCAATTCGTCGAACACCTTGACGGCTTCTTCCCATTCCCCTGCGCCAGCGAATCTCCTCATGATCTTAGCGATCGTATTCAATGTCACGAGCTTCTCTCCTCTCATCCTCTCCACGAACTCCCTCATCCGATCCCATTTCCTCGCCTTCCCGAGAATATCCACCGCCAAATCGAACGATTCGCTCGAATGTCTGTGTCCTTTACAAGACTCGGCCCAATTGAGAACCCCGAGCGCGGATCTCCAGTCGTCTCTAAACCTGTGGAGCAGCTTGTGAATCAGAGCGTCGGAGAGGTTTACTCTGTTACATATCTCATCGTTCGATAGACGATTGAAAACCTCGTCTTCGCTGACTCTATCGCCGGATCTAGCTACGATAACGTTCCATATTGCCTCTGAATCTGAAGATTCGTGAATCGTTTCGGGTAATCGCTCCGAAGCTGTGGAGAGATTCTCGACGAGCGCAGAGGGAAGAGCGAGATAAGCCCGAGGTTTAAGCCGTAACAAGGAGTTTCGAGTGCGATTCTGAACAAGCCTAAACATCAGACTGGGGAAGCGTTGTCGCTCGATATCGGAGAATTGCAGTGAGAGAAGAGAGAGGTAAGCGTAAGAGGAAAAAGACGCCGGGAAATCGAATTCGTACCTGAAAACCTCTGAGCAAAGGGAAATCGTGAAAACGACGACGGACGTAAGTAACCATCGGCTAGAAATGATTTGAAAATGGGCCCATTTCATGGCCCAATATCCCGAATTTAGCTTTTTTTATTTAAGTAATCAAATAGCTGAATTCGAACCGAAACTACGCAGAACCGAACCGAAGGATGCTCAATTATCTTCCGATTTGTAATGAAAATATTACACATTGGTGTTGGTTTCAGGCACTTTCAGCCTTTCAAGGATGGTTTAGGTCTGTATGAAATCAAACAAAATATGTCCTGAAAATTTGTTGCTCCAAATTGAAATATTAGTGAAATACAGTATATACATCCTAAGGAATGCAAGTTTATTTTGAAAATGAAACTTTCTCGTATTGAAAAGAGACTAATTGAGATATGGGAGAAATTGACAAGGTTATATCGGATTAATTCAAGTGAATGTATAATAGTTTTAAGACCACAATAACTTTTAAGTATTTTTCTAGGTTTTATTAAAAAACTAAATTCAAACATATTTTCAGAATTGGGAACAAAATTTTAGCAAAAAATAAGCAAAATATAAGAAAAAGTGTTGGATTTCGGACAATACGAATTTAATCAACGGACCATTGTCTTAATTATAAGAACATTAGTATTGTTTAACATAAACAACGATTAACACAACAATAGAAAAGAAAAGACCGATAAGATTATTAACAAACAATCCCAATAAATATTATTCGAATGACAAACAACAATGAATTTAACTTGCTTCTTTCCCATATCTCTGCAACGATCTTCTGGGTCAGAAATTCCCCAACGACCTCGTTGGCTTTGGCAGTTGTAGGCTTTGGTATGGAAAAAAATAAGAATAAGTGAAAAAAAAAACTTTAGAGAAGTTATAATTGGGAAACAGAGAGTAGTTTAGTCAAATATGAGTCCTTAATTGGGAACTGAGAAACAGAGGAAGAAATGTTATGAAAGTTACTAACACTAGAAATGATAGAACACTATTTTGATTGATCCAAGAACAGATAAATAGAGGTCTGGATTTATAGAACATTATTCTTTACCATAAACAAAGACTGACGACAAGAGAGATGACAAGGAGCAAACCCAATTAGACTAGTACTACTACTATACTAGCTACTTGAGAGACTTAATGACCAGTAAAACTACTAGAGTAAAATATTATCTGAGAGACTGAATGACAAACAATCTCGGTAAAACTAACTAATAGTAATTAAATAATATTATTTGAGAGAGACAACAAACCAACCGGTTTCGAGATAAACCAATGGACCAGCTATTTCTTGCTTGTTCCTCACGTAAGCAAAAGACTATCAACATATGTTCCAAGAAGGTTTCAGCCGTGTGAAATTCATCTAGAATCACACTCCTTCGATCTTCATCTTAAACTCTCTGAGATTTCGTGTGACTGGATTGTAATAAAAGACAACGCCAAGCTCCGTAGTACACAGCTCCTCCTTTACAAATTGCATTTGTCATTGAACGATAAGAATGCTCACACACGACCTGTCTCCAAGAACCCGATCCAAGCGTGTAAACTACATGCTTTCTGTGCTTCATCAAACATTCCTTGTTAACCTGAGAAAAGCAATCAAACCCATAAAGTCTTTCCAAACTTTGCCAAGTTCAGGTGTTTCCTAACGTAGGTATAATAAACAATGTAAAACATGCAACGGAAAAGTACTTCCTAATCTTAGCTAAAATACATATCAGAAGTAGCAGTTTATGAGATTCTGTGAAAACGAAAATGGGTTAAAAAATATATAAAGTACCAATCGAAGAAAGGAGAATGTCGTACTATCATCATGAATATACATTAATGTGTTCATATCCCAAATGTCTCGCTCTTCAGATTCTGCCCCTTTACAGAGATTGAAAGTCAATCTAATCATGATGATGTTTCATCGGTATGTTACTTCAATTAATTTCTGCGCATTTTAAATTCTTTACACCAGTTAGATTTCATGATGTTTTCCTCTTATTTTTTTACAGTCACTGGCTGAAGAAGCTGTTAGCATGTTACACAGATTCCTGTTTGAACAACAAGTGCAAGTCCGTTTTCGGTAATTTTCATGTTTTTTTCATGTGTACATATTTTCACTTTCTGTTGTTGTAGTCTAATCGTGAGGGTGAACTGGTGAAGGCTTCCAAATAAGCGACACGTCACACACATTCGACGCGAAGGCTTCCATGTAGACTCTTCTCCCCTTTGAAAATTTACTCGTCTCATCTTTGGAGAAATATTTGTTTCTTCTAAAATCTCTTTTAATTTACTTCTTCTAATAAGTGCATAAAACTCGGTTTGACGGAAATTTGAAGTTGTTATATTATTTTTGGCCAAAGCAAGGTTGTACTAAATTGGAATCATACTTGATAAATGGATGTCGAAATGTAATGAAGAGGCAAAGTGGACCACCAACCCCCACAAGTCCTTAATGTGTCATGCTTTTATCTATTTTCATCCTTTGTTTTATTTTATTTTATCGAATCAAAACGTGTTGTTGTGATTATTATTTTTATTTTGTGTTGTCTATATGTTCTTGGTTCAGATTAGTTTGATGGAAACTGGAGCTTTCAGACATAGATAGACGGCGAAAAATCAACCATGGAGATTTTTGAGCATCTAGCCTTTCGTACTGAACAAGGCACTATTCACCTTAAATAATTTCTTTTGCTTAAAACCTACTTTATTAATATTTTGATTACAAACGCAGAAGATTTTAAAACTCTTAAAGAACTTGTTACGGTTTAACGTCTAAATAGTTTACCAATCGAATTTTGGTATTTCTTGACACTTCAAAAATCTTTTTTTTTTTTTTTTCCTTTAATGGAAACTGGAGCTTTCAGACAGAAATAGCAAAAACGGCGAAAAATCTACATATTAATTAAGCATCTAACCGATCGTACTTTGTGACCTTTCAGTTTGGCCCTGACTGCGACGGGTATCAGATAGATGGATGATGGATCGCATATCGTATAAAGGTAATGGCATGCGAGTGTGCGACCTTTTGGCCATCACGACTGTTAATTATCAAACTTATTTTGACCTCGTTTTGTTGATTTTAGCCTGGCTAGTTTCATATAAAACTCCGATCCAATTTCTTTTGCTTTAAACCTACATTTTATAATTTTGTGAGCATCCTTGTCTTCTTCTAAATTCCACACTGTACTTGAAGAAGATTTAAAAACTCTTCAAGAAGTTGTTACTCTTTCGCATTGTTTTTTTAATACTCGGTTTTACGTCTGAAGAGTTTACCCAATTGAATTTTAGTATTTCAAAAACTGAAAAAGACAAAACTAAAACCAAATGACTAAAAGAGAAAGTAAGCTAGAAACTAGAAATCAGGAAGAAAGGCGAGGGAGCGGGTTTAGCCAGCGTGGGAGCACGAACTGTGAAAAGTAGAGAAAGTGATTACCACCGCCGACTAAAGTGGCTTTGGTATAAGCTTTATAGACGGAGTCCATATACTCCTTGCAACCGCTAAGTCTCACCAAGCAACCATCCATAGATCTATATAATGATCCCTCCTTGAGAAGACCATACTTGCGATTGCTAAAGTTTAACAAGACGAGTGCGTCCTTGTCCCTACTCCACAGGTATATTACGTCGTGGTACAAAGGATGCATGACCACGGGGAAATAATCGACACCGAGCCCGACCAAAGACTCGCACGAGTTGGTGTTGAGTTTCCACGACAGTCTCCACGAGGCGTTAGCATCATCATCACAGTACCTTCCCAGCCTCCAAACCATGATCGTACAGCCTCCATTATCATCGTTGAAAACGTTGCAGTACACAAGGAATCCTGCAGTGGTTGTGATTGTTCTCCTGAAACGTTCAAGTCCGGTCATACCAGGAAAAGGAATGACACGACACTCCTCGCCTCCCTTGTAGAAATCATAGCATGCAACATAATTCGAGTCCTGGTCGTTTTGAGACGCAGCAAGCCAGTGAAGAATCCCGTTCAGAGGAACCGAGTGCTCTAGTCTAGACCATATCATGGAATAGAGGCAACGCACCTTCTCTAGGGTTTCCCATAATCCTGTTTCAGAGGAATATACCAGAAAATCGACTTGTTTAGACACATTATGTGAGGGCAACACCCACACTACCTTGTACCCCACGACAACACCCTTCTCCATCTTCGTGACTAGTCCACTGTCGCTGAACACAATTCTTTTCTCCTGCAACCTCACCACATCATAACCTGAGAGATGCGGTGGGAGAGGGATTCGAACCCACTCTTGCAGCAACGGGTTTCCGACATGATACATTGGAGCTCCTTCCTCGGTTTCTGTGTAAAGCAGTACCAACCCATCCGCGCAGCTCAAGACCGAAGTTTTTCTCACTGTCGTCTCGGGGCTGTAGCGCATGAGCCAAGAGCCGAGAGAACTGGTCAGACCCCATCTCGAGCATCCGTGGTGTCCCACGATTTCCAGCGACAGTGTGGGGTTCTTGTTGTTCATGATCGACCACGACACGGACAGCCTCTTCAGAGACACGTAGAGATCTCGGAAGCAGTCCGAATCGATTATCGATTTCCATCCTTTGCACACTGATCTCAGTCTCGCGATGCCTCTCAATGGAAATCCAGCCAAGAATACTTTCACCAACACTTCCTCTGGAAGAGCCTCTTCCAATTTTATTTTTTTCGTCTCCATTCCAGATTTTCAGTTTTAGGGTTTCTCTTCAAAATTTTCTTCTTTTTATAAAGAAATATATTTAGATGAGTGTTATAGAAAGAGAGAGAGATGAATAGAGGTCGTGATGTCTTTGTTCCAATAGAAACGGTTCCTTATATAGCTATATACAGCTATATACAAAAGTAGGATTTTCCTTATATGAGTACAATAAAAAGGGATTTTAGAAGATGGGCCTAATAATGGGCATCCAGATAAACCCTTTTATAATATAGATGAATTTGTGTTATTTTTTATTCATCATAAAATGTGTTTTTATTAATCTTATAAGGCAATCACCTAGTAATAATACGAGATAAGATCAAACTAAAATTTGTGTTCATCCTAAATTTTGTATATCCTACATAGGTACTTATCAGGCCTAGGACCCATGATAATGATCAGCTAATAATAGAAGGTCCAAACTAGTATGGTACAAGATTGTTTCAATGCAACCAAAAACATTGTGTTGCACTCATGAAACACATTTTTTCTTTCAAATCTTTTTTTCTTTTCTACATTTCAATTATGTTATCTAGTTATTAGAAGGAGATTAGTATATATGTGGTTTGCTTATATCTTGATGTGGAATTCCTTTGTCGTCAAATGCTGAATCTTTCAAGATAAGTACAACGACAGAAATCTGCAAAAGATTAAAGACAAACTACGTAAAGTAAAAAAAAAAAAAAACACTAAAGATGGATTGAGTGGAGAAGATAAGCTTACGTGACCTGATATAGATGAATAGCTCCATTTTCATATGGTTAATATACAATCAAATTGGATTGAGTGGAGAAGATAAGCTGATGTGATGGTGAAGCACTGAAGCACTAGACATAGATTCTAACTCTTTCTCCATCTTCCTCTTATTTATTCTTTTTGTATTTTTCTATCTTTACGATAACTGAGGTAGGGTTGTGGTTTAATGGAGATATCAGCTCTTTTTAAACACTTAGAGTTGGCAAATACATATCTTAACATCTCTTTCTGTCCGTCTTGTCCTCCATATCTTTGCCACTCGAAGACCTCGAGAATGGTTGACAAACATGCTGGATTCCAGAACTCGGTGCGTTGAATGAAAGTGGGAAATCTTCATCTGACTGTTAAACAACATCAAGGTATGCATGTATGTAATTCAGTCGGCCCAATTAAGAACATCAAACAACAACAAGACTCGGCCCAATTAAGAACCCCGAGCGCGGATCTCCAGTCGTCTCTAAACCTGTGGAGCAGTTTGTGAATCAGAGCATCGGAGAGGTTTACTCTGTTACATATCTCATCGTTCGATAGACGATTGAAAACCTCGTCTTCGCTGACTCTATCGCCGGCTCTACCAACGATGACATTCCAAATTGCCTCTGAATCTGAAGATTCGTGAATCGTTTCGGGTAATCGCTCCGAAGCTGTGGAGAGATTCTCGACGAGCGCAGAGAAAAGAGCGAGAGAAGCCCGAGGTTTGAGGCGGAACAAGGTGTTCCCAATGCGATTTTGAACAAGCCAAAACATTCAGATTCGAGAAGCGTTGTCGCTCGATATCGGAGACTTGCAGTGAGAGAAGGGAGGTAATCGTAAGAGGAAAAAGACGCCGGCAAATCGATTTGTCCCTGAAAACCTCTGAGCAAAGGGTAATCGTGAAAACGACGACGGACGTAAGTAACTATCGCTGAGGACGGACTTGAAATGGACCCATTTCATGGCCCATTTAAAGCCCGAATTTGATTAAGCATGACCAAAACCAACAGTTACGTTTGATGTAAGTATTTGTTTTGTCATTATATAAGCATGATAACGTTTGGTATAAGCATTTGCACTTCAAATTTGCTAATAACATGACAATTGACAAAAACTATACTTATTCAAACGTTAACATATTTTAACTTTTGCAGCAAACCAGTCAAAGATTGCACTAAAAATTTGCTCATAAATTAATAAAAATGGAGGAATCTTAGAAATGGCTATTGCAAAGCAAATTGAAATAGTTAGTTACTACGAATGTTAAGATATGAAGAAAAACAAGCAATTACAATATCAAACGCAATGAAGTCTCAAACTAGTTATCAATTGAAATCATGCTTGGGAAAAAAGGTAGAGCGATTGCTTGGTGCCAAACTCGGTAATCACGCGGGAAACATATATCATAAGATCCTGATTCAGGATCATATATCGTAAGATTGGGATTTGGTGCACGCGCTTCATAAAGCACTAGTGCTTTCGTCTTCTTCAAAACCGCGACAGGAAGGACGCTCATAATGGTATGTGGGATGAACCCGCCAAACTGGAAATTTTCAGCGAACAAATGAGAATCAGTTTGTAGATCTAACGAAAACATTTTCTCCCATGTCATGTCTGAATTGTTTAAGGACCATATCTCCTGTCTTGGCCACTCCTTTTGCGATACGCACAGCTGATTATCCAGGCCACACATGATGATTTTATTGTGAGTTTTGTTGACAAACGGAGCTTTTGAGATTATGTGAAAAGTTTCTGTAGCAAGATCGAAAGATAACACTCTTGGATTTTCCCCGGTAGGTTCGTCAGTGAACCAGTGAAGCGATCCATCTAGGTATACTGGAATCTGGAAGTCAATCACACGGCGAGGAGCAGCTGTTACATAGCTCCAAGTGTTGGTGCTAAAATCAAAAACTTCACAAGTTGTCGTAGAGTTTTTTAGACCTAACTCCAATGAATTATACAGCCAAACCAACTTGTATGTGTCGGTGAATTTGTCTTTTCCAAATCCTAGCAACCAAAATGAGAAACCCTCTTCCCCCTTCCCACCATCTCTATTGTACACGTCGAGAGCAAATGCTTGGTACCTCGCTTGAGGAATTTTTCGACACCATCCAGTAATCGGATTGACCACATAAATACAGCTGTATTCATTGTAATAGCTTATCATACCGTCACATACTGAATATTGGATGACACTATAAGCCGGGTCGTCCGGACTGTTATTCAAATAAACTGGTTTAAGCGGAGGACCAATATTAGGAAGTTTAATCAACTCCGACGAACCCATCGTGAATATCCTCATTACATTTTCGTGAACTATACGAGTATTGGGATATTCTTGACGCTTCCATTCGTCATAACTAAGCTCAGATTCAAGGGGATTGGTGATAAGGACATCTGGATCTTGTGATTGCCGACTTATCAAATGTCTTTTCTTGAAATATGGAGATTCGATCGTAGATTTCCATTGTTTTGAAACAGATTTGAACCTGAGCAATGATTTTATCGGAAGTTTCTCTAAAATACAATCGACCATGTCATGGTGTAATAGTTCCATGATGTGACTGGTGTTCAGATTTCGTTTTCGTTTCTGTTTTATTTGTTTTAGATGAGTTTATGGTTGGTTCTTATCTTTTTTCTTATTGATATTTCATACATCTCATGCAGCATGCACTTATTTATATTTAAAAAAAAAAACAAAAAAAAACAGAAAGATATTAAATAATGTAATGCATTGAAGAGACCTATATAAACTTCTAAAAGTATAAATATATATATGTTAATCTTCTATCAGAAAATAATATTACTGTGAAAAATAATAGTTTAAAAAAATTATATCTACAAATTTAAGATCTGTCAATTATTCAACATCTTTAATTGTAGGTTAAATGGTTTATAGTAGTATGATATACAGTAATATGTTTTTTATAAAAGGTTTATTAAATTAATGGTTTATAGGAGAAATATATATAATCCCAACATTATTAGTTTATAGATATCAAATCTAAGTATGGTTGATGTTAAAGGCCTGCATAAATTAATTAAACAAAAATCGGATTACAAAACAGAAAAAAAAAATTAATTTAAGCAAAATGCCCAAATACTAAACCCAAATGGGGACCGGGACAGAAAATTTAATCTAACCGAAATGGGTTACTAACAAAAAAGAAGAAGAATAATCTTGTAGTTATGTAATAGGGAAATTGCAGTATATAGCAATAAAAAAAGAGCAAATTGAATAAACTAACCATATGAAATACATGGTTAGAGAATACTGCATATTTTCTAAAATAATGGCAAAAATAACCTTCTACTGAAAGAGAAAAGAAAGTGCATACCATGACCAATAGAAACCCACGAAGTAGGTTATGAGAAATATCAGAACTCAAGGGAATGTAGATTAGGGTTTCTGGGTTGATAGGTTGCAGTTGAAGAGGGGTTTACAAACAATAATCAAGAAACCAAAACTTGTAGTTTGTGTTTTGGTGTTCGTGTTCCATGAGATACCAAAAACGACGTCATCATCAAGTGTCAATTGTAGAGGAGGTTTAGTATCATTTACAATGGGCCTATGTCACATAAGCAAATATAAATTCATTATAGTTATTTGATTAAATTCGGTGCTCAACGTTGTTATCCATCAATATCACCACCGTAACAGGAAAGAAAGAGAAAAAAAAGGGTCTTAAGTTACTTTGGTAGTAAGTTTCTTTGTTGATCGGCATACAAATTTATACAAAGTGTTTTTCACTTTTTCTTTTATTGATACAAAACAAAAAAAAAGGTTTAAAAAGTTTCAACGGTGTCACATGTGTTCTTTCAACGTTAGTCAATAATATTTAATTATGTTTTTGTCTCTATTCCCCTCCATGATGCTTATTGGATGACAATTTAAGCAAGTCTTGTGGAGCTTATAATTCTAACTTCCAAGTGTGATTGGTGACGATTGACGAATTAGTTACTACAATGTGTAGTTTACCATGTTTTCTTACTAGCTATTATATGCCGAATATGCTGCATATAGCAAAAACAATATCTTTGCATAGTTTTAGCTTAGCTGTCAATATTTTTGTTGCTTGACTTCTTAAACAATGAGCTTTTAGAGAAACGATGAAGCTATGTTAGTTGATGGTTTAGCTTAGCAATAGCTTTACAATTAAAAAGATGATTAGAGAAGAGAAGGATTAGTGGAAGAAGTTGGTAGATGGAAGATGGTCGTTTACTCGAATCCAGCAATCACAGAAAGAAAGAAAAAAGAAGAATCTAGTAGTAGTGACTTAAAATGACGGATCCAAGTCATATAGCAACACGATCGTTGATCAAAATATAGTTAAAGGTTTTTATACGTACATTTTATTCCTCTGTTTCATCAAAAGGCTCCAATGGCAAGAGAGACAGAGTAGAGATCGAGAGGTATAAATAAATGTTAATAAACTTTACTCGCTTCTTTCCAATAACTCTGAAATGGTCTTCTGGGTGAGAAATTCACCGACCACTTCGTTCGCTTGGGCAGCATTGAAGGCTCGCCTCTCTGTCTCCATGGCAGGTTTCTTGTCATCCTTCAGAAGACCGACTATGTAGTTTCTGTGGCCAAGATCACGAAGGCCCTTCACCATATCCGGCCGTACCGTAAGTAGCACATTGTAAACGCCAAGTGTTGCTCGGTGGACATCCGGAGGAGTGACGCTTGGCTCGAAGAACACGGCCGTTGCTTCAACTGTCTTTGCATATTTCGTATAGGCAGCTTTAAGAGCGATGCTGGTGGGCATGATGAAAACGATAACTGGATCGTTGTTAGCAGCCATTTTGTTTTTTTTGTTTTTTTGTTTTTTTCTTCTCTAATGCCTTTTTTTTTTTTGTTGGACCGTTCTTCTCTGATGTGTAATATATAGGCACATATCAGATACTAGTATTTGCCCCATGCTATGCACGGGTATGGATCCACCTAAAAGAATTCCAGGTTAAAGATAAATTATTTAAAATCCTATTATTATAGTTATAGTAAAAAAGTTAATAAAAGTTATGTAATAATTTTCATGACAATCCTCTGTATCTTTCCTTTCTTCTTCACGAACAAGAACCATAACCACCGGCCTAAAAAGGAAAAGAAACAATTTGATTACACTGGTTCCAATCTCATTTCTAAGGATCAATCTTGATTTGTTATGGGTTAAGTTGACAGAGCTATATACTCTCTAGTTGTGCCTAATTTTTTTCTCTCTTCTCATGTATGATTAAATAACTTATGTTTTTCAATTCCAAGTACTTTTCAGTTTTGATGATGCAGTTACATCGGATTGCCTCTAATATATCAATTACATAGGAAATTAGCTCATCTAACTCGTATATAATTGACCCAAATGTGTTATCACATACATATCCAAAGCTGAGAGGAAAAATTGAGATGGATGCAGCTTCATTTCCACCGTTGACATCTTGGCTGAGAGGTATGAGAAGCCCGAGGTTTACGGCGTAACAAGGAGTTTCCAGTGCGATTTTGAACAAGTCAAAACATCAGATTCGAGAAGCGTTGTCGCTCGATATCGGAGAATTGCAGTCAGAGAAGAGAGTAGGCGTAAGAGGAAAAAGACGCCGGAATAGCGTGAAAACGACGACGGCAGTAATAAGTAACCATCGCTGAGAAAGGATTTTAAAATGGGCCCATTTCATGGCCCAAAATATTCAAATCAAATAGCTGAATTCGAACCGAAACCACACGGAACCGAACCGAAGGATGCTCAATTATCTTCCGGTTTGTAATGAAATATACACATGGTGTTGGTTTCGGGGACGGTTTAGGTCTGTATGAAATGGAAAAATGGAATCAAGCAAAATATGTTGCTCCAAACTGAAAAATTAGTGAGATACAGTATATACATCCTAAGCAATGCAAATTTCTTTTGAAAATCATCTGTAAAAGAGACTAATTAAGATATGTGAGAAATTGAAAAGTGTGTGACGAGAGTTTCGGATTAATTCAAGGAATGTATAATATTTTTAAGACCACAATACTTTTAGTATAGTTTTAAGTATTTTTCTAGGTCTTATTAAAATTTAATTCAAAAATAGTTTCAGTATTGGAAATAAAATTTTAGCAAAACATAAGCAAAACATAAGTAAAAACCATGCATTTTTAATATAATTTTGTTTTTGTATCCCACAAGATATGATAAAATGTATTTGATGTGCCTATATTTATATTTTTAGATGTATAGGTCTTAAAACAGGGTCTCCAAAGATAAGGGAATGAAAAATCTGAAAAACTCATAAATAACTCAATATATCCAAAGCCAACATAAAGTACATTCGGTAACACAACCAGTCTACAAACTTTTATTTAAAAAAAGGACTAATACAGACACCAACAAAAACAAACTTGAGCTCCACAAGTCAACACTTGCTAAACCTCTTTGCCAATTTGCAAATATATTGGAATAGAACAAAAACATATTTAATTCTTTTTTACTTTTTTTGTTAACATTGCGGGAAAAAGTGTCGCAGCGTTATAACTTTATAAAGTTTTAGCTTCTTTTGCTTCCAGTAATAATTTGGTACAAAGCCGTGACTTAACAGGCTTTCTCTCATTGTAAGAAAATCACTTCAAATGTAAATTAAAAGGAAGAACAATTAAAGTGCCCATATTTTGTACCAACAAATCTATTAGAAGATTGACGCCAAGAATTTATAATTCTCTTCGAATACCGTCGTGGTCTAGCCCTTCCTTCATGACACTTACCTCTAATTTTTTTTCTATATTTACTGTTAAACATGGTTATATACTGTAATAGTTGATTTAATATAGTTATCTCATCATTTATCTTTTTGAATAGTTGGTAGATTGAATTTTGGGAACAAATTATCATACGATTAATTAATATACGTTTTAAGCAAAACAATCAAAATATAGTATGAAACAAACAAAAAATAACTAGAGTTTAGCATACATTTGATTAGCAGTATCAAAATAGTAATATTTCCTTATCAAAAACGGTAAAGATATTTAGTAATTAATATAGGAGTATCAAAAGCTGGCCGTAAATGACTGATATGTTTGTATATTATTGAAAGAGTGATTGTAAATGGAGATGTTCACACACAACTACATGAGCTTATGTACTTAAACCGAATGAATTTTATTTGTGCATGTGTAATGTTTTATGCCTAATGCAAAGCGTCACCTTTCATTGTCGATAATGATACTGTCGACAGCGGTACATAATATCACTTTTCAAACCGGTTTGACGAAACACATTCTATTCTGATTTTTAGAGCAATCTTTGTGTTTTGTTGGGCTCAATTCGACTCAAATTATTATTTTTCTTGGACATAATTTAGCTTCCCAGTTCATTCCGATTGTGAAGAATTGAAGGATGATTTAGAAACAAATAAATTTGAATCAATATATCAAAAGCCAACAAAAGGGCAAATAAAAAAACCAAAAAAAGACAAAGGGAGTTCTCAATCTCAGAAATTTTATTCAAAAAAGAAAAAAAACAAGACAAAATCCAGACACGATTAAAAAAGGACGAAAAGTAAGACTAGCTCAATCCCACAAATTTAGATTTTCTTCCCAGATGCTTTTAGGCCTTTGACATGTGAACGATCAAGTCGATCACACGGGTACTGTAACCCCATTCGTTGTCATACCACGACACCAGTTTCACGAAGTTGTCGCTCAATGCAATTCCCGCCTTTGCGTCAAAAATGCTCGACCTGGACACAACACACACATCAGAAATCACACCTAGGAAGTTTGAATAATTTAAACGCTTGCTATTGATGCATAATTAGATATTGTTCAATTACCTGCTGTCACCAATGAAGTCAGTTGAGACAACATCATCCTCAGTGTAACCAAGGATTCCCTTTAGCTTGCCTTCTGATTCCTCCCTGTTTACAACAATGGTAATAATCCAATCACTTAGTTTGTTCATCTTATTAAGATATATGCTGATACAAAATTAACTGGAACCGAAGAGCTTACTTGATAGCCTTCTTGATTTCGTCGTAGGTTGCAGCTTTCTCGAGTCTAACCGTGAGGTCAACAACTGAGACATCAACGGTGGGGACACGGAAGGACATTCCGGTCAACTTTCCGTTGAGCTGAGGAAGCACCTTTCCCACGGCCTTGGCAGCTCCAGTGCTGCTGGGAATGATGTTGAATGATGCAGCTCTTCCACCTCTCCAGTCCTTCATTGATGGACCATCAACAGTCTTCTGTGTAGCTGCAAATCATCATCATATAAATCAAACCCTGTTTAGCTTCTAAGCAAACCAGCGAGATACTTAAATCAAAACTTGAGAAACTTACCAGTGATAGAGTGCACGGTAGTCATAAGACCCTCAACAATGCCAAACCTGTCATTGATAACCTACACAAAGAAACCCACAAAATCCGAAATAGGGTGAGAAAAATTATTCACTTTCAAAATCTAGAGAACAACAATGATTTGTGATATTATAAAGTTTTACCTTGGCAAGGGGAGCGAGGCAGTTGGTGGTGCAACTAGCGTTGGAGACAATGTTAAGGTCGGATTTGTATTCGTGCTCGTTGACACCAACGACAAACATGGGAGCGTCCTTGCTCGGGGCAGAGATGACAACCTTCTTGGCACCACCCTAAAACCACAAATTCACCAAGTTTCAATCAGTTCAAAGATCTCACCACATAACAATCATCAAATCAAAATCAAAATGAAACAAACCTTCAAGTGAGCAGCAGCTTTGTCCTTGTCAGTGAAGACACCGGTAGACTCAACAACGAAGTCAGCTCCAGCCTCACCCCATGGGATATCCTCAGGGTTCCTTCACAGATTCAAATCACATTCACTTGTGAGATTGCAATTCTCGTAGCAACTTTATACATACCGAGAAAAAAAAAAGAGAATCATCCGGAAGATGTATGTACCTGATGCCGAAGACGGTGACTGGCTTCTCGCCGAAGAGAAGGGTCTTCTCATCCTTGACCTTGAGCTCATTGTGTTTCCACTGGCCGTGAACACTGTCGTACTTGAACATGTAGGTCTGCAGCAATCAAAAACAGAGAGAGAGTACATCAATTACGTTGATCAAACTAGACCCAAAACAATCATCAGTCCCAATACATGATCTAATCAGAGCTAAATAGAGAGATCATCAACAGTTCAACACACTTGAAACACGCATGCAAAAAGGTGACACTATCGATACCATCCATATTCCAAATTCGACATAATCATCAAAGAGAACAGTGCGGCTAATTGACTCCCATCATCAACAGATCGACACGATATACACCAATCCAAGACGAAATCATCATCGAAGGAGGAAAACGAAAAAAAAAACAAGGCAAGAGCACTAACCATGTATTCAGTGGTGATGAAAGGGTCGTTGACGGCGACGAGCTCAACATCGTCTCTCTGAAGAGCAACTCTAGCAACCAAACGACCGATTCTTCCGAATCCTAGCGGTTACAGAAAAAAAAAATTCAAACGTCAGATTCCATAGATCTAGATATTCGAACGCTACTATACATAGATTAAATAAAATAATTTATCAATCGTATATACTCACCGTTGATTCCGATCTTGATCTTACCGCCGGCTGCAAAAAAGAACAACGGAGGAATCCGGAAACAATCAGATCAGAAAACGAAAATATCGTAAAAGAGATTAGACGATAACAAAAACAACGAAAGCAAGAGAGACTCACTCATTTTCGAATCAAATACGCTGAGAGAGAGATTGGAGATGAGATTAACAGAGAGGGAGAGATTTTAGAGTGTAATGGTGAGTGAGTGAGGTTCCGTGAAAGGGGTATTTAAGAGAGATGAGAACGTGGAGAAGAGGTCGGAAAGATCTAATGGTGGAGAGTTTTTCTTGGGAAAAAAGTCAGATCTGATTCAATATTTTCTTAAACCAAAATGACCGAATTGCCCAAGGACACGTCGCGCTATTTACCGTCGTCAGCCATGCCGTTTTGGCAAAATGTCGTCACCCCCTGACTCGTGTGATTAGGAAATAATTGAGGCGAGTCGTGGTGTCTGCGTCTCACGCGCTGTACTAGAATATTCTTAAAGAAGGGCTGGGTCGAGTCGCTACAGCTTCGAAACGCACCGTATTTGTAAAATGATGTTCTACGCTGACCAGTGCCTGGCTGCCACGAGTTCAAGAGAGGCAACGGTTTCAATATTCTAGAAGGTAACGCCCGACTAATAAAATTCAAATACATGTACTCTTTTTTGGTAAAGTATATTATATGATCATTATTTCTTTCATATGACCTCTCTTTTTTCAAAACAATAGAACTTTTCTTCTTTGTCAAGAAACTGTTGAATAAATTACAATTTCAGTATGTGAAATGTTCGACTTGATTTTCATGATATATTCCGAATTTTGCATATGAAATGGCGTATACTGAAAATGAGGAAAATGTTTTTGTCAAAAATGAATATGATTAGACTATTAGTTTTTCTTTTTTGTGTAAAAAATGATTAGATTATTACTCCTGTCCAAAAGGTTAATGGATTAGTTCGCAACTTCTTGCTTACCACCAAAAATATTAAATTTAAATTAGAAAATGCATTTAAAACGGAATTCAGAATACATATCGATCAGCTATAGAAATTGAAACAAGATGATGAATAGTTTCATCACATATCAGTCACCAATACTATAGCTAAATCTATTAAGACAACAACAGCAAAAGAAAAGAGAACAGGGAAATCAGCAATTCAAATACGAAGAAAGTAAAATCATGCACTTTGTTCATGCGCCGTCACAACCACAATGGCCACCACCGTCTTTCCCCAACTGTGACTGAGCCACGGTATCATGTAACTCGACAACCGTCTGGTGCCTCAGCTCCAAGTCCTCCATGCTCAAGCCATCCAGAGGAATGTTCCACCACATATTGTCTAACTTCTGTTCTTCTATCGATTCCATCAACATGTTTTCCATCTCCTTCAACATCGCAAACTCATCAACGCGTTCCACGTAAATTTTCATGAGCTCCTCGATCTTTTTTCTCTTATAAGCTTCAAATAGCGGCATGGTCTTGTTATCGTCCTTCGCGGACGGTTCTTGTCTTGAAGGGTTATTTAACCGGATAGCGACTTGGTTCATAGACGGATGTGAGAATGAGTAAGGCTTTCCGGCTTGAGAGTAAACCAAGAAAGCTGATTCCACGTCGCACAATGTACTGATCTCGTTCATCTTCTTAAAAATTCCGGATCTACGTTTCGAGAACGTAATCATTCTATCTCCGTAGGATTCAACCTTCTTTATCTCGATCTTTTGCTTTCCCTTTGTTTGTTTCTCCTTTGTTTGCTTCGTCGACATGTTTTCAGGAACGCGAAGTGTTTGATTTCTAGGAATGTTTAGATTTGGTCGTAATGAAACCATGGTGCACATGCACAATCTATTTATAGGAAAAGGAAGAGATATAATTACCATATCTTATGTTTTTGTAGACATTTAATGTTCATGAAGACTATGTATTTGACTAATTTACGGTTTTACAAATTTGACCAACAATTTTGGCAACAACTTTGGTAGTATAGTCAACAAACTGCTATCAGCTATGGTAATGCATTTGTTGAGCTTGTTGTCTAGTATGGCTGGTCATCACAGTGATTTCTGATCCAAACAAATTATGGGTCTAAACCTCAAAATATGTTATGTTACAATGAAGATAGAAAAGCCCACAAATCAATCAAAAATATTTCACATGTTCAAAATATATGATGTTCTAGAGATTTATCTTTGTATTTGAAATGTACGATATTTTTTGCATTTCTATGTCAATTTTAATTTTATTAGATCTTTTATAACTTTTTTTATTTTATCGTTTTCTCCCTTCTTGGTAAATTATTTTTAGTTATTCATTAGACAATATTTTCCGAAAAAAAAGTTTTAATTTTTGTGTGTTTTTAACCAAAATATCTTATACTAAGTAGAAAGAATATATAATTATCTATGTTGTTTATAAAATAAACACGAACAAAATATAATAAATATTTTGTGTATTCTAAAACGAAGTTTAAAACACTGTTTGTAAAATAAACACTTGTCGGAAAAAATCCGACTAAAAATGTTTTAAAACTAAAACGAAGTTGTAAGTGTACAAAATTATATATTTTGTTGTCGGAAAAACTCCAAAACATATGAATATTTTTGCTGTAGGAAACCTCCAAAACATATGAATATTTTTGTTGTAGACTTAATTAACGATTAAAATTATTGGATGTATATTCCAAGATGTTACAAACCATCACAAGTTTAAAATTCATAGCTTGTTAGTAACAAAAAAGCCATTAAATTCAATGATAAAATACTCCATATTGAAAACGAGTTTCAATAGGACCACAAAAAGGAAGATGAAAATAATTACCAAGGAGTAATTTCTCAGCTAATATTCTGTAAGGAGTGTATTGGTTAGGTGAATCATTCAAAGATATCTTTGTTTTCATAATAATAAAGAAGGACCAAAAAAATATAAATCCAGTGAGGAGAAAATAGCTGTGACAATCTTCTGAAAGCCAAACTACCAGATCCCAAAAACAGTCACGCCAAAGAGAAGAAGAAGAAGATGGTGGGTGTTGTGAAGTCGGCGATCGGAGATATGGTGATGACCTTCTCTTGGGTTGTCCTCTCCGCGACCTTCGGTTTACAGACGGGGGCAATTGTCTCCGCCGGCGGATTTCAGGGAATCACTTGGGCGCCGTTGGCGATTACGACGTTTCTGATTTTCGTCTACGTTTCGATCTTCACCGTCATCTTCGGTGGAGCTAGCTTCAATCCTACCGGAAGCGCTGCCTTCTACGCCGCCGGTATCCCCGGAGATACCCTTCTCTCGTTGGCGATCAGATTACCTGCTCAGGTATACTCTCTAAGATGAGATCCCAAACATTTCGGAATTCTCTGGATTTGGAGTCTGACGTTTGGATTTGCACTTACTCTCCTACTTTATTGCTTTGGGTTTACTTCGTTTTACAGATTTTGTTCTATGCGAATTTGAATCTATCTGTGTATAAAAATCTCGATCTGTATAATATATGCTTTGGTGTGATTTGTCCCCACTGTGATGCCTCCTTTAGACTGGTAGAAGCAGAAATCGATTTTCTTGCTCAATTTTATCATGCATCGTTTGATTCAGTGAGACTGATCTTTCGTTGTTCGTATATTCTCTCTCACTTTGATCTGATTAGTTTGGTGGGGTTTGATTTTTCCTGTACAACGAGAACACAGAGAATCAGATTCTTTCCTTAATCTCTATACGTTTTTTTTGTTATCTTCTTCGTCGATCTTTCTTTATTTGTTCTTTAGCTTTTGCTTGTGTATCCATGTGTTTCTACATTATAATAAGGAGATTGAAAAAGCTGTTAATTGAAAAACATTAGTAAAGCTAATTTCAGGAAGGAGTAATTTGTACTCCTTGTGAGAATGTAAAAGAGCTTTTCCTTGTATTTCACTCAAATTTCTTTTCAATGATTCTTGATTCTTGGGATAGTGTTTGAAAACAAAATGAAATGTGAGATAATTGTGGTGATTTCAGGCAGCTGGTGCTGCAGGAGGTGCATTGGCCATCATGGAGTACGCGCCAGAGAAGTACAAGCATATGTTCTCTGGGCCTTCCCTTCAGGTTGATGTACACACCGGAGCTATCGCAGAAGCGATCTTAAGTTTTGGTATTACCTTTGCGGTTTTGGTTATTATCCTCAAGGGTCCACGAAGATTACTAGCAAAGACGTTCTTGCTCTCTCTTGCAACCATCACATTCGTCGTTGCTGGTTCTAAATACACCGGACCAGCCATGAATCCCGCCATTGTAAGTATACCAGATGTCTCATTCCTTTACGACATTCTTGCTGTCTTGGCCGATTAAAAGATGAATCAAGTTTCTAAATCAGTATTGTGTTTGCAAATGTAGGCGTTTGGGTGGGCATACTTGAACAGCGCTCACAACACATGGGACCATTTCTACGTCTACTGGATCAGTTCTTTTGTAGGAGCTTTATCTGCTGCATTGCTCTTCCGTACCATCTTCCCGCCACCTCGACCCCAGAAGAAGAAACAGAAGAAAGCTTGAGGATTAAACCATTCGGGAGAAGGCCGGTCAGATTCTTTACCGGTTTGGTCTGTAGAAAGATTCACAAGGCTTTTTCCATTCCAAAATAAGGAGAAACCAACGAAAGAATCAAAAGTCTCCTTATCATTGTTTTAAAATTTACGCATTGTTTATGGATTTGTGCAGACGTCATTATTCTCTGGTTTGTGCATAAATCATTCAGACTCTCTTTCTGTTCAGCAATAGTAGATTGTCAATGTTCTGGTTTAATTGGTTCTCTACGGTTAAATCTCTAATTTGGTTCTGAGAACAAAGAAATCAGTAGTCGAAGAGAAAATGTCTATAGGATCACAACTCGGTTTAGCTTGGTTTTCTTCAAATGTTCGGTTAATTCTCTCAAACCGAGTTAGCTGATTTACATTTGTTTTCTTAATATATGGTTTTTATTTAATTTTGTTTGAAATGTTTTGTCTAAACTTTTACACTAAAAATAAATGTAAATCAGCTTTTCGTGGATGTTACCCAACTATTTTCCGCAATCTTTTAAAATCATAAAACGTAACGTCTTTGTTTGGTCACGCAAATTCACGATTTAGATCTGTTGACAGAAGTGGAATTCGAAACCTGGGATCAATCCGGTAGCAATCGCACTTGCAATCGATCGCCGATCTGGATCCGTTAAAGGATCCGCCGCAGTCCTTGAAGACGTCGGCGACCTCCGCCACCGGCAACAGGATCCGCTACCGTTCGCCTTCCGCCTCTGAGCTACTGGAGTCAGGACTCGCCACTGGATTGTCCGGTAACCATTCTCCTACCTCCGACTCTCATCAGGGCCTTCTCTCTATCGACGGAGGGAAAATGACGACGAAGCGAGCCATCGGGCGACACGAATCTCTTTCTGATAAGATCCATCGGCACCGCGGTCTTCTACTCCTGATCTCGATTCCCATTGTGCTGATCACTCTCGTCCTTCTGTTGATGCCTGGGACGTCGACGTCAGTCTCAGTGATTGAGGAGTACACGTTGAGAAACCGCGACGGAGGCTCGAATTCGAGGGGTCCGAAGAATTACGCCGTCATTTTCGATGCTGGAAGTTCTGGAAGCCGCGTGCATGTTTATTGTTTCGATCAGAATTTGGATCTCGTTCCTTTGGGGAATGAGCTCGAGCTCTTCTTACAGGTATTGCATTCTTCGAAATTTGATTCATTTCTAGTGTGAAATTTGATCAATCATACAATTGTCTTCGTTACGTTTCCTCTTGTTAGTTTTTAGAAACTTTCTGGACACTGTCTCTATCCCACCAAATTGCAGTACGATTGTTCGTTTGAATAGATAGGAAACCGCCTGTTTGCTTGTTTTAGATCTTGCTCTGAGGTTAATATCTCTCTGATCCAAAGCTCATAATGGAAACTTAGATCTTATTTCTCGAGGTCCATAATTGTTTCAAAACTTGAATACCAACAAGAAGCTTGGCGGAGGAAACTAGATTCCACAATCGGCTTAAGTTTCTCTTTTTATGCATTTTGGTGGCATTTTACTTCGCTGGAATTTTTGGGGTCTGAAACTATTATTATGATATAATTTCAGCTAAAGCCAGGATTGAGTGCGTATCCTAATGATCCTCGCCAGTCAGCAAACTCTTTGGTGTCTCTTCTTGGCAAAGCAGAGGCCTCTGTTCCCTCTGAGTTGCGGCCGAAGACTCCTGTCAGAATTGGGGTATGGAAACGAGTTCCTTGCACACAAAGACTAATTGAGGCTTTTCATTTTTTTTTTTTTGTTAAATCATTTAAACTCTTTTGCATTATATCCTGTGTGTGCAGGCGACTGCAGGTTTGAGGGCTTTAGGTCACAAAACTTCTGAAAACATTTTGCAAGCGGTAATATTTTGTACATATGATTTCTACAAATATACGCCTGCTTTTCTATAAAGATAATTTTGGTTTTTAAGGTTAGGGAGCTGCTTAAAGATAGAAGCAGGTTGAAGACCGATGCAAATGCAGTTACTGTTCTTGATGGTACTCAGGAAGGTTCTTATCAGTGGGTATGTTGTAGTTTTTTTCCATCTGTTAGTGTCCGACTCATGTTAAACCTAGCACGCCTAAAGTCATGTAACAAGTTTTCAATTTTTTCGAAACTGTCCATTCTTAAGGTGACCATCAACTACTTGCTAAGGACTTTGGGAAAGCCTTACTCAGATACAGTTGGAGTGGTCGATCTTGGAGGTGGCTCCGTTCAAATGGCATACGCTATATCAGAGGAAGATGCTGCAACCGCACCAAAACCAGTACAAGGGGAGGACTCATACGTCAGAGAAATGTATCTTAAAGGACGGAAGTATTTCCTCTATGTTCACAGGTTGGTCTTCTTGTCATTGCTCTTTTACTCATGAAACTAGTTTTTGTTTAACCTTTGACTTTAACGCAACATCTTATACGTCTAGCTACCTACATTATGGCCTGCTGGCTGCGCGGGCAGAGATTTTGAAAGTTTCTGGGGACACTAGCAACCCCTGCATCGTGACCGGCTTTGATGGTAAGCGAGAGAAACTATTGTCTTTATCAAGGAACAGTTTTTTTTTTCTTTCTAAATAGAGCTCTGTGTTTTTCATCCTCAGGTGCTTACAAGTATGGAGGGAAAGAATTTAAAGCCGCAGGTTCTCCATCCGGTGCAAGTGTAGACGAATGCCGGCGAGTAGCTGTCAACGCGCTCAAAGTCAATGATTCAGTGTGTACACACATGAAATGCTCATTCGGTGGAGTATGGAACGGTGGAGGCGGTGGTGGCCAGAAGAATATGTTTGTTGCATCGTTCTTCTTTGATCGAGCCGCAGAGGTAAGTATATTTTTCGCCATTTTAAGACTCATTAGTCACTTGCGAAACATCAGATTGTTAGTCAGTAACTTTAACGATGGTGACAGGCTGGTTTTGTTGACCCGGCGCAACCTGTGGCTAAGGTTCAACCACTTGAGTTTGAGAAAGCAGCCAAACAGGCTTGCAGCATGAAAATGGAAGAAGGGAAATCCAAGTTCCCACGTGTGGAGGAAGACAATCTTCCTTACTTGTGCTTGGATCTTGTTTACCAATATACCCTCCTCGTTGATGGATTCGGTAACTTACTCTTCTCTCTCCTTTATGTAACTCACGAACCTTAAAAAAGTTCAAAACATTACGCTTACGCCTATCACGATGATGACAATCTTGCATTTTTCATAATGTATTTGATAATCTTGCATTGTTCAAAACAGGATTGAAGCCATCCCAGACAATAACATTAGTGAAGAAGGTGAAATATGGAGAATATGCCGTGGAAGCTGCGTGGCCACTAGGAAGCGCCATAGAGGCCGTATCATCGCCATGAGTGGGAGGCAATTTTGAGAATTTGCACAAAAAACCTTATTCTTTTGATTTCTCCCAAAATCTTCCCCCAATCTCTTTTTTCTACCTCAGAATTTTGTTACCATCATAATCTTTTAACTTCTTACTATCGATTTTTGTTACAATAATCCATCTAGAGAAAGATTTTCGATTCTTACATAACTTTTATTTTGTAAACTAAACTGCACACGTGTTCTTGGTTTTTTATAAATATATTTCATATTGAGCGTTTCTCGGTTCTTCTTTCTCTTTCTAAAATTCAAACCTACAATTATTGGGGTCGAATGGTCTAGTTTCGTATTGATAATTCAGTTAACATCGTTATATTTCCCGGATGTGTAGTCTTATTTTCCATTGAATTCTTTGTCTATATTGTTTGTCGAGTAAAAGAATCAAATATAATTCCGAAAGTAAGTATGTGCAACAACAAGACTTGGAGATGAGCATTGACCAGTCAAAGGCAGAAAGGTTTTATCAGTTTGGAACTTATACGTTAGATGAGATGAGAGGTTCCTGTCAATATAAAGTATTAACTCAACTACTTTGTTTAGTTTGTGACCATTTACACGCCCACGCATTATAATCTAATGTCACCTACTTGACTTCGAAGACCAAGCCAATACATTAATATATACTCCTAATAAACAATTGAAAATCCCATGAAAACTCCATTCGGGTAAAGCTATATATATATAGATTATACGAATAAGGATTGAGCAATCTTGCATGCTCTATTCTTAGCACATTCACTGTATATATTATGTATCGTCATTCATGTGTTTATAGAACTTACGCTATAGTTATAAAATGACCCTTTTATTTTCGAAAATACAAAAGTTTATTACTTAAAAGGTAACAGATGTCGATTGGTGAGTAGTTGCAAACTTGACAAGTGAGTGTCCAAATTCGAGTAGAACAAGTAAGCTTTCATTATATCAACACTAAGACACTTATTGAGGTAAACAAAAAGCTAATTTCGTTGATATTTTCTTAATAGAAGGATCCACGCCCATATTTTTCTATGTATAGGAGTATAATATTATTTATCTTTATCTTTATAAAGTGGAGAAATGAAAAGGAATATGAGAAAATATGTGCTAAAAGTACAAAATACCATTCCTAAATTACGTAAAGAGACCACTATTCAACTAGTTAGTACCCATCACCATTCCAAAAAGCAGTCTCAACATAAAAAGATAAATAAAGAAAAGGAAGAAAGGGATGCAAGTTAAGATGAGCATTGGTATTTTCTATATTTAACAGTATACTACTACAAAATATTAAGAACTGTATGAAAATAAATTAGCCTTATATTAAACCAAATAAGTAACTGGTTTAGACTAGCTACGAACTATATTTGATGAAATATTTCATCACGAGATTAGTATATCTTGTAGAAATAATACCCTGGATTGATTCATCTATTAATCTGCCATGGTTTTTTTTTTTTTCAAATTTAAATAAGTTTTTCTGAAGCGGATAATACCAAACTTTTATGAGTGTGGACTTACTTCATTCCTTTGGCATATGCTATCTTTTACGGTTTGTCTTATCAAGAATTTAGAGTACTTGTGTTTACAATTATTGCTCTTAAAGCAACTTTTGCCAGATTTTGTCGTTTTCCAGTTTTCTGTAACCGTCAATTTTTCCTTAATTATATTCCTACAAATCAGACTTTATCGCAATTAACCCGTCTGTACACAGGTCACATGTATATATATTTTGGGGATCTTTTCATTGGTCTAAATCAAGCTATGAGCACGACAAAGATGCTGCTGTTTCATAACAAATGAAGCGATCGTAAAAATGATTGGCGTTATATATGATCGTTTGTTAACAAAAAAATGTTTACAAATTTTCTATGTCACTGAATTTGTTTCATGTATCGCATCTATCTATTTTGTTTGTTTTCTAGTAATCGTATGTTTCGTTCGTTCTGGTGCAAACATTCAAATTTCGGAGTATATAGACTATAGAGTTATGGACCAACCTTCAAATACTCACAATAGAAATCTTTGTCAACTGAGATTCAATATATTTATACTACATGTATTCTTATATATAAATAATGTCAATTTTAGTTTATAAGCTTTTTCAACTTCCTTTCTTTCTTCTTTGTTAAAAGCTAATTCAACATGTCACCACTACCAAATTAAACATGAACATGCAGAATATATAAGTGAATGAATTCAAACGTTTACATTTTGAGCATCTGAAGTATGAACGATAGTATTCTCAAATTTACAGTTATTGAGGTATTCGTGCTAAAATATTAAAGAACAACTATTCAATGGTCTAAATTCAAACAACTCGTCCGGTATATTTTTTTTCAAATCAATACTATCGTCACTGTAGCCGAAACGTTTATTATATTAATTTTTAGGTCCCTACAGTAACTTTTTCTATTAGAAAATAGTATAAAATGAACATGTTTCACCTATAATTCTAGCTAGGTGCAAATTTGTTGACGCGTGATAGATGATGATACATAGAGGAATCGAAAGTCACACGTGTGGTTGCTGGCACGTTGACTATTTAATTTTCCATGTTTCTTAACTTATGTCTGTTAATGAGAGACGTTTTGATTGGTTGAATATATATTATAATAAGATTTGAAATAGACTTTTGGATTATAGCTATTTCAAATATTTATGTATTTTTAATTACATTACTGGCGTAAGAGAAACTCCATTTTATACAGACGAAACAACAAAGTCACGTTTGATAAATTTCCTGCGAAGTGTGTTTTATAGTATAAGTTTTTAAAAAGACTTTCTTGTAACGAATTAACCCCAAAAAGACTTTCTTCTAACTTGTATTCTTTACAATCACTCTTTTTTGGTAGTTGGCTTTCTTTACAATTGCTGGCTTATATATCTATCTTATGCGTACGTGCATCATGATTAAATATATATACACAGACAATGTTAAGCTTCATAGTTTTAACATCGGTGTCACATTATTTGACTAATAAAATGATACTACGGCCCTTTATAAAAAAAATGATACCATAAATTTTCTAATACTATATATTTAATAATAGTATACAAAGCAAAAACATGTGGTATCTGCGAATTATACAAATAATTTTTTTGCTAAAATTAGGAAATTAGAATTGACAGTCATGTAGTACCTTTTCTGAAAATAAATTTTGATAATTTTATGAAGCCCTTTGTCTACGGTGAAGTAAGGTTCAATTATTTGTCTACGATTTTTAACAAAAATAACATTATTTTTCTACGATTTGTAAATAGCTGACAAATATTATAAAAAATGGAAAAAAAAAAATCAAAATCAAACTTATTTAGGGGAAAATTGGGATTGCGTGTGGTTTGCGCGTGTGTGTGAATGCCGCCGTGGCATGTCATTATCATATATCTGAATTATGTATATTTTACTGATATTAATCTAGTATAATTAACGTATTAAGTGACGTTGTTAAAGTAAACGTTAAATATGATTCCACGTTTGCTCTTCGGGAAGAAACCAACGTTTAATTTGGTTTGCAATTTTGCATCCCACCGAGAAACATATCAAATGAAGATTAGTTTAATACTTGCTTCATTAGAGAAAACACGTAATTAATTCATATTTTAGCGTTTAATCAAAATTATTGGTCTTTTTGTCAAACAATTATTGTCCGTTACTCTTTACACGTGGTAGAGCGGCACTGGTCTAAGAAGTATTCTAGTCATGTTGTTTTCGAATTTTCTACATTACACAAGGTAAAAGTACAAACATTACTAAATATGATTCGGATAACAAGATGCAATACATAGTGTATGATATATATATTATAATTATTCATCTAGTTCACAGTTGTGCAACCCCATGATGATAGAGTACGCAGAAAACAATTTGACGTAAAAGGTTTTTTTTTTTCATTTAAAAGTTGTTCTTATCTCTTTATATTCGAAAGGGAAGAAGGAAATCTCTTTCATATTTTAAATTTCTATTTTTGAACACACAACCTACTTTCGTCATCTATGAATGATAATTGTTAGCAATATATGGAAAATGGGGAAAATTCAACTAACCTAACAAATTGGAAAAATTCATGAATCAGATAAAGCAACTAGCATTGCATTTTAAAGAATTCGTTATTGTTTGACTGTTCTATCAATGTTCAATTTCATTATCCTATTATTTTTTTTATAAAGGTTTCATTATCCTATTCTAAAATAGAAAAAATCCTAAAGCAAACGAAATGAACTAACTGTCTCATATATAGTCTAACTGGATACAAATATGTGAGCATGTATACTGCGAGAAGTTCATTTCAAGATTTCTTTCTAAAATTATCAAGTTTTCTCGGAAAAAAGGAAAAACATAGAGATATTACTCTAGAAAAAAAAGATACGACTAAAAAAAATCAATTAATTAGACAGAGGATGGTGCTTGCGTCAGCAGCCGCATCTGGGCATACGTGGATATGGTTAGGACAAAAGTAAAACTAACCAATCAGATGTAATCTCAGAGGACACAGCTGTCTCGTTTGGGTCCACTTATCTAACAAAACTTCTTCAATTATTCACACTCGTTACAATGACACAAATAAATAAAGAATTAATTATTATATTATTTGAAAAACGAAACATTTGTGTTCATACTTTGATCCTTAAAGATGTTTTGGTTTCTCATACATTTTATAAAAATATACTGTATATATGAAATTTGGGATTCACTAGCTAAAATGCAAATTCAGCATGTTCGAATTGAGTCTCTAGATCTTGTTTACCGCTACAACTAGTTATGTTGGATCGCATACTTTAAACAAATAACTTTCAAATAGGAGAATATCTAGACCACATGCACAAAACAACCAAAATAATTGGGAGCATTGGAGCAAGATATATTTTTTTCTTCCCACTCTCTGTTCATAAAACATGCTTGGGGTTTGATGACGACGACATTTGTTACTTTCTCTCCATAAATTTTCTCATTACTAAAAAAAGAAAAGCTTATTTTATTTAGTTGAAAGATATAATCAATCCTAGCTGAATTTATATATTCTAATCGACTTCTTTTAACATTTTTGGGATATTTTCAACCGGTCTACTTTACAGAAAATAATATTCTGTATTTTTTCCTTTGCCTAAATTTTGAATACTAAATTTCATTTTATATTAAATACACAGTAGTACTAAATGACAAAAATCCACACACCATAAATTGCCCTCGCAACCTGCTCTACGAAAAATTTCAATCTTTGGTTCACTTCTTCTTTCTCTCTTTGCTCACAACCCAAAGCCAATCTTTCTCATCATTTTTCTTTCTCTTCAATCAATATTTTTTCCATTCATACTAGATTCTAACTTCATCCGAAAGAAACAATGACAAGCAAGGATCCAAGATCAAATTTGCCACCAGGGTTTCGATTTCATCCAACAGATGAAGAACTCATTCTCCACTACCTAAAGAAGAAAGTTTCCTCTTCACATGTCCCACTTTCGATCATCGCTGATGTCGATATCTACAAATCCGATCCATGGGATTTACCAGGTAATTTAACCAATATATTTGTCCTTTTTTGTCTATGTATATTATTTCCATTTATTGACATTTTGATTAGTACTGTTATAACAATAACATGTCGTTTGGTTTGTATCAGCTAAGGCTCCGTTTGGAGAGAAGGAATGGTATTTTTTCAGTCCGAGGGATAGGAAATATCCAAACGGAGCAAGACCAAACAGAGCGGCTGCGTCTGGATATTGGAAAGCCACCGGAACAGATAAACTGATCGCCGTACCAAATGGTGAAGGATTTCAACAAAACATTGGTATAAAGAAGGCTCTTGTGTTTTATAGAGGAAAGCCTCCAAAAGGTGTTAAAACCAATTGGATCATGCATGAATATCGACTCGCCGAATCTCTATCGCCCAAAAGAGTCGACTGTTCTAGGACCGGTTGTAGCCAAGTCAATAATTTGAAATCCAAAGAATATTCGATGAGGGTAAGATTTTTGCTTCTACCTTTTTTATAAAACAAAGAAAAAAACAGAAAAATAAAAGATTGGTCCGTTGATTTTTACTTGATCGTTTTATTATTTGTTTTTTTTTGTTTCTCAATACTTACGTTTTTATATTCCTTATGCTCTAATGCAGCTGGATGATTGGGTTCTTTGCCGGATTTACAAGAAATCACACGCTTCATTGTCATCAGCAGATGTTGCTTCAGCTACAAGCAATCAGGAACATGAGGAAAATGACAACGAACCATTCGTAGTCAGCGAATCCCTCTTGCCGAATTTGGCAACCGATGATCAAACCCTTAAACGCCAGAAGTCTTCTTTCTCGAACTTATTAGACGCTACAGATTTGACGTTCCTCGCAAATTTTCTAAACGAAACTCCGGAAAATCGTACTGAAACAGAGTTTTCTTTCATGTTTGGAAATATCTCAAACCCAGACATCTACGGAAACCGTTACTTGGATCAAAAGTTACCCCAGTTGAGCTCTCCTACCTCAGAGACGAGCATGATTGGAAACAAGAGAGAAAGACTTGATTTTGCGGAAGAAACGATGAACACTTCGAAGAAGATTATGATCAACAACTTTAGTTACAACAATAGTATAGATCATTTGGGTCATAGTATGGTTCAACAGTCTAGTTTTCTAAATCAGGAATTCTTGATGAGTCCTCACCTTCAACATCAAGGCTAGAGAGGATATTGTTTTCAAAACCTAATTACGCGAATTAGGGACCATTTGATATATGATTGAAAAGTAGGAGTCATTACTATATAAAATTACCAAAGTCTTGTGGGGGAAGGGTTATAGATATAAGGTTACAGTGAAAAATAGCATTCTAAAAATTCTTTATCGTGGTTGCCATTTGACGGAAAAACAAAATAACAGTATAATCATAATAAATCTTAAGCAGAATATTACAGAAGTTGCAAATCAGAAACCATGTGTAAACAGTAAATCAAACAACATACGCACCCACACATATCGTACACAGTTTATTGGAACAAGAAAAAGCAAAAACAATTCCATAATATATGTCTAAGCTAGCTTGTCCACAATGACCGGATACAAAGCTTCAGAGTATTTAGAATTATCGAGGAGACACCAAATCATATCATCTCATTTAGACTGCATTTCCTCGAACACTCTCCTCTCCTGAAAACACAATAAATAATGGAAAATATTAAATGAAATAATAGCGATGGTCATTTTTTCAACGATCAAGCCAATTTCCATGAAGATTTTATTATTGTAAGATCACCTTCATCCTCTTCAGGAGAACAACAGTGGAAACGCAGTTGACATCCTCTTCATTTCTTGCAACTGTGACCTTGTGACCTGACATCCAAAGAAAATCTACAATCAATGCACAAAAGTTTGCCAAAAGGATATAAACTATAAAGTGAATTCAGAGCTCGTGTCTTAGTGTAAGGCCACCAGTCTCCTCGATTGATATGGAATCAAGGTACCCCTTGGTCTGCTGAGATAAAACCAAAGATAAACAAATGATGATAAATAAACTTACCATAGCTAAACATCCAGAAAGTCTGCAGAAACGTTCAAGATCAAGCTCTGAGCTGGTATGGACAACCATTAGTCTACAAAAAGAAAACATCACATGATAATGCAACCATTAGACTACAAAAACAAAAAAAAAAACAAGAAAATAGCTGAAGTGAGTTTACTTGCTTGTATTTGTCGCAAAGATGCAAAAACAAGATTCCAAAGGAGCCACAACGACAACAAGATTGGCTCCATATTGGTTCTTTGTACATTTTTCGCGTAACCTGGTACTAAGACCATCGCCATTAAATTTTTCTATTTTTGCCTCTATTATAGAAGATCTAAAAAATAAAGGAATGTTTATCTCCAATATATTTCACTATTTCTTACTCTAAAAACCAAAGAGATGTATTGAACTTGAGATTTAAAGGGATTTGAGGTGATTTTGGGATGATTTATGGTGATTTTAGAGAAGTTGTTATGATTCTAATGAAATCACTCTAGAATCCCATCTAAAACCATGATATTTGGATTAGTTATCATGCTTTTAACAAGGAAATCCCACCAAATAACTCTAAAATCACTTGAAATCAACTAAAGTCTCTCATCAAAAATATTTCCAATAACACTGAATTTTAAAGTGCATTTTAAAATCACAAGTTCAATAACACTGGATTTTGAAATATTTTAAAAAAACCATGTTTGAATAACACAAGATTTGTCATTTCAAATCAAATCACTCAAAATCAACTAAAATCCAAAATTCAATACATCCCCCAATATTCTAATTATATTTTTATTATAAAATACCTTTTATTTATAAGTTTTACAAATTGACCCCAATAATTATATTTTTTCAAAAACTTCCATAAATTAACATATTATTTGAATTAAACTTATTATTTAACAAGATTACATTATATCATATCAAACAAAATTTATGTAATTTTTATAACAAAATTTTCATGTATTTTCAAAACTTTCTGTAATTTCTCATTTCTATAATTTTTTGAATTATCTTTAGTTTACTATTTAATGAATAAATATTTTAATCATTTTGTGTCATATAAATTATGTCATTTTTTAAAATAATGTTCCATTATTATTTTTAGATATAAATAAGAAAATGAATAATTTTTATTATTTGTTTAAGTTATAAATAAAAAGATTTAAAAATTGAAGGACTATTATGTAAAAAAAAGTTCAACTCAAAAATAGAGATTCTAATATCATATAGGAAAACTAAGCATTCCCTTATTTTTGAGTCAATGATAGAGGAGGTTTGTAGAAAAATTTACTCAAAAATAGAGTTTAGTTACGCAAATTAGGGACACATTGATATATGCTTGAAAAGGAGTCGTCACTATATAAAATTACCAAAGTGTTGTGGGGGAAGGGTTAAAGATATAAGGTTACAGTGAAAAATAGCATTGTAGAAACTCTTTTTCGTTGTTGCCATTTGATGGGAAAACAAAATAACAGTATAATCATAATACATCTTAAGCAGAAACCATGGAAAGCAGATTCTATATTACAGAAGTTGCAAATCAGAAACCATGTGTAAACAGTAAATCAAACAACATGCATACGCAACCACACATATCGTACATAGTTTATTGGAACAACAAAAGGCAAAAGCAATTCCATAATTTATGTCTGGCTAGCTAAGTCCACAATGACCCGAGATACAAAGCTTCACAATAGTTATAAGTTTCGAGGACACCAAATCAATTCATCTCATTAGCTGATTGTCTTCTCTCCAATTCCCTTTTGTCCTCAAAACACAAGACATAATTAATGTAAGAAAAAAAGAAATAATAGAAATGGCTACAGCGTCAATTCAAGTGCATCTTGATCTTGTTATTACCTCTTCAAAGGCCCTAGTCAATTCCCATGAAGGTTTTCTCATTGTCAGAAAACCTTCATACCAACAAAAAAAAACAAAAATTAAAATCAATCAAAAATTCTTTAGGGATTAAATGCTCTCTCTCTCTCTCTCTCTCGATCTCTCTATCCATACCTAAGAAAACTCCCGTCAGCACAGCAATACCTCGTTCTTTGAGCTTCTCCTTAAACTCCATTGATCCCTTCGAATCTAAAATCACAAATCACATAATTTTGTTTTGCCTAGGAGTATAAAAAACATATCGAAACCCAAACACACGACCAGAGAGAATATCAAAATAATCATTTAAGTAAACACACCTGGATTTTTGTACAAAGACTTGAAGGCCTCGTACAAGCTTTGAGTCTCTCCTGAAAGAAGGATAACAAATAAAACACATCGAAACCTCAACATGTACACAATCCGCAATAATTTTTAAAGATCTGATGAGAACGTTACCGTTGCTACCATGCGATGAAGAGAAATTGCGGCGAGACCCGATCGATCTGCATCCCTGTAAACTATCCGAGTCAAAAATGGGTAAAAGGAAAGATAATCGATCATAATCAGATTTCTCGATTAACCTGCGCAGCGACAGATCTCGGATTTGGCAGCATGATCTGAAATTAGGGTTTTGCTCTCTCTTCTAGGTTTGTGATTAAAGCAGAGACTAATACGGTTAGATTCGGTTCAATTCGAATTGTTGATTCATTGGCTACTTTCGATTTGCTTAGAAATATAATACTACACCCAATTAACCGAATTTTGTCCATTCCAATGTGTTTCTTGTAAATCAAGTCACGTCATCCATTTTCCCACATATAAATAAATGTACACACATGCACCGGAGAGATAGTTGTTGTTAGACTTAGATCAGATCACAACAGACAGGAAATTATACAAACATATTACATATATAATAAAACACACAGGCATGAAGGGCCTAATGTTTTTGTGCTAATCAAAAGTATGGGACCCTCCAGTAATTTTTATACTGTTTAGAAAGAATAGGTACTAAAACACTTCTTTAGATTATGATGAAGTGTGGAAGAAACGATGAACACTTCGAAGAAGATTATATATGATCAACAACTTTAGTTACAACAATAGTATAGATCATTTGGGTCATAGTATGGTTCAACAGTCTACAGTTTTCTAAATCAGGAATTCTTGATGAGTCCTCACCTTCAACATCAAGGCTAGAGAGGATATTGTTTTCAAAACCTAATTACGCGAATTAGGGACCATTTGATATATGATTGAAAAGTAGAAGTCATTACTATATAAAATTACCAAAGTCTTGTGGGGGAAGGGTTATAGATATAAGGTTACAGTGAAAAATTGCATTCTAAAAAAATTATTTTTCGTGGTTGCCATTTGACGGAAAAACAAGATAACAGTATAACCATAAAATAAATCTTAAGCAGAAACCATGGAAAGCAGATTCAATATTACAGAAGTTGCAAATCAGAAACCATGTGTAAACAGTAAATCAAACAACATACGCACCCTCATATATCGTACATAGTTTATTGGAACAAGAAAAAGCAAAAGCAATTCCATAATTTATGTCTAGCTAGCTTGTCCACAATGACCGGTTACAAAGCTTCAGAGTGATTAGAATTATCGAGGAGACACCAAATCATCTCATCTCATTTTGGGATTGCAATTCCTTGAACAATCTCCTCTCCTGAAAACACAAGAAATTATGGAAACAATTAAATGAAATAATAGCGATGGTCACAGTGTCATTCAATTGCATCTTGATTTTGTTTTTACCTTTTCCAACGATCGAGCCAATTTCCATGAAGGTTTTCCTATTGTAACAACACCTTCATACAAACAAAAAAATTAATCAAATTCATTTAGGGATAAACTCTCTCTCTCGATCTCTCTATTCATACCTAAGAATATTCCAAGAAACACACCACCACCTCGTTCCTTGAGCTTCTCCTTAAACTCGATTGATCCCTTGGAATCTACAATCACAAATCACACTTTTTTTGTTTTACCTAGAAAATGAAAGCTTTTGAGAAAAGCTCTAAACTTTAGCAAAGACAACTACTTTCTGATTTCACTTCTCAGAGATTTAGATACAGAGCATAATGGTTTTAAAGAAGAGAACAACAATACATAACTTGACAGATGTCTAATGACTGGAAATAGCATTGGACTCGAGGACGTCAAAACGGTTCACGAAACGTCGTTGCTCACATACTTTGCGTGAGACAGGAGCTCTGTATATGCAGTCAGTCACATGCTTGGGCTTCACAACTTCTTCTTCCTTCTTATGACATTGGGCTTGCATATGTGGCCCATCTCCTTCACTTGATAAAACCAACGACATATTGTCTTTGTTAATACACCCCCTCAAACTTGTGGCAGGTGGAAGAGTGACACCAAGTTTGTAGCGCAAGTCAAAGAACGGTTCTTGAGCAAGAGACTTAGTGAAAATGTCTGCCAATTGTTGTCCTGAAGAAACATGTCTCACAACCAAGGCACCATGAGCGACTCTTTCTCTCACATAATGAAAATCAACATCAAAGTGCTTTGATCGTGAATGAAGTGCAGGATTTGCAGAGAGGTAGACAGCAGAAAGATTGTCACAATACATCTCTGGCACATCATCAGGAGGAAATCCAATTGTTTCCATAAGAGAACTGATCCACTTCAACTCTGTAGCAACAATTGACATAGTTCTGTACTCAGCTTCTGTAGAAGATCTTGAAACTGTAGGATGTCGTTTTGCAGACCAAGAAATTATATTTGTGCCAAGAAAAGTACAGAAACCACCTGTAGAACGTCTTGTATCCTTACATCCTGCCCAATCACTATCACTGTAGGCTCTAAGTTTAGAATCAGCATCAGCACGCAAGTCTAATCCCATTTGCAAAGTTCCTTTTAAATACCGTAGTATTCTCTTGAGTAAATTAAAATCTGAGACCGTAGGGGAATGCATCTTCTGGCACACAAAATTAACTGCAAATTGTATATCAGGCCTAGTAAGCGTGAGATACTGAAGCTTACCAGCCAAACTTCGAAAATATGTAGGTTCTGGAAACACTTCATCTTGTCCTGAGACTTTATCTAACTGCAGCGGTAAAGGAGTGGGCATAGGAGCACAATCAGCCATTCCTGCAGAGATTAAGAGATCCATTGCATACTTTTCTTGACAAAGAAATAACCCATCAGCATGAAAATGTGCTTGTACTCCAAGAAAATAGTGTAAAGGACCTAAATCCTTCATTTTAAAGACTGCATTCAAACTCTCGAGCAGCTTTTTGATTAGCTCATTATTATTTCCTGTCAACACCATATCATCAACATAAAGAAGGAGAAGCATCACATCATTTCCCTTTAAATAGACAAAGAGAGATGGGTCTGGTATGCTGCAAATGAAACCAAAATCAATGAGATGATTGCTGAATTTATCAAACCATGCGCGAGGAGCTTGCTTAAGCCCGTAAATAGCTTTCTTAAGCTTGCAGACAAACTCTGGTTTCAAAGGATCTTCAAACCCAGGGGGTTGAGTCATATATACAGTCTCTTTTAAATCACCATGGAGAAAAGCATTCTTCACATCCAGTTGTTTGATGTCCCATTTTCTTGTAACAGCAGCATGAAGAATTGATCGAACGGTTGCAGTTCTGACAACTGGACTGAATGTCTCAATAAAATCAACTCCCTCTTCTTGATCATACCCTTTTGCCACTAGTCTAGCTCTTAGTCGATCAAGATCTCCATTGGCTCGCAGTTTAGTTGTGTAAATCCATCTGCATCCCAATACATTATCAGCTTCATCTGGTGGAACTAAATCCCAAGCATCCACTTCATGCATAAATTCTATCTCTTCTCCCATAGCATTTGTCCATCCTGCATCTTTAAGTGCTGCTTTGACAGTCTTTGGCTCAGGATAATTAGTCTTTACCGTGAACAATGCATACTTGGGATTTGGCTTAACAATTCCTGATCTTGCTCGAGTAGTCATTGAGTGAGCCGGAGCGACTTGATTTTGATCATCTCGAGGAGCAGCAAACAATGGAGGGAAGTCATGTTCAGTAAAGATTGACTCTGAAATGTCTGCATTTGTCTCAGCTTGTGTTTGTTCTCCAATTCCTCCAGAGTCTCCATTTTCTGAAAATTCTCCATTTTCTGCATTTTCTCCATTTTCTGCATTCTCCACAGCTCTTGTGATTGACCCTTCTCCTTCGTTTTGTGAGTCTATGTTGCCGATAGGAACATAGAGAAAATCAGCCGTACACCCAGAGCTTTCCACTTCCTGAGTAGTAGACATTACATGTATATTCAAGGCTGAGATCAATGGAGTTTTTCCTGCAGCCTGAAACTCACGATACACATCAGTATAAGGAAACTGCAGCTCATTGAACAAAACATGTCTACTTATATAGACCTTTCCAGATGGAGGATGAAAGCAACGATATCCCTTGTACTTTTCATTATATCCAAGAAATACACAGTGTAAAGACTTAGGATCAAATTTGTTTTTGGAATAAGGCCGTAGATATGGATAGCAAGTGCAGCCAAAAACTCTTAAAGCAGTGTAAATGGGAGGCTTTCCATAAAGTTTTTCATATGGACTCTGACCATCTGTAACTGACGAGGGTAAGAGGTTTCCTAAGAAATTTGAGGTGAAGAAAGCCTCAACCCACAATTGCTGAGGTACTCTGCTGTGGAACATCATGGAGAGTCCTAACTCCGTGATATGCCGGTGCTTGCGCTCTGCAAGACCGTTCTGCTGCGGCGTATGCGGACAAGAGATTAGTTGTTTGATTCCACGGCTGGCCAAATGCTCGAGAAATTTGGAGCTAATAAACTCACCTCCTCCATCGCATTGAAACATAGTTATCTGTTGCTGAAGTTGCTTCTCAACCAAAGCTTGAAAAAGAAGAAACACTGAATAAAAATCCGATTTCCTTTTAAGTGGATAAAACCAAGTGAATCTCGAATAGTTGTCAACAAAAATAACATAGTACTGAAATCCCTGAGCTGAGACTACAGGTGACGGTCCCCACAAATCACAGTGTATGCGTTCGAGTGGCCTAGATGAGACATAATCAGAAGCAACAAAAGGAAGTTTGCACAATTTTCCCAATTGACAAGCCTCACACAACTGAGAGCTAGCCTTATTCAAAACGATAAACTGTTTTCTTGTAAGAAATTGAAGAATCTCAACATGAGGATGGCCAAGTCTTTGATGCCAAATATCTCCACTCGCAGCTTGCTGTCTTGTAGAGTAAAAAGCCTTAAACTGAGGATTCTTCAACACGTACAAGTCATTACTTCTGCTGCCTTGAGTGAGGAGCTCCTTTGTCCATTTGTCCTTTATACAGACAGAGTCAGAATCAAACGTAAAAGCACAAGGATAATCCTTAGTCAGCTTAGAGACAGACAAAAGAGGTTTTGTTATATCAGGACAAACCAAAACATCTTCTAAAGGTAATGTACCTTGAAGTGTAGGTAAAACAGCAGATCCAATATGAGTAATAGGCAAAAAGTCGCCATTACCAACAATGACAGCATCCTCACCATGATAGGGTTGAGCGTTTGGAACTTGAGCTGCAGAATTGGTGATATGAGCTGTTGCTCCTGTATCTGGATACCACTCATGTCCTGACTGAGGAGCTTGATTTGGGACCTTTATTGCAGCCATAGCAGTAGGTTGTTCCTCAGGTTGATAGTCTGGATCAAATCGATTGTAACACTTGAATGCCGAATGACCAAATCTCCCACAAATCTGACACGTTGGTCTGGAATCACTTGATGAACCAGATGAAAACTGCTGTTGAAACCCACGACCACGAGTTGAGTAAGCCCCTCTTCCTCTGTATCCACCTCTGTACCTTCCACGACCACGATTGAAATATCCTCCTCTATTGTTGTTGTAAGAGTTGGAATATCCACCTCTATCAGTGTGAAAAGCCATATGTGGAGTAACTTCAGTAGATGTGTCATAAGTTTGCAGCTTATCATCAAAACTAGTCAGCTTGAAGACAACATCTTCGAAACAGGGGCTTGGAAATTTATCCATGGAATCTTCAATCACAGTACAAATAGACTCATACTCTTTCCCTAATCCATTTAGAACTCCATAAATCTTTTCATGCTCAGAAATAGGACATCCAATAGAGTCTAATTGATCACAAAGGAACTTAATTTCTGATAAATATTGAGCCATAGGTTTCTGCAGTTTGGCGGTTGTTTGAATCCTTCTCTGTAGATCCAGTTTTCTAGTGGCAGAGACACGATTGTACTTCTTAGCGAGATAGGACCATACCTCATGAGATGTACCAAGACCATAGATGTTCTTCAACGCTTCCTCAGAGAGTGACCCAAAAATCCAAGCTTTGATGAGCTGATCTGTACGGATCCATTTGACAAAATCTGGGTTGCTCTCTTCTGTAACTTGTTCTCCGGTGCGTACCGATATAGTCGGAGCTGGTCGCGGTGTGTCTCCAGTGACATAACCCAGAAGCATCTGACTGCTAAGAAACTGTTCGAACTGTAATTTCCATGAGAGATAATTTGAATCACTCAGTTTGAGAGTAACACACTGTGAAATGCTTAAGGTTGGAGAGCCTTCCATGGCTCTGATACCATGAAAGCTTTTGAGAAAAGCTCTAAACTTTAGCAAAGACAACTACTTTCTGATTTCACTTCTTAGAGATTTAGATACAGAGCATAATGGTTTTAAAGAAGAGAACAACAATACATAACTTGACAGATGTCTAATGACTGGAAATAGCATTGGACTCGAGGATGTCAAAACGGTTCACGAAACGTCGTTGCTCACATACTTTGCGTGAGACAGGAGCTCTGTATATGCAGTCAGTCACATGCTTGGGCTTCACAACTTCTTCTTCCTTCTTATGACATTGGGCTTGCATATGTGGCCCATCTCCTTCACTTGATAAAACCAACGACATATTGTCTTTGTTAATAGAAAACATATCAAATTCTATACCCTAACACACGACCAGAGAGAATTTCAAAACAATAATGTCTCTGTGTCTAAGTAAACATACCCGGATTCTTGTACAAAGACTTGATGGCCTCATACATGCTAAAACGCTCTCCTGAAAGAATGATTAAAAATAAAACACATGGGAACCCCAAACAAACGATCAGAGAGAATTTTACAGAACGTTACCGTTGCTACCACGCGATGAAGAGAAATTGCGGCGAGACTCAATCGATCTCCATCCCTGTAAAACTTGTTGTCAATCGACCGTACCAGAAGAAGGGGAATTATAAGAAAGATACTCGATCATAACCAGATGTCTCGATTTACCTGCGAAACGACAGATCTTAGATTCGGCGGCATGATCTAGGGTTTCGCTCTTTCTTCTTCGTGTCTGAATTCGTCAACAATTCGTGATGCAATACAATTTGAGAGGTTTGAATTTTAAGTTTAAAAACTTTTAAACCCGTTTTTGAATCCGATCCAAACACTAGCCCACTGGATTAACCCAACTAATAAGACTTGATTTAACAAAACAAGCCAGAAAAAGAGAAGACTTCGCAAACTTCGTCGTCTTACGTGTTTAACGACGACGACGACAAACTCGTGTATGCATCAGAAATAGCTTCCTGATTATTATTTTTTAATGTGTTTTTCGCTATATAGGTTTGCTCATATAATCGGGAGGAACATAAACGAGTTGGATCATGTGGATTCAGAATTTCGACTAAATTCGTGCTTGTCAAGTTCGCTTATCGTTGATCATGCTGAAAATGTTACTACATGACTCCCCTCGTCTAGAATTTGTAAATGGGAAAGGAACAGAAATTGTTACCATCTTTTATAAAAGAGAGAAAGAAGAAAAGAAGATGTCACGTACGTACAAAAGTATGTATGAAGAGATATTACAATCATAAGTCATAACAAACAAGTAGAAGAAAGCAAAAACAAGTATACCTCGGAAGGACACGTACCTTGAATTGTGTCCTTCTTTACCGCATAGACCACAATGTATTTGTCTTGGAGGATTTTTCATGATTAAAACCTAGCAAGCAGCAACTTCTAAATCGTTTGTTACAAATATTATTACACACCAAAGTCGAATAAAAAACAAGTATCCCGAACAGTAGAGCTACAAACAGAAACTTCAACTTCCAGAAATATAAATGAAAAAAGAGAGCATTTGCAACATCACATCCATAGATTATTTCACACAGACTTCTCCTCTGGTTTAGAAGTTCTATTCACTGGTTTAGAACTTATCATCATCATTCTCTGCAATCAGAGAAAAACACAGATGTAGATTCTAGAGTAGTTTATATTTTTGTTCTTTCTTTTTTCCAAGTCCAGATAACAAAGTAAAAATAAGAAGAAACATCTCTGACCTGTTTATGAATAAGATCACCTAGTCTCTCCAGCTCTGGGATCATTGTCAAGAGCTGGTACGCTTCTGAGGTATGAGAGAAAGAAGCAATCACCAATGAATTTGTGTGTTTGTTCTTTATCAATATAAAAAAAAACGAATAATCTGAAAATAATATAATCTCTAACATTAGCTATACCACCGTAAAGTGCATATCCATACAAGGACCATGTCCCAAGTCTAAAAGTCGTGAAAGAAGGGTACACACTCGACTTGATGGCCTCATACATGGTAAAACCGTCTCCTGAAAGAATGATAAGAAAATAAAACACATGGGAACCCCCAAAACAAACGATCGGAGAGAATTTTGAGAGAATTTTACAGAAAGTTACCGCTTTTGCTGCCAGGCGATGAAGAGAAATTGCGGCGAGACCCGATCGATCTCCATCCCTGTAAAACAAATTGTTGTCAATCGACCGCACCAGAAGAAGGGGAACTATAAGAAAGATAATCGATCATAATGAGATGTCTCGATTTACCTGCGAAACGACAGATCTCAGGTTCGGCGGCATGATCTCTGGAACTAGGGTTTCGCTCTTTCTTCTTCCTCGTCTCTGTCTATAATTTCTTCAAAAGCGGGAAACAAAAATATGGTCTTGATATATTATAGTCCTACGTTAAATGGGCCTTAACCACAGTTTATCTTTTTTTATCCAGATTCTTGTCGGGTTAAATGATCGGGTTACCGTGTTAGTTCACGTCAATTTTGCTTTTTGCACCAAAAGCATATATCCTGTACACCCAAATAATAATATTTCTGTTGTCTCTCATTTCATGTAACTTTGGCTGTCGAACAGCCACCCTTAATACATTTATGATATTGATCTCAATCCATTTGTGTTCTTGAAGACAATCTTAAAGCTTTCCTCTTTCTTCTCTTTAACCTTTGAATAAAGCTCTATGAGCTATTTCCATTTCATATCTTTGTTAAATCTCTTTCAATAAGCTCTAAGAGCATCAATCTATCATCACTTTGTGATTCTCTAGAGGTTTGAGCTCTTGGGCTAAAAGCCATGAATCGGTTCGGTCAACCGGCATTACTTGGGCTTAATTAGGTTTGTGATCAAGGCAGAAACTAATTCGGTTAGCTATATATTACTTGTGCCAGGGAAGTTGTGCAAATCAGAAACCATGTGTAAATCAAACAACATGCATACGCAACCACACATATCGTACATAGTTTATTGGAACAACCAAAAGGCAAAAGCAATTCCATAATTTATGTCTGGCTAGCTAAGTCCACAATGACCCGATACAAAGCTTCACAATAGTTATAAGTTTCAAGGACAACAAATCAATTCATCTCATTAGATGAGTGTAATCTCTCATACCTCCTTTTCTCCTGAAAACACAAGACAAACTAATGTAAAAAAAAAGAAATAGTAGAAATGGTTACAGCGTCAATTCAAGTGCATCTTGATCTTGTCATTACCTTTTCCAAGCCCCTAGCCATTTCCCATGAAGGTTTTCTCATTGTCACAAAACCTTCATACCAACAAAAATTAAAATCAATCAAAATTCCTTTAGGGATTAAATGCTCTCTCTCTCTCTCTCTCTCGATCTCTCTATCCTTACCTAAGAAAACTCCCGTCAGCACAGCGATACCTCGTTCTTTGAGCTTCTCCTTAAACTCGATTGATCCCTTCGACTCTAAAATCAAAAATCACATAATTTTGTTTTACCTACGGGATACAAAACATATCGAAACCCAAACACACGACCAGAGAGAATATCAAAACAATCATTTAAGTAAACACACCTGGATTTTTGTACAAAGACTTGAAGGCCTCGTACAAGCTTTGAGTCTCTCCTGAAAGAAGGATAACAAATAAAACACATCGAAACCTCAACATGTACACAATCCGCAATAATTTTTAAAGATCTGATTTTACCGTTGCTACCATGCGATGAAGAGAAATTGCGGCGAGACCCAATCGATCTCCATCCCTGTAAGAGTATGGTCAATCGATGGCACCCAAAGAAAGGGAAATTAGAGGAAAGATGATCGATCTTAATAAGATCTCTCGATTTACCTGCGCAACGACAGATCTCGGATTTGGCAGCATGATCTGAAATTAGGGTTTTGCTCTCTCTTCTAGGTTTGTGATTAAAGCAGAGACTAATACGGTTAGATTCGGTTCAATTCGAATTGTTGATTCATTGGCTACTTTCGATTTGCTTAGAAATATAACACTACACTCAATTAACCGAATTTTGTCCATTCCAAAGTGTTTCTTGCAAATCAAGTCACGTCATCCATTTTTCCACATATAAATAAATGTACAGTAAACTAAGTCGTGAATCTTTGACCAAAAAAAAAACTAAGTCGTGAATATAATAACAGTAGAAATTTACGAAAATTGAGAGGAAGAAAATTGGAGGAAATCCTATATATTATTACTCTATAGTCTTACAAAAAATTACCATTTGACATAGTTTTTGGATTTTTAACATTCCCTTTACATTAGAATAACAAGAGAAAAAAAAACACAGATGTAGATTCTAGTTTAGTTTAGTTGAGTTTTGATTACCGTTTGACATAATTTATTGTTTTTCCTAACATTATCTTTACACAAAGTAACAACAAAATACAAAATCCTTTGTACTTTCTTGAACTAGCATCAGAGTAACAAGATGAACGAGTTGACTAAGGCTCTAACTGTTGACCTGTAAAGGAACAAAAGGAATGAGAAGGAATGGAATGAAGAGGAATAAAATATATGGAACTTATTCCTCCTCATATTTTATAAAGAATATTTTAACACTATAATTCTCTAATTAATATTGAATGGTAAGGAATAATATGGAATACACATTCCTTATAAATGGTGTAATATGGAATACACATTCCTTGGTCACCAGTTGGAACCTAAGTGTTCAATTCTTCTTATTCCTTTTTATACGTTAACTTTCCTCTCTTTTTTTATCCAACTCATTTTAGTTCAACTTGTTAGTTTCAGTTGCACCCAAAGGTCTAAGAAAGTAAGTTAGGAATTGAGATCATCTAATCGTGAACAAAAAACAATTCAGCCAAATATTTCATACGGAACCCATAAAACAGAAGCTGAATCCCATCACTAAACCGTACGTCATGTAAACTTTGAGGAATTTCCCCCCATTAAAACCTAGCAAGCAGCAACTTCTTAATCGTTTATTACAAGTATTATTATCATACATGAAAACAGAAACTGCAACTTCCCGAAATATAAATGAAAAAAGAGGAAGGCAATTGCAACATCACAACCGTAGATTATATTACTCAAACTTTTCCTCTTGTGATTCCTGCATTTATTTGAATATTTCAGTATGACTCCTTTTGCTCTGCAATCAGAGAAAACACAGGTTGGATTCTAGTTTAGTTTAGATTGTTTTTTTATTAAGTCCAGAAAACAAAGTAGAAATAAAAAATAAAAAAAAATCTTACGTCTTCAAGATTATAATCACTTATTTGATCCCATTCTGGAACGTTTTTCAAGCACTGGTACAATTCTGAAAACAGTCACCAATGAATATGTTTGTGGTTTATCAATTAAAAAAAAAAAACGAATAATCTGAAAATAATATACACAGATAATCTAACATTACCGAAACAACCGTAAGACACATATCCATATATCGCCCATGTTTGAAATCTAAAAGTCTTGAAAGATGGAACGACACTTGACTTCAAGGCCTCGTACAAGCTTCGAGTCTCTCCTGAAAGAAGGATAACAGATAAAACAAATCGAAACCTAACCCCCAACACACGATCCGACAATTTTAATTTCATAGATCTGATGAGAACGTTACCTTTGCTACCATGCGATGAAGAGAAATTGCGGCGAGACCCAGTCGATTTCCATCCCTGTGAATTTTGTTGTCAATCGATCGCACCAAAAGAAGAGGAATAAGAAAGATAATCGATCATAATCATATTTCTCGATTTACCTGCGTAACGACATATCTCAGATTCGGCGGCATGATCCCTGAAACTAGGGTTTCGCTCTTTCTTTTTGGTCTTTGATAACTTGGGTTTAATTGAGTTTGTGATTAAAGCTGAAACTAACACGGTTAGATTCGGTTCATTTCGAATTTTTGAGATTATGGCTAGGTTCGATTTGCTAAATAACAATTTTCCGGATTATCTCAATTCCAATGCATTTCTTGTAAATCAAGTCACGTCATCCATTTTTTCCACCTATAAATGTACAGTAAACTAAAGTCGTGTAAGAATATAATAACAGTAAAAAAATTTCGATAAAGCCATTCCACATGGTTGGATTGAAACATTACAAAAATTGGAGGAAATATATGTTACTCTATACTCTTACAAAATTTACCATTTGAAACAGTTTTTGATTTTTAACATTCTCTTTACACTAGATTAACAAGAGAGAAAAACAAAACACAGATGTAGATTCTAGTTTAGTTTAGATTGGGTTTTCTTTTGAATTCCAGAAGAAAAAAAAAAACAGACATGTTTTTGAAGATTTAAATCACTTGGTTCATCCCATCAAATTACTCTATAATCTTAGAAAGATTACCTTTTTTTAAACAAAGTTACAAAGATTACCATTTGACATAATTTATAGTTTTTCCTCACATTACATTTACACTGAGTAACAAGCTGCAGACTAGGTGTTTAATTTTTCTTATTCCTTTTTATACCTTAACTTTCCTCTCTTTTTTATTCTACGTATTTTAATTCAAATTGTTATTTTCAGTTGCACCCAAAGGTTTAAGAAAGTAAGTTAGGAATTGAGATAATCTTATCGTGAACCAAAAACAATTCAGCAAGGTATTTCATACGGAATCCATACTAAAGCGCTTTAGTAAACTTTGAGGAATTTTCCCGACTAAAACAATTCAGCAAAGTACGCTAGCGTACGTCATGGTCATGTAAACTTTGAGGAATTTTCCCGACTAAAACCTAGCTAGCAGCAACTTCTTAATCGTTTATTACAACTAGTATTATACACGAAACAGAAACTGCAACTTCCCGAAATATAAATGAAAAAGAGCAAGGCAATTGCAACATCACAACCATAGATTATATTACACAAACTTTTTCTCTTGATTCCTTCATTTATTTGAATATTTCAGCAATTTCCCTTTTTATCTGCAATCAGAGAAAACACAGGTTGGATTCTAGTTTTAGTTTAGATTGTTTTTTTCTTTAAGTCCAGAAAACAAAGTAAAAATAAAAAAAAGAAAGAAAATTCTTACGATCGACTTCAAGATTAAAATCTCTTAGTTCATCCCATTCTCGGAAGAGTTTCACGCACTGGTACATTTCAGAAATATAAAAGAAAGAAACAATCACCAATGAATTTGTTTGTTTTTTTATCAATATACAAATTAAAAACGAATAATCTGAAAATAATATATATACGCAGATAATCTCAACATAATTACCTAAACAACCGTAATGTTGATAAACGGTCTGAATCTTATATCTTTACAATCTTCACAACTCAAATTTAGAAACGGTCTGAATCACTAATTCATAAAAAACTAGCACAAAGCTTGTGTACCTGATCACTAAGTTATGGGCCTTATGGCACTAAGATTTCTGCAAAAGTCGTCTTCACAAACATATATTCCCAATCAGCTGGCTTTACCAAACCTAAACTAGTATCATTACTCAAAACAGAAACACATGCAGTGAGAACAATAAAACTTGGAGACTTCGAATATCATTACTTGTTTAGTAAAAAATATCATTACACACCAAAGTCCACATGAAAAACAAATTTATCAAGAGAGTTGAACTAAAACCAGAAGCTGCGATTTCCAGAAATATAAATGAAAAAGAGCAAGGCAATTGCAACATCACAACCATAGATTATATTACACAAACTTTTCCACTTGATATATTCCTGCATTTATTTGAATATTGCCTTTTAGCCCCTTAGAATCTGCAATCATAGAAAACACAGGTTGGATTCTAGTTTAGTTTAGATTGTTTTTTTATTAAGTCCAGAAAACAAAGTAGAAATAAAAAATAAAAAAAAATCTTACGTCTTCAAGATTATAATCACTTATTTGATCCCATTCTGGAACGTTTTTCAAGCACTGGTACAATTCTGAAAACAGTCACCAATGAATATGTTTGTGGTTTATCAATTAAAAAAAACGAATAATCTGAAAATAATATACACAGATAATCTAACATTACCGAAACAACCGTAAGACACATATCCATATATCGCCCATGTTTGAAATCTAAAAGTCTTGAAAGATGGAACGACACTTGACTTCAAGGCCTCGTACAAGCTTCGAGTCTCTCCTGAAAGAAGGATAACAAATAAAACACATCGAAAAACACACGATCCGACAATTTTAATTTCATAGATCTGATGAGAACGTTACCGTTGCTACCAGGAGATGAAGAGAAATTGCGGCGAGACCCAATCGATCTCCGTCCCTGTAAAACTTGTTGTCAATCGATCGCACCGAAAGAAAGGGAATAAGAAAGATAATCATATTTTTCGATTTACCTGGGTAACGACATATCTCAGATTCGGCGGCATGATCTCTGAAACTAGGGTTTCGCTCTTTCTTCTTGGTCTTTGATAACTTGGGTTTAATTAGGTTTGTGATTAAAGCTGAAACCAACACGGTTAGATTCGGTTCATTTCGAATTTTTGAGATTACTAGGTTCGATTTGCTAAATAACAATCATCCGAATTATCTCAATTCCAATGCATTTCGTGTAAGTCAAGTCATGTTAACACTTGACCTTTTTATATAAAAAAATAAAGAAAATTCGATAAAGCAATTCACATGGTTGAGTGGAAACATTACATGCATATCTATTTCGCATTTCTTCACTTGCAGTGTGACGGCAAAACAAAATAACAGTAATCATACTAATTCAGAAACCATGGTAAACAGATTCTATATTACATAAGTTGCAAATAAGAAACCATGTTTAAACCAACAACATACATAGGCACCCAAACATATCCTACATAGTTTATTGGAACAACAAAAAAGCAAATGAAATTCCATAATTTATGTCTGGCTAGCTAAGTCCACAAATGACCGGATACAAAGCTTCACAATAACAGTTATTCTCTGAGGACTCACCAATTCATCTCAGCTCATCTCCTTTGGATTGCATCTCCTCAAACACTTTCATCTCCTGAAAACACAAGATATAATGTGAAAAATGATATAATTAACAGCAATGGCCACAGTGTCATTTTAAGTTCATCTTGATTTTGTTTGCACCTCTTCCAAGCGGCGAGCGATTCTACGTGAAGGCGTTTTGATTGTCGCAAAACCTTCATACCAAAACCAAAAAAAACAAATTAATTTATTTGGATAAACTCTCTCTCTCTCTCGCTCTCTCTCTCTCTCTCTCTCTCTCTCTCTCTCTCTCTCTCTCTCTCTCTCTCTCTCTCTCTCTCTCTCTCTCTCTCTCTCTCTTTCTCTCTATTCATACCTACGAAAAGTCCCGTGAGCACAGCAAGAAATCGTTCTGTGAGCTTCTCCTTAAACTCGATCGATCCCTTGGAATCTACAGCCACAAATCACATATTTCTGTTTTACCTCCGAATACAAAACATATCGAAACCCAACAACACACGACCCAAGGGAATTTCAAAACATTAATCATGTATGTGTCTAAGTAAAGTTAGTAAACACACCTGGATTTTTGTACAGAGACTTCAAGGCCTCGTAGAAGCTTTCAGTCTCTCCTTAAAGAATGATAACAAATAAAACACATGGAAACCTTAAGTGACACACGATCCGAGAAAGAGAGTTTTTAAAGATGTGATGAGAACGTTACCGTGCCTACCACGCGATGAAGTAAATTCGCGGCGAGACCCAGACGATCTCCATCCCTGTAAACTAATCGACAATCAATCCGACAGTAAGAAGGGTAAAAAGAAAGATGACCGATCATGATTAGATTTCTCCATTTACCTGCGCAGCGACACATCTCAGATTTAGCGGCATGATCTGAAATTAGGGCTTTGCTCTTTCCTCTTCGGCTTTTAATTTCTTCGAAAGCGGGGAAAAAGGTATTAATATAGTTCTACGGCCATTTGGGCCTTAGCCAGAGTTTTACAATTATCATACACACCAAAATCCACGAAAAACATATTTCTCAATTCTGTGAGTTCCCGAAATATTATAAATGCAAAAAAAAGAGACAATTGCAGATACATTTTACCAAAATGACAAGGGAGTATTAGGATTTTACAGAAACTTTTTTTCCTCTTGATTCCTTCAATAACTTGAATGTTTATAGGCTTCCAGCAAGTTCCAGAAAATAAATATGTGAAAAAAGAGGAGAGCAATTGCAACATCACATCCGTAGATTATTTTACACAAACTTTTCCTCCTCGTTTTTGTAATCTTCATAAAATTTCTTTCGATCCTGCAATCAGAGAAACACAAATGTACATCTTAGAGAAGTTAAGATTGTTTTTGTTTTCCAAGTGGAGATAACAAAGTACAAAATCAGAATGAAACATTTCTTACCTGTTCCCAATTATAATCTCTTAGTTCAATCAGTTTTGGGTAGAGTTTGCAGAACTGGTACACTTCTGAGGTATGAAAGAAAATAACAATAAGCAATGAATTTGTGTGTTTGTTCTTTATCAATACAAAAAAGAAAAAAACGAATAACCTGAAAGTCATATATATATATAAGCTCTAACATTACCTGTAAAACCGTAGCCTGCATATCCATACATGGCCCATGTCATAAATTTAAAAGTCTTGAAAGAAGGATATACACTCAACTTCAAGTCCTCGTAGAAGCTTTCAGTTTCTCCTGGGACAAGGATAAAAAAAAATGGAGACCCAAACACACAGAATTTTCAAAGATCTGATGCGAACGTTACCGTTGCTACCAGACGACGAAGAGAAATTGCGGCGAGACCGAGTCGATCTCCATCCCTGTCAAGTTATGGTCAATCGATCGCACTAAAGGAAGGGAAATTATAAGAAAGATAATCGATCATAATCGTGTTTCTCGATTTACCTGCGCGACAACACATCTCAGATTCGGCGGCATGATCTCTGAAACTAGGGTTTCGCTCTTTCTTTTTCCGTCTCTGATAACTTGGGTTTAATTAGGTTTGTGATTAAAGCTGAAACCAACACGGTTAGATTCGGTTCGTTTCGAATTGTTGAGATTATGGCTAGGTTCGATTTGCTAAACAACAATTATCCGAATTATCTCAATTTCAATGCATTTCGTGTAAGTCAAGTCATGTCATCCATTTATCCACATGGTTGAGTGGAGACATTACATCTATCAATTTCGTATTTCTTCACTTCCTTCATTGTCTAGTTCTCTTACTATGTAGCTTATGCAGTTATGCTTGGTGCAACTATTTGAGAGGAACAAAAGTGGAGGAAATCGCATACCATTACTCGATAAACAGTCTTCCAAAATTTACCAATTCACATAGTTTTTTGATTTTTTATTTATCATTCTCAAGAAGAAATCCCTTGGAAAAATTGTTTTCCTCAAAATAGTAGAGTAACAAGATGGAACGTGAAATATTCATCACGTTGTTTTTACTCTCTTTTTGATTATACTCATTTTTTATCAACTTGATATTTTCAATTGCCCCCGAAGGTTTAATAAAGTAAATTTGGTATTGAGCTCATCAAATCATGAACAAAAACCATTCAGCAAAGTCTTTCATACGAAATCCATCAACAGAAGTATAGATCATTTGGGTCATAGTATGGTTCAACAATCTGTTTACCTAAATCAGGAGTCGTTATTATATTTTAGATTACCCAAGTGTTGTCGGGGAAGGGTCATAAATATACTACTATAATATAGTAGCTTATACTGAAAATAGCATTTAAATTTTTTGGTTGCAATGTGACGGCAAAACAAAATAACAGTAACCATACTAATTCAGAAACCATGGTAAGCAGATTCTATATTACAGAAGTTGCAAATCAAAAACCATGTGTAAACAGTGAATCAAACAACATACGCACCCATATATATCGTACACAGTTTATTGGAACAACAAAAAGCAAATGAAATTCCATAATTTATGTCTGGCTAGTCCACAGTGACTGGATACAAACTACAAAGCTTCAGAGTGATTAGAATTATCGAGGAGACACCAAATCATCTCATCTCATGAGGAATGCAATTCCTCATACCTTCTTCTTTGCTGAAAAGACAAGATAAAATGGAAAAACAAATATGAAGTAATAGAAATGGCCACAGTGTCATTGTTAAGTGCATCTTGATTTTGTTTTTACCTCTTCCAACGTTCGAGCCACTTCCCATGAAGGTTTTTTAATTGTAAGAAAACCTTCATCAAGACAACAAGATTGTTAAAATTCATTTAGGGATTAAAATTCACTCTCTCTCGATCTAATTATACATACCTAAGACATACCCCATACACACAGCAGTACCACGACGTGCGAGTTTCAGCTTAAACTCGGTTGATCCCTTCGAACCTACAATCACAAATCACATAATTTTTTTTTACCTACGAATACAAAACATATCGAAACCTCAACACACGACCAGAGAGAGTTTCAAAACACACCTGGATTTTCGTACAAAGACTTCAAGCCCTCGAAGAAGCCTTCAGTCTCTCCTGAAAGAATGATAACACATTTTCGTACAAATACTAAAACGCATCGAAACCCTAACCACACGATCCGAGAGAAATTTAAAGAATGAAGAGGATTTTACAGAACGTTACCGTTGCTACCACGCGATGAAGAGAAATTGCGGCGGGACCCAGTCGATCTCCATCCCTGTAAAACTTTTTTGTCAATCGATCGGACACTAAAAAGGGTAAAAGGAAAGATAAAACGATCATAATCGGATTTCTCGGTTTACCTGCGCAACGACACATCTCAGGTTCGGCGGCATGATCTCTCTGAAACTAGGGTTTCGCTCTTTCTTCTTCGTGTCTGATAACTTGGGCTTGGGGCTTGATTCGGTTCATTTCGAATTGCTTAAATTTTGGTCAGGTTCAATACTTCTTTTTATTTTAATTCATATACTCCCTCTGTTTCAAAATATAAGAGGTAACCACAAAAAAAAAAAATATAAGGAGCTTTAGAGTTTTTATGCAAAATTAAATGTGTTTATGTTGCTTTTGATTATTTATATTTCAGCAGATTTTGTTTTCATTGGTTGAAATGTATTGAAATTAATGATAAAATATATTTTATTTTTAAAAAGTACAGAAACTAAATGACTTCTTAGTCTGTATGCAAAAATCTTAAACCCCTAATATATAGCTTAGGTCATGACGTTTGAGAGAGGATGATACTATAATTCGATCTGCCAAAAAAAGTAAGAAAATACTTATCCGATTTATCTCAATTCCAATGTGTTTCGTGTAAATCAAGTCATGTAATCCATTTATCCACATAAAAATGTAAATTAAGTCGTGTAAAACTATAACATTGGACTTTTTATATAAAGAAAATTTGCTAAAGCCATTCACATGGTTGAACTAAAATATTACATCTATGTATTTTGTATTCCCAAAATCTGATTATAAAAACCAAAAATTAACCCAACTTCCTTCACTTCCTTCCTCCTCTAGTTCTCTTGCATGTACGTAGCTTATGCTTGGTGCAACCTATTTGAGAGGAACAAACTTGGCGGAAATCATATACTATTACTCCATAATCTTCCAAATTTACCATTGTAAATATTTTATTTGTTATCTCGTTCGTTTTAATTTAACTACTATTTCTACTCTCTTTTTTGCATACCCAAATTTTATCAACTTATTCAATTGCCCCAAATAAAGTAAATTTAGTATTGAGACATCTAATCATGAACAAATTCCATTCAGCAAAGTATTTCATTTTCATACGAAATCCATAAAACAGAAGCTGAATCCATCAGAACAAAGATGGTGATGGTGATGAACAATGTTGAACGATTAGCTGCATGGTCCAGTAAAATTTGATTAACCGTACATGTAAACTTGGAGGACTTATTTCCGGGGTTAAAACATAGGAAGTCAGCAACTTGTAAATCGTTTTATTACAAGTATTATTACGCACACCAAAGTCGCATGAAAAACGAACTTCCTAAAGAGTTGAACTAAAAACAGAAACTGCAACTTGCAACATGATATCCACATCAATATATTATATTTTACACAAACTTTTCCTCTTAATTCATTTCTTCGTTAATTCATTAAATTTCTCTCTGAGCTGTAATCAGAGAAAAACACAGATGTAAGATTTTAGTTTCAATTAGTTTTTGAAGTCCAAAAAACAAGTACAAAAGGAGGAAACAATTCTTACCTTTAAAGAATTTAATTCAAATAGTTCCTCGCATTCTCGGTCGAGTTTATCAAACTTGTACCATTCTGAGATATGAAAGAAACAAGCAATCACCAATGAATTTCTTTGTTTGTTCTTTATCAATTTAAAAAGAACAGAAATAAAATAATCTGAAAATAATGTACACAGATAATCTCTAACATTACCTGTAGCACCGTAAATTGTATATCCATACAAGTGCCATGTCCAAAATCTAAAATCTGTGAAAGAAGGATACACAGCATCCAGCAAGAAGCCACGAGTCTCTTCTCAAAGAATGATAGCAAAAACTAAAACACATCGAAACCCAAATGTAAAGAACGTTACCGTCGAGAAATGTAAAGAACGTTACCGTCGCTACCACGCGATGAAGAGAAATTGCGGCGAGACCCAACCGATCTCCATCCCTGTAAAACTTTTTGTCAATCGATCGCACCGAAAGAAGGGAAATCATAAGAAAGGTGACAGATCTTAATCAGATTTCTCGATTTACCTGCGTAACGACGGATCTCAGGTTCGGCGGCATGATCTCTGGAATTAGGGTTTCGCTCTTTCTTCTTCGTCTCTCTCATTTCTGATTTCTTCAATAGAGCGGGAAACAAAAATTATGGTTCCACGTCAAATGGGCCTCACTCAGAGTTTACCCTATATTTTGGCCCATAACCCGATTCTTGTCGGGTTTACTGATGGGTTACCGGTTTATTTCGGTTCTAACTTCTAAAACACAGGCAAATCAAACCAACGACTGTGATTCATTTAGCTGTTATGGATAATTATAACGCCGTTAGTAGGCCTGGGCAAATTATCCGTTATATCCGATTCGATTCGTTATTCGCTTCGATTCGATCCGAAAAATCCGGATAATCGTAATGATACAAATAAAATCAAATACTAAAATTCAATATCCGTTAAAAACAGAGCAAATATCAAATATTGTTTTTTTGAAACCCAGATATCCGCTCCGATCCGTAGATTATAATAATTATGTAGATATATACATATTATAGTATAAATTTGTTCTTTTGTCTTTAGAAACATACAAATCAACAAAAATGTTGTCTCCACAAATATAATTCATTCATTTATACACTTAAAAAATTTAATAATATAGCAGCAGTTTATTTAACTACTTTAGAACTATGAATATTGTGACCAAAATAAAAAGAATTAACCAATAATATGTTTAAAACTTTGTAATTATTTTTGCATTATGTTTTAATGTTAACGATAATGTGTTTACTGGAACTGTTGTGATCAATTAATTTACGTTTTTAGAACTTATTTGTAAATGAATATTATAATTTAGGAAACAATATTATAGTTTAGTATCTATCTATTTTTTAATTATTTTTAATAAATAAATATTTTTAGTTTTTTAAAAAATATTATTTTACGGATCGGATCGGATATCCGCGGATATTTATTGTTTTTACGGATATCCGAAAATCTTCGGATCGGATCGGATCGGAAAATCAGTTATCCGGATCAGACGGATCGGATCACGGATCACGGATAATTTCCGGATATCCGCTCCGTGCCCAGGGCTAGCCGTTAGATCTGACGTCGTTAATTCTGATGAAATGACTGCCGTTGATTTGCTTGAACGACAAACGCCGATCGTTGAAACTTTTCAAATATAGCGCTTAAAGAACAATTAAAACTTTTAAATTACACTAAACAGCATTGTTCGTTGCTCTGCTTTAACTCAAAAAAAAATGTTTACTAAATCCTAAGTCCTAACTAGCTTTGTTGGAAAAAAAAAAACAAAGTATTTTGGCATCCTATCCACAAAAACAACTAGTATTTTCGCTCATCATATCACGAAATTTTTATCTATTTTTGTCAATAAGTTCTTTTTCTTCCATTCATCATGTAACCAAAAAAACTGTTCCATTTTATATTTTCGTATTGTTTTATTTAGTTGCATAGGTAAGGAATAGTTCTTGTCATGCTACAAAAAGTCAGAGAGAATATTAAAATATATAGATTCTACTGATGAATTGAATATACATAGGCCGCAATTTAAAATCTTAGTTTATAATTGACAAACCACCCATTTGGAAACCAAACCAAACTGATTCATACGAATTCAACTTTTGTGATCGATTTATAAAAACATTCGCGTAAATAATTCTCTAGAAAGAGCTGAAATTGAACATTGTTTGATCATATAGGATCATTAACATACAATTTTTGTAAGGATCTTTTTAGAGATTCCTTTCAGTGTGATAATAAACTATTAATAGTTAAATTATAAAAGGGACAGTTCCAGTAATATGGGTCCACATAACACACACGGAGAATCCAACCTTTTAACACTTCTGAGTGGTATATGTTCCTTCAAATGTTTTCTTTTCCCACGACTTTCTTTGTGTTCTTGCTAAAAGGGGTCTTTTTGTCAAAAGGTAGATGTAATTCATGCGGCTATCGATGCCATTTTCTTTGTGGTTGTCTAAGGAAGATATATGATGACTTTTTTTTTTTTTTTTTTTTGTCAACAGATATATGATGACTATAATGGCATATTCATATGAAATGAAGCAGAAATTAATAATAGTGAAAAAAACAAATTAGTTCTCTAACAACGTACTATTAACCAGAAAATAATTTTACAGACGTGTCACCATATGGACTCTATCCAACTTTTTTTTTTCCTTCTTATTAGACTTAAAAATATGAAATTGAGGGGAAAATGTCCAAAAGTCTCCCCCTATATTAATCGTCACATATATTAGTTGAAATTTCAGTGGACGTTATAAAAATAAAAGAAGGACAGGATTTTTTTTTTTTTAAAACAGAGAAATTTAATGAGATTACTAAACTATATGTCAACAAATAACTGGTTGTATATTCAAATGCCAATCGCCCTGATTTTCATATGAATATCATATAAGATACTTTTATTGTGGGGACTTTTTCAACAATTCAGGAAGTTGCTTATAGCTTACGTGTCTTTGCTACATCACCAAAAAAGAAAAAAAGGAAGAAGAAAATATAGGAAAAAACAATTTTTGGTTTTAATCATTTTAATTTCATAGCTCTTATCCTTCCTCTTTTTAAATTACAAGCCTTTTTTTCTACTTTTTTCATAGTTTTATTTTCATTTCCTTTAACTGTTTAGTTCTTCCTCAAAATTCTCCAACCTTTGTTTCTTTTTCTATCTTTCTTCAACCTCTTTCTTTCTTCTTCAACGCCGACGTGTGTCTTCAATAAGCACATATTTATTCCTCGATCGATCTCCTTTCCCTCAAAAAGTTACCTGTGTTTCTTTCCTTAGTCAATCTATCAAGAATTCTCCACATCTTTATTGTTCTTGATTAAACATCCATATATCGAGATGGTGGAAGAAGGAGGTGTAGTTGTGAACCAAGGAAGATATCAGGAGGCGGTGGCTTTGCCTCCAGGGTTTCGGTTTCATCCAACTGATGAAGAGATCGTAACTCACTACCTTAAAGAGAAGGTCTTCAACATCCGATTCACCGCGGCTGCTATTGGTCAAGCCGACCTTAACAAGAACGAGCCTTGGGATCTACCAAGTAAGTCAAGTCAAGATCTCTTTATTTCTTTCTTTCATTTTGACCGTTTCAACATTATCATACATCAAGATTCTGATTTTTTTTTGTTATGGGTGCAGAAATTGCAAAGATGGGAGAGAAAGAGTTCTACTTCTTTTGTCAGAGGGATCGTAAGTACCCGACCGGGATGAGGACGAACCGTGCGACCTTGTCCGGTTATTGGAAGGCGACCGGGAAGGACAAGGAGATCTTTAGAGGCAAAGGTTGTCTTGTTGGGATGAAGAAAACTCTTGTTTTCTATAAAGGAAGAGCTCCAAAAGGTGAAAAGACCAATTGGGTTATGCATGAGTATCGTCTCGACGGCATTTATTCTTATCGTAATCTCCCCAAATCCGCAAGGGTACGTCAAAACAATTTCAATCTTTTTTTTCCCCGCAAAAATGTAATTTAATTTATTCACTTCAGTTCGTGTAGAAATCTAATGAGAAATATCTGAGTTTGATACTTTGATGCATACATAATGTTTTTGGTGTGAGAAAGTTTATCATATAATTGGTCGTATGTAGATATTTCTTAGTTCAAGATTAATCTAAAACATAAAATCTAATCAAGAGTTTTAATTAACGATAAATCTTTTTGGTGTTGTGATGATTATATTTAGGATGAATGGGTGGTGTGTAGGGTTTTTCACAAAAACGCTCCTACTACTACAACTAGGAACCAACTCTCAAGTATTGATTCTCTTGACAACATTGATCATCTATTAGACTTCTCATCTCTCCCTCCTCTCATAGATCCGGGTTTCTTGGGTCAACCCGGCCCAAGCTTCTCCGGCGCTGGCCAACAACACGACCACAAACCCATCCTCCACCACCCTACAACTGCACCAATCGACAACACTTACCTCCCTACCCAAACCCTCAACTACCCTTACGACTCGTTTCCTAATTCCGGATCCGGTTCAGCTTACCGAACTGGTTCGAGCTATAATGACAAGGGTATGATCAAGTTGGATCATTCTCTTGTGAGTGTGTCTCAAGAAACCGGTCTAAGCTCTGATGTGAACACAACCGCGACTCCCGAGATATCTTCGTATCCAATGATGATGAATTCGCCGGCCAATGTGGCGATGGTGGATGGTAACAAGACGCCGTACGATGATCTTGAAGACTTGGGGATCTTTTGGGACGACTACTAACTAATCTGGATGAAGGTTACAACATATTAATTGTGAATCTGTGATTGAAGAGTTGCATTGATTACTTGTTTAGTGTTTTAAAGGTAATTAACGCGTATATATTATTACATGTGAATATGTGATTAATAGGTTTTCTTAGTCAATGAAGTTTAGTTATACGTCGTTTACTTTAGTTAGTTTTGGAGAAAAGCTTTGTCTTCTGAATTTATTTGTCTTTGTAATTAACTTGTACATATATATTCGCCAGCATTTTGCTTCTTGGAATGGTCTTTGTCTTTGTCATCAACCTTCTTAAAAGGGCTGGTACAGAGATTTCTCACTCTCCTGAAGCTGAAACCGTAAGAATGAGAAACCAAATCTTCATCAATAGATGATCTTCCTCAATAGTTTACAACTTTCATAAATTCTGTTAAATTATTCAAAAAAACAAATTGGGGCTATGAAAACAACTACTGCGAGTTGGCTGACCCGGAGAATTTGGAAGCCTTTGGAAGCCATGGGAAGCCATGTTGATTCCGTAGAGAGAGAACGAGAGTTGTTTAATGAGGGCTAGTGAAACGCAACGCGTCGCGGCTTGGGCTTAGGAAAATTAAGCATATGACGGAATGTATCACAGAAATAACCAAATTACAGTTTATATCTCGGTATGTGAAAATAAGGTTTTTACTGACCTTTTTACCAAAAAAATTATACCGACCAGCTTCATCAAACCTTGTTTCTGAATGTATTATTGTATGTATATTCATCAAACCTTCTTCGCCAACTCGACCGCAAATCTAGTCATCTCCTCCGTGTGGTTTTTCTACATGTGTGGTTTTTGTGCTTTTTTTCTTCTTTAGTTGTTTCTGAATGTTTGGTCTTAGAATGGTGAACTCATTCTTCCGTAGTTCTGCCGTTAAACGGTTGATTCCAGATTCCCAAATCTTATGTCGAAGGAACTTAGTTATTTCAATCAATACTTACGTTTTTTACTTAATCTTCTAAACAGTATTATAATAATCTTCGTTTTCGGTTTAAACTTTTCATTGTTAAACGGGGATAGATAGAAATTCTTTGAAAATGTTGAACGAATTGCAAAATAGTATAGTAGATTCATAAAAGTAAAAATAATGCGACCAACGAAAAAATGTCAAAATTTTCTCAGACTCTAATTTTAACCCCCACAAAAACATAAAACGTCAAAATTGCCCATATGTGTCTAACAAAAAAACAGTCTACTCCACGCTCAGAACCTTGACAACAGAGGAACCATCAATCTTGTGCAACGCCACAATCCAATCTCCAAACTTGCAAATCCCCTTCTCCTTCGCCAACTCCACTGCAAACCTAATCATCTCCTCCGTCGAATCCTTGTTCGAAGACCGAGCCGAAGCTCCCGCCGCCACCACCGGAATAATCCCTCGGTACACCAAACCACGTGCCGCCACATGTGCCGCATCATCGGCGCCCGTAACCTCCGGCATGATAACCGACAAAATTGGAACGCTAGGCCTGTGTTTCGCGACAAGCTCCGCCGTGTAACCTTCCCTGGTGAGAACCACAATCGCCTTAGCACACAGTCTCCTGGCCGTTGAAACGGCGGACGCGGCTAAGCTCTCGATCGGAGATAAAGGCAGCGAAATGATATCTTGTGTTTTCTTCTGCATCGCGTCGTAGTCGATGTAATCCTCTGCCTCCTTGCAGATTCTAGACATGGTCAGCACGGCGGTCTCAGGGTGAGCTCCGGCGGCGGTTTCTCCGCTGAGCATGACGCAGTCGGTTCCGTCGAGGACAGCGTTGGCTACGTCGGTGGCTTCGGCTCTAGTCGGACGTGGAGATTTGGTCATAGACTCAAGCATCTGTGTAGCTGTAACAACTGGTTTCCCGAGAGCATTAGCCTTTTGGATCATCCTCTTCTGAGCCCTAAATATCTTCTCCGTTGGAATCTCCATCCCCAAATCTCCTCTAGCCACCATGAATGCATCAGTCTTGTCCATTATCTCATCAAGATTCATCACTCCTTCTTGATTCTCGACCTTTGACATAAGCATGATGGTCTTTGCGTGATCCCCAAGCAAAGCCCTGACCTGGTCAAGATCAGAGCCTTTACGAACAAAGGAGAGAGCGATGATGTCGATCTTGTTCGGGACACCCCATTGGAGGATATCTTCTTGATCCTTGTCAGTGAGTGTTGGGAGATCAACTATGACTCCGGGGAGATTCACGTTCTTTCTTTCTCCGAGAGTCGCCGAGTTCTCGCATCGGCAACGGACAAGACCGTGAGACTTGTCACAGGACAAGACGGTGAGAGAGATTGTTCCGTCGGAACAGAGGATCACGTCGCCGGACTTGAGATCCTCTGCGAGTTTCTTGTAGCTCATGGAGATTGTGTTTGAGTCTCCTTCCAAGGTGTAATCGGTTGTGATTGTGATCTCTTGACCTTGAATTAGCTGAACCGGTTTGCCTTCTTTCAGAAACCCGGTACGGATCTCAGGACCCTATAAAACCAAAATTAAACCGAGTTAAAACTTAATTCACAAATCGAATCACATAAAAGGAGAAATTGAAGAAGGAAGCTTTAAAGAGTTACCTTTGTGTCAAGCATGACGGCACAGAGAATACCAGTGTTGGCCATGGCGGTACGGAGGTTGTCAAGGGTTTCTTGATGGTAATCGTGACTTCCATGGGAGAAGTTGAACCGGGCTACGTTCATACCGGCTCTGAGAAGCTTCTCGACCATCTCAACAGATCTCGATGCCGGTCCAAGAGTACACACGATCTTCGTCTTTGACTTGAGGGCTCCATTGGTTGATTGTCCTCCAAGTAACTTCTCCATTGTCGTAAAAACGTAAAACTAACGCAGAGAAAAGGTTTAAGAGTTTTTGAGAAGAGGATATCGAGAGCTCGTGAAAAGTTTATGACTTATGATTAGAATGATGTGTGTTTATATAAGGAATTGGTTTAGAGAACGTGGAGAGAAATAATTTCCTTTTTTCACATTACAAAAGGAAAAAGGAAAAAGAACAATAAAAGATTTCCATTTATGTGTGGTTTTAATTTGGCATTTATTGGTTTCTTGTGTATCAAGTACGACAGTTTTTTTTACTCCCTCCATTTTTTTAAGATGAATTTTCTAGAGTTTTCACACATATTAAGAAAAAGTTGATTTTCAATCATTAATGTATAGATTTTGGCAATAAAACAACTTTCTATAAACTTAGACCAATAAAAATCTAACAAATTCAATTATTGTTTCTTGAAAACTGAAAAAATACTTCAAAAAACTAAAAATTTTATCTTTGTGAAACAACAAAAAATGTCCAGAAAATTCATCTTAAAAAAACGGAGGGAGTATTATTATTGAAAAGTAAAGCGCCATGGTTTTGGAAATTGTCATTCTCGATTTAGCATTCTTGTTAGTGCTGATAATGAGAAAGGAAAATAAAATTCTTGACATTTATTGATGTTATTGGCTCACAAGAAACTAAACCGTCAAAAAGAGATTATCGGATTCACTTTTTTTTCAACTGGTTTTCTACCACTAGATACATATGAATATGTGCATAGTTACTATAGTTAACAGTAATAATTAGAATATACTCTACTTTGCATCACGTTTTGTTCATTCACTTTTGTATGGCCTCAGAAATGTTCATAGTGTATTATTTTTATATCAATTTTTATGCTAAGGAAACTTTGTATCAAATAGAAGAAAAAATATTCTTTATACAAAAGAGTGCAGTGTTTACAAAGGAGAAATGGTAGAGGACTTATGTATGGTGTTCTTCTCTTTCCCTTGTGGTGGCTGAGATGAATGAAGAGCCGCATTGTATGACGACGACGCAAGCTGTGCCAACGCCGGTATAGCGCCACCTGCAAAGCCATAAATATTACAACACAACACCAAAAGACCAGTAATATCCCAATTTAAGTAGCTGAGAAGTTTCTAGACTAGGTAACGAAAAGGAGGAAGATGGAGATGAATCTCTAGACCTGCAAGTCCAGCGCAGGCTGATGAAACAACTATCACAGGTGGAGCCTGCATCAAACACAAAATCATCACGCGATCAAGAGATAATAAACAAACATGTGGAAGGAAAATGAATGTGCATCTTTGTTGAGAACTTACACCAACAAGAAAATGCAACCACATGGGTCCTTTTATCCACTTGCGCACAATCGGCATAACTGCGTCAAAAATCAACAAGAAAACACACGATAATAAGCCAAAGAGAGGTTTCTGAATCTTTTCCGCAAGCAAAATTCTGAAGGTTAAGCACACATCCACCTATTCAGACATAAGGAAACATACACCAACAAGAAGAATCTCGATTCTTACAACTTAAGCAGTTAAGCCACACAAATCAGAACAAGCTTAAACAATGAGAGGATAAAGACAAACCATGGTTAAATCCAATGAAAGCACTTGCCGTACCACCTACAGCTGATCCAATCTATCACAAGAACAGATCAGCTCTAAACGTTAGTAAACAAAACGAAAGTTCGAATTCGGCAAAGGCACAAAACTATTTTGAATAACTACTATTACTGAGTTAAGGTGGTTAGTCTAAAAGACTCGAATTTAGCATAAAATTTACCAGAACATATAAATTTATGTCTGAACGTACCATAGAGAAGCTATCTCTGATGAACGGAGCCACAGTCCATTCGTTGGTTTCCTGAAAATTCCATCGGTAACCAATGAAGATAACCCCCGCAACAGGTGAATAAGGGAGAAATCAATCAACATCTGTGAATACGTGATAATTTGTGGTAAATACCAGATTTTTAGTAAGAGGGCCTGCGCAGTGATAACATCTGGGTTCGATCTCTTTCCCTGAATCCACCATTTTCTACGACACGTGAAACCCCAACGAAGTTTCTATTTGGGTTTCTTTCGTTAGGGTTTCTGCTTCATTGCTGTGTTTGTGAGTGTCTAATCCTCTGTTCGACAACACAACAGAACACAGTCACCGAATCATCTGTGGTTGAATCTACTTTAAAGTCTTATAGTCAACCAATCAATTACTGCCACGTTTTCAAATCGATCCTTATATAGACCGGACCGGTCCCGCCGTTAGTATAACCCGGTCGGATTCGATTTTCAATTTCGAGAATTTCAAGCCTTTTTCCCCTTTTGAGTCCGGGGAAATTTGATATTGTAAACAATTTGTCGAGGGATGTAAGAGTATGTTTAATATCTCTAAATGAAACTGGCTCAATATAAGTTGGTTTTAAGTTTGATAAAGTAATATTTTATAATATCTTGATAGATTGAACCGAACCGAATCAGCTTAGAGTGAGGTTCAATCTATGAACGAGAAAGAAAACAAAAAATGAAATATATTTAAGGCTAATCATCTTCGAGGCAGTGATGTTAACAAGCAATGAAACAAGACTAGCTATAAGTGGAAAGAAAACGAACCTCGAGTAGCTTTTTGTTTCATTTTTTCTTTCTTTCTAACTATAATTATCGGGTTATTAAGATGAACAATAACAACGATTCTTGACTTGAGGGTGCGACTCACCTTTCTAAATTTTATTTTCTTCGAGAGTTATTGATTCTCATATTCTCATTCTACAGAATCTCAGGAAGGAATCCACTTTGCGTTTTCCTTTTTTTTTTTTTCTACTAAGCAAAAGAATGTAATTCCGTGGGTATTTTTGCGGCGAATGTAGCCCACGTGTTGAAGTATGCTCCCTACGCGAGAGCTTCAAAGCATCTCAATAAGAGTAAAGCTAGTCGTAAACAAGAACAAGAATCTGTTTAAATGAACGTACAAGGAAGAACATTCAGTCTCTATCACTCCACTCTCTCTTTACATTTTCAAATGGTTAAAAGGAAAAGAAAACAAAAAAAGAGAGTGTGTAATTGTCCTGTAACCTGAAATCCAATTGTCTCCATAACGGTTACAAAATTAATGTAAATAAACATAAACTTTGGTAAGAAAGAAAAGAATCTTGAGCAACATTTTGCAGTCAAGTGCATGCTCAAAATATTAATAAAAGTGCAAGATAGATGAAAATCTTGATAGGGTTAATTATGAGCTAAAATTACTTGGTAACCTTTACAAAAGCGCTGTAATTAAACATAAACTTTTGGCAAGAAAAAGAAGAAGAAGGAATCTTCTTAAGAGAAGAGTGAGTTTGATGAATAGATTCATTCAAGTAGACTTATTTGAGACTTGCAACACACAAGATGAAAAAGCAGCATATTCTCACCCACATGGAGATGAACTATTTTGGTAATATGCTCAAACACTTTTAACTGAAGGTTATGATAGGTTCTTCCTTCCCCAAACCGAATAAAGTGTCTTGAGAAATCACAACCATGAGATATCTATCATATGCCTATAAAGTTTTGTTCGGTATAAAATAAATGCAAAGATATCATTCAAGGAATATAATATTTGTTTTTCTCTATTATATAAATCTTTTTCATGATCTTAGTCTATTGAAGATGAGATGCCTTGACGAGTAATCATACACAGATACTATTTGCAAACTCAAGAACTGAAGACATCAACAAAATATATATATTAGTTGCATACAATGATACAAGTATAGAGTAAGATTGTAGCCAAGCAATATATAGATGCAGAGATTTTCTCATAAGAGATTTTCACTTGTATATAAATAGACACACAATTAAACACATGACACAAATGCATCGGAGAGATAGTTGCTGTTAGACTTAGATCAGATCAAAACAGACAGAAATTGATACAAACATAATAAAACACACAGGCATGAAGGGGCCTAATGTTTTTGTGCTAATCAAAGTATGGGACCCTCCGGTAATTTTTATACTGTTTAGAGAGAATAGGTACTAAACTTGGTACTGAAGGAGACATAATGAGAATTAATATTCCTTATCATCTTTTTAAGCAAAACAATGTGTCCAACAACAACAACAAAAAATCCATTTGTTTGCCATCTCAATCTAAAGGCTTCTTAATTTAGTTGACTGAGTGAAATCTAGTTCTTGAAACATAGCCAGATAAGCTTTATTTAAAAAACTCATCAGTAACAGCTGACTAAAATCATTAAGCCTCATCATAATGTGCCTAGAGACCGAAAATGACTCTATGGACAAGGAACAACAACAATTCAAACAAACGAAAAAAGCATTGAGGATATTCCAAAGAGAGATAATAGAGGTAAGAGCTGTGACTATGAAAAATATCAAGGGATATGAAAATAGTGGATTCCCCAATCCAAAAGTTAGGAGAAAAAAACTTGGGAATGAGATACTTCCCTCTGCCAGAATGGCGAAATAATGCGCATACGATGCATTAATTGTGGATCAATTCTGGTATCTAATTTGGGTTGAAAAGTTGTAGTCCATAGGAATCATTACATGAAAAAAATAATGACAATCACATACAAACAAAAAACATAACAGTTGAAACGATAATCACACACAAGACACAACTAAAGAAAGCATCGATTGGACCATTTATTCATATTCCATTCCCTTAATTTATCTCTTTTTTTTTCTAAATTGCCCCCCTTTTTTCTCCATTCAAATTGCTTATATAAAGCAAAGTTACACCAAACCAACCTGACAAAATTATAAAGAACAAGTAAAGAAAAATAAGCAAAAAACATCTTCCTTCCTTGCTACTTGGGAGGAGTTGTTTAACTTTCTGAGAGAAACAGTTTTTGATCTAAGAACTAAAAATCACACGTCAGGTAAAAAAGCAAACATTCGTGGCATTCATTTCCATTATTTAATGCAATTTCCAGGTGTGTGGAGATAAACAAACTTACATTTTTTGCCTTTTTTATGAACAGACTTTATGTATTACCAAAACCAGCAACAAGGAAAGAACATCCTCTCTTCTTCAAGAATGCATCCATTCCTTAGAGGAGGGAGCAATAACAGTCCTGGAGATTCTGGACTCATTCTTTCAACAGATGCAAAGCCACGTCTAAAATGGACTCCAGATCTTCATGAGAGATTCATTGAAGCAGTCAATCAACTCGGTGGAGCAGATAGTGAGAGTTACATCATATAATTTTCAAGATAATCTCAATCATCTTTGACTTGGAGCCTTTTAGATAACACTTTTTTTTTTGTGTGTGTGTCGTGTAACAGAAGCAACTCCAAAGACAATCATGAAAGTCATGGGTATTCCAGGGCTTACCTTATACCATCTCAAAAGTCATCTTCAGAAATACAGGCTGAGCAAGAATCTCAACGGACAAGCTAACAGCGGCTTAAACAAAATAGGTAAATTTAATATTTTCATTAACCAGATTCACAGAAACAAGAACTTTTAAATTTTCTTTCCCTTGAAACATACTTGAAAGGTCTAAGACGTAACATGATTCTTATAGGTATGATGACCATGATGGAAGAAAAGACGCCTGATCCAGATGAAATTCAAAGCGAGAGTCTAAGCATTGGACCACAGCCAAACAAGTAAGAGAATATGACTATTTTTGTCCATATATTATGTTCTAAATTACTATAGTTTTATCACCAAAAATAACCTAAATATAAATATTTGTACTCAGGAACTCGCCAATAAGTGAAGCACTGCAAATGCAAATAGAGGTCCAAAGAAGGCTTCATGAGCAACTTGAGGTATTATATTCATACATACAAATACAACACAGCTCTTGAAATATGAACATCGTGATTATGCAGAGCATTCAATAGAGAGGATAAGTTTTGTAGTAGTATCTAGAAAGAGAAAAAGCATTCAGTTTAAATTTTTTGGTAAATTTAAACTGAGCCAGGTGCAGCGACATTTGCAGCTCAGGATAGAGGCTCAAGGGAAGTATCTGCAATCAGTTTTGGAGACAGCACAAGAGACTCTTGGAAGACAGAACCTCGGTGCAGCTGGACTCGAAGCTGCCAAAGTTCAACTCTCGGAGTTGGTATCTAAAGTATCATCGGCCGAATACACAAACTCTGGTTTCCAAGAAACAAAACAAGTTCAACATCTATGTCCTCAACAGATGCAAACAACCTATCCACCACCTGATTGCTCTCTAGAGAGTTGCTTGACATCAAGCGAGGGAGCTCAGAAAACGCTAGAGAACAACAGAGTAGGACTAAGAACATATCTTGGGGATTCAAGATCCGAGCAGAAAGAGGTGATTTTGGAAGAACCTCTGTTCCAACGGATGGAGCTCACATGGACAGAAGGTCTACGGAGGAATCCGTATCTTTCAACAATGGTTAGTGACGCGGAACAAAGAATCTCGTATTCAGAAAGAAGTCTTGGTGGATTGTCAATAGGAGTAGGAGGAATTCACGGACACAGAGGTCATCAACAAGGCAACAGCAATGACAAAAGTGAGGATCATAAGCTTGAAACACGAAGCACAAAAACAGAGCTAGATCTTAACACACATGTCGAAAACTATTGTACAACACAACATCCGAAACAGTTCGACTTGAATGGTTTCAGCTGGAATTGACAAGGGTTAACCAAAAACTAGAGCTTTTCTTTTACTGTGTGATCAATATATCATATGATAATTAATTTTAGTTTTGGGATGATGATACTGAAAACTCGTTAACAATTTGGAACATTGTCGTTGTAACTGATTAATCCTTTAATACAAATAAGACATTGATTATGATGATAATAATGACAAGTGTTTGGTTCATTTCGGTTTAAGAAGAAACTGAAATCACAAACCGGTATGGTTAGTGAACTTGTTGACAACCTCTTGTTCCATTTCCACAAGCTGAAGGCAAAAAGCTTCAACGTCTTTCACATCTTCTTCAAACTCAAACCTAAACTCTCTCCATTGATACTCATCTCCAGCTTCTTCTTCACTCGGTACCTTCCCCAACAAGTCAAAACCTTTCTTATCCACAGATACCATGTAAGCATCCTAATCGCCAAGAAAAGAAACGAGTCAGTAAACGACCAAATGAACATAGAGGAGAATCAGAGATCCAAGAAAGGTTGAATCCTACCCTTGCGTTTATATCGAGATAGTACAAACAGAAAAGAATCAAAGCCCGTCTTCTCGATTCGTTCCTGTTGATTCCATCCACAAGTTTTGTAGACCAAGTCCCTGTGGTATCAAATCCAATGCAAAAAAGCTTAAGATGAAGCAAACAACAGAACTTGATACATCGTGTTAAAGTCAATTGCTTAGTTCACATTACCTAATGGATCTGCTTTTGACAGCTCCAAAACCTTCAAGTCTATTTCATTCTTGGCACCATTTGGGTCGACAAACATACATGAGCTAAGAAGAAAACCAGAATATCACAACTGTTTATATTATCCAAGTTAAGCATAAACAGAGATGGGGTTGTGTGTGTGTGTGTTTTATTACCTTGGAACGAACTTGTAAATAAGATACTTCTCATTTCCACCATTACTAACCAGAGCTTTAAGACTCTCGCATCGTGAGGCATACATCTGGTTGGAAGAGTTCAAGATGCTGCGGACTGAATTTGTGGACTCGCTAATCGCACCCATCTCTGATTGTATAGCTTCCTCCACATATTTGTTCACCGCCTCAATCTTTTATCAACAAGACAAAGTATGAATGATGAAGCATATATAATAAAGAATGGGGAAAGTCACAAGCTTTTTCAAATTGGTTCGTACCCTTTTCTCTTTCACAGGGACAATCTCTCCGGTAAGAGCAACCCTGTTTGGAAGCTGCAGAGAGAGTTCATGAAATGTTAAAGTCTTAAAAGAGAAGCATTTAAGCATGAATGCAGAGAAGTTAAACACACAAACCTTTCCTATTGACTTCAACAAAGCTGCAAGAGGGCCAGGATACGGATGAGCAATAGAGAAGGATCCACGTTCATCAAACATTATGTTCTGCCAAAAATCAAAATTGGAAAGAAACTCAGAGAGTAGCTTTTGAACCAATAAAGGTAACATTAAAAAACTAGGCAAGAGTAAGAACTAAGAAGAATGGAAGCTTACGACATTGTGAGGTTCACTTTCAGGTACCCAGAGATATGGCTTTCCTCGTCTTATCACGTACTTAATCTTTGAACTATGTATTATACTGAGACCAAAACACCCGAAAGTTTCTCAATTCAGAATTCAATTTTGCAGAATCCCATTATATACACTGAATCAAAATCAAAAACAGAAAGGAAGCTAATTTATTTCGCAGAATGTAGAACTGACCTTGCTTTATCTTCGGGTTTGATGGTGTTTAGGTACCCTTGCCAGTTCGAAACGATTATAGTCTGTACAGGAAGAAGAAAAGAAATAAGCCGGAAACATCAAAATCGATACACAGAGAAAAAGCTTCGGATTCAGAGAATAGAAAGAGAGATAAGGATAAAGGGTGTGACTTTGCATTTCTCGGCAAGTGCAGAGAGATTCGCCTTGCTTCCTTTCATTGCCGCCATTTTATGCTCACCAACTGTTCGACGAGTTTCCCTCTTTGATCATCACTACAAAATATTCACTACGTTCGGCGACCAAGGAAGAAGGTAACAGTGTGTTTAGAACAGCTACTTGGGCCCATAAATGCTAGTGAGAAATACCCACTTTTGGCCCAGAAAATGAAGCCAATAAGCGAGTCTGATCATCACGCTCTGCTTTAGCGCGTCGAACGATTTTCTGTTGAACGAAAATGACCGTTCTACCACAACAACAAAAATCAACATGACCATAATTGTCCACGTCATCTTACGCGTGGGTGATTTTTTTTCATGTCGACTGATTAGTGCTTACTTGGTCTTGATTATATATGTTCATCTTACTATAATTATTATGATTATAAATTTTCGAATTTTAGTTTTACAGTTTGTACGCAGACTGAGATAATCAGCGTAAATATTTAGTATAAATAAGTTACGAGATGAGATGTCAAAAAAAAAAAGAAAAAGTTACGAGATGAAAATACACTTGTGACATATAATACCTCTTACAATAGAAAATGAGAAGATGCTTATGACCAACCGGTGATAGTTTATGCTAATAATAGGTGTGTTTATTCATAATTTTATAATGTGTTATACCAAATCAAGAATCTCTTTCGTCATACTCATCATGTCTAATATTTGCATCATCGGGTTTTCTTCTCGTAAGTACGTATTCGATCTTCAAAAATATACACAACAGTTTCTTGACTAATGATAATAACACTACCTACTACTATAGTTCATCAAGACTACTGACTACTTAACTAGCATGCCAGAATATACACCATATTTGTTAAATTGTGTACGTCTATTTATTTGATATATGTGACTCATCACAAACTACAACATAGCTTTTCAGGTAATTTATTATTTGTGTATCTAATGTGAATATTTTAATTGTCATTGGGTATATCTACATCCATAAAAAAACTACAGTACTTTGTAAACCATAGAGTTTGTTCACATCGATCGAATGGAGCTAACTAAGAAGATCATATTCGTAACACACATAATCACGATAGCGATTTTAACCTGCCATTTTAGTATTTATCTAATAGAGCGACGAGCGTGTGAACCTCCAAGACTCCAAGTCACGTATACAAACATTATGTTATAATTTAATATCATTTTTTGATGGTCGGTTTGTGTTTCAACTTTCAAAGGCCGGTTTTGAGTCTGTTTTTCCTTCTTCTTCTTCCTTCTAGTCTCTCTTACCTATTTGATCTCGTCTTCCTTCTTCCTTACGCTCACTCAGATTTCTATCATCTCAACACAAATTCTTTTCATTATTTATTCAAATCATCGAGCTACAACACAACTGAGCACCCACAATCTTATCTCTCATACTTTTTCCAGTTTTCCTTTACAGCTCATAACTTTACCCGGGAAACAATCAATCCAGGATCTCTTCTTTTCCAACACCAAAATTCATAAAAAGCACTAAACTTTCCCGGAGAATCATTCCCAAATCTCCATTTTTTTTGCTTTCGGGCCAAGAAACAGAGGAATTCGCAAAATGAATCATCGACAGAAACAGAGTCCCATAACCAACTTTGCCGTTCTCTTCACCATCATCTCCGCCGTCTGTTTTTTCTCCCGCGGGGTCTCTGCTTTGGGAGTAAACTGGGGAACAATGGCGACTCATCAGTTACCGCCGAAGACGGTGGTGGAGATGCTGAAAGACAACAACATAAAGAAAGTGAAGCTGTTCGATGCCGACACAAACACGATGGGAGCTCTCGCCGGCTCCGGCGTCGAAGTTATGGTGGCGATCCCTAATGATCTGCTCCAAGCTATGGGAACATATCAAAGAGCTAAAGATTGGGTCCAAAGAAACGTCTCTAGATTCAACTTCAACGATGGCGTTAAGATCAAGTAAGTGTTCAAATTTATTGCGGTTATCATTTAATTGTTTGAGTTTAAGTTTTTCTAGTCCTAACCATAATTAACGACAACAGAGTTTGAGTTATGTATACATGTATCAAGATAAAGGTTAAAACGTTTCTTGATACTTAAGTATTCAGATATTTTGTGATTCGAAAGTCAGATATTTGACCTTTTTGGGGTTTGGATTATTGGAAAATGCCTCAAATATATCATGATAATGGGCTATTGAGAAAAGTTGCTTTAAAACTTTATTATTACACGTAGCTTTTTTTTAACAAAAGAAATAAAAACGATGACAAAAAAATGTTGCATGACTGTAATAATAGTTGGATCATGAGGTCCATAATAGTCATGAACCCACCAGATTAGACTGACTGAGAGGAGCTCCAATCCTTTACACGTTGGTTTTGAGTGTTGTTGACTAGTTGGATAATCAAAAACCTTTTTTTTTTTTTTTCCTTTTCTTCTACTTATCTGTAAAATACTATTATTGGCCGACTTGTTTATAAATGAATTGTTTGTATTTTTCTTTTAGTTGTGAACTTGTTATGTAGTTGGTTGACCACCACACCATTCATTTGTCACGATATGCAGTTCAATACGACATACTTCTAATTAAATTATATAATAAAATGCATGGTTCTGGAAGTGAATTATTTGAATTTGGTTTATGCATATTATGAAGCGTCATGCGTTGTCTTGTGTACATATCCATATTTTATTCAAATATGGACGGCCGTCATATGTATGTGTAAAGTATTTATTGCACATGATGATCGATCCGTACTTGTTATGGCAAAAAAAGTCTAAATCTTTCTTTTTCAATTCCTCTTTATTGCATGAGATGCAGTTATTGGATAGTACCATGAGAAATGTCACATGTTCATTTTTATCATACAAACGTTAAAATTACCTTATCATGCAACGAATGAAGTAAGCAATTTGTTTTTCTTCATTTTGCAGATATGTTGCCGTAGGGAACGAGCCATTCTTGACATCATACAACGGATCATTCATAAACCTAACGTATCCAGCACTCGTCAACATCCAAACCGCTTTAAACGACGCCGGAGTCGGAGATTTCATCAAAGCCACCGTTCCTTTAAACGCCGACGTTTACAATTCTCCGCCGGACAACCAGGTCCCATCCGCCGGAAGATTCCGTGACGACATTCTCCAAGAAATGACACTCATTGTCAACTTCCTCGCACAGAACAAAGCTCCTTTCACCGTCAACATTTACCCTTTCTTAAGTCTCTACTTGAGCACCGACTTCCCTTTCGACTACGCCTTTTTCGACGGCCAGAACGCCGTCAACGATAACGGCGTTATATACACAAACGTCTTCGACGCTAGCTTTGACACGCTTGTAGCTTCTTTAAACGCTTTGAATCACGGCGACATGGAAGTGATCGTTGGAGAAGTCGGTTGGCCCACGGATGGAGACAAGAACGCAAACGTTCAAAACGCGGAACGGTTTTACTCCGGTTTGCTCCCTCGGTTAGCCAACAACGTTGGGACCCCAATGCGTAAAAGTTACATTGAGGTTTATCTTTTCGGATTTATCGACGAAGATGCGAAAAGCGTTGCACCGGGGAACTTCGAACGTCATTGGGGGATATTCAAATACGACGGCCAACCGAAATTTCCAGTGGATTTTCGAGGACAAGGTCAGAAAATGTTCTTAACCGGGGCACAAAACGTTCAGTACTTGCTAAACCAGTGGTGTATGTTCAACCCTAACGGTCGTGGTAATATCAGTAAGCTTGGAGATAACATAGACTACGCGTGTTCGCTCTCGGACTGTACGGCTTTGGGTTACGGATCGTCTTGTGGGAATCTTGATGCGAATGGGAATGCGTCTTACGCGTTTAACATGTATTTCCAAGTGCAAAACCAAGAAGCTCAAGCGTGTGATTTTGATGGGCTTGCGACGATCACTAGGCAGAATATTTCTCAAGGACAGTGTAATTTCCCGATTCAGATCGGTGAGCCATCGTCTGGTCATTATGATCAGAGCTTTGGTTCGATGGTTAGGTTGGGTTTGGTGATGACTGGCTTGGTGTTTTTGTACATGACACAGTGAGACGTATCTATGTTTTTTTGTTGTGGTATATGACAATATACACAGTATTGATTTCATTAATCATTTTAAAGGGTTTGATTTTTTTATTATAATTTTGTTTTTTCATATATACGTATGGTTTCAATTTTTAGATGTTGGTGTATATGCTTCTTGCGATGCAGTTGTAGAGCTTTCTAGTATTGATATTTGCTTTGTTGATTATCTCTTGTCTCCATCATTCATACATAAAGGAATTAAGAACGTGTTTCACATTCGGCTAGAGATTGTTGCATCCAAAGACCAAACCTTATTAGACAAAATATTCAGAGGAAAGTACTAAAGAGGATAAAGATAAGATTTGAGGAAATTATGATTCTGCAAAATCCACTGACAATTATTTAATTTTTTTTTGTTCTTTAACTCGTGATAACTAACTCAAACACGACTCAACAAAAAGAAAAGTGAAGTAAAAATGCGTTTTGTCACACGTGTCAAGTGAACAATCTTATCTTAGATTTGACAAAGCCAACCAAACTGTCCTCCACAAATAGAGTCCCTTCGTTTTCCCTACCGTGGACCCCACAAGTCCCATATTCTTCCAATTGTTTTTTTTTAAAGAAAAAGAAAAAATTAAAAAGCTGAGAGTGAGACAAACAAAAGTCACCGAGGAAGTGCTCGCCGGAGAAACTGAGCGAGCTGCGACGGAGCACTGAGATGGGGCAAATGTCCTTCAGTCCTGAGCGTCTCCACGGTTGTATCTCCGCCGAGATGAGCCCTCAGATACTCCGCCACCGAAGCAGGCACGGAGACGTCCTTCGCCGTCTGAATCACACAAGAAGGGACTCTCACTAATCCAAGCACACCTCTCAGATCGCTGTTGAACACCGTCCTGGAGACGAACAGAGATATATCCGGACGCATATTGAACAGAGTCCGGCTAAATTCTCTAACCGCCGCCGGAACATCAGCTCCAACGGCCAGCGGCGCGAATCCCTGGACCCAAGCCTCGTAATTAGCCTCCATAGCTGAGAAAACCTTCTCGATCTCCCCTTCCTCGAATCCCCCATGGTAATCGACATCGTTGAGAAACCTAGGGGAAGCTCCGATTAGGATAAGCTTCGAGAAAAGCTCCGGTCGCCGGATCGAAGCTATGATTCCGATCATAGCCGAAACAGAGTGGCCTACGTAGGCGCAATTCTGGATGCCGAGTGAATCGACGATGTTGAGGAGATCATCGACGTAGGCGTCGAGCGTCGTGTATCGGTTGAAATCGAAGTAATCGGGATTGACGCTGCCGGCGCAAACGAGGTCGTAGAGGACGACTCTGTAAGTCGGAGTGAAGTAAGGGAGAATTAGGTGCCAAGCGGATTGGTCCGTACCGAACCCGTGGGCGAAAACCAGGATCCGATCGCCCGTACCCACGACCCGGACGTTAAGAGCTTCAAGGATGTTGTGTTGACTCATTTTTCTTCCTTGTTGTTGAGTTTTTGTTTTGAAGGGCAAAGAAGAAGGCTACTGTTTATATAAAAATCTAATATGGGTAGGTGCGTAATGAAAATGAAAATTCTTAATTATCTTCATTTTTTTTTCCTTTTCCACTGCATTTAATATCCTAAAATATCATTTATGCTTTTTGAACAAAAACTTCTGGATACAAAGAGCTTGCGTTGATTATTCCTCATACATTGATATTTTTTAAAGATTTTAAGATGCTTCAAGGGTATTGTTTTAGACTTTTAGTGTTACACTTGAGATATATTCCCAACCATGTTAGATTCTGTAAGTTGTATTTCATCAAGCGATGTCTATCCATAGGTATTCCGATTAGAAGAATAAGAAAAATCATACGTACAAATGGTTCTAATGACTCAGTAAAGTAATACAAATGAAGATACGAGTAGACAAATGAAAATGAATTGTATAAATTAAGGTTTTTTACAAAAGATTTGGATGTCTAGAAAATTATAATTGTAAATATTTATTATATGTTGACGATATATATATATATTTGTGATAGGTGATAGTAACGGCTGTTTATTACTTTTTTTCTTATTACAAGTCACAGCTACCAAATGGTTGTTTCTTGTTTATCGCAAACAGCAAACCATAAAGCTCCTACCACACAAACAAGCGTTTCCTATCTAATTACTTTTGTAACGCAGAAGATACCTCCTACCACAACACATGCCACAACACATTCGCCTATGAGTTCCAACCACCCGCCTTTCATACGATCAACCAGCTTTAGCTCCTCTTCCTTCACTCCCTCCATAACTTCCTTCTTAAATTCTTCATCCAGTTCATGTTTTGTCTTCATCCTTTTCTCTTGCTTCTCCTTCTTCCACATCTCACTCCTTTCTTCCTCCTATGGGTCCATGAAGTACCAAATAACAAAATACTCCAGATAGTATAGCCCAAAAGTTCGCCATTGATATCACTCCATCAAAGAATGATTTCTTAACATGTGTCTTTCCCTCATAATGAAGACTCAAAAGAGATTAGGAGCAAAACATTATAAGGCTTTCTCACCACAAGGATATCCATCCCTTTGATCGAGTCTTCAATTTTGTCTATAGGGTCCGAATGCAGAATGAAATCGCTGGCCTGCACAGAGGAGATGGCCTGCACACAGGAGAAAAAAATACAAGGGAAAAATAGACGTAAACAAATAGGTACCTTGAATGCGTTAGTTATATCACAACTTCTTCAATTTGGTCGAAAATTTGATGGGTCCATAAAGTACAGCTGATAGTATAGCCCAAAAGTGATCAAAAAATGATTTTTTAGCATGTGTTGTTCTCTGCGTAATGGAGTCTTCAATTTTGCCGATAGAGTCTGAACGAAGAGTGGAATCATTTCTTTGTCATTTTGAAAAAAAAAATAAACCATTACTTTGTCATCAAAATGCACAAAATTTCCACCCAACAAGAGAAACAAAACCTAAGAGCAAACCCTAAATCCGAATCAGAGAAACAACACCTTAAGAATAAACACAACAGATATCTAAAACCTTGAAATCGCAAATCATATTATGTAATGAAATTTTTTTTTTTTAATTATCTTCGTTTTTTCTTTTCCACTGTATTTAATATCCTAAAATATCATTTATGCTTTTTGAACAAAAACTTTTGACATACAATGAGCTTGCGTTGATATTTTATAAGATTTTAAGATGCTTCAAGGGTATTGTTTTAGACTTTTATGTATTCCCAAACTTAGATTTTGTAAGTTGTATTTCATCAAGCGATGTCTATCAATAGATATTCTGATTACAAGAATAATATAAATCATACAAATGGTTCTTTAATGACTGTTAGCAAAGTAGTAATAATAAAGACACGAGTAGATAAATGAGAACGAGTTGGATATATTAAGGTTTTTTACAAAAGAATTGGATGTCGACAAAAAGATAGATTGAAATATTTGAAAAAGACAAAAGAATTAGATGTCGACGAATTTGTTTTAAGCGTAACGGCTATGTATTTAGACGAATAAAATTGGTCAATGGATTACACAAGTCAAGATTGTATGCAAATACACAAATCATGGTTATTGTTCAAATCGAACCTCAATGTTTCAATTGTAAACAAATTAACCCCTACAATTGCAAAACAATCATTATTAGGCTTCATAAGAACAGAAAGAGGTCCCTCAAAGACCAAACCTTTTTACACGTATCCACCATTAACAGGAATGATCTGACCATTGATCCATTCACCACCGTCACCAGCCAAGAAACCAACAAGAGGCACCACGTCTTTGACTTCCCCAACCCTCCCAAAAGGTGACTCCGCAGCTATCTTCTCCACCAATTCAGAGCTCTTTCCTTCAAAGAACATCTCAGTAGCGATGGGTCCTGGAGCGACACAGTTTGCAGTGATCCCTGTTCCTTTGAGCTCTTTTGCGAGAATCTTGACCATAGTTTCAACAGCTGCTTTTGATGCTGCGTAGGCACCGAATCCCGGCTTTAACCCTCGGGTCATGGAAGATGTCATGAGTATGATTCGACCTCCTCCTCCTTGTTTAAGCCTATTCGCAGCTTCCTTGATGCACAGAAACGCTCCTTTCGTGTTGACACTACAAACGAGGGATTGTTAGAGATTGGGTAATCTTTAACTGGCGTTTAATCAAGTTTTGTAGCTCAATAACATAGAGACATGTCACATTTGATACGAATTCAAACATAATGATATTAATGTGGAACTGAACTGCATAAACCTAAACCGAATCAAATGAACAATTGAACCGGTACCTGAAAGTGCGATCGAAATCTTCGACTGACGTGTCTGCGATCGAGGGGTATTTGGGATCGAGAATTCCGGCCGAGTTAACCAGGATATGAACCGGAGACTCGAAGGCGATCTCGGCGGAATCAAACAGCGATTTCACCTGGCTTGGCTCGGAGACATTGGCCTTAACAACAATCGCTCTTGGTCCCTTTCCGGTGATTTCTTCCCTGGCTGGAAAATCGTTGATCTCCGCCGCGACACGCTCGGCATCTGCTGATCTAGTGGTGTAATTGACGACGATCCTCGCACCGAGTTCAGCGAGGTGGATCGCTACAGCTCGCCCAATTCCACGAGAGGAGCCGGTGACTATGGCGACTCGGCCGGCGAGGGGAAGCGGCAACTGCGAAACTGACGCAGCCATATTTGATTCGATGAGTCATATCTGACAACAATTAGCCTTTATTTAAAATTTTTAAAAATTGACACGTGCCTTTATTTGCAATTTTGCCACTTTAAAAAAATATAAAGACAATTCAGAAAACAATATTTTATTTTGTTTGTAATTTATTGTAAGAACACACAAACTTTTATAGACCACACAATTTTATTATTTACAGTACCAAGAGCTTTATTTTTGGCTTAAATCTCAGAAAACAATCTTTATTTTTTGTAACTTACTGTAAGAACCACACAACTTTAATAGACCACAAAATTTTATTATTTACCAAGAGCTTTACTTTTGGCTTCAATCTCTAAATCAACACCACTCTATCACCCTACTTATATAACTCAACATTTCTACACCAATCGTATAGGGTTATACTTGATAAATTGAAATGTTATGTTCCATTTTGATAAAATTCGGAAACTTAAAAGGGGCTCATTTGATTTAGACCCAAAAATTACGGGGAATTACCATAAACCCGCCCATCTCACCAAACTCTCAACGTTCAAAAAACAAAGTTGAATCTTTTCTTCGCGTCGATTCGTAAGAATAGAAGAAGAGCCATCTCTTTCTCTCTCTCTCTCTCTCTTTGATATCTGCAGACTTTCAGATTCTTGGAGTTGTCTTTAATTTTTCCGGGAAAGAGTCTTCTTGGGTCAATCTTCGTCATTCACAGGTACGCTTTCGCTCTTCGCTATTCATCAACTTTACTTTTGCTGACATTTCGAAACTCTGTAGATACCCTTCTTGTCGAATATCGATTGGGGTTTACTGGTTTCTTCTTCAATTGATATATAATCGTTTTGGGATTTGAATTTCGAAGACCCTTTTCGTGTGTTCATCACTATAGAATATCCATTTCTTTCGATGATATTTATGTTCCCAGATGAAGATGATCGTTTACTGTGAAAAGATTCAACCTTTACGAACTTTGAAGTATTCGATTTACTCAACTATTTGCCGAATTTCAAACTTCATCAGGAGCGAATGATGTTCACCAAAGAAATTTGAATTTTTTTTTCTATTTTGGAATTGAGGATTATTGGTTTTGGTATATTCTTTATGAAATTTCGGTGAAGATTGATTTTTTTTCCTTATTCGGATATGGTTTAGAATCGTTGATTGATTGATTTTGGTAAAGATTTTAGGATAAACGAATCTATCTTACAGTCAATTGATTGTATATATCTCTAACTTGTGTATATCTCTAACTTGTGCAAACTAGGCCAAAGAGGTCAAGATAATTTGGTCTATGAGTTTGGTTGTTGACTTTATTGTGGCTTTTTGATTTCAGAGTCTAAAGAATGGGGAGAAATCTTGGAACAGCGTTTAGACGAGAGTTGGCTAATCTTGACAAAGATCCAGATAGCAGCAAGACTGCAATGAGGAACTTGAGAACTATTGTGAAAGATTTGGATGAAAAAGTGATTCGTGTGTTTGTTTCTCAAGTTTCCGAAACCAAAGAGATTGGTTCTGAGTCAGGTGGCTTCACGGTTTCTCTCTTTGAAGACCTTGCTCGTGCTCATGGAGTCAAAATCGCTCCCCATGTGGAAATGATCATGCCTGTTATCATAAAGACATTGAGCGTTAGTGAAGGTTCCTTAAGTGTTCAACAGGCTTGCTCAAAGGCGGTTGCTGCTATGGCTAGATATGGGATTGATCCTGCAACACCGGAAGATAAGAAGAGGAATGTGATTCACTCTCTTTGTAAGCCACTCTCCGACTCTCTACTTGATTCACAGCATCAGCAGCATCTTGCTTTGGGGTCTGCTCTTTGCTTGAAGTCACTTGTGGACTGCGATAACTGGCGTTATGCTGCTGGCGAGATGGTTAATAGCGTTTGTCAAAGCTTAGCTGTTGCTCTTGAAGCCACTTCAAGTGAAGCCAAGTCTCATATGGCACTTGTCATTGCTCTTGCCAAGCACAATCCGTTCACCGTTGAGGCGTATGCAAGGCTGTTTGTGAAGTCAGGTCTGAGGATTCTTGAGTTAGGTGTTGTGGAGGGAGATTCTCAGAAACGGCTGTTGGCTATACAGATGCTCAACTTTCTGATGAAGTATCTGAATCCCAAGAGTATCTGCTCTGAGGTGGAGCTTATATTACAAGAGATGGAGAAGCACCAGCAAGACCAGGAGTATTGTGTGAAAGTTGCAGCTTATGAAACCATGAGAACAGCGGAGAGGTTAATAGGAGAGGAAGATCCAGTGTTTGATGCAGAGAGCTGCAAGAGCCGAATCTCGCTCAGCGGATCGATCAAGTCTACACCAACTCCGAGAGGTGATGACCACTGGAGTGTTGGCAGTAGACATGAGAGGAGTTATGTAAATGATCAAGAAGATGATGATGATGGAGTGTTTCCCGGTGTAGCCAGTTGGAGAACTGCTGTCTCAGGCTCTCCTTTGGTGAGATTGAATGAAGAAACCGGCTCTGTGCTCGAGAGTCCAAGAAATGGAAATGAGGTAAAGAAAATGCTACAAACTTTTAAAAAGCTATATCTCTTGTGTGTGTGTGTTTTTTATAGGGAAGTTTCATTGTTCTGCTGCTTTGGTTTCAGTTTCACTTTTCTGGTGTTGGAGATGCTACTATAGAGTCAGATTGGTTCCATCAGAGGAACAGAAGCGCTGAGTTCAACGAATCAGTGTGCTCTAGGACCAATCGCTCAAGGCGAAGGACGAAGAAGAGGCAAGATCACAGGCACGGTTTCGCACAAGATCCATTCACTGAGCTAGTTGAGAACAGACAGCAGCGGGAAGACGAGAGTGAGAGCTCGTCATCATCATCAATATATGATACATCTGGTACTATCAGTCCAACCAACACAACAGAAGATAAGAAGGCGAAGTTCTACAAACCCGTGTGCTCTAGGACTAATCGCTCAAGACGAAAGACGCAGAAGAGACAAGATCATAGGCACGGTTTCGCACAAGTAGTTCAGAACAGACAGCAGCGTGAGAGCTCATCATCATCAGCAATATCTGATACATCTGGTACTATTAGTCCTCACAGGCACGGTTTCGCACATGATCCATTCACTGAGCTCTCATCATCATCAGCAATATCTGATACATCTGGTACTATTAGGCCTCACAGGCACGGTTTCGCACAAGATCCATTCACTGAGCTAGTTGAGAGCAGACAGCAGCGGCAATACGAGAGTGAATCTGGTACTAGTCCAACCAACACAACAACTGAAGATATAGATATGTATGAGGACGCGAAGTCAGATTTGGACTCTGAGACTGAAACAGGCTTAAAGACGGGAGAGGCGCAAGCGTGTGTTGAGATGGGGATTGAGTTTCTTGTCTATTGCAGTTGCAGGGTTTGCTTCTGTCATGTGGGTACATCTGTAAGATGATATGATGCCTCCTCATCTTGTTCCTACTTGAAGCCCAATTTGTACTTAGAACTTACATAGGCTCTATTTGTACCTCCGTTCTCTTGTTCATTGTTCCTTTTGTCAAAGTGTGTTCAAAAACTAGTTTGCTTTCTTACTTTTCCTCAAAGAATTTGTCACTCTACTTTGAAGATCCATACAATTCTTCTAATCATATAACTTTCGTCCATATTTTCTCTCAGATTTGTTTCAGAACCTTTGTAGTTTATAGGGAACAAAGCCAACAACCGGATCGAAATCTTGAAGTTAAGACTAAAATAAGAAAACAAAACCGTCGTAATAGTTTCAACCAGTTAAACCAGGAAATTTCAAGATTGGGAAAGAAGAATCGAACATGGCAAACCAAAAGTCAAAAACCTAAAAGTTGGTAGTGTGTGTACACAAGGTAACAAATCTTAAACTGAGACATACCAAAATTTTCTCAGAAACTCGAACATAAGGTTACAGAAGAAAAGAGTTTCACTACGAGGTAATTTGGTTCTACAGCTTCTTAGTCTTCCTCCGCGCCTGCACCAGCAGCTTGTGCAGCGTCTCTCCTTGGTCCTCCTGCTTGTTTCGCCATTATAATCTGCACATTTCACATACAACAGAGCATAAATGTGTGTGGTTTACTCTACTTATAATCTGCACATTTTACATACACCACAGTATTAATGTGTGCTTCACTCTACTTACTGAGAACAATCCAATGTTGAACTTAAGGAATGGAGATTTATATGTCCATCTTGCAAGATATTGAATTAACCCAGCATTTTCTTTTGATTTATGTGATGGAGCAACAACTAAAGTGAGAGTTTGCTTGGTCTGTGCTTACCTGGTCTACACGAAGCACTGTGCATGCAACATCACAAGCATACTTGAGAGCAAATAACCTGCACAGAGATAGACAAATTGTACTTCAGTTTTTCTTAGAGCGGAACAATTGCTAAGCAAACCGAGACAAGTATGATAGAAAGACCTAATGGCTGACAGACGGTGAAACTTACTTGATTGCAAACAAGTTTACAATCACCTTCCTCCAAGTCGATGCCCAGCTTTGTGTTTTCATGTTAGTGACACCCCAATCAAGACCTGTATACAAAAACAAAGAACAAAGAGGTGAGGAAAAGGACTAAATTCATGAATCTTCAATCATAAAGAGTTAGGAAGCAAAAAAAACTACCATGAGGTATGTCAACTAAGAACTCTTGTGAAGCATCAGAGCAGAATTTTTTGACGAAGGTCTCACTAAACATATTTAGTTGGTCCCACAAGAAAAAGTCATTCTGACTGGTTGACAATGACTGAGCAGCCTGTTGAGGAAAAACAATAAATATTACAATCTTCCTTACGTTCCTTCATAATCTAAAACCTTAAAGCAGCACCAAGAACAAAATACCTTCTGCGCCAGCAAAATTCCGAGATCATCCAAACAATAAGTTAGGCATGAACTTATCTTCCGCAGTCTCTTCTCTATAGAATCAACAGTAGAGGCTTTGAGATCCAAGGTTGCAAGTGAGAAGCGATGCTGAAAATAAGTCTACCATCAGTTAATATTGTCCTAGAAAAATGAATGATACAAGGATGGATATATTCTTAAAATTCAGAGACTTTCTTTCTATGATTTTAACATTCAAAACTCACGAGCATCTCTAATCCTTAGTGTACACATACCTTTGTAGTTAGATTTTCCAGCATCCCTACCAAGCTTGCGCGTTTAGAACTTGGTATTTCCATGTGCTCGTAGTACCTGAAGTGTGGTGTAGAAAAGGGGACAAACCCAGCCAGCACGGACTCATTCACACAGGTAAAGACCTTTATTATTCAAACAAATTAATCACTATTTGGAATGCGGAAGATAAAACCAACACAAAAGTTAATAATCTTAAACAAAAGTTTCTGATTTTGAGGGCACCTTTCATAGATCATGACTAAAAATACCAAAATAAAGTGAAGATAAAGAGTAGAAGAAACCTTTGAATTCATTAGAGTTTCGAGTTCATGAATCTTTTTCCAGTAGCTATCTAACTTCGCACCTTAGCTCAGAAAAGAAAGGCAAATAAGAAAAACCAAACGTGAATAACGAATATGTAATGTACAAACACAACAAAGAAAGAACGTTAAAGGAGGCATATCAACCTTTTGTTTTTACAAGGGATGCAGTCATCCCAAATATCCGGGGAACTTCGGAAATTGCAGAGTTTAAATCCTTGTGATAGAACTCCTGCATGAAAAAGAGCTATGTTGTCAAAAGGTGCATAAAAATAGATCTCTTTAAGATAAATTTCCTATGTGTCAATGAGATTTCATTCAGGTCTGAGCTCACCCTCATGATACAAGCATAGGGATGCTTTCCCCCAGCATGATGGCACTCATCAACTATTAGAACCTTGATCATGTTCATCTTCAAAAAACTATGTCTCAATGCATCGAGCAAAATGGCAGGGGTCATCACAAGAACCTGCAGTTGTGAAAGCAAGGGAAAAAAATACAGAGTGAACACTTGAAAAGCTTCAAACAGGTTGAAAACTTGGACATATATGGGCGGACATGAAACAGTAGCAGCGAAAATGAAGCATCATAGTGACAGGATCCGTAAGAGATTGAGAAGCATCATAGCAAGATTTTCTGAACAACAGACTCATGAAATGGCAAGAAATCCAGCTAAGAAAACAATACAACTGAAATGCACCCTCAGACAGTTCAGCAAAAACAACGAAATGTATACAGTCAAATAAGGAAAGCAAACCTCATATTTATCGACTTCTTGTTGCCATGTTGAAGAATCCCAAAAGTCAACTCCCATTTCTCCCCAATACATACCAACTTTTAGATCAGTGTGCATCTTCAGGGCTTCTGCTTGCTGAGTAATACACACAAGGACGAAATAAGAACATCTGTGAAGGATAAGTGAATGTATTGGTGCACATCTGTATTCAATGTTTGTGTATCCCTTTATCTACAGCTTCCACCCTTTACATAGCATTGATCCTACTGAATGTTACTCTCAGGTTGAGCGTATGTGCATAAAACCCACAAACTCAAAGAGAGGCATACATAAAGGAGGTCTCATTCCATACACCTATTGTAAGAGTTGACAAAAGATAGAAACATACTTGACTGACAAGAACCACTTGAGGAACCAAGAAGACGTTGAAGTAGGGAGAGGGCTTGCGGAAAAGGTAGGCATAGCTACGAAGAAGCATAATGGCAATAAAGGTCTTGCCAGAGCCAGTCTCCAAGAACACAACTGTGTTCTGCTTTATAGCATTCTCAAGTGCAAAAGTCACACTCAGGATTCCTGATGTCTAACCACACATCTCCCATTCCCAGAACTCTGCAGCTGGCAAGGCTCCAAACGAGCAGTTGGAAGTGCTTTCAACACTACTCTGCCTCATATTCAGCTGAAACAAGTCATTATCTGATAAACTGATACCACCACCAGAGTGATGGTGTCTTTTAAGGTTCTTGCCAAACCTTGAGTGAAGATGGCCACACAGATAAGCAGAGATGGAGTGCTTCAAGAAAACATCTTTAAGGCTCTTCTTAGAATGTGTCAGCGCCGAGAAGGACAACGGAAAATGCCCAAATGATATCTTCGTCACAGGCTTTGTTGATTGGTTGTCCCACTGCGACAGGTGTGTGTCAAGCGAGCTCAAAAGTTCATCAGTTGGGTGCCCAAAGAGATTCGTGGGTCCTCGTAGTCCAATATGCATCGTTGTGTCAACACCAACAAACAAATGTTTACGTTCACTAGTCTGCATAACAAACAAATGATCTCAAACCAAATGAATCAAGAGGTAAAAACAATAGACTGAGTTTGGGAGAGAGAGAGTGTAACGAACCTCAACAGTGACGGCGTTAACATTCTCTTTCCTTCCCATCTGTGCATTGATGCTATACTTGGAGAAGAAATCAACAGATGAACCAACAGAGGGAACACCAAAGTTGTCGTGGTTACCTCTAAGATCATAGAATAGTGACTTATTCAACCCACTTCTCTTCACAACATCCTGCATCACACTCTCATATTCTAACCACTCATCTTCATTTAGCTTCATTGTTAACATGTCTTTGCTCTTCCCATCTAGTTAACCAATTTAAGGAAGATATCAATCAAACAGCAATATTCACAATTAAGAGCTTACAAGTAACCAAAGACTGAGTGCCAAAGATATTAAACCACAATGCTTCTCAAAGCTAAAGTTCAAAATTTTAATGGAGAAAGCAAACAAATTTGTCAGAACAAGTATCATTGAAGCTTGACTAACGAGAGATTCACAAATTCAAACATATGGGGAAAAAAAGGTCAGTGATTGAGGAGAGAAGTGAACCTGTGAGATCGCCGGTGATAAGGACAAGAGAAGGGTTGATCAGAGAGAGAGCAGATCCCACTATGTTTTTGAAATCAAGGGCTCTTTCTGGGTGATGAACACTGAAATGGAGATCCGATAGCTGAACAACCCAAATCAAGTCTTGCCCAGTTCTCGCTTCAATCACTCTTCTTCCGGATTCGTCTATCGAACCAGAAACCCTCGAGCTCAAGGAGATTAACAGAAGAAGAAGAAGAAGAAGAATCGTAGAGGAGATTCTTCTCCCCTGAGAAGCTGTGCTCTTTCTTAGCTCATCGTCGTCGCCGATCGCTTCCATTGACCTCTAAATCTCGCGAATCAGTAGCATTTGCAGATAAATCTCCCAATTTTGATTGTATTTGCAAAATCGTCACGCTTAACGACGAACTTGCATTGTGTTCCCAGAAAAGTCTACATTTTTATTACTTCTTAATCCGTTTCCTTGTCGTGTTTTCTTTATTAACATGTTAATGCAGAGAAAAATCAAATTTTCTAAACCTTTACATCTACCAAAGAATCGTAAAGTTGTTTAATTTTAACTTATTTTGAAGCCATCACAATTTCTTACGTGTGATTTTTGTATAGGTAGGACAAGAAAATGGAGGAGCTAGAGCAAAGGGAGTAAGTAAATATGGACCATTCAATTTTACGGGAAGCCACAGTCTGGAAGTTGAGTTTCAATTCTGAGATTTCGGTTTGACGTAGAGAAATACTGAAAGTTTTAAAAGTAAAAATTCTTCTCTAATCCTTTTTTAGTTTTAGAGTTCTCTCAACTTTGTTATCGTAAGAAGTAATGCAAAACGAGTCATTATCTAATTATATGTTTTTGTAATGGCTGATGAACATGTCTTGTCTCGTAATCTCCGTTTAAAACAACATCATAATATAATTATTTTTACTTACATTGAAGCTAAAATATAAGCAAAAAACACACTTTATATATAATTTATATATTGAGCACCAAGCAATTTAATCATTGCATTAAAGTACAAAACACCATATATACTGTATAGGTCAAGTTGAGTTCTTATTTCCTTTCTCCTTCCGCAGGTTTCTTGATTTGCAGTAAATTCGGAACATAAGCGCAAACATGTGGCGTCCACTTTGGATGGGCTGGTTCTCCGAGGAGATCCAATTCTCTAACGTATGCAGCCTCTCCAATGACGACAAATTTTGGTGGTCTTTCTCCATTAAAACCCATGGCGACTTTCTTCTCCTCGTCAATGAAGAAACTTCTTACTATATCTGGAGCCATCACCTCTGGTATATGTGGAACCATCATGTCATTTTCAGGTCCTATATCCATCCTCAAGAACTTGCTCCATGAAACATTTTCGGGATCAATCTTAGTCGTAATCCATATGTCAAGCTCATATGGACATGTTTCGTGCTGAAGTAAAACTGCAAGCTTCTCGTCTCTCACACAAGATAGAGCCACATAGTCATCAAACGTCCATGCACAAAACGGCAGAGGCAAGAGAGGCCCAAACCTCTCACTTGTGAAATCAAAACAGATTATGTGATCAGCCAAGACTTCTACGCTTGAGTTGCTTCTTGTGGCACACCAGTAAGTGTTTCCTTTGAGAGAAACGCCAATGCCCCAAAACGCTTTACGCCATGTTGGAGTCGCATCAAGATTCGTCCACGAATCAGAGTCAAAATCGTACACGTCATACCAATCTTTTTTGTTATCGGATTTTTTACTGTGGTAAGAATCTGTAAACCTCAAGAGTTTGACGCTACTATTGTTATCCTCGTAACCGAGAGCGTAAGTGAAAGAGCGATTAGATAATGGTGGTTCGATCCACCTTTTTTGCCCTAAATACGGATTCCAAACTAGAAACCTAGAATAACCTTTCAAGATGCATAGTAATAAACCTTCGCAGTGAAAGATGTCAGATAACTTATCTGTTTCGCTTAGCAAGTTAAGTGTGCCTTTATCCTCTATAGATGGATCTCCGTTGACGTCGATGCTCGCTAGATAAGTATTGTTACCGATCATCGCGATCATCTGAGTCTCCCCTTCCTTTATCGCAGCTGATAATCTACCAAGGTGCAACTTCATAAAGCTAGGGCTTTTGGATAACTCGTTCCAGTTTCTGCATGTTAATCGAACAGGTTTAATAGATTTCAAAGGAGCCCTAGAGAGAATCTCTTCTGCTAAATCTTTGGGAAGATTCATCATCGTCGTTGTCATTGCTTCCATCTGATTTCTTCAGATAAACCCTAAATTAATTAATGTGGACCATTCGTGGGCGTTCAGAATGTAGTCAGGCTTTTAATTATGAAGGCATAAACCATGTAAACCGTCTCTCATTAATCATTATCCAACTGTAGGTTGTATTTCATCAAGCGATGTCTATCCATAGTATTCCGATTAGAAGAATACGATTAGTCTAATCAGCTATTATTATCCAATAGTTAGCAGCTAAACGTTTTTTTACAAAAGATTTGGATGTCTACAAAATTATAATTGTAAATATTTGAAAAAGACAAAAGAATTATATGTCGACGATATATATATATATATATATATTTGTGATAGGCTGTGTGTATCAAGACGTATAAAACATTTGTTTTTAATCGGATTGGACAACAACCACACCAAACGGCTTACACAAGCCACAACTCATGTTTATTGTTCTAAATGAATCTCAATTGTTTAAATTGTAAACAGTTGAACCCCTACATTTGCAAAACAATCATATTATCAAGGCTTAGATGAACATAAAGATGCACTCTCAATGACAAAAAAAATTCACACGTATCCACCATTAACATGAATGATTTAACCATTGATTCATTCACCACCTAGCCAAGAAACTGGACATTTACAAATGATAACATATCTCTAGTAGTGGTTATTAGCTCTTTCATTTAAAAATGATAATACATTGTGGTTTATTAACATCATCATACAATTAAAACAAAAGCCATGAAAACAAACATTCCGGTGTCTTAATTTTTACATATAAATCTACTTAAAGAAACAACTAAACATTACATTGTCAACAAATGCCCAAATTTCACACTACGAAACATAGTTGATAGAAAACATAACAACAACTTTACCGCACTATCTAAATAATTACTTAAAATAAACTCTTGATGTTGTCATCAACTATTTCGATCTTAATTTGGTGGTGTAGTTGATGACAAGCCTTGTGCCGAGCTGAGCACATTGGTGGTGCGAGAGTAAGTAGTTCTCTCAAGTCAGTTTACATATATCTGGCCAACTTTTTTTGTGTGTGTATGTGTCTTAATCCCAGGCCATTGTATATTTTATTTGGGATGTTTTAGGTAACAATTGCAAGAACTGAGAAGTGTGGTAACTCTATTTCGACAGTTGTTTTGCGTGGAGCGACATATGGCATCTTGGACCACACTGAAACATATGTTCTCGATATGGCTAAGAAATACAAGGTATTGTATCAAAGACATGAACTTTTGCTTGTGTGTCTATCTTCCATTGTCTTGTACACATGACCTTTTACTTTCTTTCAGGCAATGTGCAGAGGTAACCTTCCCGTGGCTACAGCTACTACCCTACAAAGAATTGAAGATTCCATCCGGAGAGTCCTTCAAGTTGTTGTGAGGATCAGAATACTCTTTCTTTCCTTGTCTCTTTTTTCTTTTTGTGTAATCTAATAACATGTCTCAATTTTGCAGGAAAAGAAGCCAATAAAAGACAATGTTAACCATATTTTTTAGCTTCACGCAATTCCACAAATCATAGTTTTTATTCTAATTTTCAATGCTAACAATTTAACCCATACATATCATTATTAAAGCAGTAAATGAACAGCAAAGAGGCATAACAATTTACCACATGTCTTTATTACTTTTCTTCTTCCGAATCTATTAATGGACCACACCTTGTCTTAAGAGTGATTATACATCCAAATTAAACTCCCAAACTTCTCTCATTATCGTATTGAGTTTGAGTTTAGTTTTTCAATCTGTTGAACTAATTGATCTACTCAATCATAGTCCATAGTTGGCTTTGGCTATATGTTTTCATCTGCCAAAATGATTATCAGAAGTTGAATAATTTTATACATCTCGTGCTTGTCATGTCACATTTTCGACAAATAAAGACATCACCCGCAATTCAATTTCGAAGTTCATATTTGATGATCACAAAAATCCCAAAACATTGGAAGTAAATCAATCACACAACAAAAAGATTTGATAGAACCTTTTACACATAACCACCATTAACGGGAATGATCTGACCATTGACCCATTCACCACCGTCACCAGCCAAGAAACCAACAAGAGGCACCACGTCTTTCACTTCGCCGACCCTTCCGAAAGGAGACTCCGCAGCTATCCTCTCCACCACCTCGGTACTCTTTCCATCATAGAACATCTCAGTGGCGATGGGTCCTGGGGCAACACAGTTTGCAGTGATCCCTGTTCCTTTCAGCTCTTTTGCAAGAATCTTAGCCATCGTTTCCACAGCTGCTTTTGATGCTGCATAAGCCGCATATCCAGGCCTTAAGCTTCTGGTCAGAGACGATGTCACGAGTATGATCCGACCTCCTCCTCCTTTCTTTAGCCTATTCGCAGCTTCCTTGCTACACAAGAAAGATCCTTTCGTGTTGACACTACAATCAATCAAGAACACAAAAACAAAGGATTACTAGAGATTTGAGATTGATTAGATAGACACAAAAACATGAACACATTTCATTTAATTTGATTCAAAACTGGAACATACATAAATCTCGCGAAACATGGAGCATAGAATATTAAAGGACTAATGCAGAGTAATCAAGTCCAGATACGAAACAATGGCTCAACACAATCCATTAAGAACACAAACAGAGGATTATTGGAGTTTTGAGAGTGAATAGTCACAAGAACATGGCACATATTTCATTTGATTCAAAACTGAGCTTATATAAATCTCACGAACATGGAGCAGAGAATATGAAAAGGAATCAACTTTAACACATTCGATGAATAATCTAGAGAAAACAATCACACTAATTAAATTAATGAGCCAAATTTGTTTTACGCGAGAAGACGAGATCCCAATCAATGAACAATCTGGAGAATACGGTAGAAATAGAACCTGAAAGTGCGATCAAAATCTTCGACCGATGTTTCTGCGACGGTGGGATATTTGGCATCGAGGATTCCGGCGGAGTTGACCATGATGTGAACCGGCGACTCGAAGGCGCTCTCCGCAGCGTCGAACAGCGATTTCACCTGGCTTGGCTCGGAGACATTGGCCTGAACCACGATCGCTCTTGGTCCCTTTCCGGTGATTTCTTCTCTAGCTGGCAAGTCGTTGATCTCCGCCGCGACACGCTCAGCGTCGGCGGATTTGGAAGTGTAATTGACGACGATCCTCGCACCGAGTTCAGCGAGGTGGATCGCTATCGCTCGCCCAATGCCACGGGAGGATCCGGTGACTATGGCCACTCGGCCGGCGAGAGGAAGCGGCGGTTGCGAAATCGACGACGACTGTGCAGCCATAAGGAGTTGATGAGTCAAAGTGTTTGTTTTGATGAGTCAAACTGTGTTGTTATTCACGTCGTTTTATAGATTCACGTCGTTACAGAAATCAGCCTCGATTTTTATTTTCTAACAATTTGACCCCAAGGGCTATTTGAGAGTTCACCTTCATAACAAATTCATATCAAACATGGCAAGGTGTTGTGGCATTTGGTAGTTGTGACTTGTGAGCATGAACTTTGTTCAACTCTCTTGAGATTTTGGTGCGTAATGGTATTTGGTACTAAACACTTAAGAAGGTTTTGACTTCTTTGTTTTAATCGGGAAAAAATATCCAAGTTTACATGCTTACGGATGTGGTTAAATCAATTTTATTGGACTGGTTAAATCAATTTTACTGGATAAAACACTGAATTTACTTATCGATGACGAATCTTCTTGCGTATTTATTATTGTTAGCTTTTTTTTTTTGGACCCCAAAAGCTTTGTGCTAGTTTTGATATGAATTTGTTAATTGTCATCACAACTACCAAATGCCACAACACCTTGCCTATGAGTTCTAAGTTCTAACCACCTGCAACTTAAGGTTGCTTTCTCACCACAAGGAACTCCATCCTTTTGATGGAGTCTTCAATTTTGCCTATATAGTCGGAATGAAAAGTGAAATCATTACTTTGTCATTTTGAAAAAAAACTAAACCATTACTTTATCAACAAAATGCACAAAAGTTACACCCAAAAACAAACATAGGTAGCAAAAACAATAGATTTCATGTCGTTTGAGATATTTTGCCGATTGTCATTAACAGGTTTTACTATTTTGCCAAGTGATTGCATTGGAATGGTTTATTTTAGTCAACAGTTTGTTGCCTAATTGAAACCAAGACATTGTATTTGAACCAAAATAAGGGAATTAAATCTGGGAAATAAAAATCATTTGATGGTAAGAAATTTTTGAATTTACTGCAAATTGACTGGCATTTTCCATAAAAAGGTTAAAACCTTATCTGATTTGTCAATACCCATATAAAGTAAGAAATCTAATTAAGCAGGATTTTTCAAAATAACATTTTCCGAAAATGTAAAGACAATTCAGAAAACAATCTTTATTTTTTGTAACTTACTGTAAGAACCACACAACTTTAATAGACCACAAAATTTTATTATTTACCAAGAGCTTTACTTTTGGCTTCAATCTCTAAATCAACACCACTCTATCACCCTACTTATATAACTCAACATTTCTACACCAATCGTATAGGGTTATACTTGATAAATTGAAATGTTATGTTCCATTTTGATAAAATTCGGAAACTTAAAAGGGGCTCATTTGATTTAGACCCAAAAATTACGGGGAATTACCATAAACCCGCCCATCTCACCAAACTCTCAACGTTCAAAAAACAAAGTTGAATCTTTTCTTCGCGTCGATTCGTAAGAATAGAAGAAGAGCCATCTCTTTCTCTCTCTCTCTCTCTCTTTGATATCTGCAGACTTTCAGATTCTTGGAGTTGTCTTTAATTTTTCCGGGAAAGAGTCTTCTTGGGTCAATCTTCGTCATTCACAGGTACGCTTTCGCTCTTCGCTATTCATCAACTTTACTTTTGCTGACATTTCGAAACTCTGTAGATACCCTTCTTGTCGAATATCGATTGGGGTTTACTGGTTTCTTCTTCAATTGATATATAATCGTTTTGGGATTTGAATTTCGAAGACCCTTTTCGTGTGTTCATCACTATAGAATATCCATTTCTTTCGATGATATTTATGTTCCCAGATGAAGATGATCGTTTACTGTGAAAAGATTCAACCTTTACGAACTTTGAAGTATTCGATTTACTCAACTATTTGCCGAATTTCAAACTTCATCAGGAGCGAATGATGTTCACCAAAGAAATTTGAATTTTTTTTTCTATTTTGGAATTGAGGATTATTGGTTTTGGTATATTCTTTATGAAATTTCGGTGAAGATTGATTTTTTTTCCTTATTCGGATATGGTTTAGAATCGTTGATTGATTGATTTTGGTAAAGATTTTAGGATAAACGAATCTATCTTACAGTCAATTGATTGTATATATCTCTAACTTGTGTATATCTCTAACTTGTGCAAACTAGGCCAAAGAGGTCAAGATAATTTGGTCTATGAGTTTGGTTGTTGACTTTATTGTGGCTTTTTGATTTCAGAGTCTAAAGAATGGGGAGAAATCTTGGAACAGCGTTTAGACGAGAGTTGGCTAATCTTGACAAAGATCCAGATAGCAGCAAGACTGCAATGAGGAACTTGAGAACTATTGTGAAAGATTTGGATGAAAAAGTGATTCGTGTGTTTGTTTCTCAAGTTTCCGAAACCAAAGAGATTGGTTCTGAGTCAGGTGGCTTCACGGTTTCTCTCTTTGAAGACCTTGCTCGTGCTCATGGAGTCAAAATCGCTCCCCATGTGGAAATGATCATGCCTGTTATCATAAAGACATTGAGCGTTAGTGAAGGTTCCTTAAGTGTTCAACAGGCTTGCTCAAAGGCGGTTGCTGCTATGGCTAGATATGGGATTGATCCTGCAACACCGGAAGATAAGAAGAGGAATGTGATTCACTCTCTTTGTAAGCCACTCTCCGACTCTCTACTTGATTCACAGCATCAGCAGCATCTTGCTTTGGGGTCTGCTCTTTGCTTGAAGTCACTTGTGGACTGCGATAACTGGCGTTATGCTGCTGGCGAGATGGTTAATAGCGTTTGTCAAAGCTTAGCTGTTGCTCTTGAAGCCACTTCAAGTGAAGCCAAGTCTCATATGGCACTTGTCATTGCTCTTGCCAAGCACAATCCGTTCACCGTTGAGGCGTATGCAAGGCTGTTTGTGAAGTCAGGTCTGAGGATTCTTGAGTTAGGTGTTGTGGAGGGAGATTCTCAGAAACGGCTGTTGGCTATACAGATGCTCAACTTTCTGATGAAGTATCTGAATCCCAAGAGTATCTGCTCTGAGGTGGAGCTTATATTACAAGAGATGGAGAAGCACCAGCAAGACCAGGAGTATTGTGTGAAAGTTGCAGCTTATGAAACCATGAGAACAGCGGAGAGGTTAATAGGAGAGGAAGATCCAGTGTTTGATGCAGAGAGCTGCAAGAGCCGAATCTCGCTCAGCGGATCGATCAAGTCTACACCAACTCCGAGAGGTGATGACCACTGGAGTGTTGGCAGTAGACATGAGAGGAGTTATGTAAATGATCAAGAAGATGATGATGATGGAGTGTTTCCCGGTGTAGCCAGTTGGAGAACTGCTGTCTCAGGCTCTCCTTTGGTGAGATTGAATGAAGAAACCGGCTCTGTGCTCGAGAGTCCAAGAAATGGAAATGAGGTAAAGAAAATGCTACAAACTTTTAAAAAGCTATATCTCTTGTGTGTGTGTGTTTTTTATAGGGAAGTTTCATTGTTCTGCTGCTTTGGTTTCAGTTTCACTTTTCTGGTGTTGGAGATGCTACTATAGAGTCAGATTGGTTCCATCAGAGGAACAGAAGCGCTGAGTTCAACGAATCAGTGTGCTCTAGGACCAATCGCTCAAGGCGAAGGACGAAGAAGAGGCAAGATCACAGGCACGGTTTCGCACAAGATCCATTCACTGAGCTAGTTGAGAACAGACAGCAGCGGGAAGACGAGAGTGAGAGCTCGTCATCATCATCAATATATGATACATCTGGTACTATCAGTCCAACCAACACAACAGAAGATATCTATGAGAAGGCGAAGTCAGATTTGGACTCAGAGGCCAAGGTTAAGACAGGAGAGACTGAAACAGACTCAAGACCGGTGAGGAGCAAGCGTGTGTTGAGATGGGGATTGAGTTTCTTGTCTATTGCAGTTGCAGGGTTTGCTTCTGTCATGTGGGTGCATCTGCAAGATGATATGATGCCTCCTCATCTTGTTCCTACTTGAAGCCCAATTTGTACTTAGAACTTACATAGGCTCTATTTGTACCTCCGTTCTCTTGTTCATTGCTCCTTTTGTCAGTTTGTTCAAATTCTAGTTTGTTTTCTTTCTTTTCCTCAAAGAATTTGTCACTTTTCTTTGAAGATCCATACAATTCGAACATATAATTCAGTCTATATTTTCTCTCAATTATGTATGTTTCAGAACCTGTGTAGTTTATAGGGAATAAAGGCAACAAACGGATCGAAATCTTAATCTGAAGACTCTTAAGTCTTAACCTTGAATAAGATAAAAAAACAAAACCGTCGTGATAGTTTCATCTAGATAAACCGGGAAATTTCAAGATTGGAAAACAAGTATCGAACATGGCAAACCAAAAGTCAAAAACCTAAACTTGGTAGAGTGTGTACACAGATAACAAATCTTAAACTGAGACATACCAAAATTTTCCCAGAAACTAAAAGAAAAGGTTACAGAAGAAAAGAGTTTCACTACGAGGTAATTTGGTTCTACAGCTTCTTAGTCTTCCTCCGCGCCTGCACCAGCAGCTTGTGCAGCGTCTCTCCTTGGTCCTCCTGCTTGTTTCGCCATTATAATCTGCACATTTTACATACACCAGAGTATTAATGCGTGTGGTTTACTCTACTTATTGAGAAAGAACCAATGGAAAATCAATGGAGTGGATATTTATATCTTGCAAGATATCGCATTAACCCAACATTTTCTTATGATTTATGTGATGGAGCAACTACTAAAATGTGCGATTGATTTGTCTGTGCATACCTGGTCTACACGAAGCACTGTGCATGCAGCATCGGAAGCATACTTAAGAGCAAATAGCCTGCACAATGATATACATAATGTACTTCAGTTTCTCTTAGAGCGGAACAAGTGCTACGCAAATCCATTCAAGTATGATAGAAGGACTTTAATGGCTGAAAGACATTAAAGAAACTTACTTGGTTGCAAAGAGATCCCACACTTTGGTCTCTGAGACGTCTTTACAAGCACCTTCCTCCAAGTCGATGCCCAGCTTTGTGTTCCCAGATCCGTGTCCAGTGTACAGAGAGGCAATTATTTCCATTGCATTGAGGCCAGCATTATCAGCAAGAGTTTTAGGCACAAACTCGAAGCTCTCTGCGTATTTTGAGATCGCATATTTGTCCAACCTAAACAATCAGAGTACAGCCCAAGTTAGCAACCAAACCATAGATAGTATTTCACGTATGACCCAAATTGATATCATCACAAAAACTGAGTAATAGAAATTACCCTGTTTCTGGGCGAAACCGTGACCATATTTTCGCAGAGCCTAAGAAACAATTTCTCCAGATTTGTTGCTCCTGAGAGATTTGGAATGTCTTTGATGTTTCTGGATGCACTCAAATCCATATGCTTGAGACTTGGCAATGGCTGGAAACATGCACACAGCCCAAATGATGTAAAACAGAAATAACATTTTAAAGAAGATTAGGTAAGAAACTTTGACATAATTAAGGAGAATACCTGAACACCTTCCCAAAGCTTCTCAAGCTTGCTATCCCGCATAGTGAGTTCCACAAGAAACTCAGGACGAAACTTATAGGGCATATGTTTTACCGGATACAAATCCCATTGTAGCAAACTAAGTTTACGTGGTAGATAATCCAAGCCATGAGGTACGTATACCTTGACTCTTTCATCTGGAAAGTTATTGTATAGCCTCAAGAACTGAAGATTAGGCATTTTCACAAAGGATTTTTCACTTATATACAGTTGTTCGTCGATTTCTGACATATCTAATGAAATTCCTAAAACAGTTTCTGTACCCTGCAAATAAAAGAAAGAAGGCAGTTGGTTAATATATTAGCTTGTGATGAGTAGGACTTGGAAAGAATGTTTCAACACTTACGGTTTCATCTGCAAGTACATCTGAAATCTCCAAAGCATCAACCAGGAATCTACGTTTCCCAGGCTCGTGGAGACATTGTCCCCGAGTAATTTCCTTACCTTTTTGTTGTAGCAAACAATGCATTACTATATACCCATCAGCGTGGATGTGGATAAGAGATCTGTCAACAAGGACTTTAAGTCCAAATTCTGCATCCAGTGCACTCTTAGCAAGCAATTGCTTCACACGATCAACATTCTCGCCATTAAACAAACATGCAATATGAAGAAAGAGAGACTTATCTTTCTCATCTAACCCATCATAGCATACTCCTAATAGTTTCTCTATTTTCCCATTTAAACTGGTTTTAAGCCTCGGTAACGCTTTAGTCCACTCCTCCTTGCTCATCCCTCGCAAAGATGCACCTAAAATGCTGAGACCTAAAGGAAGAGCCCCCGCAAGTTTTGCAACTTCAACAGCTAGATCATAGTAGCCTTCCGGTGCAGAGTTTTGTCCAAAAGCAAATCGACATAAGATTTGAATGGCTTCTCCTTTAGATGGAAAACCCACTTCATAAACATGATCAATCCCATGAGCTTTCAAAAGCTGTTTATCTTCTGTAGTCACAACAATCCTGGTCCTTCACCAAACCACTGAGTTTTATCTGCCAAGGCATGTAGTTGTTCTAATTCATCTACATCATCAAGAACAATAAGAGCTTTCTGGTTCTTTAGCCTTTCTTGTGCTACACCTAAATGGCTTATCTTTATATTCCTCTGGTTGAATATTTCAGAGAGAAATCTTTCTTGTAAATGCAACTTCAAACTATAACCATCGAGCTCCTTTGTCCTATAGCTTCCCTTAACATTCTCCATGAAAAGACTTAATTGAAAGTCATAAGCATCAGAAGAAAGTTGATTGTATAAAGCTCTGGCAATGGTGGTCTTACCGATTCCAGTAGGACCCCAAATCCCTATCACCCTCACTTCATTAGACTGTAGACATAACATTGAACTCAACTTCGCGATATGAGCTTCCAATCCAACAAAATCGTCGAAGTCCTTTGAAGGAGTGCAGCAATTCAACTCTTCTGAAACATCCGCAACAATCTTCTCAACCATACTTGCTTCACTTTCCCTGATAGAGAAAAACCATTGCACCCATCAAATGATTAGCATGAACTTAAAAATTCATACACAAACACAAACAATAAAGAAAACAATGATTAGTCCTCCATGAGCAGCGGTTTTGTTTATTAGACTAACCATTTTTCAGACCAATCGCCAGCGACATTAGCAACATTGGTCAAAGCTCGACTCCATCTCTGCCTCTCTTCAACGTTTCTTCCGACACAAGTTTTCTCAAAGGCCTTCCCAAAAGCTCCTGTCTGTTTTCTAACATCGGATGGATCCACTTCATAGAAAACCGGCAGCAATGTTTGTCCCAAGGCTTCCCTAGACTCCATGATCTCTAGCAACTCATTCAAGCACCAGGATGAGCCAGCGTAGTTCCTTGAGAGAACAACTAAAGAAATCCTTGATTCCCAGATAGCGTGTTTGAGTTCAGGCCATATGGATCGGCTTCTCTTGATTCCATGATCTTTGAATGCATTGATTCCCTTAATTTGTAGCTCTTTTTCAAGGTGGCTCAGAAAACTCCTACGGACATCTTCTCCACAAAAGCTAGGAAAGACGTGGTATCTCCAACAATGAAATGATGAAGAAGAAGAGGAGGCAGCCATGGGAGAGATGGAAGAGAAGGTTTTATTTTCTTTGTTTCTCGCAAATCAACTCGGACAATATTTGATCATGATGATGATGCCATTTTATATATTTATAAGCCGGGAATATTGTAAATTCATTACTCATCTCCATAGAGCCTTAGAAATTTCCCACTTGCAGATTTCTTTGAGATTAGACCAAGCCTCATCTTATGAGGCGTCAACGTCACGGTATGACCGAAGCACTTTAGAACGTGAAGGCAATCATCATCAGAGACTCGGTTTTGGTCAATTCAAATGTTGTTTGGGAATTAGTAAAAGAGAAGACAATTCCTGGGTTTAGGTTGCTTACGAGTTAAGACCAAAATGATTTTGAACCGGAACGCATACATAGATATTCAAACCTGCTTCTTCTGGCGAGCCAAACTAGAAACATCCAGCTGAAACTCTGCAGTCTCGTGTTCCGCTTCTGCGGACTTTTGCAGAGCCAGAGAAGAGAAGCCCAGGGAAAAGACAAATCGACCAAAATATGTGGATGTTATCAACATGACATGATAAGCCAACGTACGAGAGACTCTCATGCCTAGAAATTGCAAAATAAAACCCAACCTACAGTGTTTTCACCTAAAATAACCAAACTTAATTCAGAATGATACCCAAACAATTTTATAGCTACAAACTGAACCCTAAAACGGACAATTTAAGTTTTGGACGGTATCTAGTAGATACTATCTACAAAGCCTGAACATTTTCAAATGAAAACTGAGAAGCTATGCAAGAATTTAAGATTTCTTGTGGACTGGATGATGAAAAACCAGCAAAGGTAGAGTAACAAATGTTCTGGTTGTTCTTAGGTTTTGCCTTGTCGTAGGAATCCTTGTCCTACAATGTTATACAACAAATGTATGAGATTGTACGTTCAAAATCTGGCAAGAAAAGTTAAGGTTTTGATATTTTTTTCTTTTTACCAAGAACATGACATATGGAGCATTTATTACATGATCTTATTAGTCGTCACATTCACATTATACAAATAATGAACGAATTGATACATGTTCAAGTAATCAAGTTATAGAACTCAATTTTGAGAGAACCAAGAAGATATCTCTACATTCAGTAAATACCTTAATTTCTTTTTTTTGGTAAAATATATTTCATTTGATTGTTCAGATACTACTGTATATGCCTAAAGTTCTTAAAACAACCATTGGACCAAAGTTCATTTGTCTTGCCTAAAAAAGATGGTGAACACTGGAATATGGGTGAGGTTGACTGAGAGGAACGTATTTAGAGGAGAAATTTAAGCTTAAGGTCGGTGAGATTCGAGAAAAAGGAGAGACAAAGAGACCAATCACTTTTGAAGAGAGAACAAAAGCCATTGCCTAAAATCTGACATGTCCTTGCTTGGATTGAGTGCCATCCACCACCTTCATTCTCCTTCCATACGAAAGCTAATAAAAGAACGATAAGAGCATCTTCAAATTAGTCAAAAGCAACTACGGGAAAGAAAAAAAGCCGAAAGTAAGGAACTGCGTAATCTATGACACAAAAGAGAAAGTTATGAATGTACTTCAATTAACAAACAACAAAGGGAAAGCAAAAGGAGAAAACACAACAAAAGAAATAGAAAACAAAGTTTGAATTGTCAGGAGTTGCTTCTAAATCAAGTTAAGTAGCTCACGACTTTAAAATTTAAATCAAGTTACAAAAAAATTTAGAGCTTAATTCAAAACATTGTCTAAAGGAAGTTTTACACTCAATACAAAGTTTCAGGGAAGTTCTCTCCGTTGTAGCGCTGGAGATCCACCACTGGGACGTCTTGCTTCATCTTCTCAAGCATTGTAGAGTTAGCAGCAGCAGCACCATGTGGAGTTTTGGAATCAGTGCTCCTTGGTCCTCGGCAAAGCTCATTAAGCCTATCAGCTTTCTCTTCACTGTAACTTCGCCCGTAGTTGAAGCTTCTGGTCTTCCTATAACCATCAACAGGATACCATCCTCTCCCGAGTTTCCATGAATCATAACCAAACGTTCCATAAGCATGACCAGAGTCAATCACATTCCCGTAAAGCCCATACAGTCCATGGTTGGGATACAAATGGTCACTGTGTCCAAATTGGTCAATACTCGGCGATTCATGTGGATTCTGTAAAAGAACAAAGACCATTGGATTTGGACCTTGTTAGTCTATAGCCATGGAAAGACAGATAAGAGAAGGTAAGGGTTTAATGAAATGGAACCATCATACCATGAGATGTGAGAAGGGATTGGAATTGCTGTTGTGGCCATAACCAAACCTCGGATCCTGATAGCCACCAGAAGGATAGTTTGGTGAGAAGTAACCCCACGGGTATGAATCTCCACCGTTTAGCAGATTGCCAACATTCATATTAGGCCTTCTTTGGCTTCCATGAGAAGGTGGAGCAGTGTGTGAACCATAAGGCACATGACCATACTGGTGCTGAAGAGAACCCTTCTCACAATGACAAAAACACAGCCAGTTAACAAAAAATGCTCACCCACAACACAATCTATAACGAATACTTGCATAACATCAGTGACAATCTAAGTTCCAAGACTATGAATTTCAAAACAGTAGCAAGCAGTGTCTAAGATTTTGCATCAGATCAGTGACAAAGACCTCCACAGAACAATTTACAGTGTAAGATCCTCTCACCCACAGCTCAATCTAAATTCCATGACTATGAATTTGAAAACAGTAGCAAGTACCTTATTACGGCTCCGAGACACTTCACTTGCATCTGAACCTAGAGACAAGCCCTGGAACAAATCTTCTGTTTCTGCACCAATTGATTATATGCAAGAGTCAAATTAGCGTATTTCAAATGTCAAAGCCTCGAATTCCAATTCCTTAGAAAATTTCTTAATTTCTCTGAGTAAAAGTGAACATACCGAGAAGAGGGAAGCCAGTGAGACGATCAGAAGAAGAAGCAGCCATGTCCAGAGCAATCAGAAAAAAGAAGCGGAAAACCTAGAAAAAACGTCCTCGAAAAACCCAGAGAGCTTTAGGGGTTTATAGAAAGTTCCGTTCTTTTTGGTTTCTTCGTCTTCTTCCCTCTTTAACGTAAGGCGGTGTGATCTTCTAGCAAAGAAGAAATGCCCAATTGGGTAAAATTAACGAGGAGAATTCAAAGCGACAAAAACCAAATCAAAACCAAAAAAAGATAAGGCTCTTCCTCTTCTTAATGACACAATTTTTTTTGTCACATGAGAAGATTCGGAAAATTGACGTTGATTGGTTTTTATTAGAGAACCCCTTAATAATTAAAATCCAAATAGCAAAGCAATTATGACTTTTTTTTTTTTTTATTATGACTTTTTTCATTAAAAGAAAACGCAAAACTTATGAATTTCCCTCATGTTTTTGCTTAAATCCTATACCTTTCGCTTTAGGACTTTTGCTTAAGAGCGATTATCATGAATTCCATTTGTTTGTAACATTAACATATACAAACGCTAGTGTGATGTTTAACAACCTTGGTTCTGGTATTGTTGATGACATTCGAGTAATAATGATTTTTTTACTATTTGACAATTGGTAAAGTAACACCGATTTTCAACTAAAGAGACTCTTGAGTATGTACCTGTCACATTTCATCTCACTCAATCCTCCTCAATATAATTTTGACATGTTAAATTATGGAGCTAAATTTTACAGCATGATCTGTTTCACTTATCTCCATGAGTTAAATGATCATGTGAGATACGAGTTTTTTACATGCTAATGTTTCTTAGTGTGTAGTATTATTAAGTTAAGTAAGCATCTAACACTAAAACGCTATAACTTCTCAATATACAAATCGATAATACATTGTATGTAACATTTACATGTTAATTAGCTTCTCGAACTCGGTTAACGTGGACTTGTGATCCGAGTAGAGACGCGAGACATTGGGTCGATTTTATTGGGCCGAGTTCGGGTTGGGAGCATAATGTTAATGGAGCAAAATATGCTCGCACGAGCTGTTCGTGTGTATACATACGATGCATTTACGTCCGAATATTCATTTTTATTAATTTCCTTTTTTTATAACCGGAGCTGTATTTGTAATTAAACTAGTAAAATATCAGCCACAAAAAGAAAATATAAAAAGGGAACCCAAAGCGGAACAGCGATAGCCAATAAGAAAAGTGTAACCATTAGGCATCAGCCATTGGGGAACAGTGAACGAACACTGATGAGCAGCAAAAGAAAAGTTAACGTTGCAAAACGTTTTTTTTTAAATGAAATTAAAATTCATTAAGCATTTTAGTTATAGAAAGAAAAAAAAAAAAGTGAATCAATCCATCCCCCAAGAAAAAAAAAAAAATTTTATTTCCTCTGGACTCAAAAAAAAAATCTCTTTCCCAAATTTGCACCTCTTCTTCTTCGTCATCTTCATCTTCTTCTTCATTTTAACCCTAAATCTAGCCGCAACCATCTCTCTCTCTAGCTTTCTCTCTCCCTCTCTGTCTCCGTTTCTACTTCACAGCTGAAATTTTTCTCACATTCAAATCGTCACACCAGGAGGAGAAGGAGCTAATCAGTTTCTCATTTTTGGAGCTCGAGAGGAGATCTGAAAGTTTTTTCTTTTGTTCTGGATCGATCCTGCTCCACTCTCTTCATCCTCCGATCATCGTTATTTTTGAACTACTACCTCCAATCGATCTTCAGGTAAACAGAACTTTGACATCTCGATTCGATTCCGGTCGTGGTTGTTGTTGTTGCTGTGCTGGTACATTTATATATGACCACACGAAAGATCGTGATTTTGGAAGATGATCAAGCATATTTTATCATTCTGGCGATTGGTGAATGGTTACAATTAGCTTTTTCTCGAATCTATACTAGTTTTGCTTTGGATTTGAATGTTTCTGTGAAAACTGATAATCACCAGTAGATGTGTTCATTGATCTATGTGGATGTATATCCTTCTGTTGATTTTGTTGTTAGTAAATCCTTCATCATCAGTTCTTTGTAATGGCGTCCAAATTAGGAAGTTTCGATTTTTGATGTGTTTGATACTCTGGAGTCAAATATCATTGATTGTAAGATCAAAATTTGGTTTCAAATGCTTTTCTTGTGGTGGCTTTTCGGTTTGATTGAAAAATGCGACACCATAAAGAGTGTGTTTTTTATGTAAAAGAAATGCTCGTAATTTGAGCTATGGTTTCCTCTATTGTATTAGATTTGCCATTACTTGCTATCTCTCTTCATCCGCTTTAAGCACTTTCCTGGAAAACGAATCTGTTTTGCTCTCTTAGATTGCTCTCTTATCAGTTGGTTAATTATGCTCCTTGCATACGTGTCAGCTCATGTTTGTGGAAATGCCGCAAAAATTCTTTTGGCTTCATTCTAAAGAGGTAATATAAAGAATCTATTTTATGCCGCAGGTAATCTAAAGAGGTGACATAAAGAATAAGAGCTTCTTACATTTTGCATGGATTAAGAATGCCAGAGCTAAGAAGTGGAACAAGGAGATCGAGACGCCTTGACGATCAGCCTAACCCTCAGACAGTCGAACAAGCAGAGAACAACGTACCTCCTCCTCAGACCGCAACAAGGAGAAGAGGTGGTGGTAGAGGAAGAGGGAATGCTGCTGTAGCTAAAGGGGCGGTACCTCCAAGACCAACTGCTGCCGGTAGGGGAAGGGGAATCAGGTTGACAGACTTAGAGCCAGAACCTTGTGAGGCTCGTCCGGCTGCAGGTGCTTTAGGGGCCACTGAACCTGCTTTAAATCGAGTTGAAGGGGTAGCTGATAAGGATATTGCTGCGGAAGGCGCTAGCGCTGAGAAAATAGCAGGCATGGAAGAAGATTCCAGCACGGCTCCAGTCCCTGAAAGGGTAATTTCTTTTAACCTTGAGCTAATGGGTTTAAGCAAAGTGTCAGCTTTTCATTTTTCCTTTGAGTGAGATATTCACTTGATTTCATTTTTTTGTGTAGGTACAAGTTGGAAATTCTCCTGTTTATAAGACTGAGAGGAAGCTCGGTAAGGGTGGTTTTGGTCAAGTTTATGTTGGGAGAAGGGTGAGTGGTGGCAGTGACAGGATTGGAGCAGATGCGATTGAGGTATGTTAGAGAAAAGCCTGGTGAATTTCATGGGGGTTAGACCAAAAACGTGAATTTTAATTAAAAAGTTTATTCTTTTCCTTTTCAGGTAGCTCTGAAACTTGAACACCGAAATAGTAAAGGCTGTAATTTTGGCCCACCTTACGAGTGGCAAGTGTACAAGTAAGACTTGCAATGTTTCCTTTCTAAACCTCCTGCCCAGTTTCTCTCTCTCTCCTTATTTGTCACTACTTATCTCTTCTTTCTTGTTTTTCTGCTGTAAAGTACGCTCAATAGCTGTTATGGAATTCCTGCTGTACATCATAAGGGTCGTCAAGGAGATTTTTACATTCTGGTAAGCTTTGAGTATGAGTCTGGTTACACGTCAAGATTAGTAAGGTACTTTTTATGAAGAAACATTTGTAATTATTTCAGGTCATGGACATGCTTGGCCCTAGCCTGTGGGATGTTTGGAACTCTTTGGCTCAATCGTAAGCACTTTGAAAATGCTATATTTTCATACCATCCATTTCTCATGGAGATATGCTAAATTTATTATCATATGCTGTAGGATGTCTCCAAACATGGTTGCGTGCATAGCGGTGGAGGCGATATCTATTCTTGAAAAACTGCATATGAAAGGGTTAGTGCGAAATTTTTTATGCCAACTTCTAAGCAAATAATTCCATTTATTTTCGAACAGAAAATTTACATTTCCAGCCCAAAATTTCGCTATCACTGACTGACTTGCAATGTTCAATCCCTACATCAAACAAGGTTTGTGCATGGCGATGTTAAACCAGAAAACTTTTTACTCGGTCAGCCTGGAACACCAGACGAGAAGAAACTATACCTTATCGATCTTGGTCTAGGTGAGTTTCTGTATATGTTTACAAACAATCTGACACATTTGTTTTTCAGCTGTATATATCTATCTTTTGTCCCTGCAAAGTTTTGTGAAATATATGTAATATTAACATACATCATCTTTTTATACAGCATCAAGATGGAAAGATTCCCACTCTGGACAGCATGTGGAATATGATCAAAGACCAGATGTCTTCAGGTATTTTGATTGATGTATTTTATCTTTCCTACTTTATTTTGTATAATCAATATTTGTTGCTTACATATTTATGATGCTTTATATGCAGGGGAACGATAAGGTATGCAAGTTGTCATGCACATCTTGGTCGTACTGGAAGTCGGAGGGATGATCTTGAGTCATTGGCTTATACATTAATATTTCTGATGCGGGGAAGGTTGCCATGGCAAGGATACCAGGTGAGATTTTATCTCTCTATTCACAATCTAAAACCTTGCAAGTTTCAGTTCTAGTCAATGATATATAGTTTTTGTACGCAGGGTGACAACAAGAGCTTTCTTGTTTGCAAGAAAAAGATGTCGACCTCTCCTGAATTGATGTGCTGTTTTTGTCCTCCTCCGTTCAAGTTGTTCCTCGAGGCAGTTACTAATATGAAGTTTGACGAGGAGCCTAACTATGCCAAGCTTATCTCTATTTTTGATACTCTTATCGAGCCATGTGCTATATCCAGACCAATTAGAATTGATGGAGCTCTGAAGGTAGCTGTTTTTGGTTCCCATGGTTACTTTTCACTATCTATAAATATTTCAACAACTGCTGATATTTTGCTTTTGCATGAATAGGTTGGCCAAAAACGAGGAAGACTGCTTATCAATTTGGAAGAGGATGAACAGCCGAGGAAGAAAATCAGAATCGGCAGTCCTGCTACCCAGTGGATTTCAGTCTATAATGCACGTCGTCCTATGAAACAGAGGTATATAACTCAAAACTCAGTCTAGTCAGTGTTTTGTTTGGTACATTGCATGCCCTTCCTTTGCATGACCAGTCAATCTTTGTTGCTCTTTGTAGATATCATTACAATGTTGCAGACATAAGGCTGGCACAGCATATAGAGAAAGGTAACGAGGATGGCCTTTTCATAAGCTGTGTAGCATCAGCAGCTAATCTCTGGGCCATCATTATGGATGCTGGGACTGGTTTCAGCTCTCAAGTTTATGAATTGTCCACGGTCTTCCTGCACAAGGTAAATCAGCTGAAGCATAGGATTCGGTTCACATCTATCTATGAATAGATTGTCCACTGCAGCAGCTCACCATTTGTATCTGGATTCTTTGCAGGACTGGATTATGGAACAGTGGGAAAAGAACTACTACATCAGTTCCATAGCTGGTGCAAATAACGGGAGCTCGTTGGTTGTTATGGCAAAAGGTATGTCTGGTGAACTGTGGTGATGTCTTCTTACTTATTGATTCAATGGGAGGCCGTTTTAACTGATTCTACTTCTTGTAACTCGATAGGAACTACTTATACCCAGCAATCTTACAAAGTCAGCGACTCGTTCCCATTCAAATGGATAAACAAAAAGTGGAAAGAAGGTTTCCATGTGACCTCCATGACCACTGCTGGGAGTCGTTGGGGCGTTGTAATGTCCAGGAACTCAGGCTATTCTGAACAGGTTCCAAATCACTTCAACATTTCTTTGTTTCTTTTTGGGGGCACTATAATAAATCCAGTAATTATGATTGTCTCTGTGGTGTATGTTTAGGTAGTGGAGCTTGACTTTTTGTACCCAAGTGAAGGAATCCATAGAAGGTGGGAGAGTGGATACAGGATAACATCGATGGCTGCAACAGCAGATCAAGCAGCTCTTATATTGAGTATACCTAAACGAAAGATAACCGATGAAACCCAAGAGACTCTCCGCACTTCTGCCTTTCCAAGCACCCATGTCAAGGTTTGTTCTTAGGAAACAAAAGAAGGATCTTCCTGATTCTTTTGTCCATTGGTGTTCTATGTGCTGACTTTTGGATCTGCAATGTTGGTTGTAGGACAAATGGGCGAAAAATCTGTACATTGCATCAATATGCTATGGTCGGACAGTTTGCTGAGTAAACGCCGAGTATACTGTTACCAACACTCTCTCACTCTCGCTCTAGGTTTCAGGGATGATCATCTTTCTCTAGAGGCCTTTTAACGTGAAGCTTCGGTTTCAGTCTTTCAGTACAATCCTAAGGTAAACCTTAACCAGGAGCCAACCTATGTGACTGTGTAATGAAAATGAAATTTGTCTCGTATGTATGTAGTAAGTACAAGATCAAAAGTAACATTAAAAAAAAAGAGAGTAGAAGAGAAGCATCATTATTAATAGAATTCAAGAGCTGGAAAAAATTATGCAGTTTCTAGCTTTATTATTGCTTTCTTTATACCTGATTTGTGTACAGAATCAGGATGAAGCAACATGTTTGTTATAATCAACATATAAAAATCTGCCTACGGACTTTTTATCTTTTTGTCTCAGATTATATTACTTCAGCGTTATTAGTCTGTGTTTCATGGATTTCAGAATTCAACTAGCCTCCATTATCATCTTTTGAAACCAGAATCGTACATGTGGAATTTAACTAATATACTTCAAATGAATACTCGAGCTTATGTATAAGTATAAAGTATAACAGAACACTAAAGCGGAGTCAACCATTTGAAGTCGACATGATAAGATTTTCACTCGTTTTTCTGAAAGAAGACCATAAGAATCAACTCTTTTTTTATTTAGTGCGTTCAATAAAGCTTAAACATCACCATCTTCCACAGTGAACAGAAACATTGTCCTGATTTTAGTCTTTTAGCAATCTCTATTCTTGGACTATAACTATAAAACAAGACATGTGGAAGAAGAGCGAGTAGCACAAAAGACACAAAAAAACTCTCAGAAAAAAAATGCAGAAGCCATGTCTTCTCTCCTGCTTCCTCTTCTTCTTCTTCATTCTACAACTATCTTTCTCTTGCCCACAAGACCAAAGACAATCCCTTCTCGAGTTCAAGAACCTGCTGACGCAGAGCATCAAGAACCAATCCACAGCAGAAATCGACTTGGGAGGTTTAAAGTCATGGAGGCCAAACTCAGACTGCTGCAAATGGCAACTCGTGAGATGCAACGCTCTTTCGCCTTCCAGAGAAGTCATAGACCTGAATCTGAACTCTCTTGCCCCCTCTGGCTCAGTGAGTTCAAGCCTTCTGAGACCGATCCTTCGTATAACCTCTCTTGTATCGCTCGATGTTTCTTCTAATTTCATACAAGGAGAGATTCCTGGAGATGGATTTGCGAACTTGACCAGGCTTCTCTCTCTAGACTTGAGCCGTAACAGCTTCAACGGCTCTATCCCTCCTCAATTTTTCTCCTTGAAGACTCTTCAGCGCCTTGACTTAAGCATGAATGTTATTGGTGGTACATTGAGTAGTGACATCAAAGAGCTCAAGAATCTGGAGGAACTCATCTTGGATGAGAATCTCATTAGAGGAGAGATCCCACCAGAAATAGGTAAATCTGAAAACCAGCCTAAAAAAAACTTGAACTTAAAGATAATAATATTCATGTATGATTATGAAGATTATTAGGGTTGAATATGTTAGTGTTACTGAGTTTATAATGTCTTGTGTTACAAGGTAGTCTTAGTGAAGTGCGGAAGCTGTCATTGAAGCAGAACATGTTCTCTGGTCCTATACCGTTGTCAGTGTCTCAGTTAACGAAGCTAGAATTCTTTGATCTTCAGAACAACTCCATGTCCTATGAGATTCCAGAAGGTATTGGGAGCTTGGCCAATCTCTCAACTCTGGCTTTGAGCAGGAACAATTTGTCTGGTGGCATTCCATCATCGTTTCAAAAGCTGACCAATCTTGAAACACTTCAGATTGAGAATAACGTTGGCTTGTCAGGTGAGATCCCCACATGGCTGTTTGGTCTTGAAAAGCTTAAGATACTGAGACTCGGAGGAAACAAACTCCAATGGAACAAGAACGGCTCTGTCTTTGCAAAGTGTAAGCTGACACATCTGTCACTTAGATCTTGTGGCTTAGAAGGGAATATTCCGGATTGGCTCAAGAACCAAACATCTCTTCTCTTCTTGGATTTGAGCACGAACATGCTCCAAGGAAGTTTCCCTAAATGGCTTGCTGATCTGAGAATCGGAACCATGATTTTCTCAGACAACAGACTCTCAGGCTCACTGCCTCCAAGTTTGTTTCAGTCTCAGGACTTAGCCGTTCTTGCGCTATCAAGAAACAACTTCTCAGGTCAGATCCCTGACACGGTAGGCGAATCATCGGTCATGATACTGATGCTCTCTGAAAACAACTTCACAGGACCAGTACCAAAGTCTATCTCAGAGATCTACAGGCTGCTCTTGCTTGACTTGTCAAAGAACAAACTATCTGGTGAATTCCCAAGATTCGACTCTGGCTCATTACTTGCTGTTCTTGACATATCTTCAAACGAGTTCTCTGGTGATGTTCCATCTTCTTTCGGTTTAAACACCATGATGCTCTCCATGAGTCAGAACAACTTCACCGGAGAGTTTCCTCAAGACTTGATCAATCTCCCTTTTCTGTTCCATCTTGATCTTCACGACAACGGAATCTCCGGTGAGTTCCCGAGTTTCATCTCTCGCTTATCTCCTTTTCTAGAGGTGCTTAGCTTGAGAAACAACTCCCTCAAAGGTTCAATCCCTGAAGACATATCAAATCTCACAAGTCTCAAGATCTTGGATCTCTCTGAGAACAATCTTGATGGATCTCTTCCTTCATCTCTTGGGGATCTCAAAGGAATGATAGAATCTCCCGTGAGCAACTCTTCAGCTTTTACATTCGTTTTCAGCTTCAGCATCGAGATACAAGATTTAGCAGTGAACTGGAAGAATTCAAAGCAAGGTCTTGCCAGCAGAAACCTTTACCTCTACACTCTTTTAGCTCTCTCCAAGAACAAGCTACACGGAGAGATCCCAGCTTCTCTAGGCAATCTCAAAAGCTTAAAGCTTTTAAACCTCTCTCACAACGACGTATCTGGAGTGATCCCTCAAAGTTTTGGATATCTTGAGAAGCTAGAGATCTTAGACCTTTCGAACAACAACCTCTCCGGCGAAATCCCGAAAACGTTTTCCAACCTCAGCGAGCTGAATACTTTGGATTTGAGCAACAACAAGCTTTCAGGTATGATTCCAGAGAGTCCTCAGCTTGACAGGTTAAACGATCCAAAGATTTACGCGAACAACAACAAACTCTGTGGAATGCAAATCCAAGTATCTTGTTCTTCTTCAACGGCAAAGACAGAGCCACTACCAGAGGAAGAAGAGGAAGAGGAGTCACTGTTTTCATGGAGAGCTGCACTCATAGGTTGTCCTTGTGGGTTTCTTATGGCGGTTGTGTTAATGTATGTGGTTGGCTACTTCAACCATCCACCACCTCCACGACGATCTCCCAAGAACAGAGGAGAGATTCAGAAGAAAATGACTACTTGAAACCAAAATGTGAGATTGTTCTGATGCTCTAATCTTGGAAAAAAGTTATTAAATAAAAACAGTTGATGTGAGGAATTATAACCTAACACTTGCGTTCTCCTCAAGTAACTGATGGTATTAGAGTCCAAACCAAGAAGCCTAGAAGCTAGCTTGAAGTTTCTGTTGGTTGCTGCTAAAGCATTCATGGCTTTCTTCTCTGTTCTTAATTTTGTTTTTGTTTATTAGATCAAGAGAATCTTATAAGAAAACGATCGAAAAATGTGATATTTGCTTATGTTATTGCAAGTGTATATGTGTGTTATATATATAGAGAGAGATACGTACACACTACGTGTTTGTGTGTCTTTGTGGAGAATTTTTGTTTCTAGGATAAATAAATGAGAATTTGTATATGGTAAATGAATAAGTAAATATACGATATCCATGATTCATCCTGTCTTTGTTTAGTAAACATTTTTAACACTAAAGAAATGTAACAGTTTTTACTTATGTGAATTTGCACATGTTCTCTTATGTGTTTAGATCCATAGTAGCTAGTGGAATATTCATTTCATCGAAAGTTCGAAACCAAATCCGGAGACTACTTAATGAGAATAAATATATATATATATATATCTTATTTTCATTCCACAAAGATCTCCACAAAGATCACAACTATACAAGAATAGGAAAATATGAATGAATATAATGGTCTAGCAATAGGTCCATGATCTAATATATATATTGAGCATGCATTAGACAAGTTTTCTAGTGCAGTGAGCATGCACTAGACAAGTTGAATTTGACTTCGTAGCCCTGTTCTTTTGTTTAACTATTGCGAGTTGTTCTTGATTATCTCCCTTATGATTAGATTGCGATTGTGCTTGTTGAAGATTTGCTCATCAGAAGGGTGACTTTGAGATTGGTTATCACACAACCAGTTTGCCTAACAAGGATGTTGCTGCTATCAAGCGAATTGGACAGGAGCAAGCGACTGCAGCCCTTACCCACCAAATAGAACGATTGGAGATGGCTATTGTGAGTAATTTTCTGTGGCCTATATATATGGAGAATAAGGATTCGTGTTCTGTTTCTTCTATCAGATTTCCCTTTTCCACAGAATCTCTATAAAGTACAAAAGAAGCGTATGTGAATATGTTAGTCTATAGTTATATAAGACATAACATGCTCTCTCCAAAAATAAACACTAAAATAGTAATTTGATTGCCAACAAATAATCATATTAATGTTTGTTCAATTCACTAATATTTTATTATGCTTTATATGCATGATAAGAAACTGACAAAAAAAGGATCTTGGTTGCTTGATGGATTACTAATTGTAGGATCCGTGTGACTCTACTATACGCTAGAGTATGTTGTATCCTACCTCTTCACTGATCCTTGGGAAGAAGGCCACATGAAAAAGTGGAGGGACGAGAAGGCAAAAAGAAGAAAGATGTCAAAGGCTTCAAAGAAGAAAGAAGAGGAAGAGAAGAAAATGGTTATGGAGATTGAGAGGCTTAAAAATCCTTGAAGGATTGTAGTCTTTTTGGATCATGTGGAGTCTTAGGCGTGATGTAATTGTATTTTGTTGATGACTTATCTTTAATATAAAAGATCTTTGTTTTGAGTATTGAAACATTTGTCTAGTACGTGTTGAGTTACGGTTTTGTCTGAGAATCCAGCTACTAGCAAGTTTCGGTTAATTGTAATTTTTTTTTTGTTTTAGGGTTGAAATTGCCTTACACTTATTTGCAATATATTGGTTGACTCTCTATTTGTTCTTTTGGGTGGTCTAAACAGAGAAAGCAGGTGGTTTTGCTACTATGCTCATAAACTCACTGGTTTGAGTTTCGATCGTTATCCTTCCAGAATAAGAGAATGGCCAACAAACTCGTACCTTTGTTGCCCTTCGCGTTCTTTGCTCTGTTTCTTGAGTCTTGCATGCATAGCTATTTCCCTCTAGGCCACATATAATCGATCCTTTAGTTCAAGAAGTCCTTGAAACCACACACCGCAAGAGACCTTTAATTCACGAGCTTTCTTCGTGGAGACGTGGCAGCGATTACTGCTCCTGGGCGGGTGTGACATGGAAATAATCTTCCTCCACAACGTAAAAAGCTCAATCAAACATATTTTTAAATTGAAGGAACGGAAATAACCGGTGTGGTTTACAGTTAGACTAAATTATTCCTGGTTCTTATAAACCGAAGCCGGTCGAACGGTTAGAGAAAAACCCTAAATACGCACCCTTCTTCACCCACTTTTTTGCGTCGTCGTCGCTCCTTAATTAAACTCACTCTTAAACCCTCTCGAATCTCGATCCAAGAGGAGAGAAGAAAAACGCAGTCTTTGCGGAATCTAGCCTAAGAAGAGAAAATGAGACCACCGATGGGCGGCGGCGGGTTCAGGGGAAGGGGAGGAAGAGACGGTGGCGGCGGTCGATTTGGTGGAGGAGGACGATTTGGTGGTGGTGGAGGACGATTTGGCGGTGGCGGCGGTCGCTTTGGGCCTCGAGACGACGGTCCCCCTAACGAAGTCGTGGGTTCGTTTCTATCCTTAAGCTTGTTGTTTGGTTTTGGAATTACATAGAAAAGATAATTATGAAAGTTGCTTGATTTTTAGACTTGAGTTTTGACATGATTGAGCTGAATCAATTTGATAATTTTGTTTTTCAATTTGTTATCAGTGATTTGATTTCTGCTACTTTGGTTTCTCTCTTTGTTACCGGCAAGCTATAATCTTCTTGTAATCAGCAGAAACTTATTTGCAGAGCTATTGAATTGAATTGCCTTTGACGGATTTGGTTACTTATACACATTGTAAATGTATATGCTTATTGACGAAAGCTTGTATCTCTGATTGCAGAGGTTGCAACTTTCCTCCATGCTTGTGAGGGAGATGCTGTGACCAAGCTCACTCATGAGAAGATCCCTTACTTCAATGCCCCTATCTACCTTGAGAACAAGACTCAGATTGGTAAAGTTGATGAAATCTTTGGCCCTATCAACGAATCAGTAAGCTCTGCTCTCTCTCTCTCTCTCTGTCCATATTATGTTGTCTTCTTATTTGCTCTGCTTCTGATCAAACTAGATTGCTTCTTTCTACAGTTGTTTTCGATCAAAATGATGGATGGTATCGTAGCCACATCGTACGCTTCAGGAGACAAGTTCTTCATCGACCCTTACAAGCTTTTGCCTCTCTCTAAATTCCTTCCTCAGCCAAAGTAAGCTAACACATTAGCGATTCACAAGTATGAGTTGAGAGTTGTTAATCTTATAGCAAATCCCATTAACTGGTATATATATTTGTTCTTGCAGGGGTCAATCTGCTCCAAGAGGGAGAGGAGCTCCAAGAGGAAGAGGCGCTCCAAGAGGGAGAGGAGCTCCAAGAGGCAGAGGATTTGGAGCTCCAAGAGGTAGAGGAGGATTTGCACCACGAGGTCGTGGAGGAAACTTCAGAGGCCGTGGAAGAGGATAGATTCTTCTCCTACTTACTACTCTGTATGGGCTTATTCAACTTGTACCCTTTGTGTTTTGTCAGTGACAATCGTTTTCCTAGATTCTCAAGTTTTGGTACTTTGGTTATTAATCAATGTAGTAAGAAAAAATTGCATCAACTTTAGCTTCCATTAATTAATAGAAGATTTTGAAAGATTACAAGTGCAACTAGAAACCAAGTGTTGTTACCCTGAAATCGAATGAAATCACAGAGCAAAAGCAAATCAATAATAATACAGAATTTGAGTTCTTATTTTGAGCTGCTTTCAAGTGGAAGTCATCATGATCCCCAGCCTCTGATGATGGTAGCTTGAGCAACACGGTTAACACCAAGAGTGAAAGCTCCCATACGGAGATCACAAGAGTGAGTCTTACACATCTCTTTCAAGTCTTTGAAGCCACGAGTCATGTAGTTCCTTAGCTCATTGTTCACCTTTTCCTCCTCCCACATGAATCCTTGTATGTTCTGCACACACAATACACGAATCAGTGTTTTTGATTGACTGGGTTAGGTCTTTCCTTCTTGGTTCGAAAGTCGTACCTGAACCCACTCGAAGTAACTTACGGTGACTCCTCCTGAGTTTGCGTATATGTCCGGGAGGATCACAACACCTTTCTTCCTCAAGATCTTCAGAGAAAGATAGTACAAAGTCTCTGTTACAAGGAGTTTGAGAAGATGAAGAAAGAGTGAAAATAAAGAATCGAACTTCTCTAACCTCATCAGCTTCAGGATCAGTTGGATGATTAGCACCTTCGATGATGAATTTTGCTTTAATCTCATTTGCATTTTCCCTACACAACCAAACACAGAGTTTCTAAGAGATCACTCCGAGAGAAAAGGTTAAACTGATGTGGCAAGAAACTAAGTATATTACCTGTTGATAACGCCCCCAAGAGCTGCAGGGACAAGGATATCACAATCTTCAACAAGAATCGAGTCAGGATCCACCGAATCAGCACCATCAAACCCTTTGATTCCTCTGTTTTCTTCGGTATGTTCAAGCAAACCCAAGATATCGATTCCATTCTTGTTCTTGATAGCACCGGTCACATCGCTCACCGCCACAATCTTCCCACCTTTTTCACTTATCAACTTCGCAGCCCAAGAGCCCACATTTCCAAAACCCTAAAATACTGACAGCAGTATGAGTACCTTCACACACAAGTAATCTCTCCTAAAACTGAAAACTTCTTAACTATTTTTATACCTGGATGACGAATCTCTGTCCAGATATGCTCTTTCCATGTTCATTGAGCAAAGCTTCTGTTGCAAATAACACTCCTCTTCCAGTCGCAGCATCTCTCCCCAGAGATCCACCAAGATCCTGCTCAACATACATCATCCTCATCAATAATCATCTCTCATTCAGTTTTAGATTGGTTAGGCATATAAACCAGACCGAGCTAAATCTGGATAACAAGTAACAGTCACTTACAATCGGTTTTCCAGTCACAACAGCAGGAGAGTGTCCGTGGAATTTGGAGTATTCATCAAGAATCCACGCCATTGTCTGTAAAAACCATCATTATATTTTAGATGACAACACATATGAGAACTATACAAAGGAAGAACAAGAAGAAGATTTCAAGATCATGTTTACAAAACCTGAGGACCGGTTCCCATGTCAGGAGCTGGAACATCGGTATGAATCCCGATGAGATCGTGAATCTTCTGTGTGAAAACGCGAGTCAAACGTTCGAGCTCCGAGATGCTTAGCTCGCTCGGGTCACAACCAATCCCTCCTTTGGCACCTCCGTAAGGTATCTTAGCCACCGCTGTTTTCCATGTCATGAGTTGAGCCAAAGCGTTTACTTCATCCGGTTCGACCTGTCAATAAACCAAAATCCGGTTTAGTTCATACCAAAATCTAAGTTGCTTTGCTTTGGTTTAATTAGAAAAACAAAAAAGTTAAAAGCAAACCTCTGGGTGATATCTGATTCCACCTTTCATGGGACCTCTTGCATTGTCGTGTTGAACTCTGAATCCAACGAATGATGCAAGTGTTCCATCGTCTTTCGGTATGGTACATTCCACCTGCAATTATTGGTTTAGTTCCGATTTAACGATCTCTAACCGGATCGGTTATATGAAGAAAACAGAGGAAAAAGAATTCGAACCTTGATTTCTCTGAAGGGAATGAGAAGACTTTTCTCGAGCTTTGAGTCCAAACCAAGAAGCCTAGAAGCAAGTTTGAAGTTTCTGTTGGTTGCTGCTAAAGCATTCATGGCTTTCTTCTCTGTTCTTAATTTCAAGAGAGACTCCTAAAAGAAAACGATCGGAAAATGTGATCTTTGCTTATGTTATTGCGAGTGTGTTATATATATATAGAGAGATACGTACACACTTCTTGTTTGTGTGTCTATGTAGGGAATTTTTGTTCCTAGGGTAAATAAATGAGAATTTGTACAAGGTAAATGAATAAGTAAATATACGATATCCATGATTGATCCTGTCTTAGTTTAGTAAACATTTTTAATACTCAAGAAATGTAACAGTCTTTACTTTTTAGAATTTGCACATGTCTCTCATGTGTTTAGATTCATAGTAGTTAATATAATGGAATATTCATTTCATCGAAACCAAATCCGGAAACTAATAAATGAGAATAATTATATATTCTTTTCATTCCACAAAGATCACAGCTATACAAGAATAGGAAAATATGAATGAATATAATGATCTAGCTAGAGGTCCAAGCACTGAGCATGCACTAGACAAGTTGAATTCTACGTACCTTCAATATATTTTTTTCAAGCATTTTATTGTGATATTCGACCAGCAATGAATCTTGCATGTCATGAGATCTTTACGTGTTAGCTTATTCATATCTTTTAGCCCCTACATATAGCGTATACACTTTTCTGAGTAGTGGACACACACAAAAACGTATACACTTGACTTGGTGAGTTAGTGGCAAAAAAACGTATACACTTATTATTAATTTTTGTTTCTTTCCTTTTAAATAAACGTATGCACTTATTACACAACATGTAATATTCAGTTTTGATTGTAAAGATTCTTCGCACATTTATATCTCGAGACAGAATCTTTAGAGAATTAGAGGAGGACACGAAAGGATGCAACAAATAAAGAAACATAAACAAATGCAAAGATTCCACCATCAATGAATCTTTTGGAAAGGAGATTCCCCATGATTTATGCTTCCACTAATTAATTGAATCTTTGTGTGGATTTCCACCAATATTTCTTTCTCCTTCAATTTTCCAAAAGTAGATATCAATTACGTAAGAACGTTGACCGTAACCCTAGTGTTTCTATATTTTATCTAACCTCTTTTGTCGAACCAATGTAGACATAATAACCAAGTATGAAGCTCGGTTTAGAGTGGCTAAACATAATAAGCAAAATATAAAGTTCGGTTTAGTGTGGCTAATGTCGTCACGGATATAAAATTGTTTAACCCAATTTTATACAGTTGGCTCATTAGGCCCATCAATCTCTTAATGTGAAAAATATATAATAAATGCCTAAAATGCTCTCAAAGAGACCGAGTCTCATCATTACTATTGTTATCTCCAACTGTCTGACACTCCATTAATGTCGGTTCTTGTTTTCCCACTCACAATGACCCCAAGAAAAACGAGGAGATGGAACAAAGCAAAAGGTAAACAAAGGAACAACCTCATCCGATTCAGAGCACACCGAGTCCAAGGTATGATTGTGGAATTGAAACGTATTTGCTTTAAGGTAGGACTTGAATTTGGTAGCCACATGATAATTAGTGAGATCATATGATGCAGTAATATAACAACATCAGATGATTTGGCCTTTAGTTTCTGTTAAAGGAGGAACATAATCTCATTGACAAAGTTACTTTTGATTTCTTTCTCTATATATTTGGAAATTTTCAAGAAGACTTGTCATGTTAATGTAATTTGAATGTGTCTTTACAGATTTAATATTCTGGTGATCAGAAGGAAAGGTTTTGAGAATGTCGACAGTTGGAAATTCGACAAACATATTTTGGCAAGAATCACCTATTGGGAAAACCGAAAGGCAGAAGTTGATAAACCAGAAGGGCTGTGTGGTGTGGATCACAGGGCTCAGTGGCTCAGGTCAATCTTCTAAACAATCTTAAATGAAATCTTCCTCCATGAATGTCTATAAAGTTCTCATGATGTTACATAAGTCTCTTTTGTGCAGGGAAAAGCACGTTGGCTTGCTCGCTAAGTAGAGAGCTATACACCCGGGGAAAGTTATCATATATTCTTGATGGTGATAACCTTCGTCATGGTTTGAACAAAGATCTTGGTTTCAAGGCAGAGGACAGAGTTGAAAACATACGCAGAGTCGGTAAGTACATTCTCTTTCGACTTCTCAAAAGGGCAAGTGTTCAAGAAAACCAAACTGGTTTGTTATGTTCTAAACGCAGGAGAAGTAGGCAAGCTCTTTGCGGATGCTGGTTTGATCTGTATCGCAAGCCTCATATCTCCGTACAGAAAAGACCGTGACGCATGCAGGGAAATGATGCATGATTCATCTTTTGTCGAGGCAAGACAGTTTCTAGTTCTCATTTGATTGAAGTTTTAAGAAACATAAGGTTTGATGTGTTGTTGTGGCGTAAACGCTTTAGGTTTACATGAACATGTCTCTACAACTGTGTGAAGCAAGAGACCCTAAAGGACTATACAAGCTTGCACGTGCAGGAAAGATCAAAGGTTGAGATAACTAACAATAAAGCTTCCATACAAACAGAAGATAATAGCAAGTTGCTTCCTTATCATTTGAATCGTTTTTGTTCAGGTTTCACAGGAATAGATGACCCTTATGAATCTCCCTTGAATTGTGAGGTATGAATGATCCATCCGAATATATGATTCTTCTTCTTCTTCAAGATTGTTGCAAACTAAAATACTTCTCTGTTTATGTATGTTTGGAAACATAACAGATAGAGCTGAAAGAGAAAGAAGGAGAGTGTCCTTCTCCTGTAGCTATGGCTGAGGAAGTAATCTCTTATTTACAAGACAAAGGCTTCCTTGAAAACAATTAACCCTCTCCACCAACTGATATTTGTATTTCCTTTTTCTAAGTGTTTTCTGCTTTTATGTTTTTTCACTTAACTGAAACATTGCAAGTACTCTAAACAAGTTTGGATTGTAAAGACATATATATGCTTTAATCCTTTGCAACTTTATTTTCTTTCTTCTAAAACTTAGCGTCTTTTGGTAACGCACAAGTCTCATTCAACATTTCTTAGCAAAATGTGTTAAAATATTTCTGATTAGTTATTAATAGTTAAAATACATCACACCATCTAAAGTAAGAAAACATGTCATTATTTTGATCTTAACATCGTAAAAGTAGATTTTCTTCTTTTGAATTTTTGCCATTTCTGTTGTAATTCAACGAGACAAAACATGCCAAACTTTAACAAACACTCTAAAACAGAGAGGTACACAGATCCTGAAAATTTGGATGGGAAAGTCACATAATTTCTTTTTGGGAATTATTTGAATAGTTCAAAAAGAAGAGGGTTTATTTGTTATTTTGATCTTATTATTACAACATCGTCATCAGTTCTGTAATAAAAAGAAGAGAAAAAAAACGAAAACAGAAGTCGATCCCAGGAATTTTTGAGAGAGAGATGGTGTTGAACAGTCGATTGGTAGAGACAACAGTGAATATATCGACGGATCTATGGCAATACGTAGCTTGTAACCCCGAGAGACTTCCTCGCGCCACCGTGCTCCGTTTCATCTTCTGCATCCCTCTCCTCCAGCTCCGCCGCGTCGCTTTCTCTCTCGGCTCCTACCTCTGCTTCGATTCCGATCGCAATACTCACTCCGATTAGCTTCTCGGCTCCGTTTCAACGTATCGTCCAATTTGCTCCGTCTCTTCGTGTTTTGTTAGTTACGTTTTCGACTTTGATTTTGTAATTTCAGTTGTGTAATTTGTTTTGTTTGTAAACCGAAACGAACATTAAAAACAATTGAATATACCAGAATAAACCGAACATTTTCGTAAAGACTAAAACCAAACCGGACTGTGAAGAAATTGGATTGTCGTCGTCGTCAGAGGAGAGAAGAAAGCGGAGACGTGTAAGCCAAAAAGAACATCGAAAGGTGTTTCGTGAGGAAGAAGATGAAGTCGGTAGTGGCCCATTTCTCGACGCCTTTAATCACTGCTAGATTCTTCCCTACATGTCTCGTCCATCGACCATCGATCTCTGCTTTTGCTTTCCCAATCGTCCGCCGCCGAAATTCTTCTCTCACCATGGCCTCCGCAGCTCAGTCTTCTTCTCAGGTACATCTATGCGGCGAACTAATTGATGAATTTTCGTTCTGATTTTGGATTGTACTTGATTGGTCTTTTGCTTTAGTTCGGGGTAATCAGTGATTCAGTTTATTTACCGGTGGCTCGATGATCTGTGTCGTGACTTTTGCGATTGTCTCTGTTCTTATTATCTTTTTTCCTATCATTATAGAAAGAAAAATCAATCCTTTTTTGAAATGTTGCATATGAAATGTAAAGCTTAAAAAGGATGTTCATGTAGATTGAAATGGGGACATAGTTTTGGTCATTGATTTTTTTTGTTAATCCCTAGTTTTAGCCGTATGATTTCATGTATTTGGGTGTTAGATCGTTGAAGACGAGTCTAAATCTGTGACATTTACTTTGATAATCAGGCAGTATCACCAGGGAGTGTCAACAGTGAGACAGATGTATTCAAATTGATTCAAGCTCACGAGGTAACTAATGCGCGCCCATTTGGTAACCATGTTCTACGAACATTTATATACACACTCATGTTCTCAAGTTGATATGTGGTCTTCTATTCCAGGACAAGGCTGCTCGTCTTTCTCCAGTGGAGGAAATCCGAAATGTGCTTAATGGTAGTGTTTGCGGTATGCTTTCCACTTTTTCTCAGGTGAGCTCTGAGCAATTAAGTTTTTTCTTCTGTGAATGTGTCTCAGAGAGAAAATAACGGTTATAAGTATACTGAAGTCTTTGGATTCTGAGTATTGGTCAACATGTCACAAGTTATTACTCCTACCTTTGGCTATATCTCTCATTTATCTTAGTTTGGATTTGGTGCAGAAGTATGAGGGTTATCCTTCAGGATCAATGGTTGATTTTGCTTGTGATGCTGATGGTTCTCCGATTCTCGCAGTCAGTAGCTTGGCTGTTCATACGAAGGTTTGCTGCTTACTTAAACAATCATATCACTCATCTCTGTTTTGCTGCAATTTGGAGCTGTTTAAGCGATAGTTTACAAACTGAAAATGCTCATTTGGAGAGTTTATGCTGCTTTGCAGGATTTGTTAGCTAATCCAAAATGCTCATTACTGATTGCTAGAGAGCCAGAAGATAGGACTGGTTTGAGGATCACCCTACATGGTGATGCAGTGTTGGTATGTATTTCTCCATGTCACTCTATATACACTGACAATTAAACACAATGCTAGAAGTTTTCTTATATGTATTGTTTAGGTTTCTGACAAAGACCAAGCGGCTGTTCGATCTGCCTATTTTGCCAAGCATCCCAAAGCTTTCTGGGTAAACACCCTTTCTTGTTATGACTAGAAAGTGAAGAACTTTCCAAAGACAATGTTTCAAGACATCTCAAGAAGTCAACTGAACCTTTTTCTTCTTAAAACTCTCTGTAGGTTGATTTTGGAGACTTCAGCTTTATGCGAATTGAACCGAAAGTGGTCAGATATGTTTCAGGGGTTGCAACTGCTTTTCTAGGATCCGGAGGTTTCTTTTTCCACTTCATCTTCTTACTATCCTATCTTATGCGATCAAATTCCTGTTATCCCCACTAATTTCTGCTTATGCTCTGAAATCTCATTTTCAGAATTCAGCAAAGAGGAGTACCAAGGTGCCAAACTCGATCCTATAGCTCAGTTTGCAAAGCCTGTAACGGTATGCCAATCATATTCGCGATACAGTTTTTGATCAACCAATAGCAGTAGATGTGTACTAACTAACTTCTTTCAATTTGGGCAGTCACACATGAATAAAGACCATGAAGAGGATACCAAAGCCATCGTATACCATGTAACATCCATACCTGTAAGTAATCTATGAGATCCAGTTGAGCCTAGCAATGTTTGTCTTTTGTCGCACGATCATACCACACGGATATGTTCACATACATGACAAGTAAACTGAAATGTTCAGGTGGACAGCGCCTTGATGCTGGATTTGGACAGCCTTGGTTTCAATGTTAAGGTGTGTTTCTAATCATTTTTTCTCTCTAATCCTTTATTTTTGAGTTCATGAACCAAATCTTATCTTCCTCGTTACAGGTTACTCTTCAAGGGAACACTTTCAAGCTCCGAGTTCCGTTCCCAAGACCCGCACAAGACAGAAAGTAAGACGCTCTTTGTTTACATTTTCGTTCCTAAATTCGGTCTAGAGTTAAAACTACTGATTCTCTTCACTACTAAGAGTGTTTCAAAACTGATTAAATCTTGAAATGGTGGCGTTTCCAGGGATGTGAAGACACTGATAGTGGAAATGCTTCAAGCTGCCAAGTCTCCTTCCAATTAGTTTGCTAAATAAAGATGGAAACCTCTTTGCCTTCTTAGATTCCTGCAACAACAACAACAAAAAATAACATTATCCTTTACACATTCCTCGTCTTACATTCAGTTGCCAAAAACAAAAATTCGTCTTGTATATATATAACAAAGATACATGAAAAAGTTATAGATGTAGATTTGTGAAGTTTCTCTTCGCCATGGTTGTTAATTGTTATTTCAGGAAGAAGAATGAAAGAGCAAAGAAAAAGCCAACCCTTTATAGTTTAATTTGTCTTTTTCCGGTCAAATCTAGCGACTGATTCTCAGACACATTTGGATAAAGACATAGAGTACACAACCTCATCAGATTTGTCAGAATAAACATACTTTCAGAAAATGATTGGTACACGCCACACGGAGTCCGTGTTGAAGTTATGACAAATAGGACTACAAGACATTATCTGAAAGTTTAAAAATAATAGATTATGTAATGTAACAAGTTACAACAAGCACATACATTGACACAAAGAAATGGACTTTCCTTTGTGTTCAAAATACTCAACTCAAAATGCTTTTTTTCAAAACATGAGAGTTAGCTATAACTTCAATCAATAGGCAAACATTTCTAGTAAATTATCATCTTAAAACATCTCAATCTGAATCAGTCTCCACATTCCCCATGGCTTTTAGTCCTCTTGCTCTCCTCTGCAACACAAAACACATCACCTCATCATTTCTTTACCTAACCACAGCAAAATATTTAGAAAAAAGTTATACAAATGTTATAAAGCTTATACCTTTTTAGAGCTCTTCTTCACCCGAACATCATATCTATCCGGGCACAAATCAGCCAACCATGTTCCAGGACTCACCAACTGTAATATAAACAATTCAAGAATCTTCAAAACACTTTTTAAAAAGACAAAAGAAAAGAAAAGTAATAACGAGCTTTGGAAACTCACGAGTAAGCTTCTTTGGATGAGTTTGGCTCTCTTCTTAGGCCTATGGGAAGGTTTGCAACCTTTCATAGCCATGAAATCTTCTTCCTTTTCTTTGTTTGATAATGTTATCAACAGCTTCGGCCACAAGCTCTCATCTTCCTTGTTGTTGCTGTCTTCTCCATTGTTCCCATCTAAGCTAGCTTTCCCAATGTTATCAACCACACCTCTCGTCGTATAATACCTCTCCTCTTTCTCCGGCGACGATCTCCGGCGATCTGGTAGTCCAGATCTGAGGATTGTCCCTTGTGATCCCCTGCAAGAAAAATCAGAAAAATTGAGTATTGGCTTCGATTCCAATAGCGTTATTGAGCAAAATTTCCAAAAAAATGAAAAATTGAAATCAATTTCGTTGAAGATTTTTTTACCTGGAGAATCTTGTGGACTGGAGGAGGAAGTTCTCTTGACCTAGAAACCGAGAAGAATTCTTCTTCCGAAGTAAGGAATTGGATTCGCGTTTATCTTTGGCTCTGAGACATCTCAATCTCTTCTTGTTTCCCCACTGTAAGAATATTTCTTGCTCTAACGATGACATTTTTGGAGCTTCTCCGATTATTGTTCCCAGCTGAAGAATTTACACAAAGAGAAATCAAACTCTTAGTATCTCGCGAAGAAGAGAAAATGATTTTCGACTGAAGAGTCAAACAGAGATTAAAAAGTGAATCGACAAAAGAGGATGAAAGCTCCCAATTAACCTACACAGATGGATGGTTTTCCCGAAGTTGAACCACCGCAGCCGCTAAACTCTCCGGCGGGTCTGACGAAAACTTGGATGGAAAAAGACCAGAAATGTCTGCAAATGTGGGTTTAGGGCATCTCTTGTAATTTATCTAACTGGAGCGATCTTCACGAACCGTTGGATTATAAAATAGACGGTCAGATTTTAGAGTAGTGAGAAAATGGCTTTTTATACGAAATAATTTCAGAAAAATCTTGATGTCATTTCAGTTCAACGGTATATGATAATACTAAAGCCAATAATCCTCAATTCCATATGCAAAACAAAAAAAAAAGGTTAATGGTGGTTATGTGTAAAAGGTTATGCTCTTGATATGTATGGGTTAAATTGTTAGAATTGAAACATTAAGGTTCAATCAGAATAAAAACCATGATTTGTGGAATTGTGTGAAGCTAAAATATGGCTAACATTGTCAAAACGAAAAATGAATGAGCTTAGCTTGTTTCTTTTTTTAATCATGCTTTCGTGAAGGAATATGATTACGAAATGAAGAGAATGTGGATAATATGGAACTAATCCAACAACAAATACTGATAGAATCATAAACAAAATAAGGGTTTAATGTAATACCAAAAACATTTAACCACTGCACCCACACAGTTGAAGATAGTCCATCCCCAACGACTATACTTCACCTCAGTCACCATTTTGTTGTCTTCCTCCTCCGCAGAGGATCACCGGCCTTCACGATGTCGGGAATCACACCGGGATGCAAGTGACTAGGAGAATAATACTTAGGAAGTGGGTATTAAGTAGGTTGTCGATTAATTTGTAATTCTTTCGATTGTTCAACATTGCTCTTATCGTTTCCAGCCTTTATCTTCTCATTTCCTGTCTCAATTTTCTCATTTTCAGCCTCCATCTTCTCTTGTATCTAAGAGTGTATGTGTGTTGTGCTAGATTGGTGCAAAACTCTATGTAAATTTTTCTTAGGCTTCTACTTTTGTCTAGTATATGCATCACTTTTAAAGATGATGTTAAATTCAATGACACTAAGATTTTGTTGCATCACTTTTACAAATGATATAAGCATTATATTTTAGCATCATTTAGTTATAAGTGATGCAAAAAATGATTATGATTAAATCATTTGAGATCAATATTTTCTTGTTTTCTTCTCTATGTTACTCAATCATTGGTTTGTTTATTAAGTTATTCTCTATTTCTCTGTTTATTAATTTTCTTTAACTCAAATTAATCAGATGATTCGGTAATAAGAAATTGGGCCAACACAGAGATCTCAGATTTAAGCAACGAAAAAGAGAGCAAAAATATTCACATACAGAAGCAAAGCTGTTTCTGAAATTTACATGCATTGACAAATAAACTCAAAAAAAGTCATATAACATTCATTTAAGAGAACCCTCAGATTTCTAGAACACACTTAAAAAGGTTGTGATTTTCACAAGATCAAGACTGGTCCGCTGAAGTTTGGCCTAGAGAGACAGATGCGAGCGACGAAGCCCACGCTTGAGCGTTCTTTGCTCTTTCATGGAAGTTCCTTGTTTTGACGAGGCTTAGTTTCAACCACAACCTCCTCACATCGACCATGTGAAGAACACGGCTGAACATTAGGCTTATCTCTCCAAATCTTGCCAAGTTCAGATGATTGGGAACATAAGAAGCCCACAACGCTCTCACGCGCGATTGTGCTATGGGGAAGACGAAGATTGCCATTTGTAAACAGATGAACAGAAGAGATAGTACCAAGAATGGATCTCGTCTGAATACTTCTCTGATACATGTCCCATTGCGTAACCATGTGATCAGGTTACCATCCTCAGCGTCTAAGCTCGTTGTTGGTTCCGCTTCAGCCACGTACTGGACAGGTTGCAGACCTGGAGATCCAAAAGAATCATCGGTTAAATTTTGAGTTTTTCAAACTGAAATGTGCTATCCAAAGATTGGAAGAGAACACAAGCAGATAAGTGGTTTGGTGTTTCACCTGTTGCTGCTTCATAAAACTCAATCAGGGACGTAACATCCTTTTGACCATGGTATCGTGTCTTTGAAGTTTGATTAACAATCAGGACTGAAGGTAAGCTATGGATTCCATAACTAGAAAAGACACTGCAACAAAGCAATTGATGAAACCAGTTAGTATGACGAAAGAAAAGGCCAAACACACAGCATTTTTATCGCATCATCCTTGTTAACATACTGATACTATATCACCGTACATGGTGAAAGTGGATGAAACAACTAAGAAGCAAAGTAAGATTATCCCAACTTGACTATAGTACCTAAGTTTCTTGATTAGAGTCATTCAGTCCATTTCCTTGCTATACCAAGTAGTATGAAAAATCTCAACAAACACTACTAAAGAGGATACTTACGATGGAAGTGCTTGAGAATGCTCCACAGCTAGGTGCTGTATTTGAGGAAACATCGAACTTAACATATCAAAAGTAGGCCGCACAGCACGTGAGAAAGGGCACCAGGAAGCGTAAAAGAGTACTGACATATAACCATTTCCATTGTTTAGAGCCATCAATCTGTCCAGCGAGTCTCCATCTATCTGCATGGAGCAAATTTTATACATTTCCTTTAGTTAAGAATAAAGTTTCATGACTTGAAATTATTAGTCCAACTCCAATACTTTCAATTCACAGTAGGTAAGAGTTACAATCTAAACTTGAAGAAAAAAGAGGAACATTTGAGCATCAATGTTCAATTCTTATCAAAATCCCTGTTTCCTAATCCAATTGAGACTCTAAACCAATCTAGATATATAAGTAGCTGATTGATCTCAAACCCGTAACTGGAATATTTTACAGTAAACCCTATGAGGATCTAACTGGAATCAAAGCAAGCCCCAATCCAATCGCAATAAGAAAGCTCAAGTTGAATGAACAACACCCAACCGAAAAGATGCGAGCTTTTTGACAAGATACCTGGATAGGAGGACTTGGGTAGAGCGAAGGAGGGCACTTGGCTTCTATATCGAACCGGAACAGCTCGAATTCGTAATTGCAGACGGAAAAGCCCACCCGGGAAGAGGCGGACCCGGACGGAAAGCATGACCCAGCTACCGCGCACAAGAGGAGAATCGGAACCCGGAAATCCATTTTAGGGGAAATTGAAGATGAAACCGAAAATCAGAGGAAGAATCAAACCGAATGATTGAGATCACGAAATAGGGGGAAGAACAAAATGTAATCTCTCGGGAATCAGAGCATTTAGGGTTAAGAGAATTGGGGGAATCCCGGATCCGATTGAACCACAAATTATCTTCCTTTATTTATGATTTCTGTTTTGTTTGCGAGAAAAACAACAGATCGAAAAACGTCAAAGTGGAAGCTTTTACAAATGTTATTTCGTTTCGTTCGATGTGTGTGTGTCGTCTCTCTCTCTCTCTCTTCTTTTCTGAAGCACTTTTTTTCTTCTGATGATGTTGGATTTAAATATGTACAAAGCCGATCTTAAAATTTCCGGATCAAACACCATTTAATTTTGCTTTGTCCTAACGGAAAATAAAACATTCCTAGATATTTTACTTATTTCACATTATTATATATTACAAGTGAAATACGAAATTAAAATGTGTCTTAATATTTTCCATATAAAAACAGATTTTATTAGTTTTTTTTGCAAGTCTATAAACTAACAGATCAAAGTTATAAGAATTTCCATAGAAATTGAGTATATCCAGTTTTTAACATGTGCATAATCTCTTTCATTGACAAGAACATGCTTTCACCCCGGAACAATTTTTTTATTTTATTTGGAAAATATGTATAAACTTGTTGACAAAAATAAAATAAAATAATATGTATAAACTTGTTGACAGAAAAAAAAAAAAATGTATAAACTTAGTTTTTTGAACAAACATATATACAATCTATCAAATAAGATCCAAACATGGATGGCCAATTATTTGCAATCAAGTCAAAAGATGTTAACATTTAAACCTCCCAAAAAAGTCAAAAGATCTTGGTCAAAGTATACAAGCCGTTACCAAAAAGGCAAAAACAATGCTATGAATGGTTATGGACTTATGCATGGTTCTTTGTTTTCAAGTTATTGCGTTTAATCAAGATCCTTAAACTAGGCTTTAATTTGCTTAAAACTATCTAAGGCCTTGGAAAATCTCATTGAGTTGTACATAAGCAACATATCCTCAATTCGTTATTTATTCAATTACATATACAATATCAGCTTAATAGTCCACATCAAGTAACAGCTTAACCAAGCACTGCAACTTGAAAAGTAGGAGTAAATCGCATGATTAACTTTCACTCTTTTTCTACTATTCTTTGTCTCTCCAGTGTCATCTACTTCGTCGCATTTATTTTCAGTGATCTCCATCTCCATCTCTGAAAGCTCTCTTTTAGTGACTTAGAGTCGGACGTAGAACCGGCCCTGATATTCTTTCGGCCGCAAACTAGTGAAAAAATGGCCACTAATTATTTTGTGAAGCAAACGTCAACCAAAGAAAAAAAGAGTACATATTCAAGGTTCGAACTCAGTACCTCACAGTGAGTTTAACCACTAGACTAAGGACATGTTTTAGAAATTGACGGCCGAACTTGAGCCGCACGCATGGGCTTGCATTGCTGGAGCTCAGGGCTGGGGATGAGTTGGACCCCACATTCTTTGATCTCCTCATGGTCACTGTAGACTTGGAACTCAAAGAAAAGCTCCTTGGACGTCACCTCCGCTGCAAATTCAAAGATATACAGATGATCCGTATAAGAGCCATACATATAGTAGTTTGTAGGTCTCCATGGAGTAGCAACGCCAAGTTTATGTACGTCCTTGATGCGATAAAACACTGGCAGGCTTTTCCTGGTACCAGGCTGCTTTAAGTACCTGCATCTTTTGACACCTTTATTAACCAACAAGATGCAAGCCTTAAATCTCATGGATGTAGGAAGAGGCCTTTGATTAGACTTGATTGTCAAGAAACCTCCAGTAGTAGCTCCGTGAGTGAAGTATGCAGGCACTTCTGCACCGGGTAAGACAGCACCTCTGTTTCTTGTCTGGATGACGAGATCTCTTGCTTCCTTATTCAGTTTGAAGCAGTAAGCAAAGTTGAGATATATCCTTGGATTGTTAAAGCAGCAATCAAGTCTCTCAAGTGACTCGCAGTTTGCTGCATCTAAGTTTGATAAGGAATCCGAAAGCTGTGGGATGGATACCAGCTTTCCGCAACCGTTGAGTATAAGTTCTGAAAGACGAGAGGCTCTCTTGACCCATGGAGGAATTTCTTGAATATCTGTATCGTTCAAGTGCACCGTTGTGACGATGTCAAGAGCAGGCACGACTTCCTTCAAGTTTTCACTAAATGACATTTGCAACGTATCAAGATGAGGCCATGCCATGATCGATGAAGGCGTTTCTTGTATTGAAGTTTTCATGAGCATGAGTTTCTTAACGTTTATGGAGATCTCTGGAAAAACTTTCAACATGAAGCAATCAGTGAGATCAAGTTCTTCGAGAGAATCCAAGTTGATGTCTCTAGGAAGAACCTCTAGCTTTGAACATCCTTCTAACGTCAGTTTTCGCAACTTTTTAAGGTTCCCAATAGAGGAGGGCAACTCCACCACAGCCTTGCACCTATCAAGTTGCAATATCTCGAGATCAGTGGCATTTCCTATAGAGGAGGTGAGCTCCACCAAACTTGTGCATCCAGAGAGAATCAGTTCTTGAAGGTTAGTGGCTGTTGAGAGATCAGGTAGCTCCTTTAGTTTTTTTGAAAAACTTAAATCCATCCACATGAGGTTTCCAAGCGTCTGTACAAAAGGCACCATGCATAAAAGAAGGAACATACGTGAATCTTCTTCATGCATATGTTACAAACTTTTATAAGAGACAGTATATAACTCCATGTATAAAATGTTCTTATAAAAATAAATGTATCAATTAAGCCTAAAAACATATTATAGAGAAGAACTGAAATTATCTAAACATATAATTAGCGTACCTGATTTCCTTCCCACAGCTTTTCAAGATTGCTGTTTCGCAAAGATAGTTCGACAAGGTACTCCATACGAAAATTGGAAGGCAAACATGTCATCGGAAAACAATTCCATTCTAGTAATATTAGTTTTCGGGACAAACAGTCCAAACTTTGCGGTGAGTCCAGTATTAGGTTTTGGTCACTCCATCCACCCTTAACTCTTAAGAATTTAAGGTTAGACATTGGTTTAAAAGCTCTCTCACTTATATATAACTCACCTGACAGCTCAGATGAGTCAAAATGTATGCCTTTTACACTTTTACTACCCTGAAAATGTAAAGGACCGGGTCGGAAAAAGTAAGTTATCAAATGGATTTACTTTGTAGGGGTGAGCAAAGAAATGCAAGAGTTTACGACTAACCGTTTCATCAGTGATTACTTCAAAAACATCACTGCCATCAATCAAAAACTGGCGATCTCCAGGTTCACGAATGGATTGGTGACGGACAATTTCTTTGCCCAATAACTCTAGCAGATTAGGCATCCTTATCCATCCGTATTCAATAGTTATGAGTGATTTATCAGCTAAGACGTGAAGCCCTTGCCTCACATCCAACTCATCCAGAAGATACTCTTCCACTTTCTCAACCCTTTGATTGTTGAAAAGGCATGCTATATGAAGAAATAATTCTTTATCTTCATGACATAAAGCATTGTAACTGTACTTGAGAATGCTTTGTATACTGCCACTGGCGTCAAGGCGAGTCATTAAACTTGGTAGTGCATTGATCCACTCCTGCTTAGACATTCCCCGGAAATGGGATCCCATAACTCTTAGGCCCAATGGTAGCTTACCTAAAAGTTTTGTAACTTGCCATGCAAGCTCCTGGTAATCATCATCTTCAGGGGACTCTTGACCAAAAGCATACATGCAAAAGATTCGGTAAGCTTCATATGTCGATGGATACGCCACCTTGTAGATATGGTTGATGCCATGTTGTTTCAAAAGTTTTCTGTCTTGCGTTGTGATGATAATCCGACTTCCAAGACCGAACCACCTAGTATCTTTTGCGATAGCATCTAGTTGTATTAACTGATCAATGCCATCAAGAACAATAAGCACTCTCTTGTCTTTTAACCTATCTTGAGCAACTCCTAGATGAGGAATCTTGCCATCCGTGTGGTTGGTTATTTGGGACATAAACTGGTTCTGTAAGTACAACTTTGTACTGTAGTCATCAGAACACACTGGTCTTGTACACATTGACTCTTTGATATTCTCCATAAAGACGCTCAGCTGGAAACGGTCGGAGAGTTGGCTAAACAGAAATCTGGCGATGGTGGTCTTACCAATCCCTGGAGGACCCCAAATCCCAATCATCCTCACTTCATCCAAATCTAGGCGTAACAATAGTTCCATCCTTTCCCTGTGAGCTCCCAATCCAATCAAATCGTCGAAATCTCTCGATGGTGTCGAATAGTTCAACATGTTTGAAACATCATTTGCTATTTTTTCCATCATGGCCGCTTCATTGTCCCTAACAAACGGAGAGATCATCATTTAATTATGCATCCGTTCTCATTCATATGTAATTTCTTGCCTTTTACGGAATACAAACTTTGACGTGCTAGTAAAGTATTTTGTTAGGGCAAGTAAAAATCAAGAGGGCAAACCAGTTGCAAGAATGCTCTCCGGCGATTTGGGCCACCTTCTTCAAAGCTCTCCTCCATCTCTTGATCTCCTCCTTTGTCTTACCTTTGCAAGTTTTTTTGAAGACCTTCCCGAATTTTCCGGTCTGCTTCTTTACCTCAGTTGGATCTACTTCATAGAAAATAGTCATCACTATTTGACCTAACCTTTTTCTGCACTCCATGATCTGCGATAACTCGTTTAGGCACCATGAGGAAGAAGCGTAGTTCCTCGAGAGCAAGACGATCGCGATCCTTGATTCTATGATTGCTTCAGTGAGCTCAGGACCGATCGACTTGCTCCTCTTGATATCATTATCAATGAATGGATCGATCCCTTTCCTTCGGAACTCTTTTAGGATGTGGGTAAGAAAGGCCTTCCGGACATCTTTCCCGTGGAAGCTCGGGAAGACAGGGTGTTTCCAAGTTGGAGAACAAGAAGAAGAAGAAACCGAGGAAGAAGAAGAAGAAGAAGAAGAAGAAGAAGAAAGAGAAGGAGGAGGAGAAGAAGAGGCTGTTGTTTTGTTTTCTTGATGGAATCTGAATTTTCTATGAAACATGAAAAATATTGTACCCAAGAGCGTGAAGAAGGTTGCTACAGCAGCAAACAAACTATAGAGAAAAAGAGAATCCATTAGAGTTTGATGGAGTGGAGAAAATGATCAAATATCACAATATTTGGTTATTAGCTGGTGGAATCAGGAAAGTGCTTTTATTGAAATTTGAGATAGCCATTGAAGGAACCTGCGAAGGATTAATCCCTCTACTTTTGACATATTTGGAACCATCCTTCATTTTGCAGACGCTAGACAAGGAAATACGAAGATAAGAGGCATAAACCTCAAGTCAAACAAAAATTTTAAAAGTCTACTTAAAAAACTACAACTTGTTCAAGTAAGGACAAACGCTTATTGGTTAGTTACCTTAAATGTATTGATTAGGTGTAAAGTATTGAGTCATTATCAACCAAACATTAATTAACGTCTACATATTTGTAAGAACATATGATACAGTACAAGAAAAAAAAAATTAATGTTGCAACATTTTTGCAAAAGCGTTATCGATAATAACGTTTGTTTTCATTACAATTTTGCAATAAATTTTGTAATGTGGATATACATTATAGTTTGGTTACAAAATTCAAAGCGAAGGGGAAAAATAGCAAAATTTCCAGATAGTTGTTCGGGATTTTGAACCAGACGTGAATCGAACACGCAACCTTCTGATCTGGAGTCAGACGCGCTACCATTGCGCCACGGATCCGGATGTATACTCTACATTAAACTACTAGTAGATTATTCAAGGGATACATACTGGCGAAAGATTGTCTCTGTTTACTCCAGGAAAAAAAAAGAGAACTTCTTTGTTCCAAAACTTGATGTAACCTGATTGATATTGATATATGATTTGTGTAACCTGATATTTGTATGGATAAGAACTCTACACAAAATGGCATTTACATTTGAGTTTCGTTTCCTCTAAATACAACTTAATCATTTTACATTGAGTAGCTCAATCACCTAGGGTTAAAAAAAAGGTTAGGCTTTCCTTGGAGGAGGATTATCCTTGGATCCGAGAAGTTACAGTGAGGAAAGTATCTTCAGGACAAGGTATCGTCAAGCCACCCATTGGATGATCAAACCCAAATTCTTCTTCAGCTTTACTAAGAAGAGCTTGGAAGGAAGGCTGGTTCAAGAATGAGACTGGCACAAGGTGTCTCTGCCTCTTCTGACTCTCACCGACGTACACGGCAAGAAACCCTTTTGGTGCTTTGCTTGTTCTTGCTAAGGAGCCAGCAAGAATCTTCTTTGCACTAAAGAGACTTCTCACCAACGCCATTTTCTTTGTCTGGTTGATCTTGATTGATTCTCGTGAAGAAGTATGGGATACAATTTACAAATGAAAGAGATTCAAATTCTGGATTGCTTGTTGTCAATTCTTCTCTCTATATATATAGATCTGTATGTGAGTGAGTTGGAACTTCAAACCTGTCTGAAAATTAAATGGTGTCTACAAGTGTGGGACATACAAGAACAAAGTGTTCCTCACATGGTTCTGTTCGCACATTTAAAGCAGAAGTCTTGAAATCTGTACTCACATAGGACCAAGAAAACAAGATCACATTCACATGTTAATGCAATAGAAGAAGTTTCTCTGTGGTGATTAAATCCATCCTGTCACCAGTTTACCTTTGATTAGATAAAAGGCTGGAAATATCACAAAAATGTTACCGGATGTATATGTTCGGGATTTTGAACCCGACGTGAATCGAACACGCAACCTTCTGATCTGGAGTCAGACGCGCTACCATTGCGCCACGGATCCGGATGTATATACCTCCCTTAACATTAGATTTGTATTTATCAAACTTTATAGATTTGACGATGGTTTATATAAATTTCTGACTAACTAGAACTATTTTTCAATGAAGAGTACGTACGTAATAGCCCTAAAATCTAATGTACTGATTAATTTAGGCAACAAATGTCAAACAAGTGATCACATATCTTAATAATTCGATTAAACAAATCAAACTGAGCAATTGATACAGAAACAACGACTCGTACAAACAACAATACATGGTGGGTTGCATACAATACGGTCTGGTTGCGCATCATCAGCATCTGGTGCAGGAGCTTCATAAGTCGACATAATCGGTGAAAAAGCTTGATCAGCCAACGTAGTCAGAGCAATATCTTCAGTTGCTTCAACATTTGGAACTGTTACGATACTCATCACTACAAATCAAGACAAACCAATGTATACATGTCGTTATAAATAAAAGTTTTCCACATATAATTTGTTCTTCCATACATAAGAAATATGAATTTTAATTACCGAGTGTAACAGCTAAGAGGACCACAAAAGCAGACTTCATTGTCTTCGGTTTTTTGTTACTTGTCGAGAATATTATTACAGAAAATGTTGTGATCCGATATTGTTTTAGCTAAGATCAAACCATTTTTATAGCATGGAATAGTCGTATCAAATTTGTTTGGGTCAAGTTCAACAGTCAAATACTGAGAAGGAAATTAGAATTATTTTTAAAGAGGTTACCAAAATTGAGTATATTTTACCAAAATTGATTAAATCCAAAGCTTTGGAGGGAAAAAAATCATACACTTTGACCAAAATGGTGGTTTGTGACTGAGAAGTTTCTAAGACCAAAATGGTAATTGGTTATTTTCTTATAGTGTTTTATTGATCAAGATTCTTTGGACTATGACCGTGTTAGTTAGATGGATTCAATCATCATCAGTCAATTCAAAGAAACACCCTCTATGGCCTTAACATGTGATGAGAAGTATCTTTAGTGCAAAGAAGATCCTTAGCGGTTCATTAGCAAGAACGATCACAACACCAAAAGGGTTTCTTGCGGTGTACGTCAGTGAGAACCGGAAGAAGAAGCAGCGATACTTTGTGCCAGTCTCATACCTTAACCAGCCTCTCTTTAAAGCTCTTCTCATTAAGACGAAGAAGAATTTGGATTCGATCATCCGATGGGTGGCTTGACGATTTGTTGTCCTCAAGATACTTTTATCAGTATAACTTCTCGAATCCAAGAATGATCAATGATTGATCGTCAGTAGACAAAGCTTAACATTTTTGTTGTATATAGCTTGACAAAATTTTCATCTTAATTTCTACCAAAAGATTTGTTCTAATGGAAGACTTCAATTTGAAAGACAGATTTCCTTAATAAAAACATATAGATGATTCATCTCATCTGATGTGTTTATTATACTATGTTTTTTTTTTTGGGTCGAATTTATACTATGTTTAATGAGAAATTTTATGAAATACACATCTTAAGGTCAAATTTTCAAAACCACACCTATAGTGTGAAAATTTTCAAAAATACAACTTTCCCCAATTTTAATATATATGTTTGGGTTCACTATTCCTAGATTAGGGTTTAGATTTTGGGATTTAGGGTTTAGATTTAAGGGTTCAATGTTAGATTTTAGGGTTTTGGATTTATATTTTAGGGTTTAGAGTTCTTTTACTCAATGAAAAAAGTGTAGTTTTGAAAATTGGCACCATAGAGGTGTATTTTTGAAAATTGACACCTCAAGAGGTGTAGTTTTGAAATTTCCCCATGTTTAATTGTACATATTAGGTGAATCCAAAAATCCATTTTAGTTTCATAAGTTTTGATCATAACGAAAATAGTTTTGAACAAATAAAAGCTTTGGTGTGAGTTTTTCTTCATGCAACTCTCAAACAGTCAAATGTAAATGATTAAGTTGTAGCTAGGCAACACATGTCAAATAAGGTTTTTTTATTTATTAATGAATTCACACATCTTATTATATCGAGTAAACAAGAGAAAACTTGGAAAATTAGCATAAACAAACACAACGAATAACTTGTTGAAAGGAATAACAGTTCGCACGGCACCCTACGCTGCAGTGAAAACTTTGGGGTTCCACAATCTGCGCCGAAGCTTCATGATGCAACACAACACGAGGAGTTTCTTCGGATAACAAACGTTTTCCCTCAACATTCATCACCACTACACAACCAAACCAATACGTTGTTATAAGTATATAAAATATGCCTTTTTCTTTTCTTCTTATCTTACAGTATTGAAATATGAAATTTTACCGGATATAACAGCCAAGAAGATAACGATCGCATGTTTCACTGACATTTTCTCCATTGTTTCAGATGATTGATGGTATATGCTGCCTACACCGTTTTTATAGTACGGAAAATATTGTTTTAGTCAAATATTTTCTCAAATTATTAAAAGAAACTCATTAAACTGCATTTGACTAAAACAATATGTTTCCGCTCTATAAAAACGGTTTGGACAGCATATATCATTCTTTTAATAATTTGAAAAAATATTTGACTGAATTTATTCTCTTCACCAAATTCAGTTAAAAAAAAAAGATCAAATCCTGACAACGAACATGGAAATTTAATCCCTTTGACTGAAAATGGTAGTCAAGTAGAGACAAAATGCGTTAGAGATTTGTGTGTAAGAGATTTCTTGTTCTCTTGGTGAACAACTTGAGGTCCCTACTTAAGTTTTCAATGAAAGCAAACCTTCGTGTCCTACTGTGTCAACTATCATTTTCATAACCAGATTAGAGCATCTCTGGGAAAGACAGAACCATGTGATAACTTTGTTTCCTACTATGTCCCACACTTGCTAATCATTCATTTGATCTATATATACAGCCTCAAATCAGAAAGCATATCATCAACCACAAACAATCCAGAACTTCATTATCCTTACTCAAATTCGTTTGATCCAATTCATCCTTAGGACCTTTAAGAATAAAAATAACAAAAAATGGCTTTGGTGAGGAGTCTTTTAGGCGCAAAGAAGATTCTTGGTGGATCTTTAGCAGGAACCAGGAAAGCAAATTCAGCACCAAAAGGGTTTCTTGCGGTGTACGTCGGAGAGAGACAAGAGAAGCAGAGATACATTGTACCAGTCTCATACTTGAGCCAACCTTCCTTTCAGGCTCTTCTAAGTAAATCCGAAGAAGAGTTTGGGTTTAATCATCCGATGGGCGGCTTGACGATCCCTTGCCCTGTAGATATCTTTATTGGCATTACTTCTCAGCTCCAAAGATGAAGATGATCCAACAAATATACATTAACATTTGTTTTACTTCTTAAACTAGAGATGGAGAGTTATTATGTGAATATATGACTTCTTATTTTCCCTCTATTCTTGGAAGAGTTTTTTTCAGAGGATAAGGAACTTTCAATGTAAATGCCATATTTTTTTTTGTATAGAGATCAAATCAATACAAGTGACGGAACCTTTTTGCTGATAGATTCAAATATCTGTTACTGCCAAAATATAAAACGTTTTAAGAGATTTCTTCGTTGCATAAAATCTTGAAACTGAGTCCGTCTTAAGAACGAGAATGGAACAATAAATCTCTGTTTATGTCTCTCTTGCTTTTACTCAAACGTAACACAATTTAACTCCTTTTGTATCTCGACATAGTTAAAGAGAATATAAACAGAGTAACCCCTTTTCCAAGTTACTATAATAAAGACAAAAAAACTTTAATTTTGCCACCTGATGATGTGAAGTTTACTTTGTCTCTCATCAAACCAACTGTATGACTTTGTCTCCAACAGTGACAATTGGGACCCTCCATTGATTCATTACGATCGTGCTCATCATCACATCAACACCACAAAAGACAAATAATATAATAAAAAAACTTTAGCCACAAATAAGTTTCCTTCAAAGGCAAAGCATTACCATGTGATCCTATTTCTGGATATAGTTGAGAACAACGTAAATAGTGACAGATACTCTTTGTTCTGCTGGTGAACAACTTCATGTCCCCACATAAGTTTGTTCATATAGAAAAGTTTGGTCATGAAAAAACAATTTCGACCACAGAGGTTGAGAGAAGAGGACAAAAGACTTGTAATACATGAAGAAACAAGAGCATATGAGAAAACATAACCATGTGACACTCCTTTCGTGTATGCCCCACAAAACACTTCGTTGATCTCTATATATACCAACTTAAAACAGAATCACATCTTCATATCATCATCAACAACAAGAAGTAATCCAAGAACTTGAAACTTCCAAAAATAAAAAGACAAAAATGGCTTTAGCAAGAGGTTTCATGGCTGCAAAGAAGATTCTTGGCGGCTCTGTAGCAGGAACGAGGAGGGAAACATCAGCACCAAAAGGGTTCCTTGCGGTGTACGTCGGAGAGAGCCAGAAGAAGAAGCAGAGATACATTGTGCCAGTCTCTTACTTGAACCAGCCTTTGTTTCAAGTTCTTTTAAGTAAAGCCGAAGAAGAATTCGGTTTTCATCATCCGATGGGCGGCTTGACGATCCCTTGTCCTGAAGATACTTTCCTCACTGTTACTTCTCGGATCCAAGGATGATCATCATCTTGAAGAACATAAAGTTTTTAACATTTTTACTGACAATTTTTTCATCTTTCTTAATGAAAGATTTGATCCAGAGGATAAGAGATTCCGATGTAAATACCATTTTTTGTGTAGCTAACGATGGAATCAAACCAAAGATCCATAAAAGATATCTCAGATTTGTTTATCAGATGTGTTCATTAATGCAAAAGATTTCAGAAAATCATGATCAAATCAATACCCAAACCGGGTTTATACCAATATTTCGGTTTTCACAAATTTCCCAACCGAACAAATTGAACATAACCGAAACCATAAAATACCTGACTTTTGAACCGGCAAAACAAATTGGGCGTCGGTTGCTTGTTTTTGACTTTATCGGTATGAGGACATAATTTCGGTCAAACTTTTGAACCGAAGCTCTGAACCGATGAAATGACGATGATGTGATTGGGTTATGGTAACCGAGAATCGTAAACCGAAATCTGAGCCGGTTTTGGGTCAGTGATAATATGCAAAGCAGAGTTTGTCTGTTAACAAAGCAACCCTTCGCAGGAAAATATTTTCCGTTCTTCGATTTCATGAAAATCTGTCAGTGACTTGTCTCCTAGTTTCTCTGTGTATCTCTTTCTCTCTCTCTCGATCTGACTCTAATTCAATTCAACTACTTCTTCTGCCTGCACGGGTTTTTGTTTGTTTCCTCCTGGAAAGTTCGATTGTGAAAGATGCGAGAAATCTCCAGTTTCTTATTCATCACTCTAATCAGATCCTAAGCGTGCTTCGTTTCTCGTCCAATTCGAGGCTGTTGCAGCGACAATTGTCCTCCTTCTACCCTGGATCTCGCCTTGAATTCTTCGTCCTGGGTAATATTATATTGTAAAATAAGCTCGCTCTCGGGTTTTGTGAATATTCAAATTCCGTCACTGTATTGTGATGATTTGAATTTGGATTCAGGGCTCTCTAGTTGAAGAAGGAGCTCGATTTCGGGCTGGTAGTAGAAGATGGTGTTCAAATCAAGGATAAAATGGATTGCGCTCTTTGTGATGATCTTATCAGTGGGATCTCTGGTTGTTCATCTTTCGATGACCAAGTCTTCAGGTGTACAGTTGGCGTATTATGCAAGAGATACCCTTTGGCAAGATTTTGATTCATTGTTAGGGGCACAGGTAACAAAATCGATTTTTTTGAATTGAATTCTGAGGGGTTTCGATTTGAAATGTGTGATTGATTGAAGAATAATGTCGTTTGCCTTTTCTTTTTGGTTTTTGTCTTTTTGTTCACTGTTGCAGGATTTTAGAAATAAGCACTTGTGGCGACCTGTTAAATCGTTAGAGACCTTGCAGCCCTATGCCAATCCAAGAATTAGTTTCCCTGGTACTACATCTAACACTGTTTTCTTGAACAAAATGCATTTGAAAGAGTTTCTAAGACGTCACAATTTATACTTTTAGCTGCTTTGATGCTCAATCGTATTCAAGTTGGAGTGTTGAATCTTCAGTAGAGTTTGTGTCCATTTGCATAAAACCATTGACAGATATAAATGCCATTATGGAACATAAAAGTCTCTTGGGGTCGTTTCTGAGATTTGCTCTTTGGAATCCTATCGAACTTTTTATTAATTTTTCTTGGTGCCATCTCTTTGCAGCGCCCAGTTCAAAAAACAATGGCTTCATTTATGCAAAGATATTTGGAGGATTTGACAAGATTAGATCTTCTGTATGTATCCGTTGCCTCAAGAATTTAAGATTCCTCTTTATCTTTCATGTTATGCATGTTGATAACTTCTTTGCAAATTTTCTAGATATGTGATCTTGTCACCATATCCAGGCTTCTAAATGCTACTCTTATCATTCCAGAGCTTCAAGAAAGTCTTCGCTCAAAAGGCGTTAGGTACGCCTAGCTCAAGCCTTATGCTGTTCTTTTGGTCTTTGCACGTTTCTCCATTATTTTCTGTTTAAGCATGTTTTTTTACCTTGGTATCAGACTCTTCTTTACTCTAGTGTATTTTTACATTCTGTGCAGCAAGAAATTCAAGAGTTTCTCATATCTTTATGATGAAGAGCAGTTCATATCCTTTCTGAAAAATGATGTTATAGTTGCGAAGACCCTCCCTGAGAGCTTGAAAGGCGCAAGAAAAAGGAATGAGTTCCCTCTTTTTAAGCCCAAAAACTCTGCATCACCAAAATTCTACCTCGAGGAAGTATTGCCAAAGTTAAAGAAAGCTAAGGTTATTGGATTGATCGTCTCTGATGGCGGATGCTTGCAGGTATCGAGTGCTTTTCTCTCCCTTAGAGTGTTAAATCTTGTATGCAGTAACTTCAACAAAGCTGTGTTGCTTTTCAGTCAACTTTGCCAGCTTCAATGCCTGAACTTCAAAGACTAAGGTGTAGAGTTGCCTTCCATGCCCTCCAGCTTCGTTCAGAAATCCAGGTGCTGGGGAAGAAGATAGTTGAGAGGTACTTGTGATACTTAAATTCAAAATTTAATTAAAGGAACGAAAACAAGAGATAGTTATGGATTTGTAATATTAAGGAGGGGGACAAAAATGACATGCTAAGCTTTTGTTTCTTTAATTATAGAATTCAGAGTACCTTAGCTGAGAACTATTATAGCTTTCAGAGGTCGCCTTTTTTAATTTAGCTGATGGAGTACAATGTAACTAAAAATGACTATACCTGTGTGTCAGGATTTTGTCCATCTACCTTAAAAACAGTCGCTGACAGAATTTACGTATTCTACCTTTTCCAGGTTGCGTAAATCTGGTCAACCCTTCCTAGCTTATCACCCTGGCTTAGTGAGGGACAAATTGGCATATCAAGGTTGTGCTGAGCTTTTCCAGGTAAAAGTTTTCACCTTCTTCATCTGTATTCTTGATAGAACAAAGTGCTTTTTTTCTTGTGTACCACTTGTGCTTGTGTTACATATGGAAGTAGTTTCAGTAGTGGAATCGATTTTTGACTCTATTCATCCTTTCAATTCTTAAGGATATTCACAGTGAACTTATCCAGTATCGGCGGGATCAGATGATCAAGCAAAAGATTATTTCAGAAGCACTAATTGTAGACTCGCACTTGCGCAGGGACAATGGCTTGTGTCCTCTCATGCCAGAAGAGGTAGAACTCAGAACTTCTCTCAAGTTATGCTAAAAATGCTTATGTTTGCCTTCATGGTGTCTCTTGAGAGCTGAATCTGTCTCATAAGCTTCTATGTTTACATGTAATACACTGCTTCCAAGCCTGAACATCCTTTATTGGCATTCTAATGCACCAATTGGATCGTTTCCTTACTCTCCTGTGTCTGATGGAACTGCACTGGCTTTTGTAATGCTAAGGGTTTAAGTATTGAAATTTTGCAGGTTGGAATTCTTCTGAAAGCATTGGGATATTCTCAGAAAGCGATTATATACTTAGCTGGTTCTGAAATGTTTGGCGGCCAACGTGTTTTGATTCCCCTACGTGCCATGTTCCCTAATTTAGTGGATCGGACTTCTTTATGTAGCAGGGAGGAATTATCAGAATTGGTTGGTCCTGAGACACCTCTTCCAGAAAATACGTATGAAATGCCTCCTCGAAAAAGCGATAAGCAGCTCAAAGAAGAGTGGAACAAGGCAGGTCCTCGGCCTAGACCTCTCCCTCCTCCTCCAGACAGACCTATCTACCAGCACGAAAAAGAAGGGTGGTATGGTTGGCTTACAGAGAATGATACAGAACCAAGCCCTTCACCTATGGATCTTAGGAATCAAGCACACAGGTTACTATGGGATGCACTTGATTTTGCTGTATCTGTAGAAGCTGATGTGTTTTTCCCTGGTTTCAACGACGATGGTAGTGGGCTGCCAGATTTTTCAAGTTTGGTAATGGGTCAGAGGCTCTATGAAAGACCCTCGTCACGAACATATAGACTGGACAGGTAAGCAGTCTTATTACTCGACAGCTAATACCTGCATTTGAAGTTAAAATTGATCTAAAGCTTGTTGGCTTTAGCTCCATAATTAACAACTGTTTACTGATTTTTTCTCAAACAGGAAAGTTATTCAAGAATTTTTCAACATTACCCGTGAGGACATGTACCATCCCAACCGTAACTGGACACTTCGTGTTAGGAAATATCTTAACTCAAGTTTGAGTGAAAGTGGGCTTATCAGGCAGTCTATGCTGTCGAAACCCAGGTCGTTTCTTTCGCACCCACTTCCTGAATGCTCATGCAGAACATTAGCCCTAGAGGAATCCAAGCAAATACGAAGTGATGATGGCAGATTTCTCTATGGAGGTGAGGATGAATGCCCTAAGTGGATAAAATCAGCTGGTATGGAAAAGAGTAAAACTGATGATGGTGATCAGCCTGATTATGAACATGACCTGCTCACTGAACAGTCGGAAACTGATGAAGAGTTTGCAAAAAGTAAGGTGGCTTCAGCCTTTGACCAGGATGAAGAATGGGATCCTAATGACTAAGTGTGACGATTATGCAAATTCTGCCGTCAGGTGTCATTTGATTCTTTCAGATAAGGCGAAGAAGCAAACAAACGGAGGTTCTTTTCTTGTTTTCTACAGTTTCCGGCGGCTTTTTTCCCTCTCTCTGAGAATAAGCTTTTAGTGTTATTCTTTTGTTATTAGTTCCGTGCAAATTAGTTGCATACTCTTTATACGTCAAAACCTTCTCAAAGATATTGGTACTGCCTCCAAGCGCCCTTATGCAGCGACGCAGCAAAGGACAACCATTGTGCTTCATCCTTCTCTAGGGTCTTCCCATGAAGCAAATGTGAAGCTGGAGGTATCTTTTATTCTTTTTTCTCATCATTGTAAATCTGATAAAGGTTCAAATTCAGATTCTTTTGTCCCTTTTTCCCCAATAGTTTTTTTTCTTCTTCTGGATTTGTTTTGACACACTACAGATATGAAAAAAGAAACGTAAATTTCAATAGAGTTTTGATATTCACTTGCTCTCTCCTGATTCTATCCACATTCATTTCATCAGACTGAGATGTTTGCTGAAATGGTACTAGGCTTTGGCCTTTTCTATAATAGTTAGTTAATACATTGATCCAATCAAAAGAATACATCATTTTCATAGTGACAGTGGAAGGTTGTTGTTCGATGCGATGATACATGTATGTATATGCAATATATACTGCTGTATACAGAAGCTTCAGAAGCAGGGCAGAGAGAAGAGAACCCTAGGCACCGTTTTTCTGTTTCCATGGTTTAAGAACAGAGGTAAGTGTAATGATGATGATGACAAGAAGGATGAGAATGGCAATGCACATCCACTTCCTTGAGCTTTTTTGCTTTTTTATTGCCTTTGTTAGGTTGTTGTTCCCGGATTGAACATGATCCACAGCGCTTGAAACCTGTTATAATAGAAACAGAGTATAAGGATGATTTTGAAGAAATATAAACTCAGGGCTTCATCAAAAGACTGTTACCATATTCTCTATGTTGTCTAACATCTCTCCCTGTGCATCCACCAGCACGGCCATATCAAGAAACACCTACACCAGAAACATAAAAGACATCAGTTCGAAGAATCTTGCTGAGTTTTTGGTGAACTGGATCGAGGTTTACCTGTTGAAGGTCAAGAAGTTTCTTCTCTAAATCTCTCACAGCGTCATGGCGTTCCTGAATCTCAGCCAGTGTATCCATTATCTGCACAGAGCCACAGAATAACGTAACTTGAGATACACGCAACAGTTAACTTGTAACACAGATCATCATGTTATTGCCAAAATATACAAGTACCAACCTGACCTCGTCCTTGCTCCATGATTGCTTTCTGGAAAATCTGCTCACTGTCTCCGGTTTCAATCAATCTATCCACAATCTACACATCCGAAAACGATTATCATGTACTGATGCTAAAAACCGATTCAATAGATTTAAACTGAGAAAAGTATGTTGTCCTTGCCTCTTCATCAGCTCGTTGGCCAGTCACTACCATTTTCAAGAATCAAAGCAACACAAAAGAAGAAGAAAACAAAATTAGCTATCACAAGCTCATTTAATGAGACAGTTGAATATTTAGACAGATTCTCAATTCAAAACCTGTAAACACACGCCTCTCTACAACTTCTCTGTATTCTTGGTGAATGTTCTGTCTTAGAGTCTGCAGTGAACAATTTTTAAAGCTTATGACAACTTTCTTAGAGTGTTTTTTGCTTTTGAGAATTTGCAGAACCACTCTTCTTAAAACTTACTTGGAATTCAGTTATCTTGTCCTTGAACTTCTTTTTTACCGCGCTGCGTATTTTTGTATAAAAAATAAAATAATGAATTTAAGGAAGACAGAGAACATTGAAGCATTAGCAATAGATTCAGGAAACAACAACTCACATAGTTGTGGCTGTTCTTGTCCTGTCTACTCCAGTTCCTTTCCCACAACCCGGTTTAGTTCGGTTCTCCATATTCTGTGGAAACCAATTCGGGACTTAAACAAGATGAACAGACAGATCAGAGAAACAAATGCAACAATGTATTCATCTCTAAGCCTAACCTCTCTATCCAGCTCTTCGATCTTTCCTTTGATGAAACGAGAGATTCTTCCTACTTCATCAACATCTCTCTCCATTCTCTGTTTGATCGCTGCAGAAACCGCATTTCAGTTCGATAAATCTTAGGGTCAAGAACTTGTTTCTGATTTTTAAAATAAGAATTACATTTCATTGCAGGAGCCTTAGTGACGGCTTTAGTCTCCTCATGTGCCCCCTGAAGCTTCTTCAGGTGATTTTCAAGCTTCTCATATTGCTTTTCGATTTCTTGGACCTAAACAGGTAAATATGGTTTCAAAACATAAACACATTTGACACTGATTGAGAAGAGTTACATAGGGATACAAAAATTACCTTTTTGAAGAAACCGGAAAGCCCGAGATCTCCAGAGTTACCAGGGCCATGTCCTGACTCAATGTCGCTTCTATTAGATCGGTCTCTGGTGAACTCTTGCGAACCCTATCCAACAACAAAATAAAAAACATTTGCCACATCATCTTATAAAACCTATAAGACTGGAAAAATTGAATCTTAAGTTTAGATAGTTATATATATCTTGCATTAACTCCCACATAAGTTTCAAGATTTATTTGATCATTTCTGCACGGAAGCGTTGTTTTTGTTTCTTGTACACGGGAACGTTGCTTAGATTGAAACAGAATTCGTGGTGATCACGTAACGTCGAAAGCGAAATGGAGAAAAGACAAACCTTCAAGAGGTCGTTCATTATCGGAGAACTGGGGTTAGATAAGAAGAAGATCTATAAAAAGGGGAAAGAAACTTGTTGAACAATCAACCAAATTCCAGATTGCATGAGAAACAAAATATTTAACCTAAATATGCATTTCAAGAAATAGACACAATTATAATCTAGAAGGAAAGCAAACCTGGTTTTATCATATAAACCCAGATCTCTCTTGTTCTCTTTCTTTTCTTTTCTTTTTTTCCCTTTTCTCTCCTAAAAATTATTGAGAAAGATAATCCAAAGGGAAGAAGAGACGAGGAGATTTGTTACCGTATGAAGCACAGCACAAAGATGAGATTCAACGGTTCAGAATTAACTTTGATATTTATGTAAAAAATAAAAATTGGTAAATCTTGTTATAGACAGATCAGTAATTAAATCTCTAGTCAAACTCTTTATTTTGGGACATTAACTTTACAAGAAGAATAAAACCAAACACAGTCACAAACAATGTATGTTTCCTCTGCACTCGCAGCTTCCTTGCTATACAAGGAAACGACTAAAATCACATGTTTATACAGCACATTGTATTCTGGATCTCCACCTCATAAATCAGATCCCCCATGGTGAAACGCAATGAGATATATAATAAATTCCACTGTTAAAAAAGAAAACTGCATGGAATAAGTTTAACAATCTAAATCCGCAGCATAAGGAAGAGCTAAAGCTTAAGCTGATAAAGCTTACGTGCATGGGTCGAATGTGAACTTTTCGATCTTTTTTCACCAAATATTTTTGAAGTGCCTTTGTTTCGATTCTATGAGCCTTGAAGGTTTCTTTAGTCCTCGGTCTGTCGTCTTTTATCTGACGCAGTCATGTTTATGAGGTGGATTGTCCTCATGGGTTTGCTCATTCCTGTAGATATGATATGAGTATTGAGTAATTTACTAAACTGTCTACATCTGATTATGTAATCCAATGATTTATATACTCATACAGGAATGTTCTAAGCAAATCAGAGTAAGCCACTGTAAATTTTAATTACCGTTTATATGATATCCTAACTTCTAAGACAGCCTCCACGTTCCAAGAGAGTGAGACCTCTTCAATAACCCCAAAGTTGTGATTGACTTTATAGATGTATAAATTGGATGATCGACATTTTTGATTTTGGAATGAAAAGAAAAGTTTCTATTTTGTTGGCTCTTAGTCTTAGTCATATATGCCTCCTTCTTCTTTTTCTTTGGTCTCTCGATACGATGTGTTCCCAAGCTTCAGGGGTCCAGACGTCCGTCGAACCTTTCTCAGCCACTTGTTTGGTGAATTTGAGCGCAAAGGAATCAAAATTTTCAAAGATAATCAAATGAAGAGAGGCAAATCCATCAGCCCTGAGCTCAAACAAGCTATACGAGAATCAAGAATCTACATCATCATCCTCTCTGAGAACTACGCTTCTTCAAGCTGGACTTTGAAGGAGTTAGATGAGATCTTGTACTGCAGTAAAACTTATGGGAAGACGATACTGACAATTTTCTACGATGTGGATCCGACTCATGTAAGAAAACAGAGCGGAGAATTCGGGAGGGCTTTTCAAAAGACATGCAAGACGAAGACAGAGCAGCAGAAGCAGAGATGGAGGCAATCTCTGACTGATGTCGCTAACATACTCGGCGAGCATTCACATAAGTGGTTTGGTCCTCTCCATTTAAACTTTTTTTGTTATCATAGGACAATTCTTATTAATACCACAAAAATAAGTTTTTGTTCCTCTCATAACCTAGTTTTATTTTTCCATTCATACCATTTTTCCATAAAGAAATTACATAAAATTTAAACTCTCAAAACTAAACCCTAAATACTAAACCAAACCCCAAATATTCAAACTATACACCTTTAGAAAATTCATTTCTAAAGTTTATGTTAATTTTGGAAAAATGGTATGGATGGAAGAACAAAACTGGTGATGACATGAGCCAAAAATGTTTTGATGAAGATTTTCTCTTCTCAGGCACAGTGAAGCAAATATGCTCTCGAAAATTGCAACAGATGTTTCAAACGAGTTGAGCTTCACAGAATCAAGGGATTTCGAAGATCTGGTTGGAATTGAAGCTCATATAACAGAGATGGATTCACTGTTATGCCTAGAATCAGATGAAACGAGGATAGTGGGGATTTGGGGGCCATTGGGGATCGGCAAAACAACAATCGCAAGAGCTATTTACAATCGGATTTCAAGAAACTTCCAGCGGAGTCTTTTCATGAAGAATGTGAAGAAAAGTTACAGAAGCGGAGACGCTAACAGTTATACTTTAAAACTGAGGTTGCAAAGAAAGTTTCTTTCCAAGATCTTGGACCATAAGAATATGGAGGTCACCCATTTAGGTACAGCAGAGCAACGGTTGAAGTTTGAGAAAGTTCTTGTTGTTCTTGACAATGTCGATAAGCAGGAGCAGCTACAAGTTTGGCAAATGGAACTCACTGGTTTGGTAAAGGAAGTAGGATCATTGTGACAACAGACAACAAACACCTTTTGGAAGCACATAAGATCCAGCATATATATGAAGTGAAGTTCCCATCAGAAGATGAAGCTCTAAAGATTTTCTCTCAGTCTGCCTTTGCACAAAATGCTCCACCAGAGGGTTACATGAAGCTTGCGGTACAAGTAACGGAGTTAACTGGTTATCTTCCATTAGGGCTCTGTGTTCTTGGCAAAGCATTGTGTGGGAAGAGCGCGAGCAAGTGGAAAGATGAACTACCTAGGATCAAAACCAGTCTCAATGGGGACATTGAACAAGTCCTAATAGCTGGTTACAATGGCTTAGATGATAAAGACAAAGGTATTTTCCTCCACATTGCATGTTTATTCGAAGGTATAGGAGTTGATTGTGTGTTGCAGTTTCTTGCAAAAAGTGGTCTAGACATCAAATATGGACTTGGTGTTCTTGTCGAGAGAGCACTCATTAGTATTCTGAGTGACAAAATTATCATAATGCACCGTTTTCTACGACAAATGGGCAGAGAAATTGTTCGTAAACACTCTATTCACTTGTCTTGGAGATGTCGGTTCTTGATGGCTGCTCGAAACATTTATGATGCTCTGGTTGCTGATAACACTGTAAGTCTTTTTATCGATATCACCTCTTCATTCAATGTGATTTCAGTCAGTTGATACATAAAGAGTTTGTTCTTTTGGGTTTTTGCCAGGGCACTGGAACTGTGTTAGGCATCTTGTTGGGCACATTAAAAGTCAGCCTCGCAAGTGACAAAGCCCTAATTGAAATGCATGATCACCAATCTCCAAGACTCTACGGCGTTTCGTTGGAGAAGGTTAGACCCTTGCACCTAAAACCTCATAAACTGGCCTTCACGTATTCATGTCTCTACGAGATGCATGCCTTCTTGTTTCGTCCTGAACATAATGTCAAAAACGATATGCAGGGGGGGATCTTGGGGAAGCTCTGGAATAGAATGAAAGTCTATGTTTTTGCCATGCTTGGGCTCCTAATGCATGGTGTTTTTTACATCATGAGCATGTTCCCTCCTGCATTTGCTAACATAGTAGCATCCGTTTTGGAAACTCAAGAAGAGTCTTAACGTAATCCGAGGTTGTGCAAAGAAGATTAAATCCGAAGGAGGCAGGAATCAAGGAAACTCCTTTGTGTATCAAGAATCTCTTTCAAATTCACTAGATAAGAATAATTGTCTAAGCTTTTATTATTATTACCAACTATGTACATCCAAAATGGCTTGTAAGAACTAATAAAGGGCATCACTTTGACAGCTACTACCACCAAAGACTAACAAATTGAAAGAAAAAAATATAGCTGAAAAGTACAGTGGAGACAATATCTGTACAATTACTACTACAACACTTCTGAGAAAGAGACTACTTCACCCATCACTCATCACTCATCAGAGCTGGTTCTTGACTACCTTCACGCTGCTGTACAAGCGGCGCAGATCCTTCATGGCTTTCTCTTCGATCTGGATCGAGCGGATTGATGATGGAGCATCGATCTCTGGTTTGAACCAGCGGTTAGTTCCCGGCGAATCTGATGGAGATCCTTGCCCGGTTGTGACAGTGAAGCCTGATGTTTTTGTCTTTGGACTGCTGGACAGAGACTGCTGCTTCTTCACCTACAGTAGACAACGACACCATAGAACAAGATTTATCCTCTCAACACAAGCTAATGCAAACAATACAATATCTCATCTGTTTCTTTGGGAATAGTAAGCATTACTCAGAAACAGAGGAACAACGCACCTGCTGCATCTGGATATCTCTGAGAGATGGTCGAGAAGAGTTAGGAGGAGTTTTAGAAGAAACCCAAGGAGGAGTTCCTCTTTCCACATCCAATTGCTGCAAACCTCTGGTCGATACCACTGGAATCGGCTTTGAAGTCAAGAAAGAGCTCAGCAGTATCTTTCCTTCGGTTTTAGCACAAGAATCATCGATCAACTGATTTTTACTAGTTCTAATAGGTTCATGGGGATGAGTCTTGCTTTGTTCGTCTTGAATATCTCGAAGAGAAGAAGATCCTTTCGGAATCTTAGCTCCACCCCATGCAGGACCTTCGTTCTTAGGCTTTGGTGGAGGAGCAACAACAGGTTTAGGGTTGTTATCAAGAGCACCAGTCAAGAACATCGAAAGCCCTCCCTTTCTGTTCTTCTTCTTGCTTGCTGTTGTTGCCAGTTTCTTGCTTCTCGGTGAATCAGGTGGATTCTCTTTCTTCTGCGAGAGTGAGACAAAGTCTGATTCTTTGGTGAACCCACTAATCATCTTCACATCCAACATGGCATTGTCATCCTAATTTCAAGTAACAAAACACAATAAATCAACAGAGAACATTTCATCATCAACGATATTATGGATAGTGAAACTAACCTTTTGCTTAATAGCTTCAGAAATTTCTTCAGTTTCTTTCTTCTGCATTTCCACTTCAACTTCATCGAAATCAGGGAATGTCTCAACCTGCGCAAATCTCTGTTTTCCCTTCTTCTTCTTCTTCTTTTTTAAACCCTCAGCCTTCTTGTTGGCCTTTCCATCTAATGATGATTTTGCCTCTGGAGACTCTTCAACAGGAATACCAAGTTCTACCAGTGAGCTCTCGATATCTACTTTCTTATGAAGTTTTGCTATTTGCTGACCATCAAGAGGTTGTCCTCTCGACTGCTTTGCTTCAAGGATCTCAATCTGTTGCAATTTTTTCCTCAAAGCTCGGACTTCTTTGGAGTTACGTTGAGCCAGCTCATCTTCTGGTTGTAAGAAGGAATCCATTCGAGAACCTCCCTCAGTGACACTGGAGAAGTGTTTCACATGGTTGTCACGAGTTCTTAGAACGTCGCTCTCACTTTCCTCCTCTTCGCTATCTATGACAACAGGAAATGTGGCTGTTGGTGTTGGGAGTGGTCTGGAGCTCCATGCTTCAGATGATCTGTCATCCAGTAATTTCTCAAGATTGGCAAGAACATCAGGTGATGTAGTTGCAATTGTCTGGGGAGAAACTGTCAAAATAAAGTCAAGGTTTCTGATCACAAGGTCCTGCAAGAAGAACACAAAGTGTAAGGCAATCATCAAGAAGAGAACACTGAACATAAACTTCACCTTTGTTAGCATTACCTCACAGTACTTCTTAAGGTCCTCTGCTCCAAGTGAATCCGCAATTTCAAGCAGTTGAATAGCATTTCGTGGCTCTACAATACACTCTGCTGCCACCTTCTCGCACAAACTTTTCAAACTAGGTGCTGTCCTCTCTTTAGGAATATCGTGTTGCGCGGATGGTAACACGTTAACAGATCCCTCATCGTCAAACATAAAGCCCTCGTCCAGTTCTTCTTCCTCCGCTTGAGCAGTCCGAGACTTCATAAGCACATTCGGAGCATAGGCAGGATGATACAGAGAACCAACAACCAGAAGATGAGTTTCACCAACAGCAACTGTGGTTGCCCTTTTCAAGTTGTGGAGACGAGAAAGAGACGGTGGCACATCTTTACCTTTCTTCCCATCCCACATGTAAACTTCACCTGTGCTAGTAGCAGCAGATGCCCAATACTTACCCGCTGAAATGCTCACAACTGTTTTCCCATGCAGAGAATGCAACTGCAAGAATCAGATTGTTACTTTAGCGAGTCATATTGAGTTTATAGTTTTGTAGGAAAAAAGAAAAGAGAAGGATGAATCAACCTGTTGGCATCTAAGATTGGAGTCAGAAGAAACCCAATAAAACAATGCACCATCTTCTGCTAGAGCCATGCTGTGTACCATTCCTGCAGCTATTGCAGTCAGTCTAAGAGGTCTCCTTCGATGAAAATTCAACAGTGTGTTCCCAGCTTTCTTTAGATTCCGAGAAATAACAACACGTCTTGGAGTCACCATCCGATGACCCCAGGTGTACACCTGGTCACACAAGAAAGAAAGAAATACTAAAGAAACATAAATTTTTATTCCAGATTGAGTTCTCATATTCTGAGATAAGATTCTCCACATGGGGCCAACGTTTAGCTTAACATGAAGTAGACAGAAATGTTACCTCTCCATCTTCTCGCAAGACGAGAGTGTGGTATTTAGCAGATGCAATAGCAGTGAAAACTTTGCCTTTCAAGTAATCAACCAATCTGGGAGAATAGTTTGATGCTGAGTTGGAGGTTCCATAACCAAGCTGACCTTCCTTGTTGCATCCCCAAGTGAAAACTTCACCACACTCTGAAACTACAGCGGTATGTTTGTTTGCTGCAGAAACAGCTACAATCTTTGCCTTCAATGAAGTCACTTTGCGAGGTGTTGCCTGAGTATCCACAGAGGTATAACCAAGCTGGCCCTCTACAAGATCATCACAAACAACATCAGGCTCTAGAGCTCACAAAGACTGGACATAGCGGTCTAAGCTAGAAAGTCTCTTTACCTCTATTGGAACCCCAAGTGAAAACGTCTCCGCTTTCTGTAGCAATAACTGTATGGTGCTTAGCTGCTGCAACTGCCTTTACTCGACGAGATCCTAAACCAGATATCACCTGCCTGGGAGTGATAACTGCAGCTTGACCACTGAGATCATTAAAAGAGTAAATTAAACTCAACGGTGGTTCACATAACCTTTCAAAAAACCTATGGCAAGAAACTACAGTAATGCCACAAGCAAATGGAGAACTAGCAAGAATGCATACCTGTGAATGTCAAATTCAGGATGTCCAAGGCGGCCACCTCTTCCAAACCCCCAAGTGTAGACTTCTCCATGAGAACTAACGGCAACGCTATGGAATTTTGCAGCAGAGACCAACTTAATGAAACAGCCATGCAGTGAATCAACTCTGCCTGGTAGCTTCTGAACATCTTGATTGCCAGTTCCAAGTTGGTAGTTTGCACCACTCCCCCAGCAGAAAACCTCCGTAGCCACTGGGAAATGAAAGAAAACGAACACGACATTTCAGCTTCTCAGAAATTGTCAGTGAACCATAAATTAAAGTCAAGTTTGAGAAGAGATTGTTTTACCTGAATTACGTTTCTCGCCAATGACCTGCGCCACCGGACCAGACACCAAATCAACTGGTGTTCGCGATTTTATGTCTTCTAAAGTAAAAGAAGCACCTGAGTCAATTAGCACACTAGCCACCGCGAGATGGCCAAAATGCAAAGCTCTGTGAAGACTACTCCAACCAGATTCTCCATCCTGATACGGATAAATGGCACAGGAACCATGTAAGATGACAAAAACAGAAGCATATTGAAAGGAGTAACTGAAGAAGCAAAGAGAAGAAAAGTGACAAACCCTAGCATCAGGATCAGCGCCAGAAGCAAGCAGTCTCCTAACAATAGGAATGTGGTTTCTCCAAACTGCAATATGCAGAGGAGTCAGGCCATAGGCATTCCTTAGATTTATATTGCCACCGCTCTTCTTCAGTGTGCTCAGTGCTGAATCCACATCGACCAATGACCCTTCCCGTATAGCAAACCACAAATCTTTCTTCGGTCCTGAAAGCGAGCTTTTGCGAGGAGTTTGCAAGCTCATCTTCTGCGTTTGAGGAGAGACAGACATTTCCATATCTCTAAATCTTGCTCGCCACAAATGTTGTGTAAAATCTTGACAATCACTTCATTAGTCCTGATCATAAAAGACAACAAGGATGTAAATTGTAACGGATTAATAAACATTCATATAGCTTCTGCGAGAAATATAGACTAACAAAGAATAAACAAGTAAGAGAGTTACGGAAAGCATCTCTCCTTTTACACTTGTACCAACCACAAAGCAAAGAATCTCGTTTAGTGTTACTCAAACAGGACTAAAGAGGTGTGTTCTACATTAGACATGAGCAAAGATTTCGATAGAGAAATTGGACACAATTACCAAAATCTTGCGAAAATATCGTAACTTCGAAGAACATTAAACTTAGATCTCATATCAGTGTTCAACCGACATAATTTCAACCATTTTTGTGGGATTACTAATTACGGAACTCATTAATTCACAGTAAATAAACTCCAAAAGGCACACAATTCGAGAATGACAAACAGATAAACTCGATCACGGACACAATGACAAGCAGAATTTGATCGAGAAAATCCATAAATCAAGGGAAAATTACCAGTTATCACTCAAGATCAAGACTTCAATGTAATAAAATTCGCCTCATTTCCAATCACCATAGATAAATGATAAAACCCGTTTTATAAACAAAACAAATCATAAACTGCCATTGAGTGTTAAACTTTTTTTTCCGATGCAATTGAGTTTAAAATAATCAGACAGATTCGAAAATGAAAAAAATAATGATAATAATAATTTTTTTTCCGGTACCTGAAATCGAACTCCGGATGTAACCAGAGAGAGACAGAGAGAAGAGATCAAAGAGAGGTATTAATTAGAGAGAGAGAAGAGAGGATAAACGAACACAAAATGGAATCTTCTATGAAAATTTCAATGTGTAAGAAGCGAATCAAACAGAGAATATACCATCCACAGAAGCAGAGGCGTAAAAAAAGTTTCTGAATGAGCGAAAGAGAGAGAGAAAGGGTGAGAAGAGAGAGAGATCTCCGACGCAAGGGTAACTCTGTAATTTAAGTTAAAATATTGAAAATGACGATAAAGTCCCTTGGAGTCTGTGACGTGCTAAAGACTCGGAGAAGAGATGAAGTCATATCTCAGACACAACTGGTTCGCTTCGGAAAGAAAGGCTCCTCGTTTTGACACGTGGCGACACGTCACAGTGTGACTAGGTCATACACAAGTCATTAAAATGTCTGAAACTGCGAATACTTCTCTTAACCCTCTTTTTAGGGAGAAAGGAACAAATTAAGCTCCTTTTTTAATAGCCTTTCCATATTTAAGTTAATACTTTTGCGAATTTTTGTGTACCAGGCTTTTTTCAAATACATTTTCCCTCTTTTCAAGAGTTTATTGATTTATTAATTAAACTAGAGTTAAGTCCGCATGATGCGCGGATTATGTATAGTACAAAATATTATTAATTATCATATGCAAAAAATGTATAAAATCTATAAATTTCCAGATATGTAAACGCATAGTGAAAAAACAAATCTAAAGTGAAGATTAATTTCCATTCTGTAAATAAAATGTTTAAACCTTTCATAATAACATATTCGTCAAAAATTGCAACAAACTACGTGATTTTAACAAAATGTTCTAAATATAGGAATTGTTTAATCACATTAAGTATAAATCTTATTATATAAAGCTGGATGCGCGCGACGTGGTTGCGACACATAGGATTTTTATAAAATATAGGATCATGACATGTGTCACTTTTAAGGTTAGGTCCGTTAAGATCGTGACACGTGTCTTAGGAAAAAAGAAAACTTTTTTTAAAGGGAAAATTTTAATATTTTATAATAAAAACGAAAATTTATAAATAAATTGAAAATAATGCTATAAAAAATTTCTATTAATACATCGAATATGTATATAAACTAAATATCCTAAAACGGTATGGAATAGGTTACATAAACCCATGTTTAAAAAAATTCTATTAGTACATGGAATATGTATGTAAACTAAATATCCTAAAACTGTATGGAATAGGTTACATGAACCCCCTATAAAAAGAGAGCTATTGTAATCTCTTTTTCTCATTCACAGACTCATCAAAGCAAATTCAGCAAATCTCTTTGATTCTCTTTCTCTAATTTTAAAATTATGTCTTTGAAAGTTCAAAAGAACAGTGGAGATTATTTGACTCTAGGTCAATTGGATCGAAATCGAAATTATCGCCGTACTATAGTACGTGTTATTCGAAAGTGGGAAGCTAGAAATCCTAAAGAAAACAATATTCTTATGGGAGTTGACCTTCTATTACTTGATGAAAAAGTTAGTAACATTTTATATTTATATCTTATTATATAAATATGAAAGTTAGATATCAATGAAGAATATTTAATTTTAGATCAGTTGGATCAAAATTGAATTTATTGTCGCAACATGTGTCTAATAATTGATCAGGTGATGAGTTGTGTTAACACAAGAACATTGGAAAAATGTATTAACAGAAAAAAGAAAAGTAACATTGTAAAAAACCTAATTGATATTGGAAAGGGAAATTAATAATGGAGAGAGGCTAAAAAAATATTGAAAAAGAAACAATATAAATAGAAAACAGACAGAATAATTATCAAGCAACTAACTAATATTAAAAAGAAAAATTTATAATAGACCCATTTTATAATTTTTAATAAGATAATTTTCAAGTTTTAAATCGAATAATCAAAAATTTACGAATTAATTAATTGATCAAATTTAGACACATGTAATTCTTTCTAATATTAGATAAAAAAAATCATTTTTTATATTATGAATTCAGAAACAAAATGTGAGTTATAATTAAAATGTAAAAGGATTACCAATTTTATTTAATTTAGATATTTATTATTGATTTCTAATACTATTTTATTTACCAAAATGATCCGATTTTTTTTGATATTTTTGTGATTAATTTTATAAATTTTAAAATAAACCCGCGTGTATACGCGGGACTTAATCTAGTATGAATATAAAAGTAACCAAATATGTAAATATTTTATTTAGATTAGTAAAAGTGTACACAATAAGACGGGGTTCATCATTTTCAATCAGCAATGGTGGTATTGTTTGTGTGTACAATTTTAGTTCCATATAAATGTGAAGGGATCTAAAATAATCAAAGAGCATAAGTAGAATGTAAAATATCTTAGACAATATATGTTAAGTAAACGGGCCATGATAAATTCGGCCGTATTATAAGTATGATTAATTAAGAAGTAGTAGTATAAGAGAAGATAACAGAACTATAATAAGAAACATGGGAAGGTAAGTACGTAAGCTTAGATACATAAGGAATATATCAGTTGGAGAGAAGGAGAAGCTTGGAAATAAATTTATTTTACAAAGTAAGGAGAAGCTTTCAACACCAGCAGTGTGCGCAGTAGAGTCTCTTACCCCAGGAAGAGGAGCTATGCCCACTGTTGCCATTTTCAGGCTACAAAATCGTTTTCCTTCTTTTATCTCACTCTTCAAGCTGTCAATTAGTATCAAAAACTCAACCTGAAGAAGCAATGTAAAAAAAAAACAGATTAAACGCCGCTGCATGAGCCCAATGTTTGAGATGATCTTTCAACTCAACTTCGTTAATCGGCGGCGCCGGAATTCTCCACTTTATCTCCGGCGTGATCTGTCTCTTCCCTTTTCTCCCTCCACAAACATCCCACGCTTCTGAGAAACAGGGTCTTGCTGCTCTGTTTTCCTCTTTTACTTCCACTACTACTCCATCATATTTCTTCACCAATTCTGCGATCCAGGAAGAATCTAAACCATGTTTGAATCTTTAGGGTCTTCATCGGAGAAGACAAAACCTAGATCCATAAACCCTTTAAGCTCTTCGTACTCCAAATTCGACGTACTCATTTCTCTGCATATTTCTCCTCTCTTCTTCCTTCTCTGACTTTTCAGAGAGTACTATCGCTCTTTCTGGAGTCGAGAACTTATTCACTTATTTCCTGGAGAGAATCATATAAGGTTACGTATTTTACTACTCTAATTATTTGGACAGTAATGTCGCGAAGCAAGTTATAGAAATCCAAATCTATTATGGTTGCCAAATGTTAATTCAAGAAAAATGAAATGTATTGGGCAAAATGGAAAGGAAACGTAATGCCCAAGCAACATAAACTGAAACGAAATGATTGTATCGTCACTATCGTGATCGGAAAAACAAACGGAAAAGTAAAGATAGGTAGCAAAATAGCCGGCACAGTCTTCTTTCTGTTTCTGCTTACTCCGGGCGCTGCTTCTTGTTAGAGCTCGAATTCTCGGTCTCCTCCTTTAATGTATCATTTGTCATGTTTGCCATGGTTCTCTTCATATCCTTAGATGATATAGTTTCTTGGTAGAGACAAATGGAGGGATATAGTTTCCTGGTAGAGACAAATGGAGAATATACTTATTCTTTTATATATAGCAAGTAAAAGCGTAGGGTAAAGTTGTAGTGAGAAGGTGAAATACTTGTTCCTCAATCATGAGGAGAACAATTCCTTTAAAGTGGAGAGGGTTTTTCACGCTGAAGACTTCCTAATAACAAGTAGCCGGAGGAATAGGTGCTGCATTGTTCGGCCCAAGCGTAATATCTCGACGACTGCCTTCTCAGCCTGTTCTTGTGTAGGATTCATGGGGAATTGGCGATATAGGTTAGATCGAGCTTCAGAAGCGAAAATACTTATAGGCATATTGATGCTTCGGCTTGTGATTACCTGAGATGATGAGTATTTAATTACATTTAGTATAGCGTAATTAAAGCTAGTGAGAAGAAATTCGAAAGGACGTGGGTGTTATAGAAGAAATATCAACAATAGAAATGAAATGCACAGAAATAAATAATTTTGACATGTGTTTCTCCGAGTGGAAGCCGTTACAAGGGAAATGAAATTCGATCATTGCAGAGGAGAGTAACGCCTGCGAAGAAGAAGGGAGAATTAAGTTGCAATTAAGTGTTAGAGACAGGGAAGTCATGGGCCGAATATTGGGCCAACGGAGAAATTCGGTCTGGACAGAATCCATTGTGTGACGGGGTTAGTCCGTAGTTACCGGATTGCGATTTGGCGGAACCCTAATCCTTGCACGAGATCGGACCTCTTGCCGTTCGGAAACGGCCTTGTGGAAATCGATAACCGCCTCCACCAATTCCTTGCTCGTCTGCAACAACAGCACCAACAACGAATCCACCAAGAGCACCAGCAACAGCAGCAGATCTCACTCCACGCGCCGCCCTACAAACAGGTCCAATTCCAAGACCAGCGATGACACTGGTCCCGACGACTTCCGACGGAGTTGTTTCGTGATCAACTCGGCGATTAATGATGTGGTGATCGAATCCCCTCTTCAATCGATTCAGCTCTCCGATCTCGATCCGGTGGGTATCGGCGATGTCTTGATCGCGTATAGGAAGAGGCTCGCCGGTTTCGAGGCGGGAGGCGGCTCGGGTTTCGAGGCGGAAGGCGGCTCGGGTTTCGAGGCGGAAGGCGGCTCGGGTTTCGAGGCGGAAGGCGGATCCGGTTTCGTTTGTGCCATCGTTGTTTCTAGGGTTTCCAGAGAAGATTTGGGGCTTGTTTTATAAAGAAAAACATTGCAGAAGGATTTGATAAACAATTTTTCGTTTATTTTTTTAGTTATTTAAAAAGCTGTCACATGTCAATTTTTTTTTAAGCTAAAAAATGCCAATTGTCAGCAAACTGGAGAGAGTTATTCATCTATTATATACTCTCTCCGTTTCAAATTAGTTGTCGTTCTGGAAAAATGTATCTGCAATTATTTTGATGTATCTGGAATGCAAAATATGTCCTTCCAAATATTTGCAGATACATTTTATCAAAACGACAACTAATTTGAAATGGAGGGAGTATAAAATATTTGTTAGGGATTAAAAGTTTGAGGGACAAAATCGTAAAAGAAATGATGATCAACAGATGCTAAATCGTAGGAAATGGTAATTGCTAAATCAAAGGCATAACATGACGCGTCATCTACCGTGACAAAAATATGATGACGTGGAACTATTTGATTGGAATTCATGTATTCTCTCTGCCAGCCAAAGGTCCACGTCACTTTAAGGGTTTTTTGGGGTCAAACAAACGTTAAGTAATTAATTAAGCTTAAAGTTATCTTATTCTTAGGCCAGGACCTTCTCTTTCAGTTTGCAACAGTAAGTATTTAATAAGCAAATTCCTATTTTTTGAACAGTTATCTAAGGTTTGTGCATTTTTCTTATGCCTTGACAGAAGATGAATCATAATGTCACTCATTCTTGTAGTAGAGGTCAAGGAGAAATATGATATACAGATTTCAGGATTAGATGATTGAGAGACACTGTTCTCATCAAACATAAGTAGCATAATAATTTCTAGACAAAACAGGGGAAACGAATTGCAATTCTTACAAATCTTCTCGCATTGTTTCCTGATCAGTTTAGTTGGAACTAAATGCTGATTGGCAAAGGCAGGCGTCAGGGCTGCTTCGAATACATTGCCTGAATGATTGGCAAAGGCAAGCGTCATGGTCTCAGGTCAGTCTTGCGTAGTAACGCTGAATGATCTTATAAAATAAACAATACTTTCAGTGGATTCTTGAGTCTACAATAGTAGTGATTTTGATATACTTTTTTCGTTTGGAATTGGGATGTGTATAAGGTATAAGTGACCAAAGAAGCATCGTCATCTTTCATCAGAGAAAACAAAGATATATATAACATTGCATCAAAAGAGAAATACAAAGATGAAACCATACAACTCTCTTCATTGAATGAGAGACAGACTCATTTCATCAAAACCTAATTTTGGCTAAATATTTTCTTGGGAGAAAAGTTATTGAAATATGAAAAAACCAAACAAGCACAAACCATGATAGAAAAATTAAAAATCCCGGAAATAGAAGAGAATATAATATCTTCAAGCTCTTCACTTGGCACTAGAGAGCTGGGAGCGGATAAGCTTGGCCGCATCAACCATGTTCTTAAGCGCTGGCTTGACCTCAGTGTACTTCCTTGTCTTGAGACCACAGTCAGGGTTAACCCACAAGATGTTCTTTTCGAGCACCGCAAGCATCTTGTTGGTCCTGTCTGCAATCTCCTCTGTGGATGGTATTCTCGGAGAGTGGATGTCGTAAACACCTGGACCGATTCCTGCTCCGTACTTCACTCCTTCACGGAACACAGAGAGAAGCTTCTCGTCTGAACGAGAGTTCTCAATGGTGATCACATCAGCGTCCATGTCGATGATGGAGTGGATGATGTCATTGAAGTTTGAGTAGCACATGTGAGTGTGGATCTGAGTGCTGTCTTGGACGCCACAGTTGGTGATTCTGAAAGAGTGAACAGCCCAGTCCAAGTAGAAAGAGTGTTCAGCTTTCCTTAGAGGCAATCCTTCTCTAAGTGCGGCTTCATCGATCTGAATCACACCAATGCCACCTTTCTCAAGGTCTTCCACTTCGTCTTTGATAGCCAAAGCGATCTGGTAACAGGTCTCATGCCTAGGCTGGTCGTTTCTGACGAAAGACCAGTTGAGGATTGTGACTGGTCCTGTAAGCATACCTTTCATGGGACGTTTGGTCATGCTCTGAGCTGTTGAAGACCAGAAGACTGTCATTGGCTTAGGGCGGCTCACGTCACCATAGATGATCGGTGGCTTCACGCAACGAGATCCATAGGATTGCACCCATCCGTTTGCTGTGAATGCAAAACCTGACAGTTGCTCTCCGAAGTACTCAACCATGTCGTTTCTCTACAATGTTTGTTAAAGCAATTGCTTGAGTCACAAGCAGAAGCAGAATATCGTGATTAGTTTACTGATTGATTTATAGAACTCACCTCAGGCTCTCCGTGGACAAGAACATCGATGTCAAGATCCTCTTGGAGGTCGACAACACTCTTGATCTCTGCCTTGATGGCCTTGACGTAATCCTCTTCAGAGATTCTAGCGAAAGAGAGATCAGTTAGCATCATAATCAACTTACTTAAACTTGCTTAAATGATCGATCAATGCCAAATTAATGAAGAGACTAACTTCTTGGCCTTGTATTCACGGCGAACCCTCCTAAGTTCCACGGTCTGTGGGAAGGATCCAATGGTAGTGGTAGGGAGGAGTGGAAGGTTGAGCTTCTTCTGCTGAGCATCAAGCCTTGCGCTAACTTCAGTTGCACGACGGTGGTCTGATCCTTTCAAATCAGCAGCCTGTGATAACAAGAAACAACAAAACATCAATATCTTTTACAAATATCATCATTGTAGAAAAAGGCACTGAATCTTAAGTTTGACGCAAGAACTTACAGCCTTCTGAACAGACTCGTTGGTGACTCTTGGGGAAGACCTCCTCGAGGACAAAGCCGAAGCGTTGGCAGAGAAGAAAGCCTGATGAGTTATAGAAACATTAGAGACTTGCAGTGTTTTTCAAATTAAAGAAAGTATATATTTGTAAGATTTTTGCAATACCTCATTTGTCTGACCAGCCAAAGCCTTGGCCAATGCGTCAACTTCATCAACCTTTTGTGCGGCAAAAGCTAACCACGACTTGATTTCATCATCTAGCTTAGTCTCGTTAATAAGGTCAACGGCGGTGTGGAGAAGAGAGCAAGAGGTCGAGACCACAAGCTTGTCTGCACAAGAAAGATGGTTAAATATAAAAACAAGTCAACATTTCTAATTGAGTAACGTAATCCACAAGCAAAGTCGGAAATAAGAGAGATGATTAGTTACCTTTACCAACAACACCCTCAAGTGTCTGCAAAGTAATGAGAGAAGCAGCAAGGTCATTAGCCCAGATGTTCCTTCCGTCAACGACACCAGCAAAGAGGTACTTGCCCTTGGGGAAACTAGACTTGATCAAGTCAAGGTTCTTGCCACCACGGATCAAATCAAAACCAAAGGCAGTCACACCCTTCAAGGAAGTAAGAGTCTTGAATGCTTCAGCAGGGACATCGGCGAAGTATGTCTCCACAAGAACATTCAGACCAGAGAGAGTTGATTCAAGCTCATCATAGGCACCGCTAAACGCCTGGAGCTTGTTGCCCTCGAGATCCATGACAAAAAGAGGCTCATCAAACTGAATCCAGGTGGCACCAGCTCCCTTAAGCTCCGCAATCACTTCCTTGTAGATTGGGAGAATCTTGGGGAGAAGGGAGAGAAGATCAAATGACTTGTCAACACCCTTTGCTAGCTTTGAAAGAAGCAAGTATGAGACTGGGCCAACAAGCACAGGGACGGTCTCAACTCCAAGCTGCATTAACAAGTAACAACAAAAACAATAATATTATATAACAACTCTAAAAAGTAGAACCAAAACAAGACTTATGTTGAAATGGTACGTACAGCCTTGGCCTCCTTGTACTCATTCACAGCCTTGTGAGATGCGTATGAGAATTTCACTTCAGGGCCCAACTCTGGGACGATGTAGTGGCTAAACAAAACAATATAGAGAAGTTAGCCACGTAACTCACAAGTTCAATAAGCACACAAGAAGATAAAAGATTATAAGAGAAACTCACTAGTTGGTGTCAAACCACTTGGTCATTTCCATGGCAGGAACAGAGGCGTTTCCTCTGGCCATGGAGAAGTAAACATCAAAGCCGATCTCACCAGAGGTGTATCCGTATCTGGGAGGAACAGCACCGAGCATGGCGGTGGTGTCGAGGACTTGGTCATAGTAAGCAAAAGTGTTGCTTGGGATGTACTTAATCCCAGCAGAGGACATCTGTTTCCAGATGTCAGACCTGAGATCAGCTGAAACCTTCTTCAAATCCTCGGCACTGCTCTTGCCATCCCAGAAAGATTCCAATGCGAACTTGAGCTCTCTTTTAGGGCCCATACGTGGGTATCCAACAATGTGGGATGCCATTTTGATTTATTTTTTCTTTTTACTACGTTTAACCAAAAACAAAAAAAAAATGAAATCAGCCGAAAAATAAAAAGCAATAATCATAAAATGTACGTATTGTCCTTGCATTCGATATCAAAAACAAAAATGGTAAAGTAACATCCGTAAAATGACGGCTTTACCATACTATCATAGAAAGAGAAAAAAAAAAGGAAAAAGTAACAACTTTTTGCAGCTTTTGTCGTAATGATAGAAATAAAAGAGACAAAAGTACACTAAAAAGCAGAGTCGACTCAGAGTTTCAAGACCAAACATAAGCCATAGATACTATAAATCGGATCTAACGCAGAAAAGCAATCAGTCAGAATCTTAACTACTCAAAAAGAGATCAGGACAACAGATCCACGAATTTGAAAATAATTTAAGAAAAACATCAAAATATATCTGTAGATCTGTGATTCGATAAAATCACTCACCGGATTAGATCTAAAAGTAATAAAAGAGAAGGAGAAGAAACACGGATCAAAGAAACGAAAAATGGAAAATGAAGTGGGGTGGTCCGAGAGAGGAAAACGAAAATGAGAAAGCTAAATAAGAGAGGGGAAGGGGAAAGACAGGAATAGTCATGAGGAAGCCATGGAAACTCGGAAACGTACCTTGCGGAGCGGAGAGAAGTGGAAAAAAGGGTTGGATGTGAAGAGATGGCAAGAGAGCGACGATGGAGAGTGCCTCTCTTAGCTTATTTATAGCAAAAACAATTATACATCGTTCGTTTCTTTCTCTCTCTCACTCTAGGTCTACCGATCTCGTGGTGGCTGAATATTTTTACTATATTAAATTAAGTCAAATAAGATATGCATATACATAAAAGAGATTTCTGATGTCATAATTATACTGAATTTATGATACTTTATACGGTTAACAACAACAGAAATTCCGTATCGTAAGTACCACGTTTTAACTCTGCGTCTTATTTTTATACCAAGGGCATGGTCAATTTTGTACAACTTATTTTGCGTTTATTACGACAGGTTAAATTTTAATACTATACAAACTGTATTGGCACGACGCAGTAGAATTGTGTTTAATTAAGTTAAAAACTAGATGAGATTTTAAGGTTAACCGCACCATTTAGAATTAATTGGAGAGTTGGTGTGTGTACACTTGGGAGAAGGAGGTAGCGGGATTGGTGGGTGGAACCCACAATGTAGTTGGTGAGATTCACATTCCTACAAAACGACGACGTCTTGGAAGTCAGTACCAGACTGCCACACAAAATTGAGATTTGTTTGGTAAACAAAGTAGGTGAAGGATTATGAGATCCACGTCTCTTTGAAGGCTTCTTCATGTTCATGTATTATATATTTGTATTTTATTCAATTAGTGGTTTTGGTCTGGTGATGAATGAAGTAAATACAATTCTCTATATCATATAGTTCATGTGTTAAAACTTTTAAAATGGTAAACTACGTGAGTCAAGAATATTCCATGCTGTCTTGGGCAGCTAATACGAATATACTGTGTTTAGAATATCAAAGTATAGGGATCTGTACCTTTTACCCTCCTCTGTAACATGTTCACTGACTCTTGCAGCACCCTTTTTAATGTTTTTATATGAAAAATTCTGTAATTGCTAATCATCATTCATCACAAAACTATTTTCATCAGGCGAGTTGACCTATGTCGACGATATCCAAACATGGGTCAAACTTCAAGCATTGGTAGATGTATAGGCTTTGCAATCGTTTGTCGCCTGTCGGTGGATGTAGATCTCCATTCTACCGTATTAATAAAACCACACGTTCAAATATATACTAGCAATCACATGTGCATTTAATGAGATTATTTTTTGTTTGTTCCTTGGTGATGCCTAACGTAGACACACCCAAATGACGGCAATAATTATTTTTGTCAAATCGTACTCATTGCAGAAATTAAAGATTTGACAAAATATCTGGACTAACACTTGTGTGTATTGCTGTGTTGTTGTAGATTGTAAACGCCTAAACGGGAGTAGATAGCTTTCTTTTCTTTCATATTTTCAATAGTTTAAGTGAATTAAAGGCTACTGTTGTATTTTAAAAAGAAACAGCTTTTGTGGGTTTTTTTTAGAAAATAAAATTTAGCGATGTTAATTTTGTAGTATTTTTGGGAAAATCTGTTTTTTGTAGTACTTTTGAAAAATGTAATATTTTGTAGTATGAAATGGTGGTTATATAGTAAACTACTACCATTGTCCATTGGTGGAGTCCACATACCAGACCCCAAAAAGCCCAAATTCAGTCGGACAAAAGGCTGATTCCCCTAAGAAACCTAAACCAGAGGTAAACCGAAGAAACTAAGTGTCCGGTCTAGTAACAAACCGGATCATCCTAAACCACTCTGCTTCACTTCTTATCTTTTAGCTTTTCTTCAGCTTCCGAAACAGAGATGATTGGTTGTTGATGGTTGAGCTAGCTGTTTCTTGCCTTTTCCAGGTCTGGAAGATCTGGAATCAAATACAACGTTTTGTGTAAGATGAGTCATCAATCTCCACATTGTCTCTACTTGCATATATCATTGCGGTAAAGAGATTAAGGTTACTGATAACTTACAGAGCAATCCATCATCATCGCTGCTTTCACCGTCTTCATCAACAAACTATGGAAAAGAAAAGAAAAAAGAAGGAAAATAATCAAACAGAGTGGCTTTACTAAACTGCAACAGAAACGAAATAAGCAATTGTGAGAGAAAACACTCACTGCACTCTCATCATCAGACGCCGTGTCAGCTGAAAAAAGAAGCAAACAAAAGAGTCTTTAGTTAGAGACGCAATTTATGATGAAGAGAGACCAGCATATTTGAGATTCTAACATTCTATAGGTCTTTTCAAACGAGATTAGACAAAACTAAAATCTATTGTATCCAATAATATGAAGATTTTGGATCATCCTCAAGATATTGAGCTGAAAAGTGAGAACTTTGTAAGACTTACAGTTGCCTTCCTCATCTTCATCACACCATTTATTCCAGTCGACTTTGATGTAAGGTGCAGGTTTGTCTTCGGATTTCAGAAGTCGTGGCCACCAGCTTCTCTCTTCTTTCTGGATCGAGAATATCATGTTCCTTAGCCCAACATTCTTTCGAAACTCCTGCACCATACATAACATAGGACACTTGTAAAAATCTACTTATCGGTTAAGATCTAAGGCAGTGGTAGCTTGCAAAGAAATGGCACTTACAGGCACAATCTTCCCATAGAGCTCCAAGCTGAATTCAAAGAGCTTGCCTTGGGCACCAATAGCAGAGAAACTGAATAGTCCCTGAGGCTCACATTTGACTGAAATGTCCTTCGAGTCAGGTAATGCGACGGTTAGGTAAACCTTATCAGAACGCTGAGCCCAAAGCACCTCCGGGTTATGACTGCATACAAGACAAAGCAACATTTGTGATTATACTTTGTTTACCACCCAATTACACAAGACAGGAACTTTATACGATGAATTTCTCTAGTACAAAGGTTTTCAAACTTGAATTTTCGGGAGTAGAACTAAAATATAAATTCTTTTTCATAAATTATATGCAACAATGCTGAAATCAACCATAGAATGTAGAAGCACATCAAAATGCATATATGAAAAAAAGACTGTTACAGAGGGACTGTTTCAAGTGAACAATCTGAGTGAGTTCTTTGGAAATCATTCTAACTAAAAAAAGTTCTAAGCTTTGTGCAATAACTCTCTTATCATCACAAAGCACACCATTCCCCATATCTGAACAATAACATTTCGAGCTTCCCTTCCGGGAGAGTAGCTTTTCAACACTTAAAGAGAGCATGCGAGTATCTTCTAATGAAAAACCCATTAGTAAACTAAGTAAAAGGTGGTAGCTTTACATGTAGATCACAGAATCACGCGAAACTTATTTGTATTGTAGGTTCACCAAATCGAATCAGAAGTATCTTCGAGGTTTAGAGTCCATCAGTAAATCTCAAAAAAAACATAGAAATCGAACAGATACCTCATTTTTCTGCAGCCAGATATGAAATTGGAGACACGGTGCCGGTAGGGTGAACGGAAGATGGAAAAACGGCGATCGAGTTCGAGCAAAAAGAGTGAGCTCGAATTGAAGATTGAAGATTCTGGAGTGAACAAGGTAAAGGTAAAGGTAAAAGCTATACATTTAGGCCCAATTAGTTTTTGAGTATTTCATATAGATCCATAACTTATAGAGAAATCACGAATTTATCCAAAAAGGTAAAAACGTTTTGTTAAACACCCCCATTTGACTAAAACTGAGATTTCATTTCACCATTTGGCATTTTGCAATAACAATCTAAGGTAAAACACAAGACAGATTGGACAAATTTGAACAGTATAAATGAGATGAAAAGACAACAAGTGTCATAGTTTCTAAGAAATCATAGATCAATAATGACACCTGTTATTTGCAACACAAAACGTGATATTTCAAAGGTTTTGTCGAGTTTTTTGTACATACAACACTTTGCCAAATAATCAAGAAAAAAAAACAAAATGTTGTCACGATATATATGCATTCTAAAGTCAAAATTCATAGTCAATTTTTTTTTTGAAAAAAAGGTTTAGATAAAGTTCATAGACAACAATAATCATGACTTGTTTAATATAATTGCATACAATCTTTCTTTTTTTTGTCAAACAATTGCATACAATCTTAAGGATGTGGTTATTACGTACTAACATTGTATATGATCACTTCACAATTACGACTCACCTAACAAAAAATAATAAATCTAATGCTGAACAAACCATCTAACCTTATTTATTACACAGCAAGGCGAAAACGACACACACCTTATATCGTTCGCATTGATTAGTTAACTTAATGCATCATGTTATTTTATTTTGCTTCTACAAATCGTTTTTATTTAATGTCTATCAGTCTATACTCTATACATATGTGTGAGTATATATAAAAACATAGTAGTATTAGTTTTCTTTTCGAGTGCCAAGTATCTCTTTCGCTAATCGAAATTTGCAAAAAACAACAATACCACATTTTTCTGTCGTGTGCTTTAAAGCTGGCAAGTCGATTCTAAGCTTCACCAGCAAAAACAATCTCATATATATCTAAACCATTACTGAATACGACATTGATATGTAACTAATAGACACAAAAACTAACCAACAAACAAAATACACGAAACAAGTAAAATCTAAGAAATCTAAATTCAAATATGATGCACAGAAGAATCTAACAGGAGAAGATTTATATATAAGACTAGGTGGACTTAAATTTCACGAAATTTTGTTTTCTTATGTTTGTAAGTATTGTGCGTTAATTATGTTTTTATATCTCCAAATATAAATAATAAAACTACAAAATAAAAGTTGTGAAAACGTCGGCAAAATAAATAAAATATATGTGGAACCTCTTTGGGCAGTGACTGAGTAGTCAATAGAATAAGACATTATCTCTATAATTTTAAACTATAAAGATGCAGTATATTGCAGAATGTGAATTTTTTTTTTCTCAAAAACTGATATGTAATGTAATAGAGAATGGGTTATAAACTGTTACTAGTACATTTGATTATTCATTCATAAATAAGTAGATATGTAAATACTAGTCTAGTATCTAATATTATACTCTATCAAACTTGTTTATAGTATTGTTTTCCTGAATTCTTTTTGCAAAGGAAGAAGTGTGGGATCCACGTGTGTCACTTTATAAGTATGACGTGACCTTTCTGATAGAGAGATGCCATCGTGCGAAAGATTACATTACAGTCTGTGCCACAGCTTCACTTTTTTACTTTTCACCTTAGTTTACTATTTTTCCACTTTCCAGATTTAAGTTGGTTTTGGATTGATCTTGTTTATTCCAATTTGGTTTTAAGCCTCCTTCAGGTAAAAGTATTGGTTTTAACTTTTAAGCCTGCTTGGGGTAAAAACCCTATGTTTGTACGTAAATCTTTGACTCAAGTCGTTTTATACTTCGGTTTGGTTTGTTCTTTGCTTTCAAAAATCTGATTTTTACTTGCACAGTTTAACTTGGTTGGTTTACTACTTTACAGTCTTTACTCATCCTTGTTTAATTTAGCAATAGCATAGACCATTAACTACCATATGAAACTTTAAAGTTCAAAAAAAATTGTATAAAACTGTAGACCATACCCCTCGACACCTAGTATGTGTAGACCACCCCCCTAAAGAATATTTTCTTTATCTTTACTTTTTTATCTTCTTTGGGGGTCTTTTTACTTTCTTTTTGGCCACAGCTTTGGCCCGAGTGGGTTTGTTTCTCTTTGGTCCCTATTTTCTTGAAAGTGATGATACAATATGAACATATTTAATGCTTGAGAAAATAATCTTTGGTTGTGTGTACTGTATTAATACAGTATTTATTATTTAATAGTGATTCAACCCAAAAAAAAAAAAAAAAAAAAAAAAAAAAACAAATGTCGGCCAGAGCCGGTGTGATTCCCTATTTGGTAATGCATGTGAGCAATTTCGAGATTTTTTTGTTTGTTAATTCCATTTCTACTATTCCCTCCGTTTCAAATTAGTTGTCATTTTGACAAAATGTATCTGTAATGCAAAATACGTCCAAATACGTCCAAATATTTGCAGATACATTTTGCCAAAATGACAACTAATTTAAAACGGAGAGAGTATATATTTTTTTCTTTTTAATAATATCTTAAAATTATTCTTGATGTCTTCTTCTCGTGATAGAGAGGATGACCAAACTCTATGTCGTCAGCTAGTGACAGTTTACTTCTAATCGTATGGTTGCTACATGTTTCTACTTTGATCTTGCAGATTTTTTTGTTGTTATATTTTTCTTTAAAATAAATAAATATTTTGTTGGGTTAAGATTGTTCTCATAGTATTCTCCGTTTTATCCTTATAAAATTTATAGTCACTCTCGTGAACGTGAAGGAATCTTGAATGTTTTTTTCAAGCTCCTCGAGGTATTTTCCTGTGTCACAGGGGATTTTCTTGGGAAATTCTCTCACTTTCTTTCTTCTTTAAAATCAAGTTTCTACTTTAATTCTTAAAATAAAATCATTATTCGTTTCACAGTTCCTTTCAAAAGTTCGCAGAGGTATTTCTTCATCTCAAAGGCAACGATTTGTCTTCCTCATTTTCCCCTTCTTCTTTCTTCCCACAGGAAAATACAATTTTAAGGTAACTAAAAAAATTTCTGCATTTCCTCTTCCTGCAAGGTGTCTTAAGGAGGAGAATCTGTAATCAGGTGGTGAGTTCTTCCTAATTCTCAGGAATCTACATGCAAAAATTGTATTTTTTTTTTTTTTTTAAATACATCAAATTACCTCTCCACTTACTCTTAAAACTGAAAATGTGTGTTTTCTAGCTTCCTCCATTGTTGTGTAATATATGAATGAGAAAAAGAGTAAGTACCAGATCTTGAGAGTGGACCCTGTTCTTGTTTTAAAAATAAAATATCTCAATACTTTATAAATAAATGTGATTCATGAAATTTAATGTGTCTCTCTTTGCAGGTGTTGATGATAAAAAATCCCTTATGTGATTTTACTGCTAAGGTAGTTAATTAGTTGTGTGTGGTTATGGAGAAACTCGTTTGTGGCTTGCCATTACTGTTACTGGTTCTGCTTTTAGCCTCCATTGATGGGTCAATACAGCTTCAGTCATCTCAGTCTCAAACTCTTTTGAGGCTTCAACAGCTTCTCCACTATCCCAAAGTGTTAACCAGCTGGAACAACTTTACAGATTTCTGCAACTCCGAGCCAAACCCTTTCTTAACCGTTGTGTGTTACGAAGATAGTGTGACTCAGCTTCACATTATAGGAAACAGAGGAGCTCACTTGTTACCAAAACGTTTCTCAATAGACTCGTTTGTTACCACTCTTGCTAAGCTCCCTGATGTTAAAGTTCTCACCTTTGTCTCCCTCGGTTTATGGGGTCGGTTACCTGAGAAAATCAACCGGTTATCCTCATTGGAGATTCTCAATGTGAGTTCTAATTTCCTCTCTGGACACATTCCACTTGAGCTCTCCTCGCTCGCTAGCCTTCAGACGCTTATACTCGATGAGAATATGTTTTCTGGTCAGTTACCGGATTGGATTGGTTCTCTACCCGGTTTAGCTGTGTTGAGTTTGAGAAAGAATGTGCTTAATGGGACGTTGCCTTCTTCTCTGAGTAGCTTGTCAGGTCTTAGAGTTCTTGCTCTAGCTAATAACCGGTTTAATGGAGCTTTACCTGATCTAAGCCATTTGACAAACCTTCAAGTGCTTGATCTTGAAGGAAACTCTTTTGGACCGATGTTTCCTCGGTTAAGTCACAAGTTGGTTACTCTTATACTCAGCAAGAACAGGTTTAGATCTGCTGTTTCAGCTGTAGAAGTGACTTCTTTGTATCAGCTTCAACATTTGGATCTTTCCTTCAACACATTCGTCGGTCCGTTTCCTACTTCTTTGATGTCTCTTCCAGCGATCAGTTACTTGAACATTTCACACAACAAACTCACCGGGAGGCTCTCTGCAAATATTTCTTGCAACTCAGAGCTGCTTCTTGTTGATCTGTCATCGAATCTTCTCACCGGAAGTTTGCCTGCTTGTCTTAAATCGAGCTCCGGGACTAGCAGGGATGTTGTCTATGCAGGAAACTGTTTGGCTTCTGCAAGTGAAGATCAGCGTCCTGTTTCATTCTGTAGCAATGAAGCTCTTGCTGTTGGAATCTTACCACAGAGGAGGAACAGAGTATCCAAATTAGGTCTTGCCTTAGGTGTAACAGGAGGCATTCTCGGAGTACTTCTCCTCGCTGGTGCCTTATTTGTGGTTCTTAAGAGATTTAATGGTAAGAGAAGAAGAGCAACTAAAGCTTCTTCCCCAAGATTGATCACAGAGAATGCTTCAATGGGAGGATACACATCAAAGTTATTGTCGGATGCAAGTAAAGAGATCTTCTCATGTATTGTCACACATTTTGCAAATATCAAATGAGTTTTTTTATTGATTACTTGCGATACCTTGTAGGGTATATCTCTCAAACAATGA